CACATACTTTGCTTTTTGAGTGTTATCCTAAAATGATCAATCAAAAATTATAAATTATCCACTTGATACATATGACAAAGCAAATAGGACCATGGGTATGATTGTATAAAAATCTTTTATACCATGTCAGCGACAAGATTGTCAGCTAAACGTCGTTCTTGCTCAATATCCGTCTCGAGACCTCGAATCTGCTCCTCAATTCTATTAAGTAATGGCAGGAATATTTGTAAAAATTTTTACTGTCTTTAGTTACTGAGCAAAGAAGCAAGCGAAGGTAGATTACATAAATTGCTAGCTAAAAGTACTACTTTGATCTCGTGGTAAAGATTTCGTCAATTTTTCTAGCTTCTCTGTTGTTTTTTACTTGTACCTGATCGGTTTACAAAATTTATGAAATTATCATTAATCAATAACAGAATTTGTCATCGTTAGTTAAATAAATGAAATAACGTTGGCATACTGATCTTGTATTTTCTATTATAACTTCCATTCCGGTATCAGTGGTGACTTTATCAAGTAGCTAAGGTCATTTGAAAAAGACAATAAATATATTCAGCGTATTAAATTCTTAAATGGGTCAGATTTTTCCTGTAATTAAAATTTGCTATGATTTACAGTATTGTAGTCTCCTAAATTTCCTTGAAGTTCCTTAATTTCATTCGCCAATTGCTCAGCTCTAATAAAGAAGCGCATTAATTTCATAAGTTTTAGCTCTTTTATAAGATATAATTGGCGATCGTCGTCGTATACATACTTCTTTTCGTATGTGATATACGTCGAGCTATCTTGATTCATTTGGTCGATTTCTCTGGATAGCTTGATATTTTCGGTATTCAATTCTGCAATTTTTGCTCTGTAATCATGGTGAATTTGAACATATTCTCAATGTATAATTTTCAATACGATGTAATGATAATTAACATTTAGATTATAATCTTACCTCAATACGCCTAAGTAATAGGTTTTGTCTTGTACTTGCCTCTGCGGACCTAGAAAGAACCAGTAAAAATTATCAACTAAAAACTGATATCATAAAACAAGTACAATTTAGGATAAGCTATAACAAGGCTAAGCAGTTCATACGATAGTATGACAGTATAAATTAATTATGTGAACATACACGCACCTTTTGACGCAGTTTTCATTCCGGATAATCCATGTTGTGTCATAGGGCGATCATGTACCGTAATCTGTGAGGATAAAACTGTTGGCCACGTTAAAAAATTAGTCGCAATACGTATTCAAGATGTAATGTTAGTGACATACTGTATAATAGAGCTTTTTCAAGAGTAATGAGACTATTATTGAATTATTACCTCCTCCTCCTAATCCACCTGCTCTAGATCCAGGTCTGACAGATGCAGTCCCTCCATTCTGCTAGTTTAATGCAGTTATATTCCAGAATTACTAATTAAATTATTTGTTCATCCGTAATCAATCTAGTTATATAATATAACCATATCATTTAATTGTTTACCGCTCCTAGAATAAGAATAAGTGAAAGTTCATTAAGATAATGTACAGCATGATGAAATTTAATCATACAAGAAGTAGATACTAAAACTTTTCTTCAATTTTTATCAGAAAATATAATAAAAGCACAAATATCGTGAAATTTACCTGTCTGAAGACGTCGGGCGCTCGCTATGAACATGAAATTATAAAAAATTTTAAGTCACATTAGTATTGAGTTTACTAAAATATATTTAAAATCTAGCACTCTGCAGCTTAAAATCTATCTATAGTGATAAACACTAAGATTTACGATCAGAAATAATGTTATCCTAAAGTGACAAGGTAAATTGCTATTCTTATCTGAAAAGGACTGGTGATTGTTAGTACAAATAGAAACTGACAATATAAGATAATGATTAGCTAGTCCTAGCTAATACGAAACAGATTTTGAGATTCATTAGTATGACATACCACTGCCAACTCTGTCCGATCGGCTACTAGGCCGGTTAGATTGCGACGGATGAAGCGTATTTTTTGACATTCTAAGTAATGTAGATGTTAAAGTAAAAGTTACTTTTTGATTGCAATTACGAGAATCAAAGATGATTTAGCTAAACAGATGGGTGATGACCAAAAGTTTAGTATTTCAGATATCGTTACAAATTCAGGGTACGATTATAATTCAAATACGTTGAACTTCACTATTTTAAACGTAAGTAGACTAGTACCATCATTGCAGATACGTTATTTACTGCATGGAGATGTTGCTTGTATCAAAATATTTAAATGACTGCTTACCATAGTACGATTTATTGATAAATTCGTTATTAGATATGATCTTACAGTATTAATGGGAAGTATCCTCAGTTAAAGTGTGAAAAAATTACTTACTGATCGGCAAAATTGATGGTTTTATTACAAGAAGTCTCCTAAGTATGTTCTCGTTTACGTTTTCTAAAATTCGGGTATCGAATCTCTGTAACTTAATTTTTGATAAATCATATTTAGAGTTATGCTATCACATAATATAATTACAACGATTATATTCTTTCCATTTACTATGCTAAACTTCGGAAAACAGATCATGAAAATGAATATCACTAAATTATCCATTCTTAATGCAAGTAGATCAAGATTGGAGGTTAAATCTCTACTGATAGTATTTCAAGAAGTGCTAGAATTTCATTTAACGGCTGAACTCTTCTGAAGCGCTACACGGATATGAATACTGGTTACGTACAAGGGCATGAAATAGACATTATAAAAGTATCGAGTCAAAAAATTTCAGAATACCTCGGTAAGATGGCGAATATTTTAAAAGAATCGATAAGATACGTGGTGAAGTTCGTATGAAGTTCTTGTATCCATAACAACAAGATTTACTGCCAGCAACCGTACGAGTATACTGTACAGTGTACAGTTGTACACTACAGTACTGTATACTGTACTGTACCATGGGACTACTGTATACTGTACAGTACATGTAGATGAATGTCATACTGTATTGTACGGTACTGTACAGTACAGTATTTACCGAACTTCGTATGAACAGACATACAGTACTGTACTGTACAGTGTACAGTACACTAAATGTACAGAACAGTACTGTACTGTACAGTACTACTGAATTGCCCATTTAGTGGAGATTCTGTACCGTACAGTGTACTGTACAGTACAGTACGAATGTTACTGTACCATTCTACAGTACAGTACATTTCATTTTTAACTTGACCTTTCAGAATTAAAGTACAAAACCCTAGTCTGAACATCAATTTAAAACCAACAAATACAGCGCTGTAACTCAATTGTACTGTGCTGTATAGTAGACCATCAAATATCAAAACTATCTCCATCTTTGCTTACCCTCCTTCGTGTGATAGATATTTCGACTATTTTATACAACGATAATTAATACTTTAAAATATTGTCGATTATACAGTACATGTCGGTTAGGTAAGCTACATTTATTTAACTTAATTAAAAGTACTGTAGGTATCTAACTTTCTGATCTTGAAAGTGGATTTCTCCGTTTCCAGGATGTCTACTATTGCTGCTAGCAGAAAGCTGCTTTCATTCATAAGGTTATCCTCTAGTCGGCTGCGTCTTCTAAGCAGTGGTAAGTAGGGCTTCATAACAAAAATCTTATATTAAAACGATCCTCTGAGGTTGTTTTTAAAATTCGGTAGTACAGTACTGTCACATCTCGTATGCCTGTATCCTTATACCTCGTATATCTATATTTCATTTTCTATCATCGCCTTGGCAAATCTGACATGCCTCGATTTTGACGAGTGCATCTATAATTACACGGAAGACAGTTGAATAATTAACTATATTATTAACGGTTGAATGAAGAAAATATTAAATATAACGCCAATGGTATTGATTGATGCAGTTCTGTGCGTTAACTTCAAGAAATACTTACAGTTGTACTGTTACAGTACGTATGTTGAAGTAATTTAAAATTGACTGGGTCCAGTTAATGATTTTCTTTCGAAATTTTCGAGTCCACTTGACATAGCAACTTCGGTATTTTAACATTCATATGATTACACAGCCATATGCTGGATACTAAATGAAACGTTGACTCTTCAGTTTGAGTCTCTGTATATATAGCGGTTGCCATGATATCGCTAGAATTTAAAGCATGCTTCTCCAACTAAATCTTCTAAGATTTGAGAGAGATTTTTTGTAGTTTGATGTACGTACTTTATGATGCATAGTGAGTATTATGCATACATGTGACAGTACGCTAACTGTAAATAGATTCACGAATGCAGTTACTTTAAAATTACATGGGTATGACCGCAAATTTCGAGCAGTAGTTGATGTTATGTTTTGAATGAAAGTACTCGATTAAACATCGACTATTATTGTGAAGAAGTTCATGTATTAACATTTCCTGTACTGTACAATGTGAATCTGTATAGCGTATACTGTATTTTGACTTCATTAATATCACTACTTTTGCAAATACTTGTTGATCTTAATAAACGCGCAGCATTATTCAAGGAGTAAACTACTGTATACGTTTTCGTAATGAATCAATCCTACAGATACAAGATTTATTATGGCTATGGATTCTTGTGTATCAGTATTTATTAATTTATGTAGATGATAAGTCATCCTAAAGGCTGTAACTGTTGTGGGGAATAATTCCAGTAACGTGCTATAATTATAGGTCCGAGTTTCGATTATAAGGATGCGTTGAGCTTGGAAGGACAACTGCATGAGGATGAAATTTTAATGAGGTATTTTGCAATGTGTTCCGGATAATAAGTTATCATGCTATTCGCTATTAATTTTACAATGCACTATTGTTGAGGAAATAAATTTTTCTTAAATCAGACACTAAAGTGTTAACGTCATGACTTAGTAAATTGGCAAGTCTTCTACTTAAATTATAAATGAGTCTCGTTAATTTTTTTGTAACAAACTTGGCTACGGTTCGAATTACCATAATAGATTGAAAGCTCTTCTAGTCATATACTTATGTACGTTATTACGACAGAGATCAAGTGAGAGCGTATTGCCAGGACAAATTAATGCCCCGAATTGTGATGTCTAATCGCAACGAAGGTATTTGCATTTCGGTTGGGCACATTTATTTTTTGTGATTGATGTGTTAACCTTAATATTTTAATCTTCAATAATTTTTGTGAATGTACTATCTTTTGCGTAACTTATTAGAGTACCATCCGGAGATCCTCCAAGAAATGGGAGATTTAGGCATTCTTGGTTGCACTATTAGTGGTAATATAAATTATATATTGTAGAGATGGAAGAAAATGCTTAGACGTGTACCAAAGGGTAAACCGTAATTTTAGTATGTTTTTGATGTAGGATACGGATGCGCTGGTGCTTCATCCGTAGCTTATGGACTTATAACGAGAGAGATAGAACGGTAAGTAAACAATGCATACCTCGATGTTTATCAATTGCACACAATGCTTTGAAAGGATCTTAATCCTTGGCCGTTATGATATGGAATTAGCGTTGATAGCAGCTATAGATCAACCATGAGTGTACAGTCTTCATTGGTAATGCATCCTATCAATGCATTTGGTACCACAGAACAAAAGGAGAAGTATCTACCAAAATTAGGTATGCTATCGTAGGAGTACAGATTGTATTATTTTAGATATATTGAGCATGTAATATTTCGCCGATGAGATCTTAGTAACATACAGATGTATATATATATATATATTACATATCAAACTTGTTATTATCGCCCCTTGAAATATTTAATTTTGACGGTTATGTTAGCAACTGGTCAAATGATAGGATGCTTTGGACTCACTGAACCTAATCATGGGAGCGATCCTGGTAGCATGGAGACCAGAGCTACGTTTAATACCGATAAGAAATGCTATGTACTAAATGGAACGAAATCCTGGTATTCTACTGAATCATAAAGAGTTTTAGGCTAACGCCTTTAAGAATTTCCATCTATTATATCTTTATTAGGATCACCAATTCTCCTGTAGCCGATTTATTTATTATATGGGCTAAACTTGAAGGAAAAATAAGAGGATTTATCTTAGAGAAAGTAAGAAGTTTTACTACATTCGTAATTCGGAATAGAATGTATTGAAATCATTTTAATTTCAGTTGTAATCTCGTAGGGAATGACTGGCTTATCGGCACCTTACATTAAGGGAAAATTTTCATTACGTGCATCTCCTACAGGACAAATCGTTATGGAAAATGTTGAAGTACCTGAAAACAACATCCTTCCACATGTCGAAGGACTAAAAGTTAGAAATGATTAATAGCAGCTGTATCTTTTTAGAGGCATTTAGAAATACTTACTCAGTATGATGCACAAAATTTTAGGGGCCATTTAGCTGCCTAAATAACGCTCGCTACGGAATTGCATGGGGAGCTCTGGGAGCAGCCGAATTCTGTCTTGACTTTGTACGCCAATATACTATAGACAGGTAAAGTTCCGCTTAATATAAAATGGTGTGTAAAACAGTGGATAACGATACAAACTATTTTGAGTCATTGACAAAGCTTATTACTACCTTTTACGTCCTTCGTAGTATGTATTGTTTATCAATTAAATTAGCATCTTACTTCACGATTAGAAAACAGTTTGGACGTGCTCTTGCCAGTAATCAAATCATGCAACTAAAAATGGCAAATATGCTTACTGAGGCAAGAACCTCTACTTTATATTGACATTCCTGAGTTTACTGGCAAAGTAGAACTTGTTCACTTTTTTAATTTCCAGATATCTCTTGGATTGCAAGGCTGCTTGCAAGTAGGCAGACTAAAAGATAAAAATTTGTAAGGCCAATTGTTAGCTTTAGCGTGATGCTGCATTTGATCAAATACATTATCTTGAATGCATGTCGAATATTTTACAATCATCTATAGCGCTACACCGGAAATGGTATCAATGATAAAACGTAATTCATGTGGAAAGGCACTAGAAATAGCAAGAACAGCAAGAGATATGCTGGGAGGTATGAAATAATGTCAACAATTATAATAGAAAAGGTTTCAGTTGTAACGTTCTGCTTGCCTATTAAAGGTAATGGGATTTGTGATGAATATCACGTAATTCGACATTCAATGAATTTAGAAGCCGTTAATACTTACGAAGGTTGGTGTATAGATTAAGCCAGGCTTAAGGATTGCCTCTATTTGTATCAATAATGGAATTCTATTGAAACATATGGGTATTAAAAATTATAATTATTACGATCACTTTCTGCAGGTACTCATGATATACATGCCTTAATCCTTGGTCGCGCAATTACTGGACTTCAATCATTCACGAGCAATTAATCATACGTTAAACACTCTATAAGCAACATGCTTTATCTCTGCTGTGTAATAAATATGGGTTCTGGTTCGTTTTAAAAGCAACTTGAGGAACACATTTTGGATACGGTCATTATAATTGTGAATGGCATAGTATGACATTTACTATTATTTAGTAGATATAGAAGATGCTTCGACTTTTAACGCAACATAAGTAATCTCAAGCAAACTTAAATACGCATTCCAAATAAAGTTTATATGTAACGTCTACTAATGCTTGTGACTGGCTTTGATTACTGACAGGGTACTTCATGTCATGTTAAATTTTTCTACGCGTTTCGATATTCTGTGAAGCTCACGCTTTACAGCAAAGCCATATAGTTATACATGATAGTGCTTATTTTGAAGAAATTACAATCGTTTAGAATGTAGCATTTAAAATCTTGTCACCTACGCTATGGAGCTTCAGTAAGAAATAATCACCAATCACTTATCGAATCAGAATGAAATATTGAGTTATTTACTCGGAAAAGCTTACGAAAATGGTAGTAATTCTCTACACAAATAATATGCGAAATCGTAATCACTATCATACTCGGTAAAACTCTCGTACAGTAAGTATGCAATGCACTGCATGTACCGTACAGTACAGCATGCAGAATCACTATACTAACTGATGATATTGTAAAGTGGACGCTCAGCTGTAAATGTAACTACATATTAGAATTCTGTTTTGAAACTTTCCATGAATGTATATTTACATCAATGGCCTGTGGTATCTCATTCTTCTTAGTCATTCTCTACTGCGAAAATTTGCCATATTTTATATTTATAATCATTTTTTATACATTGCGATAGTCTTGCCTGGGATACAGTCTGTCGCAACTCTCTCAAGCAATATAAATCTAAAGTATCGTACTGTACTCTCCTAATCGCTAAACTGCTTAGAACTTCCCTTCTAGAAAGACTCAGAGATAAAATTCTTTGCATGACAAGTATAAGACTTAGGCTACGTCTTTATTCTAAAAAATTTATAGAAACAGCTCACAACCAGCAATCTCTATCTTCATTGTGGCTTTATATACGAACTTAAATAAGATAAATATAATATAGGTCAAAAGTAGACATCCAATTAGAAGATATCAACTCAACTACATTACTGTAAATACGACAAATTTTAGCTCAGTTTAACCCTATTATTAACTCAAATGGTATAAGAAAATCATTAGGAATTAAAATAAAAACTTTTAGTATATGTTTAAGCTTGTCAGTTAATCTTACCTGAATGGGCATTTAATCTAAACATTAACTAAACTGGTGTCCTTCACTAAAATGGTTACCAGCCTTGCTTATAAATTATGCAAAATTACATTGCTGTACATTATCCTGAAATATGCGTGTGATTACTGTAAACGGATCCTTTATCTAGATTTAGTTTACTAATGTTAGCTTGACCAGGTATTCTATCATATACAAGTATTCTATAATTGTTGATTGTCAACAGATTTATCTATGATTAGGTAGCTAATTTATTAATTGATGCAAGAAAATCTAGGGTATAATCTTTCCGAGCTTGGATGAATATTTGTTTGATCAATTTTAATTGTTTTGAAGAATTAATTGTGTAAATGATAGCATATGCGAAAGAATATGAAAAGGTGGCATAGTCCGATAAATTAGCAGAAAGATAGAGAAATACGAGAGTTATAAAATCTAACCACCATTCTGTAGCTAACAATGAGTTATTACGTGATTTCTTTGTTGCTAGTTTGATTGGTCGCAGTAGGAGAATCTGTTTTTATTTTTGCTTAATATTTTGAGTATTGATCCTTATTTTAACTATAGATTTGGCTTCTTTCAAATAAGTTTGACAACTATTACTGTCTTACAATGAATAACGATAGCCATTCCCCAATTAATTTATTTTAGTTTAAATTATGACTTCACAAAATGTACAATGGCTTTTAATTCCATTCTACTCATAGAATTTGTTAGATTCTTACTAAAGAGAGTCCAAAATGTATTGTACCTTTACGTAGAATCTAAAAAAATGCTTATAAATTTTACCACGCTCACTTTGTTAGTAGTATTATGTTCTGGTAATATCTAATATCAGTTGCTACATGCATGCTGCTGCTTATTTGCTCTAGGTGTACCTTTAAACCCAGAATATTAAAGTTCTTATTAGTTACATTATTGTGATGTACTGTATGTGTTGTATCCGAGTGTTGCGATAATGTGGTTTAGATTGAGTCAATACAAGTAAATATATACAGTATACAGTATATAGCGTATAGCATTGTATTAGAATGTCGATAATGTATTACGGTGATGTTATGGAATGAAGCTAATTGCAACAACGGGAAGGATTACCATACAAACCAATATATCCGCGCAAATCTTTAAGCAGTGCATGGGTATTGTTGTTTTAGTGAGTTGCTAAAATTTCTTCAGCACCAAGTAGTTCTAGATTAACCTAGATTTAGTATGAATGGTAAGTTCTATGCAGTTCTTCATCGCATGCCTCTTATTTATCTCGATATCTATCTTTCTTGAATTAATGATATACTGTACGTACTACAATTGATATTTCAATTAGTTGCTATCATTTTTGAATTCCGAGTCATGCGTCATCTTCAGTTTTTTTGATAGAGCTTTTAAGATATTGATGATCATAATTTATACAAAGAACAATTACAACGTGAAGTACTCTTTAACTTAAAGGAATCTTTCATAACTTTCAAAAAATACTTTCAATGAGCAACTACAGGTTTATTAGCAGGCGGTACTAATTAAATGATTCTAGAAAATACTATAGCAGGAAGACGAAAGATAAAGGATATGCTGGTTGTTATATTTATGATTACGATAATAAAGATATAATATTATTTGCTGTAGTTAATAACGTGCTTTATAAAACAGTATCGTAATATTATGTAAAATGATTCTTGGTCTTTGTCAGCTGCGACGTATCTGCACCGTATGCCTCAAAACAATGAAGATGGTAATTTCTCTATTCAGCTATTCCCTATTGAGTCCATTATAAAGTAATTACAAAGGATGGCAGATTCGATTGTGTGCTAAATTACGTGTAACCTCAGATTTTCGAAGCTTAATTTTTTATCAAGAAAGTTACAATACAGATGAGATATCACAAGGGTAAAGTAAGTAATAGGTAACTAAAATCCTTACTCTAACTGCCTGTAAGTTTCGACAATAAATAAAATGCTATTATTATTGCTTTGCTGAGACTAATTATTGTAACAATACTATTTTCGTCACGCAGAAAATATTTCAAAATTACTGTAAATTTTAATTTATTTTTATTACCTATCTTATGTCATCAATAATTGCCTTCTTAATTGGATATAAATTGATTGAACTAAAAAAGTTAAATAAACAATTGCTTCCTGCTGCGTTTTGTACCTCTATTGGACGCATTACAATGGTACGATCCTAAATAAATTAGCCATTAGCCATTACCCATCAAGGACTCTTCAGTTTTGCTTCTGTGGATAGACATCGCGAAAGAAATGAAACATGAGATTTATTATCACTTCTACTTGGTTTTTGAGAATAATCATTACGAGTCTGCTTATAGGTTCAATTCTTAACAATGGTAATAATCACCGTAAAATTACACGTAATTAAAGATTGAAACGAAAAAATTTCAAGCATACCATTAGTTTCTCCTCTTCTTTTAATAGTATAGTCTACGAGTGTATATATATATATATAAATTTTTAATATCATTATTGAGTACTTAGAACTTCAAGTTAATATTAAGCTTAGCTGGAAATTTCATTGTCTGGCCTCAGCGTACTTCGGTAATAGGCGTGGAACATAAGTCTAAATGATTACCTTTATATTTACTGTAGTCCTACCCTTTATTAATAATTAATAGCAAACTTAACTGCACTGAAGTAATGGTGATACTAGTGGTACAATATTTCGATAAGAAATCTACTTCGTAACGCAAATTTTTATAGGCAATAAATAGAAAAATATGGTTATAAACCTTGCTTATTAACTATGTATTTCATGCCGATTCTTTTATTTAATATTAGTAATCTCCACACAAATTAAGAAAGAGAGGAAGACAGTTCTATTCGTTACTCTTAATAATTCAATCGATATTATATGTCCATTTCAAAGACATATTATTACAAGCTTTAATGATTGCCAGTATAGTTGGTTAAAGGAACATAATGATTCTTACGGAAAGAAACAACTCCCGGCAGACTTACTAGTGGGTTTCAATTCATTCGGTCAAAATTTGAATATTTCTTATGTGACGAAAGCAGATGAGGGCAACTACATTTGTACATGTAAATATCTTAATGCTAGTAGGACGGGTTTAGTTAATATTTCCACTCTTGAGCTGCACATTGGAGGTAAAGTCAAAAAAGTATTCTTAAGTCACAATTATAATTACTTATCAGTTATAAAATCTATCGGAGGGACCTGACTTCATACGTAATTTTAAATACCAAATTTAACTAGAGCCTCCAAAAAAAATTTTGCATGCCGACATTTCAACGAAGGGAATTACCACAACTGTTGCTTGGAATAAATCTAACCTGTGTCAGAAATTAAATGGTTATCGATTTCAGGTCAACTATACTGATGGGCAACGTTGGTACATTGGATGTAATAATACGACAAAATGCTCTTGTATTATGAGCCGTCATATAATAATAACAAGTATAGAAATAGTAATTACTGCTACTAATAAGTTTGGATCAACATCAAGCGATGGATTTATTTATTACATGGCGAATAATGGTATGTTATTTGCTAGAATGCTAAATAATGTAGCCTTACGGTGTTCATGCTACCGTAAACCATAAATTTTTATGCATTTGCTATATTTATAGACTTGCTCGAACGTAGCTTCTTAGTATGTCCGATAGTTTTTATTACTATATAATTCTGTAAGTGTTTTTGTAATAAAAATTTATCTGCGATCCGTCTGAAGTACAAAAAATTCAAAACTCTAAATGAAATTATTCTTTTAGTAAAGTGTAAGATAGCAGGCAATGCTTTCGACCTACTTAGTTCGCTATCAACTTATAAATGGTAAACTTTGCTTTAAAGTTGTGCCGTATCCACCAAACGCTGTTATGGTGAACGCAGAATATAGATCTATTACAGTTCGTTGGAGAGCACCACTAGGTTATACATCAATGCTACTTTACGAATTTATAGTATATAAACGACGTATTAAACCATTAGTTCTGATGGAAAAAGAATATAAGGTGAGTACTAAATTAATCGAATTCAAAATTTGGGTATACATCAACATCCTTTAAGAAAAATTAGTAACTTAGACTATAAAAAATGTTCACTTTATAAACTACAGGATATTCAGATACTATTTTCCAATTTGATGAATCATGAATTATATGTAGTATTATCCGATATGCGTTACAATCTCGCCAGTTAATTATCGTCACATAAGATGTCGCAGTTTCATAATAGGATATAGTGCGTATCAATTATTATATTTTAGAAAAGTAATGCCTTATGAAAGAGAAATCTATGTACTGTATAAGTTTATATATCTTAGCCTGCAGTGATAACAGGTACGGATATATATGATACTTGGCGTCGTATTACTGTCTTGAAAATAAATCTGATCTTCTCAATAATCGTGATTTCAATAATTTTAACTTTGCGTACTTGCAGAATGTTGTTATTTCCGCTGACAATTTGGAAACGAGCTTTAAGCACACTTTCTTTGATTTGATACCTGGAGCAACCTATGAATTTTATATTGTCAGCAAAACTCGTTATCAGGAAGTGAGCGAGCCAACAAGTAGAGTGAGAATAAGCTTACCTGAGGAAAGTAAGAGGCTTTATATTATTTACTTCGTAAATTTTTTAAATAGACAACCTTGTCATTGTAATTTTTAAGGATGATAATTTCAACTATAATAGAAGGTACGGTATTATAATTGAAGTGTGTTACATTTTTAGTATCATTTACTTTATTTATTATTATTAATACCATCAAAGGCGCGGATGATACCACATTTTGTAGTCATATTTTCTTGATCCATCTTTCCCCGATAAAGGACGTAAAATGCATACTATCGTAATAAATTTAACAAAATCATTTTTGGCTTAACAAATTTGCCAAAAAGTTTTACACTTTTATGAATTTATAATAAACCGAATCGCTAGAGTTATTTATACTGGTTTAATTGCTTAAGATACATAGGTAGGGCTATTGCGTACTCTATGAGCTTTGATTTTGTTTGCAATGCTTAAATGGGAATTTCAAATGTGTTACCAAAGCAAATGTATACTGAACTCTATCAAGACTGGTGTTTACTACTCGAGAAGATAAATCTTTAGTCATATCATATTCCTATAATGGTGTTTTGCCTAAGAAATATTGCAGATGAGGAAAGTCAGACTGGGAATATCTCGAAATTCAAATCACTAGACATTGTTATTCTTGAATCGCTGACATTATGAGTATCGACTGGAAATTCATCACGTACCTGCAATGTATATTTAATATCATTTCATGATTTTGTACGTACAGTACCGGTATACTGTATAATAATAACCCAGCTGAGGTAAAATATAAGATAAGTAAAACATTTTAACGCCTTATACGCTTACAATCCAAGCCATCATATCGTTGTGCGTCGCGAATAATAAATTTTTGATGCGTTCCTACAGATTGTTTAAATCCGATTACCGCTGTTGTGAAATTAAACTTCGTTTCTACACGCCATATTCAGATTAAGTGATGTTTTCACGATAATCTTTTTGTGTAGTGAAATGAAATACTTTTTTTGTCATACCGGTTGTATGCCATCATTAATCTGTAAAATTTTTGTTCATTAATTAGAACCGTACGCTGGACCTACAGATCTAAAATGTACTTGTTCAGAACATGATCCAATGGGTAGACTTTGCTTTTGTCATTGGAAAGTTAGTGTAATCTAATTTTCAAAGAAACATTATTAATTGAAATCGAATTATTCCCCAAGTTATGCTCCGTTTTATAATATATATTCTAAGATTCAACATCTGATCAAGATAATCTATGATGCAAAATTCTTATGTGTGATTGTACAGTTTACGAGCAACGTTGAGTTACACGAAATAACAAATATGTAGTGCATATTATTTGCAACTTGGTGAGAGTTGCGATTAACTGGAGAAAATCATAATTATAATTTCAGTTCTGTTAGTTCATTAAAATTAGATATCATGATTGCCATATATTCTAATCAATTTTTTACAGTTTAGTCAATTTTTTGAACAAATTATTGTTAAATTCTACAATGAAGAGACTTCTTAGCTTAATTACCGTCTTTCAACTGCCATAAAAAATTTTCTTATTTAGTTTACTAATAGTAGACTTCGAGGTAGATTATTTGATTGCTAAAATTGTAGGTTATACAATGGATATTGTAAATTTGGCTAATTGTAATTTATGATGATGCGTGATCTTAAATTTTAGTCAATTGATCCGTGGCTAGCCTACGGTGTTATAGTGGAATATGATTTATATTACATCGTGGCCTCAGAGGATTTGGAGAATAGAACAGCAAATAAAATATCAGCTATGGGCAATATAACTACTGTTGAATTAAGAAATCTTTCTTCAGAGGTTTCGTACACTGTAACAGTTGTGGGTAGAAATAAGGCTGGTAGTAGCGTTAGTAGCAAACCTTTCACCATTCAGCGGATTCCAAACACTAAGAAGGATTCTTCTGGTAGAGTATCATTTACATACTCTCTTAAGAATTGTACTTAAAAGAGAATTGATTAGTAATTATTAAAATTGTTAATAAGTTTGTATTGCAGCTGAGCGTTGATCAAACAAGGTTACTCCTCTGATAAATTATTGACTGTGTCACGTGTATTAAACTTTAAATAGGTACCCCTCCGACTACAATCCTCATTATTATACTGGTGGTATCTGTTCTTGTTGTTTCTGCTATATTAATTCTGGCCGTTGCATTTTTTTATAGGGCGATAACATACAGGTATTGATACGCACCAATCTAATGTACGAATAATTATGTCTGCAAAGCTTGCAGTAAACTAAGAAAAATACTTACAAAATTAAAGAAAGTTATCTAATATATGAGTTAGAATTTTAAATGATTAAGAGTTGATAATTCGCTAACTTTTTTTTAATTAATTTATTTAATAGACTGACAAGCAAGGCCAATGAAGATGATCGTGATTCATTGATGTATGTATTTGCCGTATAGAATCTAATAGTAGATTCGTGTTCAATGAATATGATCATGATACTAAGATGTTAATGTAGATGTAATTCTGTGCTTAGAAGTTGTCAACCATAAATACTGACTCATTATACTGTAATGCAACATCAAAAAGAACGTTACATAATTGATAGTAAATGATATTTTATGATTTGAGTAGCGATAGAAATTTGTGCATAAATTTAAATCAAAGTATTTATATACTACCAGAACTTACTCTGTCTGTTTGGATTTAGGAAAGAAACGGATTCAGTGCAATCACTGGCAGAGGTTAGGAAAAGCAATAGCTAGATAATAGTTTTATTTAGCCGCATGTATTTGTACATGTTTGTTAGCATCTAATTTTAAATATAATGCGCTTTAAATTTTAGTCACACATATATGAGCAAATATCGTTCAGGGGTTCTACATCTATAATTCACGTCAATCAGGCCGAAGTGAATAAGCAAGAAGAAGATGGAATGCAAGATAACAGACTTTCAATGTCGACAATTGACAGCTGTCCATATTCTAGCGTAATTATTGCCTCAGGTTATCACGAAAGCGATGATTGTTAAACTAATTCGGCTTCCTATTAAGAACTTTTAGCGGTAATTGTGTTCTATTTTGTAAACTATTATGATTATTAAGATAGTAGTAAACTATAATACAGCTCTGAACTATCATTCTACGTACGCTAGTTAAGGGAATTTAGAGTAAAATCTTTAAAATAACCTATTAATAGACGGAGTTGAAAAAACAAGCGGTAACCAGCTTGGCTTATTGTTTATATTTAAAAGGATACAAAATATTATATCTGTACATTTATCGTTTTCAACCCAAAATTTTGATCATCTTGTAGTATACCAATTACTCTAAAGGACATCTACAAGGCTTTAGAAAAATAACTTGCTGCCAAAGATTTAAATACATACTACTAATTAACGATTTTTCTTTGTGCTTACATATTTGATACACTATACTAATTGCAAACGCCAAAAGTTGCAAGCTACTAAAGGTGCTAATCATTTTATGTACTGGTGCTATGATAATGCTTTGTCACATTTTAACACTAATGTTATTCACATTTGCAATAGACGTTTCGCTTATACATGTAATATTAACGCAAATAAATAAAAGTGATCTAAAAACGGAGTATAGAAATAAAGTAATGATTATATCATTATCCCCATTGAAGTATTTTCAACATGATAAAATAGTTACAAATTTCGTACTAAACTGTCAAAAATTTATATTTTGGAATTGAAAAGTTTTAAATTTAAATTTAAACTTATATTGCTAAAAAATTGGAAATTTTACTATAATCAATTATTGTACTTGGGCTTGCTTAGATTAGACTCGATAATTAATATTCTTAAGAGCATCATTTTAATATTAGGATATAGTAAATCAGAGTTAGGAGTATTTTGCTTCTGAAGAGAAACGTTGCAGTTTAGGAATAACTATGATTACGATACACTGGGTACAGTTTAATTAATTTAATACCGTCAATTTAATATCTTCTATAGCAACGAGTACTGTAAATAGTATGACATTATTATATGTAATATTACTGTTCAATAGCAATTTAAGGAAGAATTTTGCTTTTCTGAACTGGAATTATAAGCCGAAGTTTTAAAAGTTTATCACTTTAATATAAAGTGAAATTTTTAATCAAAAATGTTCATAATAAGGCTATCACTTAAACGTATTTCTTACAAACGATATTACCTACTATATAGATAATTTTGTGCAATACTACGCATAATTACTTTTTGGATATTTTTATACCAGATAGATTAAGCTAACTTGGTATACGCTTACAAGTCAGAAATGATTCTTAAGATAAGAGTATGATGTCATGCTGCACGATAGCATATGTCTTCTAAAGATACGTTTATCAGCTCAAAAACCGTCTGACTATCAGGTCTAGATATTCTGATGTGGAAAAATTATGTAGAAGCGATCAATACCATAAATAGAAATTGCTAAATCTTGCTTTGGCGAAATAACAAACGTTACAGTAGAATAATGGATTTATTTATGATATTCACTGATTTAACTACCATATCGATAGCCGAGAATATAATATAGAGCTTCGTAATTAAAATGTTTATGAAAACTGTTAGGGAGAAAATCATTCAGTCATTAACATGAGAAATATTGTGAACACGTCTACGACTTGAACTCCATCGACGTTTCGGTAAGTCTGGCGACGATAGTCGAGGAGAAGATGGAGTGGAAATTTTTTGTAAGGTAGTTTCAGAATTATCTGGTGTCGCATGGTGAAGGTTATTGGCGGCTTTTGGCGAATTTAACTTTAACAGGTCAATTTTGAACCCTTTCTTCAATGTTTCGCGATCTATGGGTGCAACAATGTCAGGAATATTATTCTTATTCTGAAATCCTGTAGGTGATAAGGGGGATGAAGTTTCAGATTTTGTTTTGTCGATTGGAATTATAGCATAATGCCCGTCTATATCAGTTGAATCCTTCAACGAAGTTTCGAGATAGCCATCTTCTTCACTGTAATCCGAGTTTTCGATTTTCTGCTATTAAAAGTTCGTAAATTTTGTAATTACTGTAAGACGATACTAAAGCAATAGATAGGATAGTGAACACCATTTACTGTACTTGCTTACCATTTTGGATTGAACAACGCAATCACACTGCTTTGCGTTTTCCTCATCATTGATAATATCTTTCGATATCCTTGTTTCAGGTAAGATATCAGGTGCGATACTACCATTGTTCTCAGATTGTAAAGTATTTGAGAAATTCTCCTTAACTTCATCATTTATAGCAGATTTTACTACAATAGCATAAACAGGGTCATTAGTGTTTTTGGTATCGCATTTCGTTTTTAATTTATTTTTTAGTATTATAGATGGTTGATCCATAAAAGAATTTTTCTCTCTTAAATTTGATTTGAGATTACTTTGCACTAAAGTGTCTTCATTATTAGCTTTAGTTTCTATCTCTGGACATTGACGAGTAGCCAATTTCTCGTTTCGAAGGTGATTTATACGTTCGTATTTGTCCTTAATACTCGTCGATCGCCGTATTGTAACTCCTAGCGTTGCCACGTTTTCAACTGCTGACTGGACAGTATCAAGAGTTTTAATCGAAGATTTTGCACCAACGCTACAGTATAGCTCTTTGTGTTCAGCGTTTAAACCTTCGCCAGGATTATTAACTATTGTTTTTTTAGTAGTTTTATTTTCAGAATCTAACGGAATATGGGTGCCTGCTCGTCCTGAAATGTTTGGCTTTATTCGCAATGATGACGTACTATTTGTTCCATGCTTAATTCGAGACGTGTTAGTGGTACTCTTATATTCAATTGGCAGAGTACGAGTAGTGTTTGACTTCTTTACCCGCGCGTAAGTATGGTCTTCGCTATGATAGTGAGATCTACTTTCTAAGCTTGAAACAGTATTTTCTTGTAAATTTATCTTGCTAGATTTTTGCATATGCATATCCCGGACTAAAATAATAGAAAATTTAAATTTTAAGCGTACAGTACAATTATGTTCTATATTGAGTAAAGCAAATTGCATAGTGCATTTATAGATCATTCCATTTAACATCAGCTAATAAAGTAATTGAGTATACTATACGATTCTACTGTTATCATTAAGCAATGTTTGATATTACTTAAATAAAGTTCCTTTTTCTGTAGATGTTTCCACAGCTTCATTCCGATAATGCATATAAAGCTTAGTAGAACTATGCCGGCAACAGAGAATCCAACACCCATACCGATAATAGAAGGCCGAATACCAGGCATGCTGGTTATAGGTGACGTTATTGATTTCGCTGTTATGGGTGTAGTAGGCGAAGTCATAGTCCGTGTTGATGTCGATTGACTTTGCATTCCTAAAACAATTAATTATTACGAGTAAAAGAATTAAAATATTTATGAGCTTACGGCAACATGTCAAAATTTAGTTGTAGCTATTGATAACTACGCAGATCATACTTGTCGATACATGAATCGTTGGACTTGGTTTGCTATTTCCGTAACTATCCGTTGTTGTGACATATATTTGATACACCTCATCAGTCGATAAATTGGTCAAGTTTGTTGAAATACCGCCATGATCGACAATTTTTTTCAGGTAGCGAATTGAATTAATAGTTCTGTAGTGAACTAAATAATGCAATAAAACACCATCAAACCTTGCTCTAGACCAGCGGACGAATAGTATTGTTTCTGTAACTGCATCTGCAGTTACAGTTTCTGGAGGCATGGGTAAACCTTTGAATTAGAAGTAAGTAAGATATTTAATTAAACGAGCTACAAACTTACTAGTTTCCAACCTGCATATCATCTATGAGTATTAAATCGTTTCTAATTTGTTCATAGAGATGTTTTACATCGCATGATAGAGTTTATATAACATTCGCACATTAACCTTTAGTTTTTTTAAGCAGCCAACTGCTGTAAATAACGCCGACAACATTAATAGCTGCAATTCGACATTGATATAGAGTCCGTTCTTCTAAATAGCGGACTGTCGCCTTTGTATTGTTAAACTTTTTAACATCACTTTTGTAACAACTGTTGCATGTTGAAGTGATTACAACATCAGATGTTGTGTAGCATTCTGCATAATAAGTTATTGCAGACAGATTATATCCACCATTATATGATACATCGTCCCAGAAGACAGTTATGTTGGTCATATTACTATCAATGTTTCGGATTTTCGGCTGATTGGGAAATCCTGAAAATTAATGTAAAAGAAATTGAATGAATGGTGTCATTGTCTGAGAGTCAGAAAGTTTCACTGTTACTACGGTATCATTCAGCGATCTTTAATTGAAATATCGTTTCAAATTAATGCACTACTGATATAACGGCATATAGAGTACTGGAATATTATAACGGTAAATATTAACAAGACCTTTAGTAGCAATTATAAAGATGTCGCTATAGCTACTTCCATAAGTGTTGGTGAATTGAAGCTGAAAGTCATAGCTAGTATTTATTGCTAGATTTCTAATGAACGTTTCCTGTACGCCTATTATGGAAGCTTTCTCAACCATCGGTTGTATTGCCCGAAATCGCAGATCATGACTTGGCTTATATCTTATAAGATACTTTACGGGCAGGACAGGATCAGACACAGGTTTAATCCAAACAATTTGAGATGAGTTTGAAGTTGTTATTGCTCTAATAATCTTGGGTTTACTTGGCTTATCTGGAAAACATTTGCGATTATATTTGTATACAATCAACTAATGAGAACAACAATTTACTACTTAACGAACGTTTACAAAAATTAGATATTAGTTTAGCCTAACCTTTCGTTTTGATTAAAACTATCTTACTGTTGTTACTCTCACCAAAGTCATTTACGGCAGTAACCCATATATAATAGATCGATCTTGGATAGAGATCTTTAATGATGCAATTATTAATCAAACATAATACTTTTCTGGTAAGCCATTCTGTATTATTATTTTTAAGTTGATAATAGACTAGAAAATGGAATGATTTAGTTATTCCTTGATATCCAGGAAGAAAAGTGACCAGGCAACTCCTATTTGTAACATCATTCACGGTTATATCGCTAACTGTTTCCGGGGGAGCTTCAGCATTTTAAAGGAAAAAAATATCAAAATTATAAACATTGAAGTCATGGTATTTTTCATTTACGCAGTTAGCACAAAATCTTGTTAAATGTGTCCTATGTTAAGTAAATCATGAAGTATTAACAAAAATGTGATGCGTAAGAACCTGCGATGATGATTGTTATATTCTTTCGAAGTTTGCCATGCTTGTTTACCGCTAGACAAAAATAAGTACCAGTATTTTGCAAACGTAGCTTTGTCAATACCAATCCGTGAGGACTTTTACCAGCTGATATTATTTTCGGCTTTTCTCTTGAGTTACGATACATTAAGTAAACTTCTGGACTAGGCATACCATTCGCGTTACAAGATAAACTAAAATTACTGTACCGCTGTATTATATAAGGACTATGGCCATTAGGAATCATTCGCATAGAATTTGGTGCACCTTCATTAAAAGCGTATCGTTATGCTACATTATTATCCAATTGAAATATTTGCTACTTGTGATATTTTACGATACCTTCTACTTGTATCCAGAACTTCTTAACATAACGCGTATTATTATATATCCGTAGAGTAACAGAAAATTCGTAGCTTCCAGTAAATTCGAATGTTGCCGATGGGAATGACAGAACGTCGATTCCACTACCTTGTTCAGATGTACGACAAATACTCTGGATTGGATCGGCTATTTCACTGGTATGCTTGAAATCAGTGGTACAGTTATAAGCCACTCTTTTGCCATTGTAGTACCAGTCCGAGGTCGTAGCGAATCTTTCTATATAAGTCAGATTTGCAGTAACATTTGTGAGCTGCCCTGCAAGTACTGTTTGATTTATTGGATAAACTGTAATATCATCCACCGAGTATAGTTCTAAACGCAAAATAAATAAGAAATTCATTGATATTATGCGATAATATGCTGTGGTCAGGGACTGATACTCTTGTAGTGGTATTATCGTACAAAATGATTTATTGCAAGGTGACTCTTCAGCTATGCCGCTCGTCAGTAGTAGTCTTAAGGAATTCACAATACTTCCAATATAATAACCAGAAGTAGCTACGTATACCGTAAACAAACCTGAATCACAAAAGATGCCAGTATATCCAACATCATCACAAACGCACTTAAAGTCTGGTACAATGTTTTTACATACGCCGTGGATGCATGGGCTACTTGAGCATGGATTTATTGCTAATATACAACCATTGATTTACATAGGAAAATTTCAAATTACATTATAATAATATATATTTATCTTTTGGAGAATAATGATAGCCCAACAAGTAATTTAATAGTCTGTTATCTAATAATCACCTATTTCACATAAAGTACCCGTTCTTGTTATGGGACAATTACAAGTCACATTGTTAAATTTTCCTGGAATACAAGTGGCTGTGGAGTGACATGGAGAACTAACGCAAGGATCGGCTATCGTGTTGAAAAAATACGTAGTAAAATCAAAGAAAGTTATTTAGTTAGATACAGGAAGTGAATCTCCGAACGTTTGAGTGTCTCTAGTACTGATACGTGATGTCAACTACCGTATTATATGGTTTTGTGATAAGAACATGAGAAAATATGCACGAAAGAAACACATCAGAATATAGTAGTAGATATTCGCAATTACAGAACATTGAAGCCTTAAGATTTAGCTTGCATATGAACATTATCTTGTCGCTCGTAACCAAACTGCAATCATTAGCTTAAAATAATTTATCGCCATTTTGCAAAAACCGTAAATCAGAGTAATTACCTAGTTCACATATATCTCCAAAATAACCTTTTTCACATTCACAAGTATAAGGACGCTGTACATTAGTTTCTTTGGTACTGCAGATCCCTCTTTGAAGACAACTGCCTGAATTGCAGTGTAGTATATCTAACAGTAGATTTTTATTAATTTTAAAGTACCCTGAAATAAGGAACCTTCGATTGCAATTTTATGTTAAATATAAGGAACAAAAATTAAATTTAAAATTATAGCTTAAAAGCTAATGATATAGGATGAGTCACCGGATTTTTAAGCGCTTACAAGGCATTTTGTATTTTTTATTAGAGAAAAACACTCAAATACTTTCGCAAAAAGATCATTTATATAGGGCATAAATAAAGCTGAAATACTGTAATGATAATGTATTCTATTAATGCCAGATACATCATAGAGGTTATTACCAGTATCAGCTCGAATACAAGTGTCTGAATTTAAAATATTTTCTTAGTATAACTCCCGAAAATGGACTTTCTTACCGATATCGCATGTCAATCCCGTCCAATTTGGTGGGCAAATACATAAAAATTCAGACGCATTGTTTGTATTAATACAAGTAGCATTAGTATGAGCGCAAGGTCTCGAATCACAACTTGTTGATTCACCTATTTTGAAAAAAATACATGAGATGGTTACTGATACTCATAGTTATGTCTCGTTCGTTTCTCTTTATCAGCTGCTAAAAATATCTATATAATATACTTAGCGTAACGCAAACACATATGTACTGCATATACAGAGTTTTTATTGTATAATGCAGATTAAGTAACCATGAAAGTTATCTTGATAATTACAACTTTACGACAGATAATAATCATGGTAATAACTTGATACTATACGAAGAATTATAATACATATTACGACATTAGTTCTCATAATAAGCTTGGTGATCATAAATTTCAATAATTTGTAGATCTTACAAATATAGATAATTTACTCACATTTCATGAATATTGCGAACGTAGCAATGATGATACAAAAGAAGCTGCTATTTGCTGTAAACATTACACTTGACTTCGTGAGAATGTTCATTGCATTAGAGTTATCACCGAATGCTTCTTATTTGATTAAATATTAATTAGTCCACCGTTTAAATCAGTTCTTTTGTAAGAGACTCTGTATCTCTCGTTTGTTAGATTAGTTTGATGGCAGGAAGTTATATTAGCATGTGATTATGGTTGTCTCTAAAATTGCATTAGAAGAGTACATAAATGAAGGCATGAATTTGCGTATTACTGTCAATAGTAAACAACAATAATCCATCACGTGGCAACTTTTGTCTAAATAAACATACTCGAAGTACAAACGATTTATGTTATTAAAATCCGATCTTAAGTTAATTGTGCGCTTGAATGTTTATTACCAACATTTTATCACTATCAGTGCTGGTCAAATTTTTAGCTATTCGATAGATAGGATATTTACAACTACATACAGTTGCCTACTACTTGAGGAAATTTTTCTCAAACCATGCTTGCAGTGACTTCAGTGAATCATCTCACGTTAGAGTTTTCCTCAGTTTTAATAACTCTAATTTCGAGTTAGTGAATTGCGAACCAAAGGGATAATTTTACTCATTCAAGATAATAGTATAATTTAAAGTAATGTGTAGATTTAGCATATGGTATTAAGAATATTCTTTAGCTTATTTCAGTTGGTTTGGTCTAATATCGCGGCTCTTAACTAAAGCTATGTACACAAAAACTTTTTATATAACATAGATCCCAAATATTCGTATGATATTAATGTATAGTTAACAGTGCAAGTACATGTAGAATGTGTACAGTGCTCAAAGTACCGTATAAAGAAAGTTTGTTCTACTAAGTTCAACTAACGACATCTAATTCATACTACATCAAAGATTATAATCCAATAAATGTTTTCTAAAATCGCCCGTCTGTTATACATATCGTTGCAACTTAGAACGAAAATATTCATTTAGTAAATTTATGGGCTAAGCAAGATAATTTAAAATTCGGTAATATGATAAATTGTTCATTAGCAACTATAAATCACTTTGCGTTATGCTCGCTGATATCAGAATCAATAACTACGTTAAATTAAAATAAAACTGGCCAAAATCCATAGATTAATTATAATCGCAGAATTATTCTTTGCAACATAATGGTTAGGTAAATAGCCAATTTCGTAAACTTACGGTAACAGATTTGCACAATTACCCGGAATTACAATAAGGGAAAATTAACGATATGCCACTATATTACAATAATTATAAGTGTGTATGGAGTGAACTGGTGTCTGCAAATAACTAGTAGCTATTTACTATATGCCTATGTATTAGTAAGTGATACGATAATAGTATCTCGAAATGTATGAGATAAATCAGAATTATGAATTTGTCTGAGCAAGAAAATGACCATTGTCTAAAACTAGTTCTATATTAGAAACTGAAGCAATACTTGCCATTCATTACATCGTGTATGTTCGTATACGCGCATATTGCGGAACTGTGACTCTTATGAAGTCATACTGTTTACTTATATGCAATCATCGCTGGATTACGAGTGCATTTGTTCCGTAGCATATGTATAATATATACGCGTATACTATGTATACAGAGATTGAGAAGTGAAATAAGTGAGTGGCTGTAAATTATTGTAGAATATAGTATAGCTGTTAGCAAACAAGTATGTGAAATACCAGGAGCGGAAAGGTTATAGTATTCAAATCTTGTTAATTTTACGTAAACGTACTATTACTGTACTCATAAGTATAGCGCTTTCATGGAGCTGTCCATACAATGCCCGTAGCTTGATTAAGGTAAACTGGTTGGCTTTACTGGAGTCAGTACCGTCAGCGAAGTGATGGGTATTTGAGCTAGTATCGTACATCTAATTGCTACAAGTCAAATGGTAGCTTAATGCCTTAATTGAAACTGATGTTGTAAGTCAAGTACTCGTACGTGTTAAATATATATTTAATTAATGCCTGTCATGAACTATAGCAGTGACCACAGTACGAGAGTTATAATTATTACTGAATCGTAAGGGCAGACGAAATAAATTAAACTCTATTTACTGATTGCATCATTATCGAAAAAGATTTGTTAATAAAGGTAATACACAAATTATGGTCTTTGATTCGTATGCCTGAATACAGAGCGAGTTCAGCTCTTCTATTAAAACTTATAATCACTTTCTATTGCAGTTCAGATATACGAATTATATTTAATAGCATTAGAATCAAATCAAAGCTATCTACTGATGTTAACTACAATCAAATCTATATTAGGAAGAGATTATATAATAATAAAATTATCGACTAGAAAGTAATGCTAATATTAATTAATTGATATTTACAGTAGCAACTTAGTCTAGGGGTACATATAGATGATCGTGCAGTTTTCTGATGAAAAATTTACAATCACTTGATAAATTTCTTAATATCAGATTTACTTTTGTAAATAGATGATTGCGAGTATACAATACTGTATACGTTACAGCTTCAAACAAATATAGGCCTAGATGCATAAACAATACAGCAAACTTGCTCTCTAAATACTATGTTATCATGCTAAAGGGGTTAGCAAGTAGCCATATATCACAATATTTATCTGAAGGCAAATTTATTAAGCATTAGTTGAACGTAAAGTAATTTATCGGTTATTGTCTATTTGACAGCCCTAAAATTGATGGAGTCTAAACGCCGAAAAATCAGGATAATTCGAAGATAAAATTTCGCTATTATGTAAAACGCGTTTCTTAATTGAATGAATTTCAGATGTTTTTTAATACCTGCATACAAATAGATCTCTGAAAGTTCGTTAGCTAAGACTATATTTTATTATTTGCAAAATTTTTGTTTACTCAAATTTAATAATAAATATCGAAATCATATTGCATGTATTAGTACTTTTATATATAATGTTCTATGAATAGTTTTGAAAAGAATCGCAATAAAGTAAGCTATTGAATAGGTCGTATGTAACATTATGTTACCTTTATAATTAGATTTATTAATACCAATTTTATTTGAAAGTGTCTATTTCAAAAATTATGTTGGATTTGCTCCATATAATGTAACTTTAAAGTTCCTGAAAAGGTTATACTCTACAAAATTCTTCTGAATATAAATGGTAAATTTTTAAAATGTTATTTATGAACTACCAGATAGGTACTAATAAAATATACAAACACTACGATCAGATTAACCTTATAATCTATGTCAATTATTTATTAATAGTTCGTAACTGTTTTAGTTGATCAAGGAGCATTTTTCTCATGATACTTAAGTTATTTTATTAATAAGATGTAAAAATTATTGATAAGACCACATCAATGACTGAAATAATTAGTTAATTTTAAGACATATCAATCAGCAACACTTTTAAATGATGCGTTATGATTTTGTGCGAACTTTTTCTAGACTTTGACATACCATGAATTAATTCCTGAAATAAGAGATTTTTGATAATTTATGGTTAAATTACCAACTCATTTCTGCTACGTTAAAGTTGTAAAGTTATCAGTGGATCTGATACGTTACATTGTACACTGCTACATGTATCTAATTTTTAGGTTAACACCCAATCATATAATGTTATCGATTTTCAGTTTGGTTTGATAGTTGAAATAGGGCACCTAGTGATCGTAGCATCTCTTCTACTAAGGTTGAGCTTTATTTCAATCAGTATGAATAGTCTACTTTTCAGCATTTTTTTACTATTAATTTGTTGCGGAAGTTTTTCGACATGTAAATTCACTTACAACCCAAAGATTCGTTATGAAACCTGATATGAAATTCTATTGCAGAAATACTGTATATTATGCATTACATCAACTGGCTTGCAGTTGGGGAAAAGAAACCAATCAAGTACTACATCATTTTGTTACTTTATGCAATCTTTAGATAATGCAGTTAGTGATTCAGACTATGGATATTAATAAAAATATTCATTTATGGATAATTTTCTGAGATAATAGGTTGTAAAGGTTTGTAATAGGTTGCGATATTTGAAGTGTATTACAAAAATTTTATTAGACACATTGTCCGGATTTGCAAGCGTTTTAGTGGCCCAAGGCGATGAGATTACTTCGAAGATAGCGTTATAATAGTGTCTTAATTACTTTTAATATAGAAATTAAAAGTCCCCGGATTACTGTTAATTTGCACACTAATGCAATTTGTGGCAACATGCATTGTATGATAAAACACTTGAAAAGGCAATAATTATCGCAATGCAAACTGATTCTTCATTTGAATTAACAATTTTAAATACTAATTTCCATATCATTAATATTCGAGCGCACTGTTTGAAGTATTTATGTTGATATGCCTAATTTTTTTTCGCGATCGCAGCTAGATTCTATAGATGTAAGAATATGTTAGATGACGCGATTTTGGGAACTGCTTTATAGTAATTAGCTTAAAAGAATTTTGGATTTTTTTATTCCTGTGCAGTGCAGATACTGCCAACCATACTAAAAAAGTAATGCACTACTTTAATTAAAATCATATTAAGGAATATGGCTCTCATTCTCTTACGAATCCAACTATAAATTGCTGTTCTTATTACCTATTAAAATAAATTAAGGTTTTAATTTCTAATTTCTGATTTAGCTTTCCGAAGGTGTTTTTCAAAGTTTGCTTTTGTCGCCCGATAATTATATAATATACTTTAATCGTATTTTTAAAATAATCTATAGCACTTTGGTAAGCCAGTTCTGCAACTAGTAGAAGATTATTGCGAATGCCTTTGAATCGGCTGACCTACTACCGAACCTAAGGGAGCGACAAATTTATAGAGTGGCTATTATCATCTGTATCTTCAAATGATTGATTGAAAAATGGGATATGTTTTGTAAGCTATCTATACACTTTTAGATTCCTGTTATTTGGGAAGAACAAACATGCGATTTTTCGTTCTGTGAATTCTAAACTAGGATTAAGGCAATAGGAAATAGTTAATAGGGATAGATTTATTGAAGTACGGTAGTCAGTTACTGTATAGAAATAGATATATGTACGACGAGTATAGTTTCCCAGCCATGGTAAGATATATTCAGTTTATAAGCTTCAAACTTAGCAAATGAAGCTAGCGCAACGGATGATTAGTACCATAAATCGTTAATACCGGTACAATACAGATTGCGCAGACAGTTATCGTTAAATAAGGAAGAGCAAATGCTAAAGATCGATTTATGCTCTGACTTTTACTTTTCATAACTACATCTACATTGCATTTTACATATCTTGCGAGATAAAAAGATAGAACCTTTCAATAGGTCCAGCATGGGGATCTAAGTATTGTTTTAATTGATGTATTTAGCGTTATTTGGCGCCTTTTCTAAGGAGCAATCTCGACGATTTTAACTGCATCATGGGTAGGAGTTGAAATCTTGTATTTATTACGTCAGCTTCTTTATAATACAAAGGTAAGTTTGCACTACAATTAATACAGGGTTTTCTCTACAAGTGCTGCTTATACATCACATATTACTGTACATTAACACGGAAGTTGTAGCATACACGTAAAGCTGTATTCTAAGTAAGATACAACGTTTCGCTAGTTTACAGTTTCGTAGGACCATTTTTTATTCTGGTATTAATAAATGTCGTAATGAAAGTATAGGTAAGAATCAAACGCCATAAATATAAGCACTTAAGCGATAATGTACAAGCGTCAGCTCTTCCTAGTGCAGGGTTAGTTGCCATAGAAATTAATACTGTCATTCTTAATTAATTGTCCGCTCTTATTCTGTGCGCGCAGATTACCCAAATAGTTGTTAAGGTACCTATTGTAATTAATTTTTTTCCCGTAAGATCGTTCTGGCACATTTTAATTGCTGATTGACAATTGAAAATGATTTTGTTCCGATTACTATATTGTTGCATGATACTAAAGTAATGACACATCCATTCATTGTAGTTCATTCACAGCAAAAGTAAAAAAATTTCATTGTTTGGAATGATGCCTTTGTTTATTATGGTTTAATGCATTCTTGAAATTATCCGGTAGCATTTGTAAATGAATAGTTCTTCTTTTATGATGTTACGCTTTTGTATCGGGTTGAATATTAGACACGCTAATTTTCGACATCAACTCGCTTCATAACTCGTAAGTTAATTAGTGTGTGTAGTAATGTTCATCTATCGTCTTAAGCACGATGCTCTGTAGCTTATTTTTTTAAATTAAAACCGATATTTACGTATTTTAAACTTATTACTTTTTTGAATATACAGTACTTATTTTAAACCGTGATATATCGGTATTATTAACATTAAGAAAAGTAATCTTAAATATCAAATGCAGCTATTATATTATTTTAGTGATAGATTCGTGGATGTCAAATTAAGTTAAGGGACCAAAATCGTATAGTTCTTGTACAAAATATTCTCAATCAGAGAATTAGTGAATCTTATCAGGCTTGATTCTTCCTCAGACAGGAGTAGGTTCTACGACGATATAAGAACATTTTGTAAGCGTAAGAATTCAAAATTTAGTAAGCCACAAAGTATACGATGAATCTTTGTGTATGAAAAATTAATTGGGTATCATACCAAAAGAATGAGCATTGTAATCTGGTTATTGTAGTACTTATTAATTTTTTATACATCTATATTATTTCATGAATTGATCGATCATCACATTAAACTCGACTAATTTTAAATGTTTGACAAGATTAATTATAGCATAATTGATAATTAATGATAATAAATAGATAAATATAGATTTTCCGATCGTCTTTATCGATTTTGAATTCATAACCACGTAGTGGTTGCTACATAATAAGTGACTAATTAATCAATTGTTGTGGATATTTATTTGAATTCAGACTGGATCTGAACTTCCATAACACTACAAATATGGACTCATGTACCCTTGTAGGAACGATTAATGAAATTGTCTATCGTTAGTTTTGTGAATAAAAATCGAAAATGAATATCAACTATAGCTGGATTACTGGAAATGTGAAAGTAGAATAATTCAACTAAAATAAGAAGACGCGATACAATAAAATGAACGACAGAAGTTTCAATCGAAAACATTGCTTTCATTCGAAAATACATTCTTACCTTCCTCCCTTTTTTTATGGTTGGATTTTCTCTTCATTACAAAAATAATGCCTGAAATTACGAGCATAACTAGCACGCAACTTAATCCAACGCTTATTCCAATGATAGATCCACCATCGATATTTGGCAGAGCATTTGCAGTCGTTGATTTAGAGAAATCTGAAATTTTTAATGATATACGAGTATGAAGGCTTAAAAATTATATTTATAAAAATATTATTTAAGATCGAAGTAATAACTCAATGCATTGAAGCGTACCGGTTGTAACCGCTACTGGATTAGTCATAGTAGGGATTGATGTTGTGGTTGAGATTCCATCGGTAAAAGGATGACTGACCACAGTCTCAGCACTAGAAGTGCTCTTTAAGGTTGTAGTCGATTCCGTTTTTGGTTCTAGCGTTGTTAGATTATTATGAATGCTTGTAGAGTTATTACCTTATTAAAATGTTTTAAAAATAAGTCATAGTTTCAGAGGCGATATTTTATCGATAAAAATAGCTTTAAAACATACTATTTTCAAATCTTATCGCTAAATTGCTATAGAAATAGTTGCTAGTTTGGAGATATCTCCTAGCATTACTTGGTGTCTTATTTTCAATAGTTACGATTTCGTCTGTTCCGGGTGTTTGCGTAGTTTGCACGTAACTATCACTGGGTGTACTATCATCGCTAGAGTTGGATATAACATTATCGGTACTATCGCCAATTAAAGTCGATGAAGGTGTCGACGGCTCAGTTTTAACTGAATTTTCACTTTGTCCAATAGAGACTGTAGCAGTTTCTTCTTCAATATCCGAAGTTGTAAAGCTATCAGTGTATAGCCACGTTGGAGAACTAGTAGGTACTGATGATTCTACAGTATGAGTTTTCGTCGTTGAGGCAACTGTAGTAGGTATATGATTAGTTGTTGTAGTTTTGATAGGAGTTGTGATAGTTTTGATGGGAGTTGTGGTAGTTTGGATAGGAGATGTCGAGAATGTTGTTGTACTTTTGGTGACAGTTAGCGCAATAACAGTGTCTGTTGGATTAGGACCGTAGTTTCCTATCATAAAAATGTGCAGTGATACGAAATATCAGAATTAATGTATACCCAAATATATTCCATCTTTCAACTCAAATATTAAGGCAATATTAACTAAAATGATATTTACAATTCCGTATATGATCAGCAAGTTGTTATACCATGTACAACAACTGTAATTTTGCAGATACTTGAAATCAATAATTTTAATTATGTACGTAATTTACAAAGGATGATGAGGACGTCAAACTAGGAAGCGTGAGATTTCATTTCATTACCGAACTCTTACCAGTTATAAACATAGTTCCTAAAGTCCCGCTATCACCAATTCGATTTCTTGCAGACAGAGAGCAGATGTATAGCGTGTTCTTTCTAAGACCTTTCATCGTCAGTGATGTTTGATTTGTTTCTGTGTTAACAAGATGTTGCGAAAGACCTTGTGCCTTACATCTGATTATAAAATGTTGCCTGAAGCCGTTATCGTATCCCGGCTTCCAGGAAAAATAGACTGAGGAATTCGTAAGGTTCTCAGGCTTAAAAGAAGCAGGAGGCTCCGGTGGGCCTGAAAAAATTACATTACATTGAAGACTATCTATCGCATTGGTAAATCTACAAAGAATTTATCATAATCTAATAGAGGTTATTGTTCTTGAAATGTAAAATTGATATCACACAGTAATTAGTTATATCACGACTGTGTTGCTACTAGTTCATAGGTGCTACTTCGCTATTCTGATTGAATTACACAAGTTAATTGTAATTGAGGGTTTAAATAGTGTGAATTTAGTACAGTAAAACCAAATACAATAATCAATCTGCTTCGATATAGTTAATAGATGATAAGTTTTATAGGGAAAGTCGTAATTTAAAAGATTTTACATGCTGCTGTAGGAAAAATTATATTTTGTAACGACTATCAATAATTACTAGAACTTTACTTTCTTTTTTGCATAAGCTCTATCTAAATTTGCTGTACTTACTCATAACAACGACTGTTGTAGTTATGACTTTTTCATGGTTTGGTTGATATGAGGCTGTCCATATATAGTTTCCGCCATCGCTGGTGACCAAATTCTTAATGGTTAATCCCAATGTTACTTCTGTTGAAGTCTTGTTGTAGAAACTTTTCATACGATTTGATGGCTTAATTTCGCCAGTCATATATTCGTTAAAAGGACCAATAATTAACATTAACCGTGGGAATGGGGACTTCTGAAGTGTCAGTGTCAGTAATTCTAAGTTTCTTCCTGAGTTATCGGTCTTTTTGGCTGTACATAATAAAATTATATCCTCATTTATTCTTGCGTAAGTCTTGCCAGATGGCGTCGCTAAAATGGCTTCGGTTACTGGTAAGTTTAAAGCGGCGACATTAAAGAGTAGCAGCATATAGCAAAGCTTTAGCCACTTAGCCATAGGAATAAAGAGCGGCAATTGATTGCGGAGGCTAACATTGAAAAATGAAAGTTTTAATTTAAATTAATTTAATGACTGCCCTCGTGCGTTCAATATGGTTGGAAAAAGAATTAAAAGTCCTTTATTCCAAATGTCGTGAGGTACATATCAGTCAATCTGAATAAAGTATTATAACTTAAAATGATTTGAAATAAAACGAAATTTTAGTAGGTTTTTAGTAGCTAAGTGACAAGTTGGTATACAAGGACTGTAAAATCGGTATGAAATAAATTATGTTAAGCTAAAATGGCGTCTGAAACTTCTTTTAACCATCAGCATAAAGTATCGACTTCGTACGCTTAAAGGATTATTTTGCGGGGATGCAGCACAGTAACAGCTTGGTATAATTGATACACTCGTATTATTTTTATCTTATTTACATTAGCTTCTTGATAACCAATAGAACGGATGACAGGTATTGTTTGCATAATGTATTCTTATCTGATGACAACAATATTTGCAAAATAATTGCAACCATGACAATTGAAGTTATTTCATTTGTCATACTGAGTCCCGCTATCGCTTACAGTTTATTGGAAGCTCTTTATATGTAGATTTATAATTTCATTGTGAAATGTTTTGCGGAATAAAATTTGGCTAAGTTATCAATTAACGGGTGCAATGATTTCTTAAAAATTAATGCCTAAAATGTAATTTAAATGGGTTAAAGATGATTTTAAATAATTATCTTTGCAAAATTCTGTTTCTTCTTTCGGTTGATTAGCTTTATATAACAAGTACTGTAAATTTAATTTTTAGGCATAAGTAGTAGTGCTTAATAATAATTATTCATGTGCAAATAAGCAATTTAATAATGTGCTTAGAGCATCGACAAAGCAACTTTTATTTTGGTATATAACAAATAGATTCACTGCTTTAATATTTTGGTGTTTAAATGTACCCGGCTTTAAAGATTTATTTTTTAAAGAGTACCGAGATAAGTCTATTAAAATCTTCTTGGATTTCATTCGAAAATTCTATCATGTCATTAAATTGCATATGTATACCTGTCTATTTTCTTCTTTCCGTTTCATTTCATAATCACAGATAGATGCACTTGGCTAATATTATAAAATGCTTAGCTTGTATGCTAATTTACAGAATAACGTGATTATTTTTAATAATTTACTAGGCGAATAATAACTTAAATTTACTCCGATTTGCTTCCAGAATGTTCTCATGGCTCCTTTTTTTAATTAACTTTACATCCTTACACCGCAGAAAAGCTACGGTAGTGATATCATACTGAAATTTTACCAAATCAGAAATTGTGATACTTTTGCTAAAATCGCTTAACAAAATAAATATTTCATAGCAAGTAATTGTCATTCTTATGATCGGAACTATCATACTTTTAATTAATCGTTACGTATGTCTAACTGTACACGCCCAATTTTGGTTGTGCGTAAAAAGACGATTGACGGACATTTCACCATGACAAATAGTGATCTTTAATAGTACATAGCGATTATTATTCATTGTCATCTTGTCTAAAGCGATGGATGAAACATGTAGCAAGGGAGCAGCCCTATACTACAATGAATCATTATTATCGTGATTTATCTCATGGATAACATTTCGAAATCTAGGTCTCTAAATTACTCAATTAATTCAAGTAAGTTTTAATATATTTCGATCTAAGTCTACGATACTTACAATTGCGAAATGCTATTTGTTAGCGTACATGGAGTTCGATTCTAATTATATTTTATCGATTCTTACTACATAATTTCATATACATAGTATTAAGATATTTCACAGTAAAAATATTTGGATCTCATATAGATAGTTCAAGCTTTATTAATAACAAGTTGTCATGCAGTGAACAGGTAAATTACGGTATGTTCTGATTATTATGGTCACCGGAATTTTATAGAAGAAAAATAGAGGTATAAAAATTGGTTGATTTTAATTGGCAATTGATAATAATACTGTAGTGAAGCTGTTAGATAAGCTCTTGTTATCAACTTGTTATGTAGAAGTGAATTAGACATAAGTTAAAAATGATACCAAAATCTAGGGTTGTTAACAATAATAATAGGTATATATAAGTGATATTCGTGATAATTCAAGTATGTTGATTTCAGCTTCGTAGAATATTATACTAATCATATAATTTTATTCTGATGCTAAGTTCTGTACTGCGAGTGTTGAATTATGTTTTTCGCAACTATCATGTCATAAACAAGTTAGATAACATATTTAAGCAGCTGCACTTTTCTGTCATCATTGTTGTTAGTCCTTCTTTTCTAAGATCTGCTGTTGTAGGAAATTTTCCTTGTTTGTCAGAGCTTGTTGTGCTGTTATGTACGTAGTGTCTCAATCGATAGAGAACAAGTAGTAAAATCTGCTATTCTAAAATTTCTTGTGTGAACTACACTTTCATTACAGTTAATAGACCAGGTTTTGTTACAAATACATAAGTATATATAAGTAGATAAAAATATACTGTATGTAATTGTAATTATGTAACAGCTTCACGTAGATGTACGTCTATAGTATACCAATTATAGAATGTTTTAAATCTTCTGAACGTAGAAAAGAGCTTGTTCTGAATTTCTTAATCATGGCAGGAGTAAGCAGGCTAACTTAGCGTTTGGCAGTCACCTCATTTTTTTATTTAACATTTTCTTACGCCCTGTGTTAAGTTTTCTTGTTAGTGCACCGGAAATTATCAAGTTGCAGAGGCTATAAATGAATGTCGAGCAATATGAAAAAGAAATTTTTCAAAAGTTACTATACTGTTGTATTGTACGTATAAGAGGATGTTCTATGAACCACCAGTGAAACGAGCTAAGCAGCTTGTAGTTTTTTGGCAAATCTTTCGAAACTGAGTGGTAAATTTGATCTAGCAGGATTGAACTCTGAATTAAACTTGTGAATAAAAAAAAATCATAAATGGATTTACAAAGGTTAAATCCGTATTTTTGCTTAAGAGACAGCAATATAATAAAATATTCAGTTAAATCGAGCTCATATCTAATTGAGATACAATGATTCGCATTACGGTAGCTTATTACGTCTGCTCTCACTGGCACTGTCACAAAAGCTCAAGTTACTAGAGCATAAGCAGGGACTACTAAAGAGAAATTAGTAGTTCCTGGTCTAACTTTCGTTGCTCTCGGTTAAAAAATTTAATTTATAATAATTATTATTGGGATGCAAAATGCTGTGCCAATAGCAAATCAAAAAATTTGAACTCTCTACCCTTATGTTTGCATAATCGCATCAATAGTACATATGTAGTGTCTGGTCCTTCTAAAAATAATATAATGAAATAAATTAGATTTTTCTGCTACGAGAGCCAGCTTAATCAAAAGGGAACGGGTAATAAGAATTGAGTCTAAGATAGCACATCGTAACCTTAGCCCGTAGGTAGAGCTGCAGGCTACGCTCTACGTGTTTTAGTGATGATACAGTAGCAATATCAAGTTCAGCTCAATACAGCAAAATGAAAAAAAAAGTGTTACGGTTAATAATAAAGTCTCCATGGCCTAACCATTATAATTTATATATATATTATAATTTATACTATGTTTTACTGCAATCAAGAAATTTAAATTTCAGAACATCATCATGGTGCTGAGCTGAGCGTAATTTTGTACGGTAAAATACAGTAGAGACCCCTAGAATGTACTGTACTGTACAGTACTGTACACTGTATGGTACAGCATGCATACCGAAAACATACTGTACAGCACAGTAATCACACTTGGTCCGTTGTAGAATGTGGAGTACAGTACCGTAATTATGGACATACTGTACTGTACAGTGTACAGTACAGTATGTATCGTTTATGGTGAACTGTACAGTACTGTACTGTACAGTAAAGTTACTGAATTGCTTTACTCTTTTTTTACTACAGTACAGTATGTTTTGTTACGGTACTAAAATTTCAGAAGGTTTGTACTGTACCGTAGTGTACAGTACTGTACAGTACGAGCACTGAGTATTTACTGTTCAGCATTAACTTTTAAATTTTAGTTTAATTTCACTGATGCTTGCTTGAGAAAATTCTTGTTCTAATACAGTAGTAAATATTTCTTTATGGCGTTGGTGTCAGATATCATAATTATAGGGTAATGCTTGTAAATTATTACTTACAATTAAATCTGTTAATACTCTGTAATTTCAAGTTTCAAACGTTTCGTACAGTATTTAATGTAGTCAACTTAGTATCGTTTAATGTGTTTTACTATCTGACAATATCGTGCTTGTTGATATTTTAAATACAGTGTACAGCATATATATTTATTAATTATGCTGCAGATGTTTGATTTTTGGTATTTAATATACTGTAGTAATTAGCTGCTCTATTACTTAAGATTATTATTCTTTCTTTTAATTTTCCGAATGATAGGACGCTATTGATAAACGCAGGGGCTGTCCTGAACTATAGACTGTAAGACTTCTTTAATATTCATAGTTTTTTACTGAAAAAATGATAGACACGACACGTCCTATAAATAATTATTATCCATGTACCGTTATTTATAAAAGATTTAATATTGTAATCTCTACACTACTACCACTGTATAGGTCACTTGTTGACATAGTAAGACACATAAAATCTTTACGGCGATGATACTTACGGTATCCATCAAGTCTGCTTAAACCCCTTTTATCTTAACTATCATTTGCGTATAGAGATGGTGTAGCGGGTGCACATTACGAAAGTCAAGGAACTGTAGGTTTGTGGTAAAGTTTAGGAAGTGTTGCAACCAAATATCCTTTCACAGTTGTAAGGTTTGATGTTCGGTATCTGTGTATTACATTAATTAATTTTCCGTCTTTGTGCTGTTTTAAGGCGAAAAGATTAGAGAATTTCTACAGAGTTTGTGTTATTTTCGAATTTTCATCGGAATGTGGAATATTCTTGTAATACTTGGAATGATCATGTAGGTAGCTTTTCTCTGAGATAATTAATATTCGTGCTAATGTTTAATCATGCAGTATTACATTATTAGATTTTTCAGTGCTTGAAGATCTTTGCAACAGGGTACGAGTATCATTGGTTATCTAATTCTGCGATTGAATTATCGGATGAAAATGTTTAGCTTTGGTTAGCATGGTAAAATAGAATCGAACCCTACCAGTGGACTGGGCATGGATTATATGGCTGAATGCTTACAACATATTAGCCTGTAGTCAAGTAAATTAATGAATAAGCAGTTTAACATGTGTACGATATATACGAAAAACTTTATAGACGTTTCTTTAATGCGTAGTAGTATAGTTCAACGCAAATAATGATCATTTGTATAGTTGATAATTGTTTATGTACAGAGCCATAATGTTAGGGTAAATCGTAATTATTTATTTTTATTATTTCTATCGCTTGGCAGTCTTATAATTGTATATCTGTTAAAATGGGCAAGATATGATCATACTTGTGCAAATTACTATCAGAATAATTAATTATAATAGAGATTTGGAAATTAGTTTATGAGACTGTTTGAATATGTATGCATCAATAATAAACTAACTGATTTCTTGCTGAGTATGAGGATGTGATATCAGTATTTTATTCTTTAGCTTGTATACAGTTTATGTGATGACCATATAAATGCATGCAGGAGTATTAGACTTCGATTTTTTAACAAGTCATTTCAAATACTAATGAGTACCATAAGCGAATTTACCCTCCTCGACCACTTATGTCTAAAATTTCTTTAAAATTCATTTAACTATTGTTTTGCCACTCTGAATTGTAGTAAGTAACAATGTTACAATCGGAAAGCTGAGTAATCCTTTCAAATTATATTTATTCACTATTTACAATATCCTATTAAAGAATCGTAGACATCATTCGTTATCTTGCACAAGGAAAAGGGTTCAAGAGGGATTTGCTCTCCTATTATGGAAAAAGAAACGTCTTAGATAGGAATGTTGTATAAATAAATCTAAAGGTGGATTCCATTTGACTTATGCTATATATTTTATACATGAATTAACCTTGCTAGCTTTAGGCTTGCAGAAAACATTCCAAAACCTGAGAGTTTCATCGCCAGCACCGGTCACAATAGATTCTCCTTCAGGTGAAACGGACTAATAATGTATATAATCAATATGATAAGCAAACATGTTATCAATGGTGAACTAATTATTATTAATTGCACGAAACTTATTGACATATTTTCGGTTTAAGGCGTGATATGTTGACTAATTAATAATAGATCATACCAAGTAGAGGACGCGATATGTGTGCCCTGATAGTTCAGCTACTTTGGAGAGAGACGGGTATTTCCAAATAACGATATGATTCTTAGAGTAGCCATGTGTACTTACCTGTAAAGCGAATTTACAGGTAGTTATATATGATTGCTGACAACTAATTACATTAGTTGCTATATAGTACATCATAAATTTTACTGCTTGAAATACTCACCAACTCGTTTGTATACTTTGACCAAGCTAAATTGCATACTTGCGAGCCGGTATCAATGCAATTTATTGATTGGTTGGTCAAAATATTTCTAAATCTGATGCAACGATCAGCCGTTCCACCCCCCGAGGCTAAAAGACCATGCTTCAGATATTAAAAAAATTTCTGACTTAAAATTGTTATTACGAACCCAAATGTTATGGCAAATGTTAACTTTAAAAAGGTCTCGTTTTAAGGTAGTGTAGCCGAATTAATGAATCATAAAATTCGTTTTCCTAACTTGCGGACATACATAAATTTTCGCAAAATCTCATTGCAGAAGAGCATTTAAATTAGCAAAGACTTCAATATAGCTTGCAGTTAAAAATTCACGTACAGATGAACAACGAATGCTGATAGTTATATTTAGTAATGTAGACTCCTCGACATCCTGCTTATATCTCGAACCTGATGAGGTGACCATGCGATTGCTTTTACGGCAGCTTCATGGTCAGCGTACGTTTGGATAGGAGTCTCGGCAGACAAGTTCCATATAAATAGCTAACAGAAAAAGTACTGATAATTATAATCGTATTCGTGATCGTAATATTTATTACATAAATTAAAATTTAAAACCTTATTATCATTTCCTCCAGACGCTAAATATTGTCGGTCAGACGACCACTTTAAACCACAAACCTTCGAATAAGTGAGTTATCATTATTAGATTAACATTTAGGAAGACGGAATATTGCAAGAGATGGTGTTACTGCAAGATGAAGTGTAGTACTGCACCTCCTGTTTATGAGCCCTTAATTTTCGTGTAATTGAACATGGCGTTCTAGATCAATCAAATAAAGTTGTAATGATTCTTGCTAGCGCTAATGCCATAAACACCTAGAGTAACCTCTTTAAAATTTGGATATTATTTATTGATATAGGAAATAAGTAGTAACCTCAGATCGCGCTGGAAGATACACTTATCCCGGCTACCGGAGTATAGCAAATCATTATTCCATGCGAGTGTGCCTGGAATATAAATTGAATCCCGAATTTTAGCCGAATCTATTTACAAATTCAACCAAAAGGCAATATAAATAGCATATATGCCATATTTTAGAGATCAACGGACCAACTCGTGCAGTATGGCCATCTAGAAGAGCAATAAGTCTGGAGACAGTTACGTCCCATATATGAATGTAGCCTCGCTGAGTTCCTACGGCAATGTGATTGCCCTGTAAAGTAAAGCCATGCGTGCTAGTTCAATTAGTTTAAATCACTATTAAAAGAAATTAGTGTATACTTTTTCAGTCCAGGAAACAGACGTAACCGAATCTCCTTCACTTTGGAAATCACATAACTTAGTAACCTAAATGAAAAACATTTCATTGTAAATAACACCCCGTTAATCGAAACAATGTTTTGGGGTTAAATTCAGTTGAATTTTACATTAACAACATTAATAAAAATTGTAGAGTCGGTTACCTGCCCGTTATTTGCACTCCATAAATACACACACGTTCCGAGACCAACACTCAACACGTTTTGTGGCGACCAGTCAACTAAATTTAAATAGAAGTCATCCTGAAAGAGTAGAGGCGGAAAGTTATTGTTTGGTTTTTCCGGGTATCTTTAACTCAAAGTAACCTGCAAATCTGGTGCATCCAAAACTTTATACGGTGCCTTCGGTATTTTTCTAGGTGGCTATATCCGTACCAAAAAAATGCAGCTTAACGACTCATTGTGAAATAGGATCATAGGCTAAACTATTGAGCGCTATCGACCATGTAAAGATAATTTCGGTCTAACCTTAGTTGCTGAACACAGCAGACTTTGACTATATAGGTAGATAATGAGCAATACAACTTAAAATTTAAACTTGAAGCATAAACGTAATAGGAATTGTACAGTACCTATCGATTCCCAGAGGCGACATTGCATAACCAGCAATAAGCTTTTTTGAGTCATCAAATAATTTTCTTTTAGCAGGGGATTGATACTATCATAAACAGGTTATCAGGTATGTCGCCATTATTAAATTAAAAGATTATCAAAATCTCATGTTGCCGTTAGATAAAGGTACTCACTTCGAAAAGGTTGCAACTGTTTTCTCTTAAAGTGCTGATCTCTCTCGGTGTTGTTTGCTTCGGTTAAGAGATGTTTTAATAACATATTAAAAAATAAGCCAAAGCAAACCTGCAAGTTCGCTAGTAAACCATGTTATGTCTTACCTCCGCTCTTGTTCCTAACACTTCATTCGCTATTACGCAATTGTACATCTGATTTTCTTTACATTGAATATACGTTTAAGGAAATCCGTGAGTAGATACATGTGATTCAAGGTTTAGTGCATTAAATACGTTTCTGTTTACTATTCAAGAAGGCTGCCCTCGCAATAGTAACATTAAGCTTTGCTTAAGCCGAGTAAAGCGCAGAGTTACAAGAAACCACGGATCTCTAGGGACCCGTATAAAAAACTGATATAGCATTTACATTCGCACGTTCTCTCAGGAATATTATATTATTTACGGACCGTAGTCATAAACATCATCAAAACCACAAACCTTTACTAGATTGCGCGTTGCCATCTGAGAATACTGTATTATTTCTATTTGGGGATTCCTTTGACTGTATTTAGTTAGTAATGAAAATACCAAAGACAGATTGAAATTCCGTTAAAATTAAAATTATTTAAATTGGTAAATACACCAGTAATAGCTATGAAAAGCTGTTTATTGTTGAAGTGGATGAAGAAAGGTACAAGGTACAATTATACTGATACTGCACATCGCATAGCATATTAAACAGACAGTGATTTCACCTGCAATAAATTAAATTTTCCGTTCCAGTCGGATGATGATCGATCAGGAATGAAGCTGGGTACCCATGGGAATCATGAGATGGTTAACAAGACAAGTTTGTTAGCATTTTTGTGAAATCTTAAGACGAAATATATATATTACAATGCATAGTATACCGATTACAACACTTTTCTTTGGAAGGCAGTGGTGACATCATCGTGTGCTCTGCTCCGACCTGAAAGGTTAATTAATCAGATAGAAGTCATTAGTAAAGATGTGCGCGTCAATGAAAATGGTAACTGAAGTTTTAGTCCAGGTTAGAGAATACCAAAGTAGAAGATGGACTATTCATCAAACGCTTATTGTAGTTGGTATTCATGTCGACAGCCAGATAGCATATAATCTAGAAAAATTGAAAATCTTTTACGAATTTCATAGTGAAAATACTATATTATAATAAAGTTGCAGCAATTTCACTGATATAACTGTCATAACAGATTTGAATTTGTGCTCTACAGGAAATCGGATTACTGGTTAAAAAGCAAACTGTAGGCTTATCTCATGTAATCTTCGATAATTTTTATTACTGCTTTCCATGGGAGCGAGATTTGAAATTTGGACGAGAGTGTTCTGGCATTTGGTGATTATTGTCGAACGTTTGCGCGGGCACGGGCGCCATAATTAGCACTAATGTCAGTCTCTGATACATACTATCGGACAGTACGTTAACTTTGTGGCTAGTTAATGGTGTTACATGCATTTTTATTTTAAAGTTAAAAGTATTGAAGAGTGAGTACGTCAGAGTTTAACAGTTCTTTTGAGTGGCATTAGAGTACTTGATGGTAGTTAAATCAATGAACAAGCAATTGTAAATACAAACGTATTATATAACCAGAAACAGGATAACGGGCTGATTCGTTGAGTAGTAATAATTTAAGATTATAATAGATATGTGGTGTTATAGTCGGATATGAAAAGATAATAGAATTCCGTACAGTATTTATACATCTTTTTAAGACATTAATCAATTTATTAAGTTCGATGAAGTTTCAGACAACAGTTTGTACATAATCTCATCCGTTAATTGAGCATTATATCGAGTTAAGCTGACAGCGAGGGAATTACGAAGTGGGTCATGAAATTCCCTTGATCTAGCTACATGTATTGTTTTTAGGGGCTTGAAAGAAATCCTGATCTTCTCACAAAGTGATTTCGTTAAATATTTAATGCTTGGCCTTCACATTTGGAACTAGTACATTTGCAATATACTAAACACTGCACCGAATACCTACGATCGAAATTTTATAATTACGAGTGTACAACTGTAGTACCGTATAAGTCTTTGCAATTAATTGCGATTATAGTATAGCAATCTTTAGAAGGCTTATAATGCATAAATAAAGGAAAAGACATTACGAAATTTATTGTCCAATGAACACCATTGCAGAAAACTAAGCCAAGAATCTCAGGTTTTAAGTATTCATAGGTACAATTGAACAGGACTTATAAGGCTTTAATTAAGTTAAGAGTTCACCTGTAAAGCTGATATGGTAATTCATTACGAGTACAGTATGGATATTATTATTGTATTGGGGAATTTTATTATTCAAGATACGCATAAATGTTTAGTTTTGAAGGCTATCTACAGTTAGAATGGTATCTTACGCTAGCGACGTTTGGACCTTGAGAAATTTAAAAAGATGAACCCACACACTGATACAGAGTGTAACTCTGTATAGTGAAATCAAATTGATCCCACTACAACATTAATTAAAACATCAAGAACACACTGTGTGCACTATACGTGCAAAGCCGGTTGATTAAGTACAGTACCGCACTGAATTCAGCCGATTCATGTTAAAATAAAATATTTAAATGCTATAAGACCGTTACTATAAAGCGCAGGATTTTAAAATAACTTAATTACCTCTACTTACGCGATGTAACCAGCGTAGACAGTGTACTTTCACAGTTTAGATGAATTGAGAAGCTGCCGAGAAATTCAATTAAACTACCCAAAGTCTGAAATAGTTTTTAATTCTGTATTTGCAGTTAAATAACAGTCAATCAAAATTCCGCAGCTACCGCTCGGGTCTTAAAGCTTTTCAAATCTATTGCCGCGGATCTTTACTCCTCGCTACAGTACCGCATACTGTACACTACAGTACAGTATACTGTATAGTACAGTACAGTACATCGTGCCAATGTTGCCAACCTCTACTGTACAGTACCGTACTGTACTGTACGGTTCAAGATAACTTACAGTATTGTACTGTACAGTATGCAGACGGCTGATCCTGATTTTTCTAAATTAACAGTACAGTACTGTACTGTACTGTATGTACTGTATAATAGTACATTGAATCTTATTATTGGTTACTAAAGCTCTTCTTAGAAACAGCCATATAAGATCGTCAATAGTGATATAGAAAACCGAGTCAGAAGATCCATACTAAGCAGTCATTTTCGATATTGACGGTTTCGTTTGGTGAAAGAAGTCCGTCCGTCTACAGTATATTAGAGACCTTTACTAAATCTACAGTACTGTACGGTACTGTACAGTACAATATACTGTACATGTACAGTATACAGTATTGTACAATGTACAGTACAGTACAGTATGATAGTACAGTACTACGGTACAGTGTACTGTACAGTACAGTACAGTATACCATAGCAGTAACAATAAAGTAATAATAATAATAATAATAATTAATTATAATGTAATTTTATGCACGTACTATATCTTTATATCCTCCACTTCGGCGAAGATGTCAAGGATTTTAAATATTGGCTTTGGTTTAGCCTTTATTGTAATCGTGTCCATTACAGGTTTGTTAATAATTATTATCGCTAATATGGCTGAGATGGAATCGTAGACGTCTAGCTATTCATATTTCGGTGTGGATTTCATTTGATAAATAACCAGTTTAAACCGGCAAATGTGCAGGAGTGCAGGTGTTTTTTTTTAGCTATGACTGAACCTGCAAATGCTGAAGATATCGTCTTTTCAGTTTCTTAAAACTTACTTAATTAAAAATCCAGGCTAAAAGGCTTAGTCAACGTTCGAATATGCAACACTGGTGTTGATTAACACCGTAGCTCGGAGACGCTTATTACGACATTGAGTAATATGGTAGACGTAGTCGTTGATTAGTGGGATAAGACATTTTGTTTTGATAGTTAATTGAACTTACGCATACTGTAAACGAATTTGCACATAATATTAGTATCAATAATAACGCCATATAGTGAAATGCAAGAAAAAGTCATGGCTGTATTATTGACAATGAATATCGGTATACAGAATGAAACATTTTACGGGAAGTTGATCTAATTTTACTACCTATAGCTAATAACTGCCTGTGCACGAGCCGTCCAGTAAATGAAGGATACAGCACTGTAGTAGCACTGTTCATGATTTCCGGACTTTAAACATTACAGTCTATTTATGCCTGTAGGCAAGTTATTTTGTGCGCTTATACTCTTCGGATGATCGCCTATCGTCGTAAGCTACTAATTTTGAATCTCTGAACGCTGCACTTCTGCAAGTACGATCTTACTGTGCCGACAGATTCATGTTGATCCTTGTGCTGTACTAGTAGCTAGTTGTCAAATGACTATACCGATTAATTTTGATGATAGTTTTTCAATCTGCGGGCAAGCACTGTACCGTACCGGGGACAACGAGTGAAATACGTGGAGACGCGGAGTAGTGTTTGAGTAGATTATGTAGTTATGAATGACTGGATGAGTGGTCTGTACTGTAAGTAAGGTAGTACAGTACGTGCTCTTAATATAACTGCAAATGGAGTAGCGCCATAATTTACGTATTTTTACGTATCAAGTACAGCACAATATTTATCCATCCCCTATGACTTACTGCTGATAGGTTCAAGTCATTGACTACCAAAAAAGACCTTTTTCTAGCAGTCCTGGTTAATCCTGCTGTCCCACTGGTAATTGTGGTGTAATTATTGTAAAGTAGATTCTTCTTATCCTGGACAAACTGCGAGCTATATTATACGTGTATGTTCCTTATATCAGCATTAACAGTAAATTAATTATGAAGTTTTCTGTAGTATTCATACTAAAGTATAATGTAACGCTATCCTTCGCACAGTAGGCGACGGTGCTGCTTCTAGTTGATCCCAATATATTTCATAACGTATGTTATATCGCACGGGGTTAGACCAGCGCTGGTGAATTGCTTTGCGTTGAATAATGTCGAAGAACGTTGATTTTCCCTTGATACTCTTTGAATTTATATGTTCTGTAGCTGCATCATATCTTCAATTAACCTAAATATAAATTTGCAGAACTGTATTAGTCCTTTTTTGCGCTTGGATGCAGCAGATAATATTTCCGAAGTAAATAATACGCGATCTGGAAAATCAGTTATGATCTTACTGACAACTAATATCCCTTTTGGTTTTATTATAATTATTCATCAGGACATTGTACAAGAGGTCTCTCTTTGTATTGTTCTTATCGCCTGCCGATGGGCTTTGATGAGGATGACTTTTACTCTATTAGATGCTGGACTAACAATGATAATACAAAGTTTACTTGGTCTAGAGTTTCATCTCGTGTATCGCCTTTTCATGTCAGCACGGATCAGTATCAGATACAGAATAAGTCCGGTGAATCAACATTAATCTTGCCGTGGAATTCTCTAAACGATTTTTATCGTTACGCTGGTGTATATGAATGCCAAGCAACAAGCACAGCCAGTAATTCTCCCCAAAGGAAGACTTTATGGGTTGGAGTTACTCATTCTGCATGTAAGGGTATATTTAATTTCGACCTTTTAATTAATGCATTAACGATTTCAGTTGTGATATATTTAGATCTTAGAAGCCGTTAACACCTCTGTTTTTAATTATTTATTTAGCTCCTGTACAGCCATCAATTATTTCACAAGTTGGCTATGTTCGCGATACCTTAGTGTTAACCACGTTATCGAATAATGTCGTAACTTGTAATTATATATGGTACCACAACGGCTCACGTTATACCCGATGTGACAATGCTTGCAACTGTAGTTTTGATAGCTTGAGATTACAAGATGCCGGAGTTTATGAAGTGATTTATCCGGCATCTGACAAATCTAATATTACTGGTGCTTTTATGACATTAACTGTTTTAGGTAAGTTACGCGTACAGTACATCGGAAATATATACCTTGGAATCTCTGCTCTTCTGGTATTAGTTTATTTTATTCTTTACAGAGAAAAAATGTAGCCAAAATCAAAACTGCCTCAACGGAGCCATCTGTATGACAGACAATAGTTGCGGTTGCCTTCCAGGCTTCAATGGTACTTCGTGCCAGACAGGTTAACTGTAAATCTACAAATGTCATTCATTCTGTTATCACATGATTAAATTGCAACTAGATACGCTTAAAGCTTATCATTAAAGGACAATCTCTATTATTATTAGCTTGCAGTCTTCCGTTTCGTTGTGGGCCTGCATGCCAATTTGCTTGTCAGCCAGAAAGTGTGTACTGCAGTTCCGATATGTATGGGTGTATGTGTCCATCTGGAGTAACTGGCATTAGCTGTAAAACTGGTAGGTTGAGGTTTTTTGAAACTGCCTGTAGACAAACAGGCGGTATTAAATAAATTATGTAATACTCATTTCCTGTCGTAAGAATGAAGGTTATATTTTAATATTAGATTCGTGTCCTGCTGACAACTATGGACCAAATTGTCAACTGAAATGTAATGGGTGTAATAATCATGGAAGCTGTCAGTCAAAGACGGGTTGTTTGTGCCAGTCTGGATACTCTGGAATCTACTGTGAAGAAGGTTATTATTATTTTCTGTGTTAATAAAAAAATTACTGCTGCGATGACTGTTTCTTCGATTTCTAAATCCTAATTAATTTAAACAGTTGCAGGCGGTTCCGTAGTTGTTATAATTGGTGTCGTTGTCGCAATTATTGCTGCTGTTAGTTTAGGAGTGATTGCTTACATTTGGTACAGGTATCAAACGTAGTAGATTACAATACTGAAATTGTTTATCAACTGTTTCCAGAAACCAAATTAATGCTAATTTATTTTGCAGCCGTCGCCGCGCTAGAGCTTTAGCTAATATCAAATCACCAGATCCTGTCGTCATTGTTGATGCATCTGGTGATAATCCATCGTCCTTAGATACTAATTTAATCCGGTCACGATTAGGACAGTATAAATACGTAGTATCCAAAGGTAACTGTTACACGGAGAAAAGTTGCATAATTTGGTCGATACGGCTTACAGTAATACCTCTATGTCGCTTGTACATTTTAGCGCAAAAGGCATCATTGGTTCAAAATATTAAGATCCCGACTAAACCTATAATTGTTAAGGATCTGCTTGATCGTATTAACGCTTTGAAGGAAGATTCGGCTCTTGCTTTAAAGGAATTTGAGGTGAGTAAATTTGGAACGGTTGCTTTGATATAAAGTGGCATGACTGCATTCATTCTCCTTGCTCCTATAGTCCATCCCTCCTTGTAAAGAGACCCATGCTATTGCAGACATGAAAGGGAACGCGAAAAAGAATCGTTCTCAAAGTGTTATTAGTTGTACGTTTATTAATTATATAATATACAGTAAACGTCCAATTTTTTATTTACGATATCGGTGATCCTATTCATCAGATTAAATGATTTATTTCCTAGATGATCATTCAATCGTCACAGTCGGCGATGGAGGAGTCAATTCGTATATTAATGCTTCTCATGTTCATGTTAGTAAAGATTCCTTATAATGATTCATAGTAGGGAACAGAAAGCTTTTTCTAATGCTTTACTGATTTAACAGGGATACATGAAACCTAATGGTTACATAGTAACTCAAGGTAATTGCAATTTATCCTGGCGGCTAAAATTAAATTGCATATATGGCTTGAAGATAATTTCGAGTTATTAATCAGTTAATCGTAAAGATGGGTAGATTGTTAGATAATGTTTCCCAGGATTAGCTAAATTTAGAACTGACTATGAAATTAGGTCCTCTAAAGTCAACATGCAATGATTTCTGGACCATGGTTTGGGAAAAGGAAACCTGTGCAATAGTGATGCTCACAGAGTTATCTGAGAAGGACGAGGTTAATTATTCAAAAGGATTTGATTCTTAGGTTTATAAATTTAGGCCAAATTTGCCTTACGTGTACCTGTTAAATTTTTTCAGCAATTATGTTACAAGTACTGGCCAGAAGAAAAGGATACTTATGGTAATGTATGTGTCACTCTAGAGAACGTAAGCAAGAGGAGCTGTTATACAGTCAGAACTTTTCATTTGCAAAAGGTAGTGTATAACCTTTAATACTGTTACGTGACATAAACTTTCTCTAAATTAGTATTTGCTCCAAAACTATGCAGGTTGGAGAAGTAGAAAAGCAAGAAGTGAAACAGTTTCACTTCACTGCTTGGCCCCACGGTGGTATACCTGAATCCAGTACAGGGCTTTTTAGATTTAGGTCACTGGTACATGCTTTTAACCCCTCCGATGCTGGTCCTATCGTTATTCATAGCAGGTATGGCATATTACCTATACGCCTTTTGATCTTATCTTAAGAATGGTGATTTTCATTTATAGTGAAGGAAGTAGTCGTTGTGCTATGTTTGTTGCACTCGATATCAATCTTGACCGCGCCCGCAAGCAAGGTGATATTGATGTTTTAGAAAACGTTGGTTTGATGTCGCATCATCGAAAAAACATTTTAGTCCGTGTTGTAAGTGACGTTGTTCTTCATAGATAGCTTTGTCTGAACACCACCATGATCATTTGTATTTAAGGCCAGTAAGAATTTTTGTTTCTGTATTGATTTTTCATTTCAGAATGAATACTTATTTGTATACGAAGCAATACTTGATGCTCTAATACGAGGCAATACGCAAATGTCGCTTAAGAATTTGCAAACCTTCGTAAGCCGGGCAGATACATCCGAATCGGGCTCCAAAAACAATCCTTATACCATCATGTTTCAGGTAACATACCAAATGAATTAGATTAGTATCGAGATTGCTATTAGTATATGCGAAATCAGCCGATGAATATTTAAGCTACGTTTCGTTTTGGTAAAGTGCTTACGATGTCAGGAGGGAGAACATGATGATTTCGCTGGAGCTTCGTTATCTGCAAATGAAAACAAAAATCGTTTTCCTGATATCTTAGCTAGTAAAGTCCTTAAGTCTAATATTCTAAAATAGGCAGTTTTCATTTATATTTATCGTTGTATGAAAGTGTATCAGCGTTAATAATTATATATTTTATGACTCAGGGGATAAATATAGGGTTAAACTTTCAAGCAGTGACAGCTCAGACTATATAAATGCTGTATTTATTGACGTAAGTTTTGTGATGATGCTGTACTATGCAACATTTATTATGCTGCTAGTTGATGTGATGTAATATTAGCAAAACACTTATTACAGAGTTACTTAAGAGCAAGAGAATTTATTGTCACCCAATATCCACTACCGAATACTATAAATGATTTTTGGAAATTAATCATGGAACAGAACGTTGCGTGTGTTGTTACCTTGGGATCATTTAGTAATCATCCGGTAAACTTATTTGATTTATGTTTTATTGAAAATACATGTAGATAGCTAATCATTTTTATAACATTGGTGCTTCTATAGCCTTATTGGTGGCCTTCTAATAAGAAGCACGACGTATACGATAACATTAAGGTTGAGATTTTGGAAGTAGCGACGGTAGATGACCTAACTATAAGACAATTAAAGGCAACAGAGAAGGTTTAGTAATTCCATTTACCAGTGATTCGATTTATTCATGCGTTTATTCATTACGATGTTATCTGATTATCTTTTCTTAGAATCATTCTAAAACTAATATAATGAGCCAATTTCAACTCAGTGGTTGGGAAGATGAGGATAAAGCGCCAGCCCAAGCTTCTACGATTATTAATTTAGTAAATCGTGTGCAAGAATGTATAAAAACAGTTCGCGAACCAGGACCTATTGTTGTTCAATGCCTGTACGTTAATATTACAAGCACAATACATTTTTACATTAATTTGATGTTGAGCTATAGGTAATGCTGTCTTAGTTTCATTTTATTGTTTATAATTATAATTCGCGTATGTCATTAACAGTAATGGCAGAGGACAAAGTGGAACTTTCTGCACGATTTACTCTGCGTTGAATACGGCGATTGAAGAAAAGGCTGTTGATATTTATTCTGATGTCCTTTCAATGAGAGTAGCTAGACGAGGATTAGTTCAGTCAGAAGTAAGAACTTATGCTGCGTCTTTTGAAGAGCTGATTTATCAGCCGAACTATTTTCAGTTGCTGATAAATTTCCATTTTGAAATGAATTAAATTTATTTTAGGAGCAGTTACGATTCTGTTTTGAAGTTGTCGTGAAATACACTCAAGATACTGGATTGCTGTAGCGCGTTTAGGATAATAATGAAGTTTTTGATTTTATGAATAACCAGCTATAATAGTTAAGATAACCATATCGTGTTTTATCAGTAAAATCGTCACGGAAAACATTTTTAAGTGCTGCTGCTTACGCTTAATTATTTCGTGCAAAAATTCTTGTGCAGCATATGTGTTATATAGGTAATGTCAAAGGCAGGTGTTTCGGTTAGGTTTATATATCTTCGGCGGATAACGCATCGTCCGGCGATTACGAAAATTTAATTGGTATTTTACTGTAGCACAGCTCTTTGCTCTTTTTTGAGTTTATTTGTGACCTACATGTATTGTGTATCACTATAATACATAGAAGAATAACTTTACTTATATCGTCGTAAGTTGAAATGTTAGCGGAAATACAGGAACAGAATTGTTTCTATATATCTCATACAATGACATTAATCTCGATGATAGTACATAAATTTTAAATTAAGATCCAATATAAGGATTAAATATAGTAATTGATTAATTAAAATTGATGCTATGGATTGAAAACAGTCAGATAAGCCCATGCCGTTCAAGTTTATAAGTTATATTTTTTATTTCGTACTTAAAATGCCAATATCTAAAGATAAATTAATGTTGTAATTTCATATTGCCTAGTTATGCAAATATATTACAAATTCACTTATATTATCTGAATAAGTTGTGGTGTTTTTAATATACTAAATGATCATAATTATTAGCATTTTTCTATTGTCTGTAAAAATTAATTGTACTATACAATCTATATGTATGCAACCGTTTTATTTTTGGTCAATTTTTAAAGTTAATTTTTGGTAATTGAATCAACGATTTTTCGTGAACTTCGGAAATTATTGTTTTCTCCATGCGATATCCATGTACCGAGTTATTTCTGTGTTTTGTCGTGGATGATGAATGCGTTTGTCTTTGGAATGTATCTGAAGCAATGATTTAATGTCAGGTTAATAAAGGCTGCCATATTATATCGCAGTATCTATCTGCATTGACAAACTAAAATAATATTACCAGAGGTTCGGTGTACCATCCTATTTCTTGAGCTTCAGTTTGTGGTTCCATGTATTTATGGCTGGGTGTATCATGCGAATGCTTCACTTTTTCGAGAAAATTTGCTATATTGTGTAGTTAACGCAGTAGAATAAAGATTTATGATTCATATGATATACGGTACAGTTTGATGGCTTAATTGGTAATTGTTATGGAAAATAAAGCTTATATGCAATAGTTAAAAATCTGAAAGTTGTAGATTTACTTTACGCTTTAAAATTATGCAACACAGACGCTAACTGGAATCATCACAAATACTTTACATTTGTCATGAACATCGAGTCTACTTAAAGTGCCATCCTTTCAAATTTTATCGAACAGCTTTCAGTGGGAATAGAATTACTGAATTAGGTCTTAAGTACTGTAACATCAACATTGAAAATAAAATTATATATTGCGTTATTAACTTATTATGTGTTTATGACTTTACTCCGACAGCACGAAAACTAGTGCCTTAGTTGCATTTTGTGTTTGTCTATGCTTACATACAATGCATAGTCCTGTACATATACATATAGATTTCTGCAATACATTTTGCACTATCCATTGCATTGGTTACATTCTACTGTTTAGTTATATATGTTATATATTTTAAAAATAAATCCCAACTTCTGCATTACATTTTAAAACTCAAAGTGTAATTTGAGCTAACTCATAAGTAGGACGAATCTATAAAAACATAACAGTCACTTACAGTCTGTATTGCTATCGTTGAAGTCTTCATTTTCATTGACTTTGCTTGTTAGTGTGTAAACTATATTAGGATTAAAATGGCGACGTTAGGATTAAATTATAATATTGCTTCTACCTTGAAGTGTTATATGGCTTTAAAAAAATATCGGGAAGCGACGATAATATGATTGTCTATATTATACTCTTGTGATAGAAATACAGAGATGCTTTTCACTAATAAATAAATCGTATTGTAAACAGTTTTTCCGTAATAAGATCAACCATGATTTATTGCCTTACGTTTGTTATAAGGGTTTACATTAAAGGTAGTATAGATCCTTTGCTGGCGTTGCTCTTTTTTGATAGTTTCGCAAAGGATATCATTCTGATGAACGAAGTTCAGTGGTTCCGTGTCTATCTGTTTCTTCTTGTTAACCGTTGTCCGATTCTTAGTGTCAGCCATGATCTCGTTCCTATAGTAACGATGTACTGTGCAGTAAGCAATATTTATATATTACAGAGTATATGTACAGTATAGTACATTCATTAGGACTCCACTGGCTAAAGTATTGAGATTGCGTAGTTATCTTACCCTGCATAGAGTCTGATCAGAGGTAAATCCCGTACATTTACTGCATTTACAGAGTGAAACTAATGCTGATGTTTCTTTACATACGAGCATGAAGAATTATATTATCATATAGTGTAATAAATAAAGCACCACAATATAGTAATATAGTACTGTACAGTAGTATATTTAGTATATTTTGTGCGAAGTATCCCAAGCGAGATATTTCATTAGTCATTTTATTAATAGTTGAAAAGTTCAGTGTAGCGTCTTTGTCAGTCAAATTAGGATGTTGTAAGCGAATAACCTGTTAGTAGTGATACATTAACACAGTGAGTAAGTAACTATAATTAATAGAAAAAAATAATACTAAACTAAGTGTTAGATACTGTATGCGTGCATCTGGCTTTCATTTGAGCTCCTTCATGTAATAACCTTGTAGGATGGCTTCCAGCTGGCACCACAGTAAGAATACAGAAATTGGGATTATAGAGGAGTTACCAAAACGAACATTTCGAAAGATTTCTGGCGACAGGTCGAGCAATTTTGAAACATCTGGAATTGTTGTTGATTTTAGAAAATTGCTTGTGAGTGAAAGAAGGATCATTGACTCGGTAAGAGAGGATTTGAGATCAAACTATCAAAAGACTGGATTTAATGCATCCGTGTATATATATATATATGTCTGCATTTATGCTGCAAATATTGGTAATTGTGACGGCTTGCATGTTGTTATTGACAGTCAAAAAGCAACGAATTTTATTGTAATGGTAGGAGGTGAAAATTAAAATTATAGTTACAGAGGCAATGAAGAAAATTTGAAGTTGTTACTGCCCAATTAATATGCATTAATTGCTAGGGTTTAGTTGGTAGAGAACTCGCTACCGCAGATAAATAAATATAAACTTATTATTGTGCACGTATGCTTTAATTAAGTACCGAAGATATACGTTCAACTATGCTGTTAATTTATATTAAAGGAAAATGAATATATTAACTAGCTGCTTGGTGTTATGCTTACTACAGTATATATTATTACATTAATACGTATTTGAACGTGATGGACGTCGAACTTTCACATTTCAATCAATCGGATGGATGTTGACTTTTGGTGCTTGATTTATTATAAAGGCGTATTAATGATTTCAGATTTCAAATCGGGATCTCTTACATGCCATCGTTGGACTTTACGATATATGCCTGCCGGATGTCACTCCAGAGGTTATATACGATTGCGTGTGCGCAAGATTTTCCAAAACGGTTATTCTTTTGCGGGACATAAATGGTAAGAAATGTGATTTAGTAACATTTAATATGTTTAGATATCTATGTAATAGTATTATTTTTATATGATCAGTGTATTCGTAATTATTCATTGAAGTATTCTATACAAAAATCATTTTGTATAAATTTGGCATTACAAATTATATAGTAATACCAGTAATACACTGGTGGAATACCGCTAGTAATCGGCAATCGCTTACCGAGATATTGAAAGAAAAGTTATGACGCTTTTGAGGCTAAAGGATACTTATATCGTACTTACGCTTTGATTGACATTTCTGTGTTACTTTCGAGTTTAAGTTATATATTATTATTGCATCAAATAGGTATATTAGATACTTCTGCAATATTCTGATTCGATACAGTGTCATGCAGTTAGTAATAATAGTTATGACGTTGTGTTCTTTAGAACTTCATGATTTCAATACAGTAGGTGGGGTAGCGAAGTTGGAGTTTGTAACATTGAAAAATCGGGTAGTCGATTTGGTATTGATTACGAAAGAATTTGATGAATTCTAACTGTTTAAATAATGTTCCGAGCTATAGCAGTTCGATACGGCTCAGTCGGTTTAACAAAGCCTGTTCTGCTAACTGTAATTAGCATATAGATTACATAAATAATTTTATAATAGCAGATATTATTACTGATTCTCTAACGATTAAGATACTACGTAATAGTACAAGCTCTGACAGACAAGAAAAATCTTCTTACAACCACAGATCTCAGAAAAGAGGGACTAAGAACGATAATAATAGAATAACGTTGCTGCTTAAATACGTTATTCAACTTGTTTATAATATAAAAGTTATAAACAACGTCTCTAAACACTTACAGAACTTAGCTTGAGAGCAAAATTCTGTGATTATTGTTATATTCTACGACGCAGAAATCAATATAGTTAAATAATAATTGCTATAAACATTGCTTGTACGGTTTACACCTATTATTGTTAACTGTCTAATAAATGCGTCTCACAATAACTCTCTTAGTCAAATGGTATTTTCTAAAAGGCTTTTATTGCAAGGTTTTAGGAATAGTGGAGCAATAATTAATTACTACAAGAACCTAGTCCAAATCTAAACTATTCTGAGCTCAAAGCGAAGTGAAGTCTCTTCTCTTCCGTGAGCTCATCTCTGCGGTTATTATAAACATTTCGTTAAATCCATTTATGACAAATTGATTAATTTACAATCAGACATGAGTCATCAAACAAAATACTTTTCTCTAATAGTAAGTCATTATTTTCCACAATCTGAATCATTCTACTTAAGATGTCACTACTCTCCTATTAACGTCTAGGCCCTTTCTCCGCATGGCATCTTAACAACTATAGTTTTTCTAGCCATATAAATCTTGTATCATAATTAGTCAACTGGCTACTATTAGTCATCAACAATTTCTAATATAGTAGTTAGCAATCGTTTAATATTAGCTTCGCGATGATATCTATTCAAAGTAACCTAGCTATATCAAATATAGCTATCCGTATAATCGAATATGGGTGCATCACTACACTGTCTTAGATTTTGTGATTATTTTTAAGTTATATCTAATTTACTTGTACAGTACATAGTACGTTGACAACAATAGCTTATTTAACAGTATCACTACAGTCGGTTGCAAATGTCTTGGATGATTATCCAGTACTTTAAAATTTAGAAGATGCAATCATTATTACGACTGCACAATGAATTTTTTGTATATAGTCTGCGGAGAAGAGTGGGACCTTTGTCTGTATTGGTTAAATACTAGTAGATTGGTGTGGGAGACTTTAATTACTTTATTCATTTCATGCATGAATACATGCTGTACGACACTATTTTCTTGTTATATAATTTAAAGTCTCTATGATAGGTTTATTACGAAATGAGATTATTAGCATGTATAAGTAGCTTCTATAGTATAATCTGATTACAATATTAACTGATTCTGTTGGACTATTGAACAATAGTAATACATCTTCACTTAAGTTTAAAATTTATAGTATTTAAGTTTATAGATTAAATATATTCGCCTAAATGTAATCGCGGATATATATTATCACTTATAGTGATTCATCGGTCATTATCTTATTTTCGAGAATGCTATCGCGTACCCTAGTTTTTAGAATGTGTTCTTAGCAGCATTAGCTTAGTTCAGTTCAATAACAATAAAGATTTAGTCCAATATTCTAGCTTTATCGGATTCGTCTGAAAATTTCTGGCTAATCTTCCTTGTTACAAAGTAGAAGTATTTCGAAACTGTAACAGGATTGCAAAATTCCCATTCTTAGAGCCGTCTCATTTTTTTATACTAGATATCAAAGGATCAATGATAGTAAATGAGCAAAAGGAGCAAAATGACTGTGATGTGGATGATGGAGGCTCTACCAAGTCTGTTGATCAAGGTGAAATATGTTGTATCTATCTGTAATTGGCATGCATTGTGTTCATAGTGTGCATGGGAAATCTCATTTTATGCATTGTGTATAAATAGTTTTGTGTCGCTAGAGGTGGCTATGTAGTAGATATCAAGTTGGTTATCTTACATAATAACTAGTTGCTTTGCATTCCTTATACCGTATCCAGCAGTTTGTGGAGTTGCAAACCCTGAAACGCCGATAATGAAATTAAGAATATGATAAAACACGCATTTACAGATTAAGACTATAGTAAATCCTTACTTGAAAATTCTTTTAAAATTTAGTATTTAGAGGCGAACAGAGAAGTATCTTTACGGGAATTTATAGCGATTCAGAAGAAAGCGTATTGGCTTCGTCGGCGGATAGGTCTGTTGATTGGTATTCCTGTATAAAAGAACATCTACATCATCAATTACATATTCGTCAACTTTAGTAGTTAAATGCTAAATGTCGGAAGAGGCTTCAGCCTAATGGAGATTACGAAAGATTAAATACAATGGATAATCACTTTTCTATATTAAAGCTTAAATCTGTGTGATTATAATTCCTTAAGCATTTATTTAAGGATATAAAGCTAGAGTTTGCAAATAAGTCTTAATGATGTGCGTACGCATAATTTTATACATACCGTACAGTGTACGAGTTCACTTGCGGAAATGATATCAGATATTTTTTGGGCTTATAGCAGTGAAAGCGATAACTCTGAAGAGGAGAATTATAGTGCTGGAATTGATGAGTTTATAGAGGCCGCCCGTGAACGTCGTAGAATGATTGCGGATTCTACAGGTAGTAATAGATAGGCTTAAATTAGTACCGATAACAGTTGGCTTACCTGAATGAAAAGTAGGATAATTTAATGATTGTCTGTTAATATTATAAGGATTGGTAGATCTCGTAGTGCGGTAGGCGAGAGATGTGTAGTTTTGTTAGCGATTGATCCTTAGTATTAGAGTCGCATTGTAGGCTAATGGCAGCGAGGACAAGCATTTCAGCAGGCTCATAGTAGCTTGGTTTGTCGTTACAAATTTCGATTTACAACAGTGTCAAATTGGTCCTGTCTTGGTGATTAATTTAATTTGAACTGGTTGTAGGCCTGTACTAATTCTATATAATCAATCTGATTGAAAACATTGATAAATTTGTTGAGTAGATGTGGATATAAAATGGAATGATTGATTAATTTATGCCATTAGAAATTGATAGACAAGATGTAGGAGTTGTCGGTCTCACTGAAAACTTGACATCATATTGTACTTGGTACGACGGATTCTATGTTAATAGGGGGAGAATTGTCTACGAAGTTGATTGGTCCTGAATGCTTGTTAGTAGGATGTGCTACATTTGAAAGGGCTTACAGGTATGGTAACAATTGAACGATTTGTACTGTGCAATATTGCTTCATAGCTGTTGAGGTAATCTGCTCAAAGCTACTAGTTGATTAATTATTGCGGCATACGCGGACAATTTGCACTAACAATTTGTGTATTAAGACATTTATCTGGAGATTATTTATTTGAGAGCACCTAATTTAAAAAACGGAGGCATTAGTGATAAAGTAAATCGAAAGTAAGAACCTTATTCATTTCTTTACAGTTTAAATTAATAACATGAAGTCTTGTAATACTGCATGTTTTGTATATTGTATTTTTAGGAGTGTAATGCTAATTACGATAGTTACTTTATTTACAGTTGACGGCTTGTGAGAGGGAAATTTCAGTAAAAATCTATAACTTGCAAATGGTTGGAAGTATCTTATTTAACCATTGGTCTATTGATACGCTAGTTTTACTTATAATTAGCTTGATTTTATATCGCTTCGCTAATAAAAGTATTATATTAAACATTTCAACTTTTTCGTAATATTTATGACAATAAGCAATGTTTAATGCCATAGTGTGATAAATATGCTCCTGTTATATATATAATTATTATTTACAACAAGTACTAATCACGAAACGATTTCGAGTAAAATTGAATTTAATTACTGATTTTGGTTAACCAAATTTCTACAACGGGAAATTATCGTTTCAAGAATAAGTACCATTCTAACTCTATTGATATAGCTTCTTATATAGCTAGTTTGTTTACGACACCCAAAATAATTGAGAAGAAATAGCTGAATCAATCATTTACCCATTAGACTTAGCATTAAAATGAATGAATCTCTACGATTACTATAGCTTCCTACGAAACTGAGATTGGTAAACTTATGGTATTGGCAACATGACAATACTTGTACTAGCTGTCATTAATAATTTATAAATGACTCCAAACTGTTGACGAGGGCATGCATTATGTTATTATACACCGCTCGTGCATGATGTTGTGGATTGCATTTGGTTACGTGATAATATAATATTTGATAAGATTAAAGTACAAAATAGCCTGCGATTAGTACCGTTCACAGCAACCTGGACCAGTTTAAATTTCAAAATTTTAGCGTAAATGCACTTCTCATAGCTTTGCAAGGTAATGCTGTTCTTTGGGTCATGAAACATACTTGAAATTGTTACAAAGGAATGCTAAATTATCAAGCGTGTTAACGATGTTATTACCTACGAGCTTAGTTTCATTTTTTAACGTAGACGAGGAAATGAGAGAGTTGGACAGATTAGTTTGCTGGCTGTGAGAAATAGATATAGGCGATGCCATATTGGAAAGTATCTGCTTGAGGTAATTTTTATATGCAATTCTTTACGCCAGCATTGTCATGTTATATGCGAGCGAGATGTATATGCAACTTTTTTATTGCCTTGAGATCGTTTGTGAAAGAGAGTAAGTATGACCATAATAGAGTGTAGGTCAAGTCAAATGGCTGAATAGAATTAGAAATGTTGCTAGCTATATTTAATTTTTATTCGATTTAAAATTTAAGAGTTACTTGGATGTAAGTTTTATTTAATATCCCAGTTGAACTGTCGATGAAGATGTACATGCGTGATATTGCAGTAGAGTATTTGCTTACCAATAGAATATTCCAATGAGTTTACGATTAAGATTTCATTTGACTGTCTTGAGGAATTATTATTGCAAAGTAAATTAATTTTCTATGTTATATGATTATTTTGTGTATTTTTCTTGTAATTTATCGGTGAAATTGTTTTAATTGATAGATAATTATGAATGTGAATATAATGGGGGAATACGATGCGATCGCAGCGTACGTAGATGACGGTGCCAAAGATTTCTTTTTAAATAATGGATTCAGCGATGATGTCTTGCTAAACAGCCGGTACAAGTATGTGCGAATGCAGTGCAGTTTAAGAGATCCATATGTATAATACTTTGAGACGTTTAATTATTTAAGACCTTTAGTATGTAGAATCATCAAGCTCGATATTTTTCAAACTATACATAATATAATTAATGAATTATTGGCCAACCTCTTTGCTCGTAGTTGTTTAGTTTTTGGAAAAGGTTGCTTTTTACAGGTTTAGGTTTATGAGTATATGTCCATGAGGCTTTATTTTGAGTGCAGTAGTAACATAATTAATTACTATACTTATATACTGTAAGTGAAGTCTCTTGATCAAGTGGATACAAAATTAACTCGGTGTTCAAGTGGTGGTAGTTGTGTTAAAAATTTAATCCTTTTGGAAGTACTGTACTTTATAAAAAATGTACATTGTAGTAAAGTTAGATTTATAGATTTCTATTGACATGGACTTCTTTTGAAATTTTGGTTTGTTACCGTCTGTATCACTAAAGGACAGTCAATTTATTGTGATAGCATACTGTACTTTTAAATTAAATTATTATTATAACTCTTTCTTTACCTTATTAGGAAGTATATCAATCACTGGATTAACAGTACATTGATGTGCTACTTGCCAATGGTTTCAGGTAGAGGAATAGCTAGATTGACAGTAAACAGCAGTGTAGGCGTAAAAATTTACATTGAACAGCAACATAGGTTTTAAAAATGACATCAATACGAAAGAATTAATTACTTTAAAGTAGAACAATGTAACGCATACCCTGTATTGTCGCAACGTTCATTGTAGGTGTTTTACCGTTCGATAACAATTTGTATTTGACTGAACGCTTTAGCTGTTAATATAAACAACGCCGGTAGTCTTGATGAAATTGTTGAAGAATGTGAAAAATGGTGAGTTAGAAAAAGGATTATAGTATTGATAGAACGTGTTGATTTAGTGTTGAAATTGTAGTTATAATTCGATGTAATACTGGATATATAAAAAACGGGTATACCGATTTTAGGAGACAGAAAAGTCTCGAGGCTTATCAAATGCAAGCTGGCTGCATGTTTAAGATGGTACATGAAAACCATCAGCTTAGGAAAACGGTCGATAAATTGAAGATTCTTTCTCTGTGTTTATTGTATATATAATTCTTGTAATCAAATGCATCATAATAATAATAATAATAATAATAATGTGCCATTTGTCTTGGAAATAACCGTTATGCTATGAAATAGGTAAAAGAGCAGACTGAGTTGATCAAAGATTTGGAAGATCGCTTAAGTAGAAAACAGCAGCAATTGGAATATATTGGTATTACTTACTATAGACTAGTACTGCATCAATATGGAATAGTGGAGCAGGAATTAACTTCAATGTTGTGATTTGAAATGTAGAAAAAGAATTTACTAGGTATCGTCAGAAAGTTGCAGTAGGTAAATGCACATGTTTGGTTTGGTAGTTATCATTGCTCGTAATACGTTTTATTTGAATTCGGTTGGATGTGTCAATAGAAAGTTGACATGGTGGTAAGAAATGAAATTTATTATGATGTATTTCTGTTGCCAGATTCTAGAGAGTTGTCAAGAATGACTGAAGATGTAGAAAGGCTACATTTGAGTGATAATAGATCACAAAGTATGACTGATTAGTTTTGGGTGTTGATGGAAATATTAATATAATAATAGGTAATTATAGAAATTTGTAGCTGTCCATTGAAGTAAGGAAATTTTTTGTTGATATGGTTTTGCAGATTTTGTTGGGAAGTTTGGTTGTAGAGATGAAATTCTGAAAGAATTACGGTATCCAGTTGAGGAATTTGTAAAGTGTATGGAACAATGTATGCAATCTGGTAGCAGCGTTGAAGTACAAGAAATCTATCAGGTTAAATATGGATTATTATTTTTCTATTAAACGACGAGATTTCCATCGCCTCTTTTATATAGAGAATATGTGATTGTTGTTTTCTACTACAGTGGGGCAGGAAATAGACTATAAATGGTAGTTGTTATTATTATTATGATTATTTAGTCCTAGAAGATGTCAACTGCTAGTATTATTATATTACTATTATTTAAGGATAGCATTGACATAGTAGGGTATGTGCTTGGTTTATAGGTTTCTGAGAATGCTAAATCAAAAATTCAAAATAATTTTGATTCTTGCGTGAACTCTTTTGGAGATAATGCTTCTGTGCTAACGTTGTATTATTGTGGAGGTAAAAGCGGCTTAAAGGGAATATTAGAAAATGGTTTTACTACAGAAGGTAAAAGCTATGTAGTAGGACACGATAAGACAATCGTGCATACCGTTAGTGTAGTTAGCTTAAGGTAATAATTGATGCTGTGCTTTTGAAACAATTAGGTTGTCCAGTACGGTACAATAGAGAATTATGAGCTAACTTAGTTAGTCCTAGTTGATGTCATTGCTACCCAATTGTATTTTATTTATTTACTTACAATACTGTAATCAAAGATTGTCAACGTGTAGCAATATGATTAACTGATTTTATTATGGAGTATTTATTGATGGATATAATCAGTTGTACTTGATACAAATGCGGTAGTGCAGTACTGGAGAGTATGATCGTAGTAGTAGTTTATTATGATTTCATTTGGAGTGCAATATTCGTTTAGGTGAGGGATAAGGAATAGCGTAAAAAGTGGGATATTGACAGGGTGATTTCTACTTGTAGTAGTGTGTATTTTTAGAGTATTGATGATGATAATATGATAATAATTATAATAATTTATTGCTGTGATTCATTCATTCATTCAATTATTGTTATGGACGTATGATAAAAATACGAACGTGAAAGAATTTGTAAGAGATATTTTTGGGCAAGGGTTGTATTTTTCAAAATACGCAACACAAGCGATTTATTTCAGCAAGGTAATGAAGTCAATGTACTGTACTTTTTGTTTATTTATGATGTGGAAGTGTTGCAGTAGGTAGGTTTGTAATGGATAAGTAGGAAAGTTAACGTCAGTATAAATTACGTAAGATATAGTAATAATAATATAGGAGTAGTAGTACAGTACAGTAGAGAAATGATAATGCTGTCTATCATTGTTATGATGATTAGTGAAACGTATACAGTCGATGTACTGTACAGTATTTCATAATATGCATAATAGAGCAATAAAGAGAATAATTTATGTTGCGAATTTTTATTGTAGCCAGATGAGGTTTTGATTGCAAGAGTGGCTCTTGGTCGAGTAGAGTCGGTTGTGAGAAGTGATGAAAACTGGTACAATTGTGCTTGTGTTTTTGTAGCATTCTATGTTGATTGATGATTGTGTTTGTTCATTCGATGTTGTATCTTTGCTTGTATTAGTTGCACACCACCGGAAGGTTTTGATTCTATCTTGGTAAGGAGGAGCTAGTGTGTATGATTATAGTTCATTAGTGATGTTAAGTTTCGTGTGTTTTGTGTTGGTATGGGTAGAAAATATATTTATTTATGAATTAAGAAAGTACTAATATAGACTTTGCTGTATTGCTAGTGATAATTGATGTTATGGCTTGTGTATGTGTCAATGATGTGAATTGATATTTTATGGCAGACTAAAGGAAGACATTCTATAACTTATCAAAGAGATCCACTGTATAAGCATGAATATATTCTATTTCGTCCTGAGCAGGTACTATCATACTCAATCACATCAAGGTAGTCGATTGCGTAGATACTGTATAATGAAAGGAGATTCACTAAGTAAGTTGATTGGAATTTGGTCTATAGGCGATGCCTATCTGTGCTGTGAAGTACGTGATTAAAACAAGAAGCGGCCCTTAGAGTATGCTACTACACTAGCTGAACATGGTAGAAAGATTTGGAAAAGAGAGATTTTCGATTTAGTGAAGATTGGGAAATTAGTATGTGTATGTCTAGTTTTATGCTATTGAAATTATAGTGTCAATTGTCCTTACTGATAGGTGATTAATATCGTTGGAGGTAGATATTACGGTTAGTGTGACTTGTCGCGCATCACGATTTTGGAGAATTTAAAAGTGTCAATTAATAAATTAACGAAATCAACAGAATCCTGTACAGTGGAGTTGTTATGAAGTAAGAGTACTAAGTGTGAAATATGTATTTTTTGTATTAAGCATACGTACCGCTGCCATGTGTAGAAATATGTAGTGGAAAAAATCAGTATGGGTAAAATGTGGTAGCGAGGTGAAATTGATATACAGTACTGTATTGTAGGATTATAAGGGGAAGGGAACTGTAGAGTGAATCCCTCCTGTAGATATTAACTTTATAATCTTCTTACCTATGGAAAATTTGGTAATTTGCGATACTCTGGAAACGTAATTGTTACTTTTTAATTAGTGCACAGTATGGTTCTATTTTATAAGTATCGGATACTTTTTGAGTACTGCAAAGCGGATATAATGTACAGTAGGTCTTTTCTTTTTGAAAGCACATGGCAGCCGCCGCGTGTTGCGTGTTTTTTACGCGTCGTCAACGCATGTTTTCATAAGCAATACTGCTTTGAAGTACAGTACAGTGTACAGTACAGTGTACAGTACACGAGGACTTGTAAAGTACTGTACAGTACAGTATAACAATGTTACAGTACGGTACAGAGCAGCTCTGTATTGGCAGGTACTGTACTGTACTGTACTGTACGAATACTTACCAAGTTACAGTACTTAGTACTGTAAAAAATGCAAATAAGCACATATTAAAGCGCCTATAATAGAAGTAAAAGATTCTTAAGTTACATATATATTAATACGTGAACTTTAACCTAACGTATTACCTTGTGTAATACATTTACTAAAATTGGAACGATACAGAGAAGATTAGCATGGCCCCTGCGCAAGGATGACACGCGGTTGACGTGAAGCGTTCCTTTTTGCTGAAGCGTTTATTGTGTATCTCCTACGTAGATTTTTGAGGCTCATCTACTTTAGTAGTTAATAAATCATCTAAGGATCCATGTTTCTACTTTAGTTTTTCGCTAAATCTTGGATAGTTTCTAGTTTGTCCCAGTTACACACAGACTAACTGTAGTTTAGTTGCGTTTTGTAGTCTATCTAAGTCCTGCATTACATAGTCAAAGACAAGGCGTTAGCCGAGCTATCTCAAATTTCAAGTTTTAATCTCTGTGAACTTCAATCTAATTGTCCTTAATTGACTAATACCCACCTCTTTTATTGCTTGTCACTATCTATTCCAATTTATTATTAATTTACTCATGAATACATATGGACTTACTATATCAAAGATCGTTATACGTATACTGTTCTTCCTCTTTTCGTTCTATTACTACCTGCAATTATCTTTTATTGCATTGAAAACAAGACGAATTTAAATTTTGAAGAAATTCTGTTGCAAACATACACTAGTTTCAATAACTTATTCGTATGTTGTAAATCTTTACTTTAATGCACTTTAATGTTACTGCGGCCTGAAGTCTAAAATATTCATGAAGTTCTGTATAATATTTGCTATCTGTAAACTACCGTATATTGTAATAAAAAATTTTGCATCGATATTACTATTATCGTTATAATATATCGTGATTTAATCTTAATGTTTTATTGACATCGTTATTCATTCTTTGAATTTAGTTTTATAATGATTACAGGTAAATTGTAAAAATGGATACACAAGGCCATACCGATATCGCCGAAAATACGGCAAATCATGGGAAGCGAATGGTTGTTTACAACTTTAGAGCTCAGCAAGACATCGGTAACAGAATTTGCAATTTTCAAAAATCTCCTTCTCAGTCATGATCCAACGTGCTATTCTATACCATATCCATATGGAGCAGATGGTTCCCATTTGGTATTAACTAATAATGGGAAAACAGGAATGTGACAGGATACAGAAAAGAAGCGATTAGATAGCTCGATATAATTCATTTTTATATATTGGTAGTATCAACAGAATTTTCTTGATATGCATAGGCGAAAAATCGAATCTATTCTTCTAACTGTCAGCTATTTAATCAGAATCAATGGAAATCATCCCTATTTTAAAATGTTTAGTGCATAAGAAAGCATCCATTCATCGTATTATAAATGATGGTAATAATTATAATCATCTTCTAGCAAGCTATACTTTCAGCCGTTCTCGTACGTATACAGTAGTATACAGAGTGATCTCATAAACTGAAAGTCAGTAAAATTCGCTAAAGCAAAACCGTAGCGATGACTGTATAGTATACTATAAATATTTTATAGTATAAAAATAATAATATAGATATACTGTACAACATACACATATCTAATTGATTGATAACCTTATGGAAAATGCAATAGCTAATTTCTAGAGTTTTCTTCCTTTAGAAGTTTGTGATAATTATAATTACATATAATTATGTGAGATGTATGAAAGAGCAAATTTATGGATGAATATGTATCGCATTCTTAATATCAAATAGTACAGTATACGCTACATAGTATAAAGCACGTAAGTAAACTTTTAAAATGCTAGAATTTTTTAAATGGATATGCAATCATCAGACAATCATTAGCTGATCGTCCAATAGACGTAAGAGTAATTGTTTGAATTGTCAACAATTATAGAACTTTCTAATATTTAAAGGAATAATGTGCTAATAACATTATGAGTCACAATCCGTCAGCAATGCGATGGGTTATAAGTCTGGTATATATAATCAATGGTATGCGTTAGTTGGATACTGTGCTTTGATCCGAAAATGCATTCTGGGAGTAGTCGCCATTAAGATTGATATTAAATAGTAACTTATCGGTCAATTCACTGCAATAAAGAGTAAATATCCTATCACATCAAATTCGCTACAACGAAAGGTAAACCTCCTATCCAATGAGATCCAGCACGAGATCCAAACCTAAAAAATTATAACATTGGTGGCCGTTTCCTGATATACTCGTATGACACGAAAATCGATAAAAATGGTGATTTAACAACCAATTATGTTACAGATTAAAGTTCTACTCGATACCCTTACAGGGACCCATTAGTAAAGATATCCATTAGTACCCATGACCCCCGTACTCAAAATTAGTTCGTCATTGGAAGAACCTTTTACTAGTCCCCGACCTCGCAATTAATGCATTCCATGTTAAAGCTAATACGTAAAATTTGGCCACTATTAGTTCGTGCGCAACCAATGTCACTACCAACGAATTGTACTCTGCACAAAGACTAAAAGTATTTCTATAGAGTGATTACTTTATAATAATCTACAGTATAAACTTTTGTATTGTTAAAAAGCTTCGTTCTAATTATACTTCATGTCAGTATCTCGTTCTCAGAACTAATATTTGCTATTTATGAATAGCTTATTTTTGAATATATACTGATATGGGAATCTTATACTTCGTTAGTGCTTTGCTTATCGTACTGCATACGTATGATGTAGTGTAAAGCATGGTTGGGGGGGGGGGGGGCACATCTTGATCCCGATTTAGCCCTTTAAAATGAGTTTATAAGTAAGTGTACGTAAGCTGTTGGTATATATGACAGCAATTTAGATAAAAATGGCTTAGGCATAAACTAACTATAGCATATCGCCGAAATTACAATCTACAGCGTATAATTCTTTACAAAGTTATAGTGCCTGATACTATTGGAATGACTCAGGCATAAATTAACTGCTGTATCGACTATATATCGCTGAAATAACAATCTATAACGTAGAATTCTTAACTAAGTATTGGCACCTGAAACTATTAAATTGGATCAGGCATCAACTTCCGCATATACTGTATATCGCTAGAATTGCAATCTACAACGTATACAACAAAATTTTGGTACCTTATACTGCTAGATTTTAGTCCGAATAGAGTTGTCAAATTCGCAATATACCAAGATACTTAGCAAAGTCTACTGTAATAAAACTAAATGGTTTATTTTTAAAGCCATAATACTTTAAAAATTCAAAATCTTTAAAGAAAATTAAAAAAAATAACCTTAATTAAACCGCAAATTAAAAATTTAATTGACTTATATCATTTTACAGTTGCTATTATTGCCGTTCATTATACAACGGTACGTGAGTTTATATCACTTACCCACAATTAGAATGTACCAAAGCTCATTTAATTTTAAAGTTTATTGCTGGTTTTTCTGAAGTTTTTTTACATGATATCGAAATTTTAAGGCGTACCATTATTGAAGAACCAAAATACAGATCTAATTACACATCGCCTTATATAGTCATAACTGATTAAAAGCTTTTGAAACACGTTCATGTAAAAAGCTTATTTGAAGGATACTTGAATCAACCCATACTAAATTTCTGATAACTGATAACTTTTCAGAGCTCACTTAACACTATATCAGATGTATCTGAACACGGTTAAAAGTATTTTAAGGAATTCAATAGAACAGCTAAGTAACGCGGTCAGAAGTGTTTCTACTTGCTACAGTGCTGTGCGGCAATAGAGCCCGCAATGCCATGTATTTCAGTTTCGGGTACGGTAAATTTTAGAAGTACCGCACAGTACAGTACTTGGGAATGTTCTGTGAATGGCTATATACAATATGAATTTCTTAATATTTAGCCAATGTTAAAAGTTTTTTACGCTAGGTATCAGAATAAATTGGCAATAATACTGGCTAGCAGCAAATCAGTTACTATAACACAGAAAAGAACAGACACTTATAGTTTTAGAAATCATTTTTCTAGTTTGATATTGTGATACAGACCGTTTTCAACAAGAAAGTATTATCTGAATTTCAAATGTAATACGCTAGATTTGTTCGTAAAATAATTAACCATCACTATAATGATGAATTGAAAATTTTGGTACGTTTATATAGGTAGTCTCATGTCAGATGGTTGTTAACTGCCAGTGCTGAATGAAGAATTAATAGGGAATCTACGACAATGAATTCAAGAACTGTGTATATGTAATACTGTTTTAAGATGTTAAAACTCGTAATGCTAATTCATGAATATGTATTGCGTCCAGAAAGCTTGTTTATGTGCTATGTTGCACAGCTTATAAATATTTTATCCGCTTAATAATTTCATGACATACTGTTTACACGTATACTAGACTGTACATTCAATGATTCGAAGTTAACTTTGGAAGAGATTAAGATCAGTAATCTGTTATAAGTATAATTATTGTAGATAAATACTCGTACATTAAAAGTATCTTGCGTTTACTTATAATTATTTGTACATTTATTTTACTACTGAACCAGCACACCGTGCCGTACAAGTATGATTTATAGTAATGCTACAGTATAAGAATTAATGTAAATATACGTATACTTATATCACTCAGTCTGGTACAAAGATTTCCAGCTCATAATACTTTACATGTATTTAATAATTAAAAATACTTACAAGTTCTCTACTAAGCCGTAGTGTCATACGTCTAAATGCTATATACTATATCTTTGATTAGTTAACAACTGTAGCATCTCGTTCCGCTTGATCATAATTATATACGGTAGCGTGCCCCGTAAAAATTTCACGGCTTCTTTCGAATAATGGTATCCTGTGTGCACGTACAATTAAAGTAGCTCCGAAAAGTATTAAAAAATTTAAAATATCTGTATTATCATGATATTATTACACCGTAAAATAGGGTTCATAACATCAAACTATCACTTCATAAGGAACTTGAAAACATTAATTTTTATGCATCACTGATATGTAACTGATCACAATTATGCGATATTTCAGTCAAGCATCATAGTATCATACACGTAATAACCTCTTTCTCCCCCCCCCCCTAAAAAAATAGAGTGTACTATCGTCAATGGAATTCCAACTTGTCCACCCTGTTCTGTAACAAACTTTTCAATGTATTTGTTATAGACTCTTACATACACAAGCTACTAAAACTCAAGAGTTTTAACTATGCAGAGATTTCCAATATTCTATATTGTAATCCAAGAGAAAAGCAATTTTGCAAGCATATTGAACTAGTCGTAATTATGTAGTTACAGATTAATAACTAAATTATTTACCCTATTGATCCATTTTCTTAAACAATAAACAATAACTGACATTCCTAATAAATTTACGATAAATATCAGAAATATTAGCGTACTGTACAAATGCTAGCGGTGTCAATAAGGAAAATTCGAATATATGTTGTAATTTAGACCTGACAGTTGTATTACATAATTATCGATCAGAGGATTACCAAAAATAGCTTTATAGCACTTGTACGGAGACGCACCAACAACAGATCAGCACTAAAAGCGGGTAAGTCATAGAGTTATTAATGCAGGCAAGGACTACTGAAAGAGACAGGCAAACGGTACGAGTGGACAACACATTACTATTTATAATAATTAATAGCTAAATATTTGCATTATTGCCTACAGTATGCGATGTCGTTGCTCCGTGGGGAGTCTCACTGGTACTTACAGTATTTTAGGCTCAGTGGCCTGGTCCGAGGTCGACATTCACTACAGTATAACCTGCAGTTGTTGACTACACTACAGTATATAATGCAGTATTTAAACCATAACTCTCGATAATATAATCTGACATTAACCGGAAAAACAATAATAATATACGTATACGAGTACGTATATAGTAACCAATAAAACCCGGCGTACCTTCATTAATTACGTGCAATCAGCGATTGTTAGGCACAACCGTCTTAATACTGTATGCGTATGCTTATCATTTATCTCTAACTTTAATCAATAGATTCGCTGTTGATAAATTGTAAAAAAAAGAACATGAAATTCTGCATTGCACTGCCATGGACCAGTCGATTACAACAAATAAATTTTTGATACCTACGGATCGACCCGTGATGAGTACAAATTACGAGAGACTACTCTAGAGAAAATTTGTACTCAAGTTCGAGTCCCAGTTTTTGCTAAATAAATACAATAAATGGTTCGAATTGAAACTAGAACTCTAACAGGTAGTTACAACTTACTGTAATCACAATCCGTTAGTTATACTGTACTGTACAGTACTGTACTGTACTGTATGCATACCTACAGTACAGTATACTGTACAGTGTACAGTACAATGTGTTGCTGAAATACTGTACTGTACTGTACAGTACTAATTGTACAGTATTTTCCTGCCGTACGAACTACAGTACTGTACCACTCTAAGATACAGAATTAGAGACAAGACCATGGACTAACGTACTGTACGGTATAATAGTAAAAGGCGATTGTTAATTGTTGTTACTCTTTTCAGTGCAAATCAGAGCTGAAATGTCTAAAAGAAAGATCACTGGCGATGAATACAATTCTTCATTATGCGCCACTGAAATAAAGAAATCTAGTAATGATGCAGCTGCAACACGGATGTCTATAAATAGTAGATACTACGAAAACAACTTTCGTAAGACACTATCGCATTCGTACAGGTATTTATAGTACTGTAAATTAAATTAAGTATAAAGTTGTAAATTGCAGTACGGTACTGTACGTATAAATCTGCTCGTAATTGCAAATTTGAAATTACTTTGATGAGCTAAAACATCCTTCTTCATGTTGGCGTTAATAACATAGGTCGAGCGCACTAATTTGAAACTTATGCAAATGTACAGCGTTTGTCCAACATCAAAATACAGAACCCATCGGACGTACTGTATTTCATCAATCTATAAAAAATTTACTGTCATTTTACTGCCGATCATTCATGCGCATTTACTGTCTGTACGTGGCTAGTTTTCAGTATGGTTTTCACGTTGTTTGCATGGATTCAGTGTATTTGCCGATCCATTATATAACGTGAATTGAAAAAAAATCAGAAAACATACGATCTGCGTATAATTGCGATTTTGATTTTTTGGATTAATGCATTTAGTCCAATAAACGGAATTGATCCGCTTTTTAATTTTGCCTTCCGTTACTACTGATCCATGTAATACAAATTAGAATTGAAGACGATTCATTTATCAGATAACACTTGTGCGTTGACGGCACATTCGTACGTACGGTATAGACTTGTATTGCACATTTCTTAAAGGTTAAATGGCACTTTCGTTTACTTACGTCATCTTAATGTTTCAATCATTATACAATAATAATTTACCTAAAATGTTTGGATACTTAATTTAGGTTTTGTACAACTGCATTATGCTTTGTAATACTGTATAAGTATAAGGATTGCTACCTTAAATAAGTAAACCGCAGCGATTACTAATAAATTCACGACATACTTGCCTGAATTCTCTTTTTTATGTGCATATGTTTTACCATATTATGTAAGAAATCGGCAATCTTTCGTGGACGGTAAGAACTTACGCATTCCTTATTCAAGTAGTAACTTCTTAATGGTAAAAATGGAGATTATAACCTTAAGGGAACTACAGTAGTAATTGAACGATACTCATAGTATTTAGAACTAGTTACGAAGTTTATTTTATTTTATATAGGTTTTATATTGTACTGTACTTTTTCTACATGTGGACTGCATTATCTAACACTTATCTCGTATTTTATAGATATTACAGGAGCCACCTTATATAATCAACCATTCCAGTGCTGTTGTCTACCTAATTTCTTATCAGACACTAAAGCTGTTCACTCATTAAGGAATCAACTACGAAAAGTGAAATTCTTTAAAAAGTCCAACGATCTTTACTCCTTAAATCAGGTAGCCGGCCTCAGACTGCAGTTAAATGTGATTTATTCAGCACTCGTATCTTTTCGTGAGCACTATGCATTCCGATATGCTGTGATGCGATAGTACGTACTGTAATGATATAGGTCAAAAACGCGTATTTACAGTTAATATCTAAAGATGATAATCTTTGGCTTTTAGTCGGCCGATTTAAAAGGGTCACCTTTGCCAGCAATTCAGTCCTTCAGGTAAATCCAATGCTAAATTTTATTACAGAAATTGAGATCTATTTCAACTTTAACTCCAATACACATCCCGAGAACGTCGCCATTTTACACAGCTTCTCTTAGGATGTAAATTGTAACAATTATAATGTAATGCTAGGGAGTTATTGCTTGATGATGTTTTGCCATGGTTGAGAGACTTGACAGAAATTCCTCTCGACGATACGCTTGACATAACTTGCTCAAAGTATGAATATGGAGGTGATTTGCAATCTCGGACTCTAGCGTAAAACTAGTCGCCCTGCATTTACATGCATTGCATACTGTTTGAGTATACTGTTGGTGATGTTTGAGAGAAATATTATTTACGTCACGGTCATAACTTATATCTTACAGATGTGCTGTTATGTCATGACGATGAGTTGGAAAGAAGACGAATTGCTTTTATTTACTATCTAGTCCCTGAATGGTCTAGCGAAGACGGAGGTTACATACTGTCTTTAGCTTACGATTTACTGATTTTCGCGTTCCGTGGCTAATCTAATAAGTTCGACTTTTAAATTTTTCGCCTTAGGAACGTTAGATTTGTTTTCGATAGACGGTAAGTAGTATTACTTACAGATTCGAAAGCAAAAAGTCTGCTTTGTGATGAATTATATAGTTATGTATTGTATTATAATTTAAACGTGATGCCATCTAATCACAAGAAAAGGAATCCTTTTAATTTCACTTCTTGCCTTTAAATGCTAGACAATGGAGATCCCGATACCGTTGTTAAATCACTGGTTCCGCAGTGGAATAACTTTGTTTTTTTTGAAGTCAATACTATATCTTTTCACCAGGTTACTTACCCAAAAGAAACTTCTAGAAATTAGATCATAAAATAACTAATCCTGAAGTTAATCTGTAATTTTAATCAGCCTATCTCATACAAAGGCTATATTTCAAATTTACTTCACATTTCACCGATTCATTACTTCATGGACGTCGCAGGTATCTGAAGTTATTAGTAAGAGCAAAAAAAGATTGTCTATCAACGGATGGTTTCATGGTCCTAATATTGACAGACCTAAGTTACATAAAATTCCCATTCCCCTTATCTCAGAGACTGAAACACTGGTACAGTACCAACAGTAAATAATTATAACTTAATTATCGACTTACTTTAGATTGATATTACAAGCGTGATTACATGAATCTTATTTCGCACCGGATATTGCATAAGTACGCTGGCGTTTTTTTTATTTATGTGAATCGGTTGGTAGACTTCCTTATCGGATTGGATTAACCCTGTCTATCTTAATATTGAGACTCAATTACAAATTCGGAAGCAATTTGAAGAGAATTCAGAAATTCAATTAATAGATTTTTTGCTGGTAAAATTCATTCGTATTAATTAATTTCGTTAGTACCTCCATTAAATAGCAAAACAGCAACCACTGTTGCACTAAAACTGCATTGCAAGATCATATATATGCAAAATTAAAAGCAAATGACTCTCATACCCACATTTACAGAACGACAAATTTAATGCGGTGTGTTTTGAATTACGGAATCATGCCAATTCAGCTTGGTCTCGTATAGGACCCGCAAATAAATGGTGAAGTAATTGTTAATAGATTATTTGATACAGTGAATCCAATCCTTTTATCGATACCATACTATAATTTTTTCTTGCTTTACTTTTCCAATTTACGGATTTTAGTAGTACAGATATCTCGAAAATTTCATCGTTGCCAGTGAGTGCTAGGGATTGCTTTGATTTATTCAATTCTATAAAGTTCTACACGTTTATTGCAACCTTAACGGGGCTAAATATAGGAGGTTGCAAACCTCTGTTTTCCACGGAAACTGATGAAAGCGATAGTGATACGTTACAAACAGATACATCAAGCAACTACAGCGAGGACCCTGATGTATGTAATATGTAAACTTCATAACGAACTGTAATTTACCTGAAATATATATACCGTATTGTATACAGTAGATATTGTGCAACCTACTTCTAATTGCCATTTTTTGGATATTAAAAAAATGATCCTGTAACTATTATCTCATTCGGTGGCACTGTCTTCTTTTTATGCTGTACTCACTACGCCAGTAATTAAACGACTTAGATTTCACACTTAATTCGAAACGATAGGTTCTTAATAATTACAATGTTGAGATCGATAAAGGTAGCGGCCAGCTCATGTTTCAAGAAGCCCCATGTACATCGAACGATCTGCTATCATTGCCACTGGACTGTAAACAAATGGCAGATACCATCGATCCTGATAACAGCGACTCTATTCATACTAGACAATGCTGTTGTGGTAATTTCCGGCGCTGGAAGCACAAATATTACACGCTCATAAGGGACTCAGACCCAGAAATGACAGAGTTTGGTTTAGATACTGTCATTTTCTTCTGTTCAGCATGTAAGGAACCGTATTGAAAGCGGTAACAATAGTTAGCGAATTCAATTAATTGTTAGAATGTAATTTAGATTGCAGTCCGTTTTTGTAATTTATGTTATCTGTACATAGCATGGAAACCTGAATGTGGAGGAAGTACAGCATATATTGCCAAGGGCGAAGATGATGAGGTTTGTATTCAAAACTAATGCTATCTTAGTCAGCACTAGTAATAATTCTGCTTTATGCTAGCTAACTTTTGTACTGATTTTAATTCTTTCAGCTACTCACCATTCAACCTACCGATAACACACTATCAATAGTATATCGAGATACAGAAACGATAAAATTTGTTAAATACATTAATCATCGTTTACTAGCACTCAATCCTGATAGTAAATGTCCACACTTTTATGACTTGGCAATGACTTATTACGAATGATCTATTTAGCTTATGTATTAAAGTTCCATAATGCAGATATTTTGTTTTGCAACAGTTTAAATTGCAACCATAGAATACCCATCTGTGAAAATTTAATTAAATATTCGCCAATAAACCTAAACGGTTCTGATGTATTTTTACGAATAAAACAAAACTGTCATGCTGATGATGATATTCAAGTTATTACTTATAATTGAAAGTAAACACATAGAAATATTATTCCCAGCATTGGTCACTTGCGCGTTTTATTTGTTTAGTTAGCAAGTAATACTTTCGATTATATAAATTAATATATGAATACGAGCTTTGAGGTATTTAAACTCATAGAATAACTTATTCGTAGTGAACCCACAATAATACTTTACTCTTGGGCTATGATGTACTACGAGCTGTGAAGTCGTTAATTTAAGGAACCACTTATTTGTAGCGAGCTGTAGTGACACTTGATTCTTAAAAGGCTAAAATGCCTTTACAAGCTATACTCTCAACCGATATTCCAGCACTGAAGGAAAAATACTCTGGTCTACGAATTTGCTATCTCCAATTCCCTGCGAAGTTACAAAGATACACGTGATGACTATTGATCTCACCTCGAAATAATTCCCGGATCTTGAATTTTAGCTGACTCGTTAAATAAAATGACTAATTTACGCACTCAAATGCTTCGATCCCCTCTAATTATAATATTATTAATTCTGACCATGACGCCGCCCTTGTGTTACTCTTCGAATGCTATTTATTAACAGTAAATGTCTATTTATATTATGTTATGTATGATACGGTATGACATACAGTATATGAATCTTAAATTTAATATCGAAGAAATAAATTGTTAGAAACTGCAAAATATCTTCCAGTTGAGAAGTTTAAGTCAATATCAAAATTGCACTGTATAGATTCTAAGTCACAACACAGCACACATACTATGACAATACTTAATTAAACTACACTGAGATATTACCACACTGACCAACAAATGACACTGAATCGTGACTTCAGAACACAACAGCAAGCATATATACAGTAAAGGTTCTATTTGCTGCTACTAACAATTGAAACTAGCCATCTAGAATTAGGTCTTGATCACGTTTGCGACATTTGCATTTTCACTTAAGATACACTGATTGCATACTTTCTTAAGCTTTTATCATATAAAAATGAAATTTTATTCCGTATTTATCTAGTTTACTTATGTTTATAAACTACTTCATTATAGTATTTGGTAATGTTAGAGGATACAGTTTCATTTGACGAGCGATTAGGTGTAAGGGAAATAACCTTCTTGTTTACTATACCTCTGGTGTGATTATAAGACATTTAGTACAATAGTAAAGCTCGCCAGGCATTCAAATATCCAGGATGGTAAATCTAGCTTCTAGTTCACTGTTATTTCCCGTTACAATTCTAGGTTGTAGATAGGCTCATTAGTAATGTACACACTTGTACTAAAGAAATTCATTTATTATAACTTTTACTACAATCTGTTACGATTACTATACTGAATTAATATGAACATACTGTATTCAATCTTCTATCATATAAGAAGTACTATCACATAACAGTACCTTAATATTCGTGTACACTGTTTAAAGTTATACTATATAGCTTAAGATGTAGAATATCCAAATCATTCTGGAATGAGCATTATAGTATTTATCAGAATAGTACGATTATTAAACTAAAACTAATAGCTAATCCTAGGTCCCTAGCTATAACGTCATAGTCAATGTACAGTACTGCATTATGCATCTTCACTGAACGTAAAACATTAAGAGTTCACTGGAGAGATTTCAGTGCATATTCACTACCTGAAAGAGGTGAAAAAAGACATGTGCTACCCGGTCCGATACAGCTCTCAGTCTGAGCACAACAGTAATTTTACTGTACTGCATAATCATACGCCACTTGCGTTGCTAGCTTCGAAACCCACTTTTACTGGTTGATCTTTCCTAATGTTTTGAAGCTAACCCAACGTCATCCTCAATATGTATCAGTACATTAAAACATACACTATTGAGAGACTAGATGATTTCTAGGCTAGAGATAATGCATGAATTTAAAGGCCTGATCATAGCAATACCGCTACCACGTAAAACATTCCGATACAATGTAAATCTGATATAACTATTTCTAATATGTGAAACAACACTAACATCCTAAATGTTGTAATTTCTTAAACCAATTTTAATGATATCATAATAATTATATTATAAGTTAAAGTTTCGCATTCTGCAATAGAAGATTTAAAACTGGTATTGACAGTTTACTCTTTCAATCGGTACGGTATGAACCGTTGACAGACACATAACTTTATTTTGATTTATTATTACAACATCCGTGGTAGATTCTACAGTTAACATTCTGAATCAAATTTTATTCAGTATATTGGCAACTTGGTTCACTTTAAACGATTACGGAGCTGTTAGTCTTTGTGACAACTTTTAAAAGTCAAATCAGAATGTTAGGGAGTAATAGTATATTACTGAAAATTATTATTACTAGAAGATGTTTTAGCTATTAATATTACCATTTAAATAATTAAAGTTAAGATAAAAATTTGACAAGTCGCATTATAAGAGCCGAAATGAAATAAAATGTACAGTATTCGGCTTTCCATTCATCATATTCTAGCATTACCACAACCTCACTAATGCGAAGGATACTTGAAACGCAGTTGTACAATGATTCGAATTAATGCCTATTTCAGTACGAAAAATGCAGTAAACTCCGCTCAAACAAAATAAAAATGAATTGATTTCTTTGATCGCCAATTACGAATTTCCATGTTCGCACGAGAAAATACATGAAATAACTTTCGCTCAGATACAGCTCATATCCAGTCGTACAAACATTGTATTTAGCTCATGCTTGACAAGTGCGCTTTCACTACCACGTTCTGTTAGCCAGGACAGTATCTTTAAGACATCTTAGGCAACGAGCCGACTTGCTCTTTAATGAAACAGCTAGTATAATAGAATTCTTATTGCTCGACCTGAATATTTCTTCAATCAGCTGTCTAGCTAAGACCACATACGTAGGCTAAAGCAGGTATAAAAATACAGTAGATTGGTACCAGCTGAGAAGGCTAATATCGTATGCGAAATCTTATCAAACAGTGCTTAACTATTTTCTGATTATATATAACATATATATAAATTATACAGTAGGCTGATAATGCTACGCTTATTCATTCCTCCGTATCCTATCAATCTCACCTCTTCTATCCCAAATAAAACTTTACAAGTATACACATTAAGTGTATTATTATTACTATTATTATTATTATCTACGCAACTAGCACCAATACCATGAGAATGTCCAACAGCTTCCGCTTTTATCTAGAGGTAAATAAAAAATTTTCACAGTCCTTCTTTAAAATTACATTAACAAATTGTGAAATTACCGCTGGCTGTGAAGCAATGCCTTTAAAAAAATTGCCTCCACTTTTAGAAAGATTAGATAATTACAATCGTGCAGTATCTCAACTATAAATCAATACAAGCCGCCATCTTACGGGGGCTTCTAAGAATTTTCTCTTAAAATTCTCTGATATAGTACACTTTGCATAAAGCTTTCTGATATTGTGTATGGGTGAATACAAAGCACAGATCAGCAGCAAAATGCAATGCTAGTGACAACAACACATCTGAAGATTCAGATAGCACAGGGCAGTAATAAATTTTTTCGTGTAAGGAGATTCTTACCATTGTACCAATTCTTCCATACTGTGTTACATAGATGAAGATCTGGTTTCCAAAATTGGAGCATACGATCGCTGTTGGTGTACCATCCACATTGACAAACGACTAAATACAATCATATAATCCTTATTATAATTATTTATCCACATCGGAGTAATCATTTACAGCCATATTATAACTACAGTAAATGCGTTATAAGAATATTGATAATTAATTTACAGTTAGTTTGGTCTGTGTTTAAGGTATTAAAGCAATCAATAATAATTAATACATAAACACATGTATAATATTATAAACACGGAATAGACCCATACTCACAACTATAGCATCTACGAGAGCAGGACTAATGAATTAATTAATTAAAAAGGATACAGCAGTGAAAATAGTCCCTCACCTTTTTCGACTGTACCGTCACCATCGCCCTGCTTGCCAGATACTGTATATAGAAATCCCCAACTGTAAAATACCCTTGATGTCGTTCACAACTTGCTTGCATCAACGTTTAGCGCATTTAAGAATGTACAGTACAGCATATTATACTGTATTTCAATCAGCAGCAAGAATGATTCCGTGTGATACAACTTGGGTTACCGTACTGTACTGTACGTACAGTAGCTTCAACTTACTGTGTACTGTACACTGTACTGTACAGTACCGTAAATCATGTTTACCGCTCGTGATAGTTTATTGATGACAGCGTACTGTACTGCACAGTATAGTAATTTCACTACTGTAATAAGATTCTTGTCCACTTGTACAGTACAGTACAGTACAGTCGTGTGTGCACTACAGACTGTGCAGTACAGTACAGTATAGTGTACTGTACTGTACAATGTACTGTACTGTACAGTACTAATCTTTGACTATCCCTCCTACAGAACAGTATAAATTACAGGTTCTCTTTACTGTGTACTGAACTTTACTGTTCTGAACGTAATTTCACACAAACATGGATGGTGAGGTTCATTCGTAAGTATCGTATAATTGACTGAACAAATTTAGCTTCAAGATCGCTAAATGGCAGCGCGACGTTTTAGAGTAATCTGTTTATTCATTGTCTTATTATTTATTACTAGTCATTAATTAATAAAGTGTGCACTGCTGTACGTATATAGCGTGCATAGAAGACTTTAGAGTACACTGACTTATTATATTAGACTTACTACTTTTTAAATAAACATTTTCATTGATTTGTTCCGTCATTCATGGTAGGTTATATACAACGGCTCTAAACGAATTTGCGCGAATTCCTATCTTTCCTTATTTGCAGCTCTGTCATATGGTACTTTGCGCGATGAAACTAAGAAAAGAGCAAGGTTAGTTATATAGCATTAATTAAATAAATAAATTGTGCAACAGTTGGTCACACCCGTTCGTGCTTTGATGAAAGAAATTTACGGCGTGTTCACGTTAAATTAATTAATTATTGATCGATATCCACCAATTTAGTATTATACTGTACTCGTATTTCGTATAACATATTGTTACGGCGAGTGCGAAATAATGATATACTGCATACGTACGTAGACAAAATCCCTTACGGTGTATTGAAAAGTTTCCATATAAATAAAATTGAAAAACAAATGTAGCTTAATTAAACTGACGTATAAATACTCGCATTACTTGCACATACTGTGGTCAAATACCGAACTGTATTACTGTAATGTACTGTATTGTACAATAGCGTACGTTGGTTATTATTTGAAGTATATTTTATATACTGTATATATAGTATCACGAGCTGGAAATGATTCCAGTATTGATTTATTCTGTCTCTGAGGTTCGGCATAAGTCATCGACTATTAAATATAGAATAGCATAATATAGGAATTTTATTCGCACGGTATGGTATACGGTTTAAGCTAGTACAACAATAGCAATTAACTTAATAATATTAAAGGACTAAGTACTGTACATTGTACAGTACACATAGATTATATATAACATATATAACATTCTATAGCTATCTGTCAGCTTAATTAATTAAATTAGCTTCAAGAAAATTTAGAGTACAGGACTGTGCTATAAAACAGGCATAAATTTATAATGAATTGATTGTTATTTTCGATCTAGTGTAGTGTATGTATGCCGATAATAATTGCCAAATTTACATTAAATTACAGAAATTATGCAGATAACCCGAACGTTTCCGTTGGCTTCCTTTGTATCATTCTATTTTACTACAGTTTCTGGTACAATTTTGGCTAACTTTTTTACCGGTAACCGTATCTTCCAACCGTTAGAAAGTAGTGACAAACTCCTGATGGCGCTCTTGATATGGTATTACTGTTGCTCTAAAATAATTAGTTTGCCTCTCACTTAATTAAGCCACATAATATCATTATATTATTAGTTAACATGCGGACAAAAAATGTTATATAAGATAGGGTAGGATTGTTATTGCCATATTACTTACACAGGTTTATAGGACTACGTAGCTTTAACTAGTAGGGATAATGCAAAGAGCACGACATCCGTTCTTATGGCTAATATACTCCTACGTGTAGTTTATATGAACTCAATAGCTCGCACTTTTAGTAATGTACTACACTTAACAAATGAAATATTCTTTGCTCATTGCGCAGTATTTTCGCTAACTTATAAGACTTAAGTAAAAGCAAAATTTACCTGAGATAATTGGATCACATCCAATCTTATTGCGACCTAAAAATAGTTTTACTTTTCAGGTACTTGTTTTTTTGGGGACCTGCTGATAAAGTCATGTCAGTAGCGAGCTGGAAGCCTGTAAAGGTAGTAATATCGTTAATGGTTTACATATTTTTATACCAGTGACATTAACTCTTCAAATACTTCTAGGATGAACGCTTGTTTTACCTAAATAAGACATTAGCTAGATACCATAAATTCTTTACTCTTAGATCATTATTACATCAATGAAAATGATGAAAACTGCTAAGGATGTACTAATTGGCTCAAAGTTGGGGTATACTGCAAACCCATCATCTATCATAGCAACGGTTTTACCTGCGGCCAGCAAAAGCTGTGGAGGCTCTATGTTTGGTCCCATACACAGAATGTTACGTGGTTCCTTTAAAATCGAAGATTATAAGCATGAATTGCTAAAGCCATCATTGTAGGAAGTCTACAGTAGCATCGTTAACAATCTCTGATTAAAATCGACGCCAAATATTTATGTTTTCTATATACGAGTGCATAGTTGCGCACACCGGGTGAATTACGTGATTTTACTAGTGACATTATTTTCGGAGATTTCGACAATAGAAAATCTATTTCTATATTGATATGCTAGTCTATTCTATATTTCTGAAGACATGTACATGTACTGTAGACATTATCAGATTATACTTTTTATACGGCCTTGCTGCATCGTTGCTAAACAGCTTTCTTTAACTTATTGTTCCGACTAATTTTGGGTTCCTTTTTTATATTGATAATATTAGGAATTTAAGGATTGCCGTTATAACTAGCATCCTTTACCACTATCAATTTCAAAGAGTGATTGACGTCACGAAAGAAACAATTTTACTTGGATCGGCCATAATATTTGTAGCTTTCGGAATTCTATCAGTGATTATGGAAAATTCTATCAACCCATTTGCTTCTATTGAGAAACTTATATATAACATATTGATGATTGGTTCAAGTCAGGAAGATAAAGAAAAGAGAACAAAGCAGGATTAAAACTACATTTTACGTAGTCAATTTTAATGCTATTAGAGCTTAAAGTAATGTTTCCCAAACTTACAATCATGCCTTTCGTATTCGCACGTAAAATGCCAATAATTTAAGAGCGCGATCCGCATTAAAATCGGCGTAAGGTTTTATGAAGCATTCATTGGCATCAAAGCTATCGGCAACTGGATCATGTAATCCATAACTAAAACCTTTTAATTTTTTATTTATTTTTATCGTATATCTATGTTACATGATTGTAAATTGTAATTAAAAGGGAAGAATTTAAATGTGCGTTTTAGTGCCTTTCCTCAGATCTTACTTTGCAATAGTATGTTATGCGAAGTACCTTTCAGCTAACACTGTCGTACCATAGTCAGCAATTCATTTTAACTAACCAAATATTAGATAACGTGCTAGCAGCATTATAGCTCACAAGCACTTCATGGCGCAACCACAAAGCCATCTGTCCAACTCGTAATCAAGGTGACGTTACTTTAACGTTGGAAAAGAAGCACCTATTGTAATGTACGGTATAGATCTGGATACCTCTTTAACTGCATTGCGAATAATAAGCTACAGTATATCTATCCTAAATTATATATGGTAAAAATCAATGATAATAATTACGCGATGACACTGATAATTATAACAAACCATTCAGCTTTTATCATAAGAGTGTAACTATTTTTGTTCTACATCGTAATGTATCCTTCGAAATTATTTTATAGAGCACAACTACGTTCCTCACCAAATATAGTATAACGTAAATACGTAAATAAAATAAATTACGTTTTAGTTTTTGCCTTCACAATCTCATGTACATATTCAGAAGCATAGCATACCTCATATTATGCACGTTGGCAAGTAATAAGAATTCTGAAATCATGAAATATCAAGCTTTGCACTGATACAGTTGCTTACGCCGTTATGAATACCTCTTATTTCCTGCTGTATATGCTCAGGCAAAAGATTTCTCTCCAAATACAAAAACTTTGCAAAACTGGTTTGTAGCAAGGTTGCAGCAGCTGTAAGAATAACAGTGACTACTAACAATAGTAACCATTTCTGAATAGACTGTATGTTGTGGCTTTATTGCCTTCACAATGTTATTTCCTTTATTACGACTGTTAACTAAACAATCGATTACTAATCAAGAGCCATTCCTTCTCATAAAGCAAAATCAAACTAATCCCATCTAGTATGATAGCGTAACCATAAGCAATATCACCTAAGTAAAGTCCTATATAGACTATTCATAATACTAACTGTACAAACAGTAGTCAAATTGCATAATACATCTTGAAAAATTAATTTTACCAGAAAGAATTCTTGGACATAGAACATGCTATGAATCATTCATTTAATACTCCACAAGCACAGAAGAAATAAATTTCTAGCATTATATACAGCATGATTTTATATGCAGCAAAATATTAAAACTAGTAGACGCCGTGGCTGATTGTTTAAAAAGGATTTGCTTCCTATTAATTAAGATGATACAGAGGTGATCCCAGAACACATTTTATTGTTAAAATGTATAATACTTATGGGGCTCTATTATACAGCTAGGCTCTAATCATAGCTATTAACGTTTCTGCAATCTTCTTCTCTTGCCCGGACGTTTATTACCGGCCTGATTGATTTTCATGCAAGCATATACGTATATAAAAACACAAACAAGGATAAAAAAATCAATTAGCTGTAAGAAACTTCTACCACTAAATATGGTCGTTTGCTGCTATCAATGTAATTTTCTTACACTACTGCGCTTCTTTCGAGGTTTACCATGAATCCCAGAGTCAAAAAATGACGTATTCGCGCTTGCACTAGTATTTTTTTTTATATTCTTTTTCTTTCTACCATACCCATATTTCATATCTTTCCTTCCCTTATTTGACAAACGCGGAGACCTGTATGCAGTACGTCCTCAATCAGTTAATTTACAAACATGCCGTGCAATACCATTGTAAAGTAAGATATTTATATTTAAATAAAAGTACCTAGATTTATTTACGTAGTTATCTACCGATTTCTGCGTTTTCATCTCAACTAAATTCGCACCTAACAGAATATGGATATAATACCGTATATTATGATTATGAATATAATATTTTAAGCATAATAGGTACATAATAGGTACATCATATACTGTATCACTGCGCGTATATAGAAGAAAAGAATCACCTTTATTTAGTTTCCCATTGGATTTTCCCGATTGGAGATTTTTTCTGTTAGATATTACCTCTTTTTCTACCTAAATGAGCGATTTAAGAGTAACGCACTTAAGACTACTGCATCTATAGTTATAATTAATCGCACTCCGACTATGTCCATCCATACTACATATTTTAGTATGCCATATATCGCATAGGGCCATGCAAACAAACCTTTTTCCCAAATTTTTTAATGAACTGGATTCTTTTCGCTTTTTCAAAAGATTTAATATTTTCTTGTTTTTCCAATAACTTACGGCGTATCTAAGAGCCCATAATATGTATATTCAGAGAAATTAAATTTACCTTAAAATGATAAAATCTCTTTTACATTAAAATAGTGAATTAATTGAGAAATGCAAGCTTAGATTTTAGTATACTGTCGTGTGATTACATTACACACTACATACTGTACTGCACAGTAGCTACCCAATTTTACATCAGGTTTTCCCTTTATGAATACGATATATTACACGATCATACAACTAACAGACCTTCTGCATATGAATATCAGACTTTACCATCTCCGCAAAATAGTCAGCTGGACGCTTTGTTATAACATTTTCCGAATGCAGTTTGGGGAGAGCTTCAATCACAGCTTTCTGAGCTTGCCTATAACTGCAGATAAATAACAGTACTTACACTCTACTATGGGACTGTCTCCACACAATTATTCCTACTTTAAATAACATAAATTCTAATAAAACTTCTTACAATGACGCTTCCCTCTGGAAATCATCATGAATTCTAGCTACATTATCATCACTAAAAGTTTTATCCACAGCTACTTCCTTTGTAGCATGCAATAGATCCTGAGCTAAGCAGTAACTTAGAGTTACATCAATCCTTTCCAACCAATTAACACCATCGAAAATATCGGAGAGTCTCCGACGCAAGCCTTCCTACGTTTCCGTAAATAAAATAGCAATCGAAAAATTATACGAACAGTACAAGTACAGCATAACTTTCGTAGATTATACATGATATACTCCATATATATGATCCACTTTCACATCATTACACAGATGTTCCACTACCAAAAGTTAGAAATTACTGACCGTATCGTTATGCTGTGTTCGATGTTCCGCAGCAACATCCATTTTAAGACTGTTACGTGGCTAACGCTCTAGATTGGTCTTGTACAAACTACATATATATATGTACTGTATACAGTATATATATCTATATACATAAACTATCACCGGCGAACAGCAAGCACTGACTAAGCCCAGTATAATCCAGTAAAGAACTGTACTATAGTTTTACTTTTATCAAAATATAAATTTTGTACTTGTACTTGTACTGTACAGTACAGTTCTGTAGCGTACAGTACTGTATTTTATTTTGAAATTTTACACATGGTTTTACTGTACAGTACCGTACCAGGACTGTACTGTACTGTACAGTACTACTGTATGGACTTGTAAAGACTACCGTGGTATTTACTGTAGAAGTCCCTGACTGTACACTGTACAGTACAGTACAGTACAGTAAAACCATGTGTAAAATTACGACTGTACCTACGAGCCTGACACGCAAACCGTCGCTTTACTGAATAATTAGTTGTACAGTACGCTACTGTACACTATAGTTCAGCACCATGGCATGGGCTACGGTACTGTGCTGTTTACTTTGCTTTACCAACACCGGTACACTGAGTGTAACAGGGGTAACTTCCAAAATACTGTAGGGCCTATGGACATGGACCTCAAGATCTCGAGGCCCTTGCACTGTAAGGAAAAAGAGTGATACGCAAAGTACTCAAGCTCCTTTTCTGCACAGGAGGCTGCTGCAGGATGCTGCTGCATATTATTAGCTAACAGCATTCAATTCTGATAGTTAGTTGTATCTATTTGCCGCGTCTGTTGGATATGTTGTTATGGCTCTATCCAATACTTGCAGCAATCTTTATTCATATTATCGAGCTATAGGATGTATCTGTAACCATGTACCCTATACGATTCAAATTAAAGGTGGTGAACATTTTGTCATTACCTCGATTGGGAAAACGTTTCACGTATATAATGTGAGATTTTAGTTTTACGACGTACAGCTATATTCTTTAATGAGCTTTACTTTTTATGTATCAACCCATTACACTGCTATATTGTACAATTCTTCAAAATAATACCTTTTATTTCGTTACTATTTTGAACTAATTGCAACTGCGAAGTCTTCAAAACTGAAGCTATTATTTGAAGGTACGGTAGACTAGCCTTAATGAGATACTGTACAGCGCTGTAATAAAGGAGCGGAAGGAATTTTACTGATATCTTTTTTATATAAATAACTACAGAACCGATCATATCCTCCATCTCGTCGAATGACAACTTTTAATACTTGTATTTCATTTCAGGACCGCAGCTTCCTAGCGATATCGAATGTCTTACAGTTAACCCTGACCTAATTTTTGTTGCCTGCTCTAAAGAGATCTTCTCTTTTCATCGCACAGAAAAAGTAATTGCATGCTGACCTTTTTTGCTAGCTCCTTATTCGCATAATTCTCTACTTGTGCGAGCCGTTCAGATTTTATCGAATGTATCTCTATTCTATGCTCATCAATTAATGATTGTTCTTACTATTTCGCCAGCGCAATTCCTTTATTGGCCACTTAGGAAGGATTCATTCCCTTGTTACATTCGGAGAATTTCTATTATCAATTGATGAGAGGAGCAACGTTAAAATTTGGTTTATCGAAACTGCAGGTTAATTTTATACCACTCTGAAACAGGTTTTGCTATGTATTGTCATTAGGAAGTAGGAACTGTCAAGTGCTTTACTCACGATTAATGAATGTTTGCTTTATACTTAGAGCTTTACACAGAGTTTCAGTTTAATAATCAAGAATTTCGTGTCACTTGTGCTATGCACCCAAATACCTACTTAAACAAAGTTTTACTAGGCTGCCAACAAGGCATGCTGCAATTATGGAACATAAAAACTCAGTAAGAGAGCTCTTATTAACATTGAACGTGTAAAATTATAATTTATAAGTCTAAAATGACGACTGACTGTGAATACATAGATCGATTAATTACTTTTTTCGTACTGATAACTGTAACCCCTTTCGTTGTTTTAATCATACACACATATATCAGCAAGCTTGTGTATACTTTTCGTGGCTGGTCATCATCTGTGTTAACCACTGTACAGGTAAATTTGTATTAGTTGCAAAATTATATAAAATTTTAGGAGGCATAATCGGTGTTATTCGGCGCTAAAAGTTCAATGTACTTATGTGCGTATAATTAAAATGCCCAATAGGCTCCAGCTATAGATACTGTAGCTATCGGTCTTGCAAACGGTTCCTGCATCCTTCACAATCTAAAATTAGACAAAACTTTAATGAAATTTAAGCAAGATTCGGGCCCAATCACTTCCATATCATTTAGAACAGGTAAATTCACACTGAGGATATACGTATTACACTTCAAGCTCTTTCATTCGCTGCACTTTTTTTACAAAACATGCCGTCTTAAAAGTGCTAAATGACTTCCGATTTATCTTAAATGTAATCTCTTAACCAATCAAGATGGAGTTCCAATTATGGCCACCTCCAGTCCATCTGGATACGTATCGTTTTGGAATCTAAATGAACGAACGCTTTCATCTACCTTACGAAATGCTCATGGAGGACTTTGTAAGGTAGATTTCGTAGCAGCTCAGCCTTTACTTATTTCCGGTGGTTCTGATAACACACTCAAAGTATGCGATAGAATTAAAGAAGTTTACACTCATAGGACAAAATTTCTTCGTTTATACAGTAGCTGAGATAACTAAATTCACTTCTAGGTATGGGTCTTTGACAAATCCGATGAAAGCGCTAGGATGTTAATATGTCGTTCGGGACATTGTAGACCACCTAATAGAGCGCGATTTTACGGCAATTCCAGTCAATTAATTATAAGCTCAGGTATTTTATAAAGTTAAAGTTTTTACTATGTTATCGGCTTTTGATATCTAACCAATCCATAGATGCAACTGGTTCTCTAAGAATTTCTTCCGTTGTTAATGATGCCTACGCTCACGAATTATCGAAAGGTTCGCCATTGCATCTGATTTTAGTGTTAACAAAGTAATCTTTCATTACTTTAATAACTGAAGCAACGAAATAATATTTAATTGTTTTGTATTAACTACATAACGTTCTATTGAAATAATTTCAAAAGGATACGGCAATGAAAAAAGGATTGAAGTTAGAAATGCCAACATACCACAAATAACGGCCTTCGCGTCAGGTAATCATAATTTACTTAATATCTTAAAATATTAGTACAAGAGTACATTACTACAGGATATTTACTCACAGTCTACTCTAACCAGATTCTGCTAGAGAAAAAGAGTGGGATAGTATCGTATCATGTCACCTCGGTAGAGCTGCAGCTCTTATGTGGAGCTTTCGTAACAAAAGTATTGGCAAGCACAGGTTACGACCACCATCGGATCAACTGGAAAACAATGGTCTAACAACTGCTACCGCTGTAACCATCACGAGTTGTGGAAATTTCGCTATTGTAGGACTATCTACTGGCTATGTAAATAAATTTAATATACAATCGGGCCAATACAGAGGCTCTTACGGAAATCCGAAAGGTATAGATAATTACTTACGTAATAGTAATACGAATATGCCAGCACTCTAGAAACCTACACCATTCTTAGATTAAGCTAATGGTAATCTTCATTTTAAAGCTCATGCAGATTCCGTGCAATGCATTCTTAATGATGCCTGTAATCGTCATTTAATAACTGGTGGCTCTGATAAAATACTACAGGTTCACTTAGATTCTTTTATTAAAGCTTTTTACATAGTACTAAAGTGCACCATTGTTATTTATAACACGCTGTTGATAAATAACTATATAGAATATTCCTAACAAACACAATAATTAATTCTCTATTCTTGACTGTACGAGTATAGTGTTGGAATTTACACAGCCGTACCCAAGTTAGTTTAGTCACATTTAACACCCCTGTAAGTCTTGGAACGATACACAAAGAGAGGTAGTATTTCAGAATCTGAAAAGCACTTGTCATTCTGTACGTATCTACACTATGGTAACGGTCATTCATTAACAGGAGCTATTTATATTTACAATTAGCTGCCTTGTCGCAATCGCATGTGAAGATTTTACCTGCTACGTTGTTGATATCGACATGATGAGAATCATCAGATCCTTTTCTGGACATGAAAACTGCATAACAGATTTGGTAGCTATGCCATTGAACCACAAGTTATCAAAATACAGTATATAAAACTTAATTTTTCGTTTATTCTTTAACCCTTATCAAGGCGCTAAGTTTTGACTCTCGATGGTTAACGACATCTTCGGTAGACGGATCAATTAGAACATGGGATATACCATCGGCAAGGTACCACTCATCTTCAAGCGCAATTGTTGTACATTAACAAAGAATTTTTGATACCTTATGAGGAAATTCAAATTATTCCCTTTTATCAACCTCACCTGGTTTTATACTATAGGCTAATCGACACATTTCAGCTAGAATCACCAGTGACAAGTCTCTGTTTTTCTTCTACTGGAGAATATTTGGTTATAACACTTGCAGACAGTGTCGGATTGCATCTTTGGTGGGTTCTGCACACTAAAATCTTGATAAATTTATGATGCACACCTATTAAATTTTTTATGTATTTATATTGCAATTGGCGTAGGTCAAGTAAAATTATTTATTCTTCAGTACCGTTTCTCTCGATATCGCCGACATCTATGGAGCTGAAAGGTAAAGCTAGCTTAATCAGCTAAAACTTATTGGCGCAATGTATCTAACTTCACCTTTCAATCCTACTGGATACAGTATCTGCTGTAAAAGAATTTGTAGTAATCGAGATAGATGACCTTTAGCGGCATTAGTAAAACATCCCTTCTGATTCCGTTAATGGTCTATTTTCCAATTAAAAATAATAAATGTAAACATTATCGATAGAAATAAACCCAAGAAAACTTGAATATTTTGGAGATCATGCTTCACTACAAAGCTTGCAATCTTATATTTCAGAAAAAACTGTGATCATCGACAATACTGACCATCAGATTAAGCATGTCGGCGCTAGACATAATAATGAGCCTAGTAACCTCATCACGTTATCCCAATTGCCTCATACACATTGGAGAAACATAACAAACCTGGAAGTCATTCGTGTAAGGATCTAATTTGCAAAATGTGCCATTTCACCTCTTTACATATATTTCATCCAATATCAAACTTGTAGCAACGTAATAAGCCGAAGGAACAGGATGTAACAGTGAAGCCAGTGCCTTTTTTTCTACGTCACAGTAAAAGCCCCAAGACAGATCCTACCAAGTCAGAATCTGAGGTATCAGTAATATTTTCAAGATGGTAATCATTTCTGAATAAATGTATAGAAAAGAAAGAAGCATTGCTTATTGTTATGGCCAATAATTAACATATGCCATGATTATCACCTAGAAAACGAATCTGCGTGGAGTAATTAATGCTGTTGTAACGTCACGCTCCAGTTTGCAAGAGACTTTAACTCTATATCCGAAGATTCGAAAGAGTATGTGACAACTTAGTAAACACACTACTTATGTAAAGAGTATAGTTACATATTTAACGAAGCATCTCCACCCTTAAATTATAAACATTGAGATTAGGTTCTGATGGTATTAGCATCATGAAATCTCTGGGACCATCAGCTATAGACTTTGAAATCCGCATGTTAGGACCGGATACTGGAGGAAGCCATGACTTACTCGGAAGCTTTATGTTACTTTGTGAAGACCTACTTAAAACTGGAAATGATTACGAAATCGTGCAGTCATATTTGTCGCTATTCTTACAGGTAGACGGAGGATTCAGAAATCTTGCATGATTCCTGTAATTAGAGAAGAAGATATAATAACTTTTTGATTGATTTATGACTTACTATCCGATAATTGTAGGTTCATATGAAGACAATTACCGACAATCAGATTTTACGCAATCAAGCAAAGTGTCTTCTTGAGGCAATTAATCAAACTTGGCCCACGACAGCGAAACTACTGGATGAAAATTTATGCCTTGTTTCTTACTGTAAAAATCTCGTACTATAGGCTACATTATCATGTATCGAAGAATGCGAATGCATGGTAGAGTAAATACAGCGAATAAAACGATACTATGAATCATACCAATGCTGAATCTGCAAATTCCTATCAGCCAATACAGTATTTGCCAAATATTATGAACCAATAGTTTACAAGTGTTTTAAATTTTACATCGGCAGTAATGTGGCTAAATTTATTAAAATTCTGACAAAGGCGCTCATATTGGAATATCAGTACTGCACAATATTGTAGCATTCATTAACAGTGACAGTAGGCTTTCGTATTCTCTCAGCAGAATAGTAGTAGTATCCCAGTTGTGGACTAACAAACGCGATTATGTACTTCAAAATAATATTATCTCTAAAGACTTTTAACACAATTGAAGGTCATATCTTACTATATACTTACTCTGTCAAAATTTACATCAGTTATATTAATTATTAAGAACTACAGAAGCGGAGCACCGAAATATGACATGGTTGTAAAATGATTTGAAAATTTATTCAAACATACGTATGTCTATTACATCGAGATGAAGCCTGATGTTTCAATTTAAAGAGTTTGGTTCTAAGGTATTAAAATGAAAATAATTATGAATTATAGTGAAACTTGGATTAATTAAAATATATTGCATCATTAACTAGTAATGATGTCCTTCGTTTCTTGAGCATCTTACAATAAGAATTGTTTGGTTTAATCGATCAGCGCTAGGCATATCTAGTAAAAATAGCTACACTTTTTATTGCACGGGTACGTATGAGCATCCGACTATAAAGCCTTTGCACTTACCACGAGCGTTAATTATTATCCTCAAAAAGAGTAATTTCTACAACTAGCATATTGTGTAATCCTGACTTATAACAACTTAAACTATAAGTTTACCAACATTATCTTGACAAAAATTTTAAACTACAGCTTTATTATATGGTTATCGATATACGGCGCCTTTACAATTATGTCAACTTCAAAATAACAGTAAACTTCTCCCACTTTCCGTGTTCGTCTTTTCTCAGGCTGCCAATAACCTTATCGTTGCTTTATAGGGATGAGAAAATAAGCATGTAGGTTTAGAGATAGCACTTAGTCACTAATAGTAATTACAAGTACTGTTTAATTAAATAAATCATTCTTGCATAATGTAAAGTGTTACTAGCTTTTATATAACAGTAGGTAGTATTCTAATTCATTAAATCAAATATATATTTCCTCCGTGAAATTTTCAAATATTACTAGCTGAAATCCTAACCAGTCATCATGATTGATTACTGATATTAACCTTAAAACGAGGCTATCATGTAGAACATGCAGCTGATTTATAGGCTTAAATATCCTTAGCGCGACACGTTTCTTTAAATCCTGAACGGTGTCAGTGTCTCTTACAGTGATTCTAAAATATAACAGAATCATGTTTACGTGTAAAGCCTTACAATCTCAAAAACTCGTTAGCGAATATGCTACAAAATACAGCATACTGCATTTACACTCCGTACTACGACAAATCCCTAGGTTATTATTACAAATATCTTACTTTATTTCAGGAATGAGAGTCTCTGTTGAATCGACATTCACAGACTTTATATCTTCAATATCTTCATTATCACTGTCATTGAATTCAGCTTCACCTTTATAATATTATTACAGCAACAAGACTGATTTACTACTCTTCAGTAAATAATTTATCTAGTGATAGTTTCTGCACAGATAGTGTAATACGCTGAGGTAGATAATACGAATGATTCATTTTTCTAATTATCTGATGCTTGACCACCATAATAATGTATGAATATGACTGGCTGTCATATTACTACAGCATGAGCCAAATAATATAGTATACGAATACTGTCCTGAAAACGGTCATTCACTACAAATTAATTATAGATTATTAACCAATTTATTTGATCGCACTAAAAGAGGGCTTCATGTTACTATCCGAAAAGTAGTTGACAACCCCCTTAATGCGTAACAATACAAAGCTACAACCGGCAATATAAGTAGACCATAAACGCGAAAGTAATAATAAAATCTCGGATTGTAATGCTCTTGTATCCATCGCATTTTCTTATGGTATCAATGTTGGCTTCGTAATAACTGATTGAAACTAGCAATTAAAAGCTGAAATTGTTAGCGTACCTTCTTGTTCCGCAAACTGTAACTGATAGTATAGGCAATTTGGATCACGGAACGACTTTGGCCAATTGTATCCCTTCCCTTGCGGCTTATAAGGTTGCTTTCTTATTCCAGAATCTTTTGCATTGAAACCAATTCCATATACATAATGTAATTGTTTATTTCCGTCTGTAGCAGGTCCTTTAGTGACGTAATGCAGTTTAAAGTTATGTTGCGCAGGCAAAGCTTTTCCTATAGAAGTATTAACATCCATTAATACCAGCGAAATTTTACGACATGAAATAAAATAAGCTGATTGACTTCATAACTATTAACCTCTTTCATAGCCTTCTAAATTTGCGTGATAGAAATACCCTGTTTTAACTTTACCATGATCGTCGGCTGAAGAAATAGCCGCATTTTCTTTCGATCTATATCTTACAGTACCATGAGTCAAATCGACTATAGGATGAGAATCCAGTGCTGGCTGTTGTAGTAGAAAAGAATACAGTAGTCATCAGATAAAAAATACGAGTGTTCTATCAAGTTGAGTCATCATAATGTTAAAAACTATAGAAAAATTATAAAATCTGATAGCGGTAATAAATCAATACAATGATCAGATTTTTAAAACCTCATGGTATAGATTTCTATTACATGTACGTATAGTCTCAAATCACGCTGTATATAAATATCGCCTGTTATTACGCTATGTATAAACAAGAATAGAATAATCCTAACGTTGTAAACATTATACCTTCTCATCCCCGATTTTTTGAGCTGTCTTTCTCGCTAGTTCCTCTCGAGGGCTAATCATTAAATTAGCCTGCGTGGAAGCCCCTGTACCCATCTGTCATAATTAATATAATTAATTAAAACCAGTCAAAAAGTCCATGAATCTTAAAAGGTATGATCATTTATTTTACGGGAAGGATACCAGAAAAATGGAATTAGCACCTGTAGGTTTCAAGTAACATACGAACAGTAATGCGGTAATGTCGTTTGCTTCACGGAATTACTATCAACTCTAAGCATAAATATGCAATCTATAAATTTGAGCATGTTGCACTGCTTGCAATTTTAATGATATTGCACAGCTGCAACATTTGTAATATTTCTAAAATTATCCAGATAGAATAGTCTATTACCTCTTTAATAATGTTAACATACCTAGCAACTGTATTGCATAAGTGTATTAGGAGAAAAAGCGTGAAGTTACTTATAATGTAAGTGTAAATGGATACGTATTGAGGAAGTAACTACAGTAAAATGTGTGACACTGCTAACCAGACATGGATAATCTAATGAAAAGAACACAGCTGAGATTCAAACCTTGATGGATTGTAATCATGCGACAACTATATATAACTTAAATCTAAGATTTGCAATAAAGTAACATATCAATTAATTATTTGCAGTAGCTGAGAATCAAGCCTCGATTTCCTATTGTAACTTAATTTATTGCATTTGAAGGAATTCGATTTTTTTTCTAAAACAATCGTTAATAACTTGGCACGATGAAATTGTAAACTTCAGCTTTGTGCTTCCAACTGTTATACGCGTCTACTCGTATACTGTACTGTAATAAGAATTAAGATTAAACTTACAGTTAAGAATATTAACCTTAATAGTTGACCGTTTCTAGATAATTTTTTTGCTTACGTTCCTAATGTGTATAACGCCTTGATACGCGTATAGTACACTGTTTTACTACGTGTATCAAATCTTGCAAATAAATTATATATTGTCTTCTTTCAAAATCAATAACAATTATTATTGCATACGATAATGGTCAATGAAGCACAATATTTCGCCTTAACTGCTAGCTAATCGTACGTTATGATAATTATAATTGAAATAAATAAATAAAATGAATGACCATTACTCTTATATTAAGTATAACAAATAAATACATAATCATATATAATATAATTCATTAAGTAGCACATCACATACTGTGCTACAAATCATGTGTACGTATAATTATGAGTATGATCAAAAAAGATTTTCGCCCTACCTTGTTATATCAGATGAGTATAGAAATATCATTTAATGATATGATTGACTACTGAGTCCAATAAGTCCTAATGATATAATCACATAAGAGTGAAAACCCAGATGAACCCTGCTAATTAACTGTACTTGTATAATGGCAGCAATTTATGTGTTGGGCTTACGCATTCATGCTTCCTCTATCAGCTGTAATTTATTTGAAAAATACTATACAAGTATACATACACTTGCAGTATACGTTAACCTTAAATTAGATCGCTTCGAAACCAAACACTGAACATCGAATTGGAAGACATTCCCTAGATACACCAAATGACGTCACAATTGCGACTTGCAAGTACTGTAGAGTTGCAAGTTCATAGTACTGTACTGTACAGTGTACAGTGTACAGTGTACAGTGTACAGTACTGTACTTTATAGCAAATGTAATAGCACAATCCAGGGTATCTACAGTATGTTAACTTCACGGACACATTCACTAAACTTTACCCCAACTGTCTATGCAAGAATTGTTCAATCAACTCATTCTCTTTCATTAGGTATAAAATTTATTTGTAAAAAACAAAAATTTTTTTATACAGTACATTTATTTGCAAGTACTGTACAAAAAAATGGAAAAATTCACCGTCCACAGTGTACAGTACAATACTGAGTATGGAAAATACTACCGTGTTCTGTACTGTACTGCCTTATTAAACAGTTAACTTCACAGAATCACGTACTGTACTGTACTGTACATACAGTACACAGTACGCGAAGTATCGTAGAATGTTCTGTACAGTACAGTACAGTACACTGTACTGCACAGTACAAACTGCGTGTTCTTTCGTCAGCCGATTCCGACAAACCAGTAGACAAACGGTGTAGCTACTGTATGTTAAGCAAGAGTACGAGTACTGTAAGTGTACGCTTGTACAGTACAGACTGTACAGACTGTACACTGTACAGTACAGTAAACGGACAGTCAGGTAGAGAAAACTTTCCGCTACTTTATACTGTACTGTACAGTACAGATTCTGTACAGGAGAAAGACGTACGTACAGTACAGTACAGTACAGTACAGTACGTAGTGTACTGTACTAGACAGTACAGTATAAGACTGTACTGTACTGTACCGTATACTGTATGGACATACTGTACACACCGTAATGCAAACTATACTGTACAATGTTAAAAATGATTCAAAACTGGACAGGTATCATATTACCTTAAAGGTACAGTATCGGAGAAGACGTGTAATAGAGGATTGGAAGACCGTTAAGCTCGGTTTATGTTATTAGTTGAAACTCGTTTTCTAGATCAAGATTTCCGTTAACGAGCAAGCCCCAACTGCCATTGGATACGGCAAATGCAGGATTCCTTTTTTACCACTTCATTATTGGCATACTAGCTAGCTAAAGAGTACGCTTTACTTAAACTGTATCTGTATATCGTGCATCGAAGAGTCTAGCTAAAGGTAGGGTACGAAAATGTAATCTAACGACCTATTACAGCTTATTGTTTACTATCTAGTTGAAATTAATTTGCACTGAAATACTGTAAATTGGGACCTTTTGCAGTATTTGGAAATTATATTATGTTATGAATCAACTTATGATTGGAAAAAATCAAGCATTGACTGATGCCCTGACACCAACTCTTTGCACCGTTCTAAAGCCATGTTTATATAGTATATACTATACTGTGTACAGTACTGTACAGTACTGTATGCAGTACTATATATCATATATATAGTATATACAGTATAGTATATAAGCGTATACAGTTCAGCTAACACACGTTTGATATTTACCTTCGCACTCCTAATAATTCGTAATTTGGAAAATGCATTTAATATAATTTGAGTACAAGTACCATATCCTCATCAACGCTGCATTACATAATAACACCCATACGCTGGAATAAACAACTGCGTTCAATATAAGTGTCATCTACCATTCTATTTTCAATGACCCTCACCGTACAGTACTAAAAAATGTACAGTGATTATAATTATGCATCTAGTTCTGATACTATGAAACATCTTTCAAGTATTGCAACTTGCAATGTGAATCTACAGCAAGCGTGAACATGGCGTGAAACTGCAAGTAGTCAAGTACTCATTATGACAAAGAGTAATCAGCTCTATTAAACATTTTCTGTATAAATAAGAACGAATGATTCACGACTGCTCGAGAGTAGAGGTACATCAAGAATCTATTTTGCAATATCTTATGCTATAATACGAGAATGGCGAATGCTAAAAATATTTGGATACCGGTGACCCATATGGTCAAGTGGAATGACTCTGTCTATGAAATGCTGTTATTAATTAATCAGTAGGCTGAACATTTACCAATCTTATTTAGACTGCTGTATTTATCTGATCCATACAGCGTAAAAGGCGTGTAATGGAGACATTAAAATTTATCAAAGGCTGATGATATCAATAAACCCATAACCAGTAGTTACAGTCTAAGAAACTTTATACAATACAATACATGTGAACAAAACTGCAATTTATCCATCCACTTCAAAACTAATTCGTAGAATACTGTTGAACAAATTAGAATAAATACATTGCTGACTAACTAGTAATAGAAATTACTCGTAGGTACTTGGCATTCCCTTTATATTTCATGCAAGAATTTTATTATAACAACTTTTATTTTACTTTTCTATGAGAAACTACAGTAGAACATGCTCTATAACATAGCCTCTGGAAGGGTTAATGAATCCTATGCCATCCTTAACTACTCGTTACGATACAGCACTGTGATTCACTCACAAAGTCTACTGTATTAAGTATGCATGACCTCAAGCAGCTATCCAAGTCCATTTAAATATCTTCCAATGACAGTCGTGCATGGCTGCTAAATTAAATCAATCTGCAGATCCATGCCACTTCGTGCTAAATTTTATAGAAAAGAAAATTTCAATACAATTTGGTTGCTGTCAACCAATCCTTTCAAAATTTCACTGTAGAACTTGTTACCTAATTAGCACAGCCAAACAGAAAGAAAATTTATGATTCAAATTTTAATTACGATACTATAGATTCAATCATGAACAATTAACTTATTTACTATAACTATAACCTGAAGACTGTTATGAAGCTGCTAACGTTTTGCAGTGACAAAACAATCGCTCTTTATCATTCAGCACGCTAACAACGAATTATCTATCGGTATTTCTTCACTAAATCAACGTAGTTAGGTTACCGCAATGTCTGCCGATAGTATGCTAACGAAAAGTGATATCATGGTTTTCCGACCTACAGAAGAGGAGTTTAAAAACTTCAATCAGTATGTAAAATTCATTGAAGAATGTGGAGCTCATAAGATTGGCCTTGCTAAGGTATAACTATCAAATATACAGTATAAGAACGTGCGCCTAATTGATTCTTTCGATATTTTAAGAAGTAACAAGTACAAAAGTATAAATTTAAAGCAAGCTCTTTCGTATTAACGTACCGTACGACGACAACTGAACGATTAAAGTTACAGACAATTCAATGCCAGTATGACTATGCTTGCATTTACTTACTTCATTACAGATTCGTAGAATTAATTAATTAACAGTAACGCCATAAGTATAACCTGTCATTTTTTTTAGACTTGATCAATGTGTTGGGTTGCTAATTTCTTTATTAAAGAGAATTCATTTATGTACAAACGAAGAATCTAGCACACACTCGAATTCTTAATTTTGAGTAAATTCATTTAGATCCTACAGGATAATAATTAATGCACGTTTTATAATTTTAGGTAATACCACCTTCGTCGTGGAAAGCTAGAAGTAACTATGATGACATCGAATTAACTATTACAGCCCCAATTATGCAAACAATCCTTGGAAAAAACGGTATATACGTAAATTCTCGTATTAGTAGTCCATAATACTACTGATTAACATTTAAAATTGCATTAATTAATTCATTTACTAGCATAGAAATCTTACAAAATCTTAGGTTGATATTTATAGTTTTATGCTACTGTAACGTAGGGAAATCTAAATCTTATTTATTCTGAATTGTACAAAATCCTACATAGCCCACATTAAATACAATTGAATTAGTACTCCTCGATTAGTAGTCCCAAACGAACTATCTGTACCGACCGTGATTAATGTGATCGTCTGAGTACCGTTCAATATAATACACTTTATCAAGCTATATATATATATATGTGCTACAGAATATAGTCGACATTTTAGAATCTTTATTTACTTAAATCGCTGTTACAACAATACGGACTAATATTACAACAATAACTTATTATATTATAAGGAATGTATGAACAAATCAACATTCAGAAAAAGACTGTCTCGTTAAAAAATTTCGAAAAGATGGCTATCAGTGACAGGTATTACTATCAAATATTTGATCATGTAGTCCATTCTTTTTAAGTCTCTCAATTCTATTTATTACCATTCAACTTGCGATCAAATTAGATATAAGCCTCCAAAATCGACAGATTACAATGATTTGGAGAGAAAGTATTGGAAGAACATTACCTTCCATTCACCAATATATGGAGCTGATGTCTCAGGAAGTCTCTATGATCCCGATATCAAGGACTGGAACATAAATCACCTAAATTCTGTTCTAGATATTGTTGAGAAAGAATGTGACGTCAAAATTCCCGGTGTAAATACTGCATATTTATATTTTGGAATGTGGAAAACTACATTTGCTTGGCATACGGAAGACATGGACTTATATAGTATAAATTATTTGCACTATGGGCAGCCCAAAACCTGGTAAGATTCAGCTCGATAGATATCAGAAATTTTGTACTTAAATAATCATCATTAATTATTGCTGCATGAGATTAGCTATATTTGCATGCCAAGGATTCTTAACATAAATTTCGATTTGTCATGACTAAACGTTTGTAGGTACTGTATTCCACCTCAGCAAGGAAAACGATTAGAACGCCTAGCCTCAGGTAAATCTAACTGAACGTCTTAAATTTAGATGCAATTAACGCTGTGTAAGACAGAATAACTGATCACTTTTAGGGTTATTTCCAAATCAATTTCGCGAGTGCCAAGCTTATTTTCGGCATAAGTCCTTAATTTTATCTCCAAAAGTTCTAAAACAGTTTGCAATTCCCTACCATAAGGTAATCCTTTTGTTACCCAGACTGATCGTGGGTTAGATTACGATTAGTAATTTTAGACTATATCGATTGCATAGATTACTCAAGAACAGGGCGAATTTATGATCACATTTCCATACGCATACCATGCCGGGTTTAATCACGGCTACAATTGTGCGGAATCAACTAATTTTGCTACGGAACGATGGATTGATTATGGTAAAGTCGCAACCCAGGTAAAACGCAGTATGTCACGGCTGACTTTGTTTTATATGATGCATAGCTAATATAATCAATACTAGCTAGCAAGGATTTATATATATTTTGTCATCGCTGATTAATATATAATACTTTTATCTTTGCCTGTAATATTAGTGTCGCTGCCGACCCGATAACGTCCGAATTAACATGGATGTTTTTATCAAGTTATTTCAAGTATTTTCAGCAACAGTGCTTATATTGTTCGCTACTGTCGCTAAACACAATTATTTGAGTAGTAACGGTAGTCTATTTGTTCTATTTCTCACAGCCTGAACAATGGAAAAATCTCTTGGCCCAACAAGAAAGTCAGTTTTCACCAAAAGAATCTTTAAATATCAGGAAAATCACAAGGTAATTGTTTCTACTATAGCATATTAGTCTATATTTTTACGAATGAAAATAGCATCGAAAGTCGCAAATAGATTTAAAGGAGTGCACAATTTTAATTTGAGATTATTTCTATTTCCGGCAGCAGGAAAAGAAAGACTAAATCTTCGAATACTATTTCAAGTAAAATGGTTAGCCTATCCTCAAAAGCGAACAGTTCTTCTGAAGAAGTTTCTAATCCAAGCGAACTGAAAAGTAATGATGAGTTGAAAATTGAAGTTGAAAATTCATCAAATAGGTTACAGCTGCAAGGTTAGAAATTGAAGTAACCAGTGTCGTTATTCCAATTAAATTATTTATATTCAACAAATGATAATACTTCTACAGTATATTACTCAATAAAGGTAATGTTAATATGATGATGCCTGATACCTCAATTTATGATAATTAATTTAGATACAACCGCTAGCGAACATGAAAATCTATTAGATGATACTACCTTATGGCAACAGTCTAGGAAATATGATTTTGAAAATGAAAGACGATATAACAGAAGAATTAGTTTCATTCAACCTTACTGCTGTATTTGCCAGTTGTTTGCAAATAACAAAGTAATTTTAAAAATAGCGTTATTATTCTTTACTTCTTTGCAAGTGAGAAGTAATAATAATTAATAATTGCAATAACTCCTTTAGACTGCATATTTTTAATAACAATGTATGTACTTTAGGTGTCCAGAGATGTTCTTGGAACGCACGCAACAATGGATCAATCTGAGGCCCCTATTCTAACACGCAACTGTAACTTTGGATGTAACGAAAAAAATTCTGACGAAACTTCACTAACGGATTCGTTAGAAACTGGAGTGTTGCGTCGTTGCAATTCATGTCAAATATTGGTGCATGAATGTATGTATAGCTGTATTCAGACAATACTGCAATAGCTTCTTATATGTATGTGACTAGCCTATTTCGATCTAAATCGTCTTACGATATCATTTCGTAGTCTGTTACGGTATAGGCGATGACAACATAGGGACAGGCTGGCTTTGCGAACGCTGTCGCTCCAATTCTATGAATGCTGTAAACAAAAATCTGCATAAACGATAGTTTAGCTTAGAGGACCGTAGTATCAATTGCATACATACGATATTCTTTATTCAGTACTACCCTTTAGCATAAGTATTAATTTTGCGGTGTAATTAATTATAGAAGATGAGCTAGCAAAAACGTAATTCGAAAATTATTCTCAAATATAGAATATTTTATTATAGGAATGCGAACTATGTTACTTTAGAGGGGGTGCCCTGAAACGAACTACAAACGACAGGCATGTGTCAAATAAATTATGATTACAATGCTTAGCTTGTAGCCTATAATAAAACTGTACTTTCCGACCTAGATGGGTACACGTTATCTGTGCGATTGCCATACCCGAAGTAGCTTTTAGAAATCCATTACGAAGAAGTGAAATTGATATAACTGCAATTCCTCCCACTCGCTGGCTATTGGTAATACTTACGACAGGCTTAAGCAGAAACTAATAATTAATTTGCATTAGTAATTATAATTAAGCATAGTTACCGTTTTTGTATTAGAAATGCACATATTGCCGAAAACTACAGCGAAACAAAGACTTAAAGCGTAAAAGAAGACCATGTATACAATGTTCTGTTGGAAAGTGTCCAAGGTCATTCCACGTTACATGTATTATTTGCTCTGATAAAGCAACCGTAAATCAAGTAGAAAATCAACTGCTAGCTTCTTGTGGAATGCATCCAAAGCCTAAGGTACGGTAATAACAGTATTGTATGCACATATGACTTCGAGTTGTTTTATAAAAATTATAAATGTATTTATTGGTGTCATTTACATTTGATTCAGTTTAATTATATGTTAAATAGTATATTGATTGATTAATTGATTATGCAGTCGAATTTGTATAAAAATGTAGTAAATGAAATTAATTCCAAGCGCTTACTGTAACAGACAGCCTTAAACAATTTATCCTACAATTTCAAATTAGACTATTGACTCAAACTGGAGTGAAATTAGTAGTGGAGAACACGTCATTGCTAAGTACAAAAATGGCAGGTCAAATATATGAAATCTTTATGATATAAACGTGAATAATAAGAACATATTATAATATACTGTATTTGTGCTATCTGAAATGTATTTGGTTATTACAGATTTTATTCCAGCATTGTTCAAGACATAGCAATAAGGAATCTATTCGAAGTGACATTTACAGATGGATCATTCAGTCCTGATGTATTGATCGAGGATATAGAGGTAATAATGTACTCTCACCAATATTTGCACGTTATCTGTACTAAAGATATGCGGCTATCTTAGAATTATAACTCTAAAGATGACGTAATACCACTCGTTGGTGATAACATTTCCGTGATGTGGAGCGATGGTATTTCATATTCTGCAACAGTGGTTGGAATAAGGGAAGAAAAGCTGTATCAGGTAATAACAAAAGCATGGAATCGCAAAGTGCGAGTTAGATCGGATTGACGATATTGCATTCCAGATATAAAAATTTTTGTTTAGTTGTATTTTCATTATCATTTTTATTTACGTCGTATTTTCCAATGTTTAATGGTAGCATTTACGTACTGTTTCCGCAGATACTTTTTGATAATGGCTCCGTTATTACGCTGCAACGATCCGAATTTTATTCCAATGAAGATGATATACCAAAGAAGATTAGTTTAAAGATCGTTAGTATACGATGAACTATAACAACATGAAATATTCAGTCACAGTATTATCCTACGCTATACCGAACATGTAATTCATAATACCACATGTCAATTATTCGGTATCTAACCTAAGACTCTTCAACCTTTGAATATATTTGTAGTCGGATTCTACTCAACCAACGCATATGGACGAAAGTTTACCGGATTTGTTAGGAAAGAGAACAAAAGGAAGGCGTGGGAAATACAGTAGTAATGACTATATCACGTAAAATTTGTTGGTTACAACTAGTATAGTAGAGTAATTATATGTAAGTCGAATCCGGATTCCAATGGATACTTCGAAATCGTTAATATAATTATTACCAGCCAGAATTTGTAATTCTATATTTGGCTCAATTTCAGATTTTGCTATTTGAGTAAATTCACTAGAATGTAGATATTATGAAGTTTAAAATTATAGCAACCTTTGTATATAGTAAATTCCAAAATTGATATTTGCTGCTTTATGATGTACTTTCTATAATAATAATATACAAATTAAGTTTCGTAATTTCCATATAAAATGGGTTCCGTATGCGTATCATGGCCTAAGAAACTGGAAAAGCACGATACCATCCATGACTTACGGTCTTATAATTGATGGCAAAATCTCTTATCAAATTGAAATATCATCATAGTACTACTCTATTAGTTAAAACTGATTCTGCTATCAGCCAATAAGTGTGCACTTTATGCACCATCACTTTATTTTGCGTAAACCACCATAATGCAATGACTGGTAGTTTCGTACGATCGATTTAGCAATGTGTGGAAAAACTGTACAGTCATGCTGAAAGGCTGTAGCCGCATACAGTACATGTACGTTATTAAATATTCGAAATTTGTAAGCTAAAGGAGATTATTTATACTAATGGAGTCAGCAAATAAAATTGTGTGGATTATAATTATAATTATTAAAGTTCGGAGGCATTCAATTATATTCTAAAATATTGATATAAAACTACATACGTTCCTCTTTACTCTCGTCAATGATAACAAGCATGAATAGTAAGATTACAAAATGTTCTGTTGATTGCATATACGTACGGTATACAACACTCGGATAAGATTTTAGTTAGTTTAACCAATATTTTTTATTCCATTTGGCGTATACAGTACTACTTAATAAATAAGTTATTCAGAAACATTCCTGCTCAAAGCTATCCGTCGATTCCTCAATATTTATTAATTGTATAATTATATATAATTAATCATTCGACCGAAGCACTCGATAACTATGACGATCAACCTTCGGTCGATTACTGCTTATTATGTTGCTTTTATAAATTATCATACGTACTATACCCAAACTACTGCTAAGGTACTTCGCAGATGCCCATATTTTATTGTTATCCATTTGCACAGTATATCATAATAAAACAAATCTATTTCGATGTGCAAAATTTGAAATTAATCTTATTTAAGTCCATAATCACGCCGGTATGTCAACAGTTTATTATAACCGAACTTTATTATTTTAAATAGTTTGACTTACATTGCATGATACAGAATGTATCGTACTGAATATCTTACAATTTTTACATTGAAGAGCTGATACTGTACGATTAAATACAGCAGTTATAATTATTTTACATAAGCATATGAAACTTGAAAAACCGAACTAACTTGACAGTGTAGTAGTAAATATGTACTGAATAATTTCTGTGCATTATCCAAATTCGTAGAAAATCTATTAATTCAGTTTGTAGTCATTACAAAAACAGGACCTACAATATGTAATATACAGTACAACAAGTGTTGATAATAGATATTACAGTCAGATAAGTCTTAAACAGACTTTAAGCAAAATTTCATTATTCATTAACCAATACAAAATGATAAAGTGAGGTATTTCTACATTTAACGGTTAGCTATTATGTTGCGGTAGATCATAGTCACATAAATCAGAATTACAACGATAATTAGTAAATCATCCAATAGCCCAAGTATACCAAAGACTGCCTCCGGAATTATGTCGAAAGGTGATAGTACATAAATCATAGCAATCACTACACAAACTACAATTTTAACTCTAAACAGTGCTATCATGCCATTGACAGTAAAGCATTCACGTACAAAGTGCCGAAGTAAAGTAGGAAAATCTTGAACGTAGTCCCAGAGCTGAAATCGATAAAACACCTAATATTAAGCATTTTTTTACACATTCGAGAATACGCACTAAAATATTGGCATGAATCATAACCCTTAAACCTAACACTACCGTAGATGTGCGCTTTGATATCGTAAACCACATCAAAAATTGACGAAATGCAATCCTAATACCAAACTATCAAATATTTAACAGATCTATGCAACATAGTTCTACTTGTATTTTCAAGAGATTAAAACCTGTTAAAGTAGAAATAAGTATTGACATAGCAGTATCACGAATATACTGCACCTTATACGCTCGCATGTATATTTCGTAGATACTATACATCAGTGAATAGCTTTGAGGGTTCCCGAATTTCGGGCCACTTTTGCTATTCACTGCTGTACTGTACATATGTCACCAGAATTAAACTCAGTCTTAGTAAGACATAACTTGTACAAAAACGATCATGTGAAATGATTATAATGCAACAATTAGATTTCACCATAATGCGTTTTATCCGGTTGCGTCTAATTAGTGTCAGTTTGTAGAATAAGTTAAGAGCATACTCATACAGTATCCAGCAAGAGCACTGCAGCTTTAACATCATATAGCGCCTGAAGTAGCACACAAAACTGCGAACTACTAAATGCGACCATTCACGAATATACAAAATATAGCACTCTGGAAAGTATTAAATATATAATACATTACCGATCGCGGTTCACCAGAAAATCTTCTATTGTACGTAGTAATGTCCACTGATACATCAGTTTCTTGTCCATCTTCGTAATTTGGAAATAAGATCGTAATCTAGCATACATTAACAGCAATAAAACATCATTAAGTTCACAAATACACGAAGCATAGCATTAAAATAAGAAAGTTTGATCTTTAGTACTGTGCAATAAGTATGTGAGAATTCGCCTTTTCCATCACGCTCACGGTACAGACGAAGTTCTATATTGTTGTATATTGATAGATACATATGAAAAAGCATCTTCTACCTACTACAAAACTATGTAATCCTACTCATGACTACACTATCAGATTACTACATTCGGAATAATAAAAGCGACTTATAATTATAATTAACGAAGTCGCTAATGAAGCTTGTTATGCAACGTTACACATATGTGAACGATAGAGTCAAGAGGCTTTTCAGGGTATTTAGTGCACGATACGTTGCAAAGCGTAAATAGCCTGGAACACCGTTAAGGATTAACGAAGCAGTGGTCACAAGCTACACTTCCACAACCTTACGGTGACACTTAACATAGCATAAATACACAGTATTTCACTGATATGGTGTACGTGTATAATGTGTACTCTGCACACGTATAATAATACAGGTACATTTAGAATTCTAAGACATCTAAGTTGCCTTACCTCTTGTCTACAGATTGGACAATTCATGGGACCTAGCCATGAGCCATGTTTCCAATAAGTAATTATACATTCAGCTAATAAAATTTAGTAATTTATGGGATTAGAAATACCAAAACAGACAAGCAGACATGTTCGTATATCACTTCTCAATTTGTCAGGTGCAACATACATCTGAATTCAATTTGCAAAACACATTGGACTTTAAAGCAATCATAATTCTAACGATTTGAAATGCATCTATGCTAATTGTAATATCAGTGATCCTAACATACCGTATAGTACTTCGCTACAATTGCCACTGATCAAACAAAGTAAACGATACAGTACTGTATATTACAGTATAACTTCAAACATCCCCATTTTTTTGCTTTTCGAGAAGATTACTTACAATATTCCTCCTCACTGCTATTTTAAAGGTTCTACCAGCTAACTAAGGTACTGCAAATTACTATACAGCAGGTTGAGGAAAACCCCCTTTTCAACTTTCATGCTGTAAATATATAAGCAGTATTATAATATCTAAAATTAAGTAAGTTATAACATAACACCTATTACTACGAGGATAATCTATGAGTATTTATATGTGCAATAAAACACAACGATGCACCATGTTCGTATAGTACTGTACAGTGTATAGTATAAGTATATACTATGTTTGGTATATCAATCTACGGCGGAGAATAATGTACTGTGGTTTACTATTACATTTCTACAACAATTTTTACCCAAATGCGAAAACTTACGAATACAACACCAAAATATTAATTTAGCCTGAAAATAACATAATATAATTATAACACAATCCAGCCAAATAGAAGTTTTTCAACTACAAACGTGCTCATTATTGTAACAAAGACCTCAGACAAACTCGCCTCTACTTGATGCTATGCAACTACCATCGAACAAAAACTAACTGTACAGCAAACGAATACAGTAAAACGTTTGAGACGTCTCAAACTCCGCTGAGTCTTTCATTTGCCATAATCTATGACAGTACGGTGCATTAGTAGTGAATAAACTGATTTATTATAAGCGTATTTATAGTATCAAGTAATAAAAGGAATGAGAGTGAAAACGTATGTAATGTTAGCTAGATAAATACTGTACACATTATGAATGTAGTGAGCCCACCGACAAAATCCAGAACAGTAAAACTAACCACAAAATATGTGACCACAATTAGTTTCCACTGGCGCTCGAGGATCAAGAATGCAAATTGGACATCTAGAATCAGCGTTATAAGATACCCTTGGTCTGCCATTGCGAATGCCCTCAGAATGATCACTGTTCGAAAGGAATGATCTAGCTTGTTCAACTGCATGCTCCTGAGAAGGATGTACGCGTACACCCAAGTATCGACATCGAGATTTCCAAAGCTCGAAGAAGATAAAAGCTAAACAAATGCATAGCAATCCGCCAGCTATGAGTACAGCTTCATCACTTACTCCTTCAACCAGACTGCCCTGCACTGGATGATTCATCCTTCTTGAATTTTACTTTATTTAGGGAAATTAATGTTTTCCCGTTATTGATGATGTGAGTAATTTATAATTAATAATTTATTTATAGTTAGTAAATCAGCATTCTACACATTGTTATTAAATTAAATTAACTGATGCGTATCGAAGAAAATTTCAACCAAACTACAGTATTGTGCTTTACAGTATACTGTACTGTACTTAGTCGGAGTGGCGTTTACAGAACACTACTGCATAGCAGAGACCTGCAGTGAAAGCTCTTTGCGCAGTAGACACATTTACATCCTTTTGCACTCTGTGCGGCTACGAATCTCTCGTAAAAATTAATTAGATCAGATTTTGTTCTGGTGTACTGTACAGTAAAACAGTAAAACGAGCTCTAGTATGATTGTAACTGACTGCTATGGACTACAATACTAGAGTAGCCCAAAACCACTGTATCTCTGTAGTGTACAGTACAGTACTGTATAGCTAATTAATTAGCCATGAACAACTGGAAACCCTGGTAGTGATTTGTAGTAGTCCTCGATATAACATTGATTGAATTTTTTCGCTGTTCCCCACAAAAGTGAAATAGTAAAAAGTAACTACTAAAGCCCTTAATAAACAGTATTTTGAGCAATTCGTATAATAATTTTGTTAGAGGGCTACGACAGTGCAGTATAATGGTATACTAAACTTTAACAACAATCCAAAGCATTTATACAGTGGACAGCTACTGCATACGTAGTCTACGGATTATGTAATTAAGGACTACTGCAACACTAGATATTAGTGGATTGCATCGGAGACAAATGTCACTCCGAACTCCGATTGGTGATGAAATACGACCACGGTAGTTCAAAGTTGCTCATGCGAGAAATCTGTGTGATTCTTGCAGTCAATTAACCATTGTAATAATTTACTAGTATGTATTACACCGTAGTAATCGTAATTCACAAGAGTACGATACCTCATTCTGAACAAATCGTTTTACTGAAAACCTACGAAACAAGTATAATGAACTACGAATGTACTGATTACTTCGCTAATTAATTAGCTAGAAGTATGAGATCTTAATAGCGGTAAGTTTACAACACAGGCGTTTTACTGTACTGTGGTTGAAGAGAATTTTAGAAATCATATTTACTCGCAATAGTTCAATAACCGAGATACCTAAACACTGTAATTATGATAATTCACTTCACTCGTATCTTCCTTAATAATAATTTAGGAAGATCAACAGATTGGTAAAGTAATAATTTCTCTTGTTACAACAGATCTGTACAGACTAGTAAATAGTTATAATTAAATCACTTTAAAAAACGTACAAGAAAATGTAAGCCATAATCAAGTGTTATATTCCAATCAGGCAGTAGTCAAATGCAACCTACTTAGGAGCAAAAAATTATCCTAACAACTAGTTTTATTATACTGAAAATTCTGTCTACATTGTTACAGATACAATTCATGCTAGGAACGATGCAGCACAATGTGAATATTTTAACACATGATATCATAAGAATAGTACCGCCATTCCAATTTATAACACTGAGAACTGTGCGGATTTCTGATTACCACATATTTTATAGAACCTTAACATCACATGCACACATGTGCGCTATTTGGTCACGTAGCTACGTCATTATACTGCCTTAAATACTTAAAGCATAATATAATAGATAAGACGTATTAAGTCTGCTTAATAAACTATGTTACAAATACCAACAAATTTGACAAATTTAATAAGTTCTATTTAACGATTGTAAAATTATTAACAGATTACTAAACAGAAATTATGAGTAAAACTTATACAGAATATGTTGAGAATACAAAAATACGGAAAGCAGTGATAACAAATTCAACTGTACAAGTGATTACTTATCTTAGTGTACAGTATTTAAGATCAGTGATAGAGACTACTGTCATAAATAGTAGATACACAATAATTACAATTATTTTTCTAAGTATAACTATAACTATAACGCATAACTACCGAAAATGTTGTTTTACCAACCGAAAAAAAATTCAAAAAATCTCTCGACATTGCTAAACAATAAATAAAAACCCAGATCATCAACCTATCATGACATAAATTGCAATTATTTGTTGATATTGCATAACATGTATATATATATAATGCGCAAATGTAGCACAGTCTCATAATATTTCAAGTATTAAGTTGTATTCTGCTTAGCATATAATTTTTAATTTCACGTCCTGGATTATTATTAAACATTAATGACACGTTCTTATAGTAATACCTTAGCGATTTATACGCTGTTGCAGTAACTACTGCTTACATGTATATTAATTTGAAATACCTATTATTTATTCATGCGCTTTTATATGTGTTAATGTAATAACTGTCAAATCAAAATGTGAATTCGAGGTTATGCTGTACAATATTGAATATAACTGATTGTGAATAAATCAGGAGTAAAAATGTGTGGCTATTGCTCCACTATAATATTACTACAAGAAATTCCTTTGGAATCTTTAGAACAAGGCTTACAAATAATTATAATTCTTACGATAGCTATCATCGAAAGCAACTAAATCTGTATATTATATATTAAGAATTAGTAATTCATTACAAAAAATCGTCCGCAAAAAATTTCAGGCAATGTCGGAGAAAACATAAAAATTAACTGATTTAAGGCCTGTGGATTCTTGCATTTCACAAAAAATACGAGCCAATGTTTAACGAGTTAAATCTAACGATGGATTCTTTCCTGTAAAACAACAAACAAACCACCTAACTGTACTTATACTATAATAACAAGGCTAAGTTTAAAAATACCATCACCATAAAAAAATATATTATAATAAATGTGATATAATACACTATTATTATCCAAGTACCTTTTATTTGAAGATCATAAATTACAGAGATTACACTCCATAAGAATTTGCAAGCCTTTCTTTTAAAGGTTGAGGAAACTGATTAGAAAAATTTCTCCAATTTTCTTCACCAACTTGCATCTTAAAGCCATGCAAAATCTAAAGCAAAAGCGTAATCTCTTTCAGGATACAATCACAAGAACGACCGTGTATAATCAGAGTACAATCTACCTTATGAAATGTTTCCTTCAAATCTTCCTTCGGACTATGCCAGGATGCAACCGCATCGCAAAAATACATAAAATCCTAATGCACCATAATCGTCATTATGAACAACGTAGTTTAACATGGTAGCTCATAACAGCTTACAGAGAATTTACCTGAACGACACCGCCAGGGTTAACACTAATCATCCTACAAATACCACGAAATGCAGAATCTTTTTCTTCATTATCTCTAATGCATCTTAGTGCTTTACACCTTCAAAATATGGCAGGATCAAAGTATAGTAAGTCTCTAACATTAAATTTTACTAAGTTAATTGATTAATAAAGATACACTACCATTTTTGAATGAAGTTTGGCAATTTAGGAGCAACTTCATGTGGACAAACATATCCTAATCGTCCAACCGTAATTGCTAATGTCCAACATTGAAGGATAACTTTTTAGAATAATATCAATCATATACAACATAAAAATATAAAACGAACCCGTATTTTCTAGTAAAGTTTTGGGTATGTCATCTCTATTAAGGATTTCAATCAGTTTATCTAACACTAAAGGCAAATAGGGTTGCACATCTGGACCTAAATAAAAAATGCGAACAATTAAATACTGCTGTAATCATATTTTTTGTACCCTAATGGTTTATAGATTTTTCTTTTCAGAAAAGTAGTACATACCCATTTGCATTGCCATCTCACCGATTGCCCATGCCGAATTATTGCAAACAGACACTAAATCCGGATTTAAATTTTTTCCAAGTAAAGGCATCATATCTCCTAAAATTAAAAAATACGATACGAATTTTTTTAAATGGTGTTTCAGTAAAATTGCCAAGAAATCTGAAACATACCAACATATTGTTGTACATGTCCGAAGCATGCCTTCGTAAGATCACCAAGCAATGCAAATGAGCTCTGTCGTACTTCATCCGTTTGATCCTATATACATAACATAAAATTAATAAACCAATTAAGAAACATTTGTATCTATTAGCTACAGTATTAAACTCATTAGTCTAAAGAACCAACCTGCATGCACTGATATAGAAGTGCCAGCAAATTACTCTTTCCAATCAGTGAATCAATATTCTTATCAATTCCTTCCGTTAATCCACTCAGTAAATCTAAAGCAACTATCATGAAATCTTTGTCCGGTTGATCATACTGATCTATAGGTATCTGAACTGTACTCTGACTTAAGGTCTGTTCCACCAGAGACACACATCGTTGAAATACTGGCTCCGCATACGGTAAGAACCCGGATTGAAGAGCTATAGCAATTGATGACAAACACTAAAGCCAATGCAAATTATTAAATTGCCAAATTAATGCATCTTCGATTAATATAATTTTCATAAAAATGTTAATTGAATCCTACTTCAAGCAATGGGAATAAATCTCTATCTTGATCCTGTAAAGCATTCCACTTTTGTATTAACGGTGGCATCAACATAATAATTAATTCCTAGTCATAATAACATTAATAGATTTCAACATGAATACATGTATACTACGAAATTCTTCATTACTACATCAACTACGTACCGGTTTATTAAGATGATGTCCAACAGAGTCTGCAAGCGTACCAAAGGCATCATACAATATCAGAAGGTTTTTGCGCTAAACAAACGTATATTCACATTAGTAGTCAATAGCAATGGAACTATTCTTGAACAAAGTCTTATCTAACCTGATATTTGCTAAACGCAAAGACAAGCGTTTGAATAATATGCTCCAGATAAGGAACAAGAGCAGAGCAGGCTTCTTCTTCAAGGGTAGCAAATGCACTACATTTACGTAAAATGTATACGATGAACGATAACTCATAAGTGGTTATACTAAACGTGAAAGATTGTCTCAAAGATATCTGCAGTTTACCTGCAAGCAGCTTCTTGAACCCGCTTATTACTATCTAACAGACTCTTTAGTAACTAAAAATAATAAAATCCGTGAAAGATAATCCACCGTACTACAAGCAAAGACAAAATTAAAATCAAACCTCTCTTATCAGATCTTGAAAAAAGCTTTTCTCAGACTGATTTACAACCCAATGTGCGTAACGACTAAGTGTCCAACATGCAATTGAACGAACAGGAGCCTATCAAGGATATCATAAAATCTTTCAGTTTCAGCGCCGTCTAGTAACAAATAATAAAACCAACCTTATCATCGGATAATGATTTTATTAGAAAAGGAATCAAGGTAGGCAAATGTTGATTCAGCCCTCTTAAACACCCTGCAGAAGTAACAGAAACAAGTTCTTGAATTGCGTCACTTAAAAATAGCAAATGTGCAGTTGTAACCTTCTGCAACAGCCCCAAGAACAAGAATGCCTGATTCTTTAACTACCCAATCACTATTGAACAATACTTCTTTCAGGATGGGTAGTAGCACTGGCAGAAGATCATTCCCAAAAACACTCGCTAAAATATCTAAAGCCGCAGCTGAGCACTTCCCTATATAGCAAGTTAGAAGAAATAAACCATTTTCTCCGAGAAATTATATTACATGAATATATATATATATATATATAGACGAAATCTAATAAAGCAATTACTTAGGTTCCATTCAGATAACATTTCGTCATCATCTGAGTCGTCATCATAATTATTATCTGTTGTGACGTCACCATAACCTTGGTTATCATCTATCCCATTTACGTGCTGATGACTCTGCAGCTTCGGTTTATGAAACCGTGGCTTAATATCTTCTTCCTTATCAGGAATTCCTTCATCATGTTCATCATCCTGCAATCAAATCTTTATTAATCTAATGCTATATTGTACAATATGCTAAAAAATATCAAATAACATGTTATCAATACGTAATTTTACAACCGTACCTTTAGTAGCATTACATCGATTTCTGAATACTTCATCCCACTTACAAGCACAGGAACTAAACTATTCATTAACATAATTTCCAAATTTCAGATATTACAGTTATGCTTGTTTGTTATTGCACACCTAAAACTTAGTCTTCAAAAACTAATAGGGTATACGCCTAACCTTGGCAAATAAGGGCGTAATGCTTCCTTACAAATAGACTGCTCAGCTATTATTAACCAAAATTCACAAGCTTCCAGTGCAACATTTCCATCTTCATCTTGTGTGCGAACCAGCATATACTAGCGCAATTTCGAAATACATTGTAAGGTTAGGTACAATAAAACTACTAAAAAATATTTACATTTTAACTTACCTCAATGATGCCATTAAGAAACGGCACCAATTGGCTTATTCGAATCCCTAATAAAGTCACCAAAGCATGACAAACATTTTTCCGAACTTCACCCGATTCATCGTTAGCAACAGAGAACAAATTCTGAAATGACATACGTACAATCAGGATGAACTTTTATTGAGTAAAGGTTCTTGAATACCGTAAAGAACTAAATGTTTTCAAGCCAATTATTACACTCTAAATCAACTATATCTAACGAAAATACTCGAAAGAGTACATCGGAGAACATACCTGAATTAAATCTTGAATATGCGGCAAAATCGTTGACGCTTGCATAAAGTGGCATATACATGCGACTGCTAATGATCTATAAAATACAGAATGTGTTTCATTAATGCTAGTAATACTAAATATCAAGTTATATGTTTGCTACAGGTCGTAACTCTGGTAAATGCGATCCTTAAGCGGTATAGTAGAAAATCCACGAAACTTAATACAAGTACTGTAATTGGATACCTAATTTTAGGACTGTAGTGTTTGATATATTGAATAAACTTTGGAATCATGAAATCCACTGGCAATCCAGATACAACATCGGCAACATCAGCAACATCTTCGCAAATGTTATGTAATGCAAGAAAGGCACCCTGCTCGTACAGAAAATACAGGCCGAACAATAAGCATAGCAGTCACATCGACAAGCGAAATTTCTTTTTGTAATTACTAAATTACATTACTGAAAGCAGGAGTAAATTCTTCGATACCTGATCCAAGCAAAATCAATCTGCTATCATTACAGCTTATTGCTATTTTGCAATAGCTCCGATACAGTGAAACACGAAATGCTACAGTACGTATCCGACCTATCGTTCCTTATTATGCAATGCATTATAAAAAAATTCTATGGCAGGCCCTACACTTTCGATTCGATAAAGTGTACTAATAGTACAGTACATACGAGTATTCGAGTATAGTATTCAGTCCATAAAATTGAAAATAATGATTGTGAACATTTATATACAAATAACAAGATCTATATTCGAAATCGCACAAACGTGATAACATTGCACTCATCTTTAAAGAGTAACTGAAATGCTTTACGAGCATATGCGTACATCGTAATCCAAGTCGGTCAATCGAGTGATAATGGCCCTTTTGATACAGGCATATTCAATAACATGAAATTAACTGAGTATGAGGACTTTGCGAGTACTTGTGATGTTATACTGCACTATAATGTATACCGTCAAACAATATATATATATATATATATATATATATAATTACAATCTACTAAAACCGTGAAACGACCGTAATATTAAATGTCAAAAATCAAATTTTTCAGATGACTATGTGCATGTAGAACATCCATACAAGTTACAACAATCTAAAACAATATAAGTATAACCCAAGATCTTTTCGAATCTACCATTGCATATGCTCGCACCGTAAATTTTATCAAGGAATAAAAATGAATTCTCATCTTGAGTACACGTATCTCCCAAACGGTAACTGAATTACATTATAAACTAAAGATTACAATGCCTGTTTGAGGAACCAGTCAACCACTGTCGCTAAAAATTCTTCACGCGCAAACTAAATAGTATTTGAAGATCAGTAAACCGACAAAGATAGAGATTAACTGAATGTAATTAAAAGACTGTGTATGAAATAACAGTTGCAGTTGTAAACTATATTAGCCAGAACGTCAGCCAGTCCACCAAATGTGCACAGGTGATTAATGACTATAACTATAAGCTGTTAATAGTCCATACCAGTGGTATAGGTCGATCCGTGCCATAAAAAGCGGGATTTTTACATTTGCATCTATGAATACGCGTATATAGCACTCTACCACGTAGTACAGTAGTGCAATTAAGAAGGCAATCAACTGGTAGAGTTGAGGCAGCTTTATAAACCCTTAAGCAGTTCACGATGCATGCAGTGACACCTCAATGTAGTACAGTAAATTCAAGAATAATTTGTATAACGCCGCATGGGATTGTACGATACTAAACTTACTGCATCAATATTAGACAATTCTATGCTAACATCCAGCTAACAAGCGTAACTGCTATAGAGTCGAATTTCGATTGATAACACCAAAAATCTTTCAAATTATACTACTACGAGTATAGTGCTAAAATGAAACTTAAGTAGCTATTTTGGTTACTTAATTAAAGGGTTTGATTAACATCATAAACCAACAACGCTTTCTCTCATTATTATTACTATGATGACTGAATGACACAACAAGTAAAATGAAGTATACAATATAATACATCTAAGTAACACTAAATAAATCATGCAACTAGGCAATAAAAGACAGTTCGCTGAATCGAACTCTTCTATTGAATTGTTAACATCCAAGAATAAACTCCCGATAAAGCGTTATTCGAAAAGTAGGTTCAATCTAATTAGCTATTACCATAACAGCTAAACTGAAATTTGTATCAAACCCTCACATCCAATTCGCACACCTTTCTACTTCTACGATTGAAACTTCATTACTACCGCAGTGCACCATGAAATACTGTACTAACACCACGATAATACATTGCCAACAACGTATATCTCACCTCACAAGCCTCATAGTTTCCGCTGTCAACCAACTGAAAAAGTGCCGGTATTAGATCTTGCCACTCAGCAAACCCATCGTTTCGAGCAACTGCAGTTATCAAAATAGCAACTATTGCCCTAATCAAAGGCGAAGGGTCACCAATCGTATGCAGGCACTCATACTTTATCAGTTGCCTTACGTTCTCTGGAAATTTTTCATAATGTGATTTAACGTTGTTTTTAAGAATTAATCCAGCTAATGAACGAGTATGATCATCTATAACAGTAGAACGTATAAAAGATTTTTATTAGTTTTATTCTATTTATGCTTGTCGTTATACTGCAATATTAGATTGTTGATACAAACATTACAGTTTCCATCTACGTATATATTTACTATATCGAGTGCTAAGAGTAATTAATCAACGTCGACACTGCTACTGAAGCTAACCTCTTCAAGCTAAGCTATATCAGATGCAGTGAAATGAGCAATTTTACGAATAACAATACCATAAATCATATAACTAACCTTCTGTTGTCATCTTAGTTAGTACAAATACCAAATAATTGTTGAAATCCGGATAACAACTTAAACTTTCTAATTTCTAATATTGCCGAATAATTGCAATTTGCATACTTAGTTAAGAAATTTACATCAAAGCCTCCGTTACACTCTCAATTCTGATGCGAAACGTAAACAATAATTAGCAAAAAAGCGTCATATCATAAATTTAACCCAACTAGCTAGTAAATCAGGCAGTCAGGGCGATGCTGTCAAGAGAGAATGATCCTATCTTAAAAATACGCCTTTACGATTACGTAAGGTAACATAATCTTGATACGTTAGATACTGCGAAATAAGTAGAATTGCTACAGTACCTTGTACAGGGCAAGATCATCACATAAGAACTCACATTTAGCACAGTATAAACAAATTTGATGCGGGTATGAATAGTGAACCTTCTACTAATCAACTAGTGACGTGATAACGAGTGGTAAACTGGCATCAAAAAGATTTGATTATACTAGTTTATGAGATTACTGTACACAACTCTTTGAGATTTTACGCAACAGTACTACCTTGCACATGGCAATCGTCCAATTAGTATACAGTATATATACATACATACATACATACATACAAATATACTGTACTGATCCTTTTAGTCTTGTTAGCGATAAATTATAAGATACAGTTCGTACTTTTAATCCAACTCAATACTACAGTAAAATGCACACGTGCGGTTTAAACATGCATTGTCGCCTTTATACAGTACAGGAAGGAGCAAAACTATAATAACTTTTATGATTGAATCAAACTAAGATTTGGTGCCATAATTCATGACTACAGTCTACTCAACAAGCAAACGTTACATCTCAATATTCCATAGAAAGATTTAAACTGTCGTACCTACAGTTTAAAACTTTCAATTGCTAGATTACAGAAATATGTGTGGTATCTTTTACGGATCATTAAAACTTAGAACGCAATGATGCAGTTAAAAGGTATCAAATTCTAAAGACTACAGTACTGTACATCCAAGCACAACGATCAATAGCAATCAGGTTGTTCAACATTGATTATAAATACTAGAATCAACAAGTAAAATTGCACGAACTATCCACTTTTTATCATTATGTATCAAGAATAACGGGTTAATATTATACCAATATAAATACAGACAATATAAATTTGAATTTCGATCATTGGAATCTAGAAATGCCATCGCAGATTGCATCAAGGATACGTTCTGTACAAGAGTTTGAATTCCCGTATTAGGGCTTTGACATTCCTTAAGAAGTTGCAAAATTTGCCTTAAATCAACTTCATTCGGCTGCCACGCCATACTGTCTGAGTAAAGTGTATTAGTATACCCTAACTATTAGAAAAATATCAAGTCGATTCCGACTACCTGACAGCCAACACAGGTTCAAATAATATAATTATTGAGGACAAAAAATGTGACACGATAGCGGAACGCATGAATTGGAGCGGCTAGCGAAGTTTTTATTTTTTTACTGTCTAGTACGGTACTGTACCATGTACTGTACAGTACAGTACTCCATGATTCAGCAGTTCACAGTACACAGTACAGCACTACAGTAGATATACAGTACTGTACATTGTACGGTGCGGTGCATCCAGTAGTCCATGACTGTACAGTACTGTATGAGTTGATACTGTACTGTACAGTACAGTACTGTAAGTACTGTAGCTCCGGCTGCTAGAAGCTGATACTGGACAGTAAATTGTACTGTACGTTACTGTACAGTACTGTAGATCCCCGCCACCATGGGAGCTAGCTAAAAAGAAAGAAACGACCAGTGCAAAACACAGTAATGTGGAGGCTTTTTATTCATTCTTGGGGTCATTCTACTACACGTACAGTATATGCTACCGATGAAACCGTATACAATCCAGTCCAAACTTAACAGGCTAATAGTAGCTAATTTGGACGTCAATGATAGACAGTATAATGGACCGTTGCAGACATGCGATACACTTGAAATGACCAGTAAAAATAATCAGCCTCCACATCATGAGGATACAATCGTTCCTTGTCTCGTCTCTTTCTTTTAGCAGTCCCTGCCGCCACTCTATAAATAGTAAGAGGATAGTTTCAGCCATAGAGGTCAAAAATAGAAGAAAAAATGCTACAGTACAGTACTGTACAATACAGTACCGTACTGTTGGTTTCGTGGTTCCAACTAGTTCCGACGACAGTACAGTACTGTAGTGTTAATTGTAAAGACTTTTTATCAAACTACAGTACTACAGTACATTCAGTGTACAGTACGGTACTATACTGTACTGTACTGTACTGTACACTGTACAGTACTGTAATAACGTTGACAGATTTTTCATTTTCATTCACTGTCACAGTACTCTACAGTACAATATTGATTTTTACTGTACAGTATGTACTGTAGCCTAGAGCTACCATAAGAAGTACTGTACTGTACTGTACAGTACTGTAAGCTTGACAGACCAGACCCGTAAACAGTAAACGTGTTACGTGTTACTGTGTAAGGCGATCGGCTATTACATTTCAAAATGAACGATGAAAATGAAGAAGCTAATGCCGAATTGAAGGTTTACTATTTGTATCCTATATTACTGTTGATCCGTATCTTGTATTTCAGTATTCATAATAATGCCTAAATGATTGGCAGTACTGTTTCTCTACTACACAATTTTGTCTTTATTATAAACTTCAGCTAGTTTATGTTTGTCTCTGCTACGAATACTATCTACAGTACAGTACGGTCTTTCGCACAATTGTACACTGCAGTAGTAATACAGTTACAGTATTGCAAGCCCGCGTACGTTTCCATTTCTATTACTGTGCTGTACTACCGTATACTGGACTGTATGGGTATTTGTTTATTACTTATCTGTACTGTACTTACGAGATTACTCGTACACGAATGCTGCTAAAATACAGTAACTACATCAAATCATCCACTTCTCAGTCGTAGTTATTCATGGAGAACGCATTAAAGTCTTTTGAAGCAGCTATGCAGTACCGTATTACTGAACAGTGAACAGTATACCTGCAGAATCTGCAGACCCGATATTAGCAACAAGTATTGAGTATTTGTATTCGGTAATATTAGGTACTAGCATTTGCAAGTGAAACTGCCAACGTGTCGATTGCTTGTAATAGAAATGCTGCGCAATTTGACTACGTAATTTACTGCTCGTCAAATACAATATACACAAATAAAGCCACTATAGTCAATGGCTAACAGCTTCCACTTTTCGATGCTTGATGAAGCCTGAAACTTGACGCTTTATCCACTGCATACAGTACGTGCAATACGTTCATCAGATGCTCACTCACTTTATGGATAGTAGATTCAAGCACATTTTAAATACCAATTTCTCTGAATACACATCTTCCCATTTACGATTACAAACATTCGTACACTATAGAATCATATTGCATATACTGTATGCCGTTAATTAACTATAAAGAATTACAAAAATGCTTGAAGGAACAAGCTGTCTTGCACCAACTAAATCTGAATCTGAATACAGTACATAGCACTGATAACTGTAGAACTTGAAAGCAGGCTGAAAACTCTACTCTACTGCATATCACGACATTAACACTGGCTATGGAACTATAGGTTCAAGATATTGTAGAGTAGTCATACAGTATGTTAATGTAAACGTATACGTCAGTATTTCACCAACAGCTCTTGAAGTTCGTAACGAAGAAACAAATAAATAAATAAGTATAATCCTACTACCCAGTGATGTTGTAATCCAGTAATACTATTCAGACGGACCTGATAACGTATGTGTACTGTAGTAGAATGTAGTAACTGAATATTCTTTTAATGTAATGCCCGGAAACAAATTTTTAAATATGTATCTAGACCCAGAAAGACCAAGACGACGTTTCCGTTGGTAGCTTGCAATTTCAAGGTATTTTATGCTACTTTTATAATTGAACATTCACAATGTTGGTAAAATTGAAGGAGCTAACTCTAAAAATTTGGCAATAACGACTTTTGAGAAAAAATAGTAATTTGAATGCAATCGTTTAAAAAATACGGTATGTGATTTGCTAATAACTTTATATAGAGTTTGGAAATGGAAATCCGGCGACAACTATACCATTAGATGCTGGAGAAATTGGAGATGCAGGTCTCCAAACAAATCGTGGGGTGCCCATTTCATTTGATAGCGCTGGTAAGTCTAAAGTTTTTAAAATATAGTACGTACAGTGTGAGGTGTACTGTATAGTATACTATAGTACTGCATATTCTGGTAAATGTATAGTAGATTGATATTGCAAATCAGAAAATTTACTAACGTCAACTTCAGTATAAATTAATCCAATGTTAATCGTATAGTATATACCACTCAGTCACTACGGCAAAGCAATCGCCAATACGTATATGTCTAGTATTTGTATGGCCTTTAAATAATATTACACATTAATTAATTATTAAGGGTAATGTATGTGTATTCTAAATATATATGATGTTCATTATATCCCCCACTATAGATGAACAAGAGGATACAGCCTCAAATGTAAGTTATCCCATAGACACTTTACTATACGTTATGCAACTCGTTCAGTTTGTAGCAAAGGGCAAACGCAGTACTGAGAGAATTGCATTTTATCCCATAGATCGTAGTGACAAATGTTGCATACGAAATAGCGCCTACGGTGCATATTGTATGATAAATATGTATCTGACTATGATACTATGCGAACGAAATGAGCTGATAAAACTTGGAACGATAATATGATAAAACGAATAACTTGATGAACAGTTGAAATTCTATTCCCTATATTGTACACATATCGCTAGTAATCAAAAGTGGTTATTACAGAAATCGATGAATACGATAGTACTATACAATTCTGTAAAGATAAACAATGATAGATCCATTCTTCTACTGAGTATCTGCCAACCTAAGAGCTTTCGAAAGTTGGGAGTCATTTACAACAATTGCGAACATAATGCGTATGTCGCGTGTGTAATGTATGTCTAGTAATACGCGTTTTATTCTCGTAATTGATTTCTTCTTCTAGTTATTGACTAATAAACGAAAGAAAAATATGCCCATGTGGACCTTCGATTACTATATGCAATTCTTCGACATAACCACAACTCAGGTTTCGTTTCTTAGATAAAATAAGGGTTTTTTAATGTTTTCATTTAATTTTTCTCTTTGTTCAAAATCTCGAAAGTTTCTGTGAGCATGTTGTTAAAAGTTCGGTAAAATTCGCTACTGACACTGCAAGCTATTTAACGTAAGGTATAGAACATAAATAAGTAACGCCTGTATTTCAGGTTTTACAGAGAATTACCGGATCTGTTATTCCATCGTTTCAAGGAAATTATTTAAGAAAATATATACGAAGTAACCCTGATTTTTATGGTCCGTTTGCAGAGATCATAAACTTTGAATCAATATGACACAATTGCTTTTTAGCTTCTTTAAATAGTGTACCGTAATGTAATGATCATCAACTGCATTTCGTTCTTAAAGGTCCTTTTTGGATATGTGCAACACTAGTATTCACTACTGCTATCAGTGGCAATCTAGCTGATTACATCACCCATGCTGGAGATCATCAATGGACATATGACTTTCATAAAGGTTAAATATTTATATCAATCAATAATGATAATTTACTGAGTTCCAATTGTTCTTTAAGTTAAATAAATATTGAAATTTTAAGTATTATATGTCGTTGTTTGTTATCTTATTTGGTATTCATAAAGCAAATTACTTTTAGTTACTGCAGCTGCTGGCGCAATTTATGTCTACGCTTGGCTTTTACCAGTTTTGTTGTGGGGTTTACTCTGGTGGAGGCACGACACTGTTGGAGCGAATATAACAGAAGTTGTTTGTATTTATGGCTATTCATTGTCCATTTACGTGCCGGTGTCGGTAATTGAGTTCATTAATCTTTGTAATGAAGTGAAAATATGGAAAATAATATTGTATTGAATTGTTTATATATTGATTCAAAGATTTTATGGGCTATTCCGTTCGAATGGTTAAGATGGATATTAGTTATTCTAGCAGCTGTCTCATCAGGTATAAATCTTTATACACCTGAAATCGAAACCGCTTATAGCATCAGCACAAGTTAAAACATCTACACAGTATACATCATATTGTCAGATCGAGATTCCAGGTGGAATGTGAACGGAGTCCTTTAGAAATTTAAATTACACTGATTGCAATACGAATCGTTTCATTGTAGGACTTACAATGTCGCGTGTTTAACTCGGCAAAATATTAATAGTTTTCGTTCTCCTAGGACTAGTGCTTGTATTTACGATTTGGCCTCTTTTGAAACACGAAAATCGCCAAATGGCTACTCTAATTTCTCTAATCGTCCTGGCTTTACACGCTTTACTGGCTATCGGCTTCAAGGTCTGAAGTATACATGATTATTTTAATACCGTCCATATGAAAGGGCATGGACCGTTGAAGTTAAGATTTACTGTTAATCCCTTTTCAGGTATATTTCTTTGGCTCCGTCGGGAAAGCTGTTTTAAATAGCACTTCTATTGCAAGTCCTTCTACATGGACTACTCTGACGCCTATGACGCTTTAGTATCACAAGCATACAAAAATACATTTATATTTATGATCGTATAATTTGTTACTTTTCCTAAAATTAAATCATACCGGTCTACAACGAAATCTGTACCCGCAACACCTGCGTAATGTGCATATATACGAGGTATGCATAATACTCATATGAGGGAACGCAGTATGGCTATAACTATTGCCGGGCGTGGATTATGCAGAGAATGTATTAACATATCGCATTTACTTAATTTAACTACAGTGCCGAATCTTTATAAACCAATTACATATTCTTTATTGCATATTATTTTGACCAGACACATCAAATTTATTAATCTAACTATATAAACATACGCGAAAATCAGTGTCACATTACTCATATTACTAAAGTACCAATACAAGATTAATCCTAAGATCGCTGTTCCTAACGTCGGAAGAGACTGAATTGTAATAAAATTATGCGGCAATAAGTATTAAAATGTATATCACATTCTGTATTAATTACCCAACATTGGCATTAGCCCAATAATGCCATCAAAGAATCGGTACCGTGATTGAATGGCTGTGTACTGTATGGAATCTCCAATTATACGAGTACAATGTAACACCGCCTTTGAGTACTACTTATTCGTGACTGTAATTAAACATAATATTTAGGTGCTAGGTTTAAAGGCATCTGTTCAATATAATCTCGAATCAAGTCTGCAAATTGGACTGTCGTAAACCATTTGTAAATTAACTTTGTGACCAACTAGATCGCGAATGTCGTTAATTCCATACCTAACCATGGTTGGTCTTTGAGAATTTCAAGTTAATAGAAGTACCGATATTAGTACGAGCGTATAACATCACCGACACATTCACTTAGCAGCTATTATATGAATACGAATTAATTACCGTTCCAAAGATAGGCCCCACCCTAACACATTGACATTATCTGGTAATCCCATAGGCTTAATCATTTCTGGGCGAAAAACACCAGAATTTCCAATCTCTACCCACTTTTTTAGCCCTGAACACATATATTAGGTCATTTAAATTAGGTTGCAACAGTTAAGATCCCCAATAATTACCGCAGATTACCTTCATGAAAAGTAAATATCTCCATGCTAGGTTCGGTATAGGGATTGTACGCTGGCTTAAAGCGTAAGTTTTTGATTCCTTCCAAAAAAGTAAAGAAGAATCATTATTGTAATTCATCATACAGATATGAGTTATCTACCGAAGGTTAATTACTTATACAGTAGCAAGTAAACTTACCTAAATAGGAAAAGAACGAATATAGAATAGAAATCAAACTCGCTAGGGAAACATCATAATCTGCAACAACTCCTTCTACCTGATGAAACTCAGCTAGGTGAGTTGCATCAACACTCTCATTACGGAAGACTTTGTCAATGGAAAAATATTTCACAGGTTTAAATTTTTCCATCTAGGAAATTAATAATAAACATAATTCAGCAATTTTCAAAGCTTATAATGCATACCAACAGACCGGATCCTTAAATCAAGAAAACAGGTATCACCTGTCCTAACTTATACAACATCCTAGCGCTAACTCCGGTAGTGTGGGTGCGGAGAACGTTTTTTCTTGCTTCCGATAATTTCCACTCACTTCGATACCTAAAAATACATAGCATGTTGGCGATTAAATTAAACTAGGTAACAACATAATTGCTGATGTGTATGCTAATAATCTACATGAAACCGTTTCAGATTAACAAAAATACCCTATCGATCGATAGCCACCAGACTCGTGCACTTTCTGTACTTTCTCAAGATAATCTGTGGGAAATTCACGCGCATTTTCGGGATCTAAAGTATTGTAACATATAGCCGACTATCCTTATTCCTACATATCATATTATTATTAATCTACAGGCTAGCCGACAAAGTACGAAATAAATTACCGCTCAAAAAAAACGTATCTTGTGCATCCCGTGCAGGATGTTGCTGTGGTTGAAATAGGGCATCAAAGTTCCAAAAGGAGCTTTCGACGTAATTATTAGTTGGCATCTCCGTAAATCTATAAATTTTAGCAAAACACATCTTAAGTTAATTGTGCTCATAAAGCATAAGCTACGAAACATGTATATTCGTTCTACCTACAATTACTGAAAATATTATACCTTATTGCACACATCTAAATTAACACATTGACTTTAAATAGTAATATCATCATAGCAATAACTGTATAATGTTATATACCCCATTTCCAAAAATATTTGACAAACTTCAGCGCGAACTTTCATTAATGGATGTAAATGCCCGCTGCTTGGCATAATACCAAGCGAATCAAAGTTATAGGGCTTAAACTTCTTCTCTTTCCAAGAATTCCTACAAAGAAAATCGACTCTGCCTAAGACGATTATGTAACAATATACTCCAGAAAATAAATAGGAAAATGACTTGACGACTGTACAACATCAAAATAACAACTATTTATATATGTTTACGTTGCCAGCATTTCCGGAGATAACTCAGTTTCCATTTTAGTAACTTCAGTTGTAAAATGCGGTCCTTTAGTGACATCGAAACTTTTAATAATCCTACATTTAAAATTTATAAATATTGATCAAATCGCGACGCTTGCGGTAATAACAAAAAGAATTCTGAGGATATTTAGAAATTGAGAGCTGAATATTTTGAAACTGTTTATAGTACACAAACCATCTAATCAGCTATTCACTTACACAGCATTTATTAATTTTCTCTTTTTCAATTCTTTTAAGGTTGCATCTGGGATATCTTTTACTTTGCCATCTTTTATTTTCTGCACAACCGACTTCGTTCGATCTTCTATCTCATCTACCTATTTTGGCCATAAATTTATCACTCCAGATATATTATTACTATTAATTATTACTTCATTACTGTATACATACGGTACAAATATCTTCGCACTGGTCGTTTTAATACATACAGTATAAAATAAAAGTATGTTAATTTGCACTAAAAATCTTACTTTCTTAAACACTTTTGGGTCACCACCAGTGGAATTCTTTTCTATTCTTAACCAACCTAATGACATCGCTTTATTGAGTCCGATACGGGCATTAGGAAAGAGATTCTAGGGATCAATAACAACAGATGGGATTAGCCATAACGTAATATTAACCTACTATAAATAGCTTAAAACAAGTAAAAATTTACCATTAACGATTTCTGCGAGCTTCCATCATCGCTAATTACTTCATAGATCCTAGCTTCGTAACTTCCATTGGATAAAATTTCTTCAGCTTCTTTAGTCAAAACCCATAAATTTATTTGCTTCTGAGTAACACAAATGACCTCAAAAGTTGACAAGTAAAAAACAGTACAATCAAAATTATAGTCTTTCGTCGCTATACCGCATTATATAAGCTAAGAAAATACGCCAGTCCTCCCTTCTTATCTAGATTCTTACTTGAGTATATTTCATTATTAGTATATCATGCGGTAGAAAACTACAGTAGTCTAATTCTTTGCGTACTCGAAAAAATTTATGCGTATAATTATATAATCGAATATAGTACTGTACTCAAAAAGTTAAGAGTCAAAACTGGAAAACAGTATACCAACAAGATATACTCGTATATGCCCACGCTAAGCATGTACATTATGATAAAAAATGGCTAACTGTTAATAGTAAGTAATATCGCCATAACCAAGTATAGTTTCCGTATTTAATATTAATATATCATTACTATGTCTCGAATAAACCACAATATCAATTCAAAACTCATAATTAATAAGATTTGAAATCGTATACTGTACGTGTATTATAGAAATCATACTTCTCCGAGAGATTGTACAGATTTCATTGCCCCAACTATCGCTTGATGATCAGCCGATAACTCCTGAGATAGATCATAAGTATTTAATTCTCCTTTGTTCGATAACGTTTCCAAAATAGTCTTATCCATGTTACCGAGCAAAGATTAGGTAGATTGATTTAATAATGGAGAAATTGTTTTTTAATTTCAGATCAGGAACAAGTTCTTTCAGGTCTCTTTAAAAGACAGAGGCAGAGTACGGTGCAGTACAGACAGTAAAGTAAAAGTACTTACTGAACTGTACATTGCTATGGACCAGACCTTACAATACACTACAGCGACTACACCGTTGATTTTACGGCCGCTTGATCATTCGGCCACCCTTCGGATACCTTTCCTTCATACAGTACACTATAGCACATAGTATCTATGTAGGACTTCAAAAATGTATGGCTTAGTATAGTAACTCGGCCAATTAATCATCCGGCCACCCGCAGGATTATGGTTAGGGACAGACGGACTTTTCTTGCCCAATGAAGCCGTAAATATCGAAAAATAGCTACTCAGTATGGATCTTCTGTATCTGTTTTCTAAATCACTGGTACCAATTTAAATAACTGTTACGATCTTATATAACTGTTTTCATGCAGAATTTAGTAATGGGTGATAAGATTTAACGTAATATTACTTTCGTAAATATTTCTTTTACGAATTTATTATCGAGAAGTCCCTGCTGTCATAACGAAGTATTCGAAACAACCTTCTGACGAAATGAAGCCGAAAAGGCCTGTCCGTCCAAGAGTGATTAATTAATTAATCAATCCAAGTATTCTTCTTCTAGAGTTATATAGTCCTATTGTAGCAAATAAATTTTACTTTGCAAAGCTATCTGTAATAATCCCCAATGCAGTACACTGATCTGTATACTGTATAGTGAGAAGTCTGGTATACTGTATGTATATTACTGTTATTATCAGCGCTCTCTTATGAACTGCTGTTAGAAGAGAGCGTCTTGTCCTAGTTGTCCATTACGATGGTATAATTATTTATTGATACTATCAATGCTGGAGTTTATTACCTGCATTGTCTATTGCATTTTTTCAACGATAGATGTAAAAAATGTCTTTCTTACCTATGTTTCCAAGACTAGTTTCGACTACTAATATGTCGCAACAGAACAAAATAAGCGTTTTTCTGGCTAATAAGCAATATTAACGATTGCAACCGGAGATCATCTTCAATGAGTTAATCATGATCAAGACCGTCAAAAGCTATAATCAAGTTTACTCGGAGTCCTTTCATATAGTTTTCTTTTAATTTTTTTTTACAGACTTTAGCATTTACTGTGTAATGTAGTTACTTAACAAGATTATTCTTAAAATCTTAAAACACGCTAATATACGCTCGTATAAATGCAATAACAATTATTATAATATTGCTATTATAAACAATTTTTATAAAGGGAAATTAATGATTTAATCGTGAAGTCTACAGCCAATATTAATAATGATCATAAATTTAAAATTTTTCATTTGTTCTATAGCTCATGGGAGTCATTTTCGTCCATTAGAGTCAAGACAGGCATGCTGCACATAGCGACTGTGTGCAATACCAATTTGTAAATCTGCTAGACGTCGGGACCACAACATTAAACGAACTAACGAAGGTTTACAGTGGCACTTGCTACAGTACTTAGCTCAATCATTGCTTATTATTAAGTTAACTGCATGTATATAGCAGTTCCAAGTTTAAAGTGAAACCCGTCATTCAATAAAGTACCGTAAATTCATGCGAAATACCCATATGGTATCAATGCAATCATTTGCGCTACATAAAATTTCTATTCTTTTCACAAAACATACCGTAAATATTCCAGTTAATTAAACGAAATAGGAAGTTGTAGTTGTAATTCGCCGCTGAATATTAAGTGATTGTGGCAGTAACAAAAATTGTATATAAATTAATTAATTAGTGACGAGTTATTCCATTTCGAAAATGATAACTTGGTGGCCATTTACAATTCGATACATATCCATATATGGTAAAATATACACATATCGCATTTAAAATATAACAAAAAAATGAATTATAATTACAAATCTATTCAAGACTATAAATTTGTGATTTTGTTATTGCCACTCTCTTTCGAATATCTCGTATTCTTGTTTACGTTATCATCATTTGGCGTGTATGACTGGAGAGTATAAAAGAAGTAGGTTAATGTTGTAAGTTTTATATGCCGATTAATAGTTATAAGGTTCTTATTAAACTAGGATTTACCGTACTATATATACATTGTGGTACACGTATTTTTAGTGTAACGTTGTAAAACTAGAACTCTCTCACTTAATACACCTTGCAACGCTAATAAGGCACCCATGCAAAGACTTAAAATAGCTCCCGGTGCTGCTATTTATTATCTAACTGCTCACCGCATAAGGTCCCTTAGATTCATGAAAATTTTCTGTTGTATTTCTAGTTACGTAAGTTGCTTTATCATCCGTTCTCGCAGTATCATTAGGTGATGTCATACGTTTAGTACTGGCAAACTTAACAGTACCACTCGTTCCCAAGATTTGTGATTGCCAAAACTGAGAGCAGATATTGTGCATCTAAATAAAAGAGCAAGAAATGATGTTACAGCCTTAGTAACGATAATACTGTGAGATAATTTCGGTTGTAAACGATCAAACATAGATGTACTTCTCGTACAATGCTGTATTATAATATCAGATCTCAAAAAATGACAATCAAAATTACCGGTCCAGTAACCACAGTATAAAAGACAAATAAAAAGATTCCCTAAAAGAATTAACAAATAATAATAATATTAAGCACTACTAATCAAATCACGACTTGAGCAAAATAATTTAGCTTTTTACCAAAATCGAATTCAGAATTAGATATAGAACAGCCATAATGGTGGAAATTTCTCTCATATATAATATAGCAAAGGTCCATGTCATGATGAGCAAAATAATGCTTATAACGGATCCCTGGGCTATCGTTCTACATTTTTTTGTCAACACGATTTCAGAGAATAGCAAACTTATAATAGATCCTTTTTTAGGCCTGAACAAACACCACAATTCAGTATAATTATACAATTATCAACCTGGGGCTCCCCGCATAATTCTCTTGTTCCGTTCTCCTCCTCATTGATACTTCATGCATTACGCGTGAGCACATAATAACGCTTACCTAAAAATTTTTAAAATGCCGAATATTAGGTATTGGATATTAGTTCTGTTACATGCAATAATTAGTAAACAGCAGATGCACTCATATTATTATGTAGCAACATACACAAAATACTTACTACAACAAGCAATAAAACTTCCCCAACAAACAACCAAAATGCTCCGCTACCAATCCTCAGCCAACAACTAAAAGTTATTTTTTAATTAAAACATTTATATGCAGTATTTATAAACATTAACACATTCGTAGAGTTGCAAGTAAGCATAAAAAATTTTACTATCCATAGTTAGTGAATCCTCTTTGAAGTTACTTTCACATCTCAAGATAATAGTGATAATGTTACTATCATATCAGACTAAACAAACAGAAACGTAGCAAACACGACATGTATATTCATGTCACACTACAAGTAAGAGATTAATTCTTAATTTAATAACATACAACTTATCCGTGCCAAAATTGTCTGAAGCGGCAAATCCAGCGATGACAACGGTAATTGCCGGAATAGCTATAAATTAGAACACCCCAAATGAGAATTCTTTTAGATATGAATGCTGCACACTTTAATATTTTGGTAGTATTAAACGCTTATAATTGATACATGCACTACAGATAATCTAAATTTAGTTTCAGTATTTGTCATCTTACCGTAGGCGAATATGTAGCAAAATCTTTTCTTTAATTTTTCCATTATATGAAAAGTTCGACGATAAATTTCGAAGCTGCTGATAAAGATCCAGAAAAACGTGCACAAAGAAAAGTAATTTATAGAAACTGCCATTGCCAGACAAACGTCCTAATTAAAACAGAATAAAACCCAAGTTTCCAGTCAAGAAGTCAAACCTCATAAAATTAAAGCTTACAGACTTAAAGATATGCAAAAATAAGATTTAAAAACGGGTTGTAACGTATTGTTAAGAAACTGTATATCGTTGTAGGATGATATTAAATTTATCCTTCATATATTAAAACTGGATTAGTAAAAATACTCTTCTGAAAATTACAAAACTAAAATGTTATGATCATACCTTATTTTTGGTTTGATATATTGAAAATAGACAAAGTAACTCAAACACAAACAAGGTAAACAGGATGTTTAAACGAATATGGTTCATGAACGTATTTTGCGATCTGTAAAAACAAAATTTTTAGTTACATTTGAAAATCCAGCAAGTATTTCACGACAAAAGTAATAAAAAATAAAAAATATAAAGCTTAACAAATGATTTAAAAATTCTTTATCAGAAAGTACAATCATACCGAAACGAAAATAGAATTAACAATGCCGTTACAATCGCACCAGTGGCTATACTGCAACCGATAATAGTTATTTCCTTAAGATTTTGAGGAATCTAAGAAAGTGTAAATACGAATATATTCAATCATTTTATGAATGCTAAAGAAAAATCACAACAGAATCCACGGTCACTCACTAAATTCTTTCGCATAGTCTCTATGACGGTAAAACTAGTAAGGTGATTGCATCGACAAGTGATATGGGTACTGTTAAATAATACCACTGAACAACCCCGATTATTCCATAATCCTTGAGCTTGCCTAATCAATGACAAAATATTTTTATTCTTACAATGAATTAAAATCTAATGTTGCATAGTTATAGGCTTACGAAGTTGAGAAATCCCAATAAACGCATTTTTTCTCCGCATCATCTCTGGTAGCCTAATCAAACAGTCAACAATCCTGTTAATTCACGCTGTTAACTTGTTATGCAGGATTGGAAACGATATCTTATCAAAATCGAAAAAATTTTATAAGTAAATAATCCGAACTTCTGTATATTTGATAATGTAGATAATGGGATTTTCATTTAAGAACTTTAAAGATAAGGAAGGCTTCGTCGAAATAGAAACGATGGCACCCAAAATTTTTTGATCAACGGCAACACTTGTGTTATTTCTAATTTTATTATCACTGTTAAGAGAATTTATTATAACATTAATCGGTACTTCCAACCTACTTATTCGTCTTGATAATGCTGTTTCGGATATATTTTTACTTACATTCCAGGTATATATTCTGACAATAAATTAGATATCTGTTTGTAGGCTGCGTATGCAAGTTGTGATTCTATTAAAATACCAAGTAAGAAATTCCAGTTATTTCCGAGATGGCAGAATTTACACAAACTCACTTAGAAAGGGTTTAGGATAGTAAAAAATTTACAATAATCAAGAGTGACACACAGAAAATTAATCTTTAATGCTAGCAATAACTACCTCCTGAAGTTGCCAACGCTAAAGGAAGATTAACCTTTAATGTGCTAGCAAAGCTAGCAGGATTAGTAGTAACTGGAAATGTTACAGACATTGGAAGATTCACTCTCAACTTTGAACTTACAACAACTTGAAAATAAGAACAACAGCCATTAATACAGTTTTTAAGCATATATTACACTCATAGCAGAATTTTCTATTAAATACGGATACTTTTCTAGAATTTATTACTCACCAATGTTCTTAGTAATTATGGTAATATTGGCTTCAGCAACATTACGCGTATTGTTAGTCCAGAGAAATGCAATGTTATCAATTACACGCATTAAATTTGTGGCCAGAGCCATTCTTTGTGCCTAGTGAAAGATTAGTAATTTACAGGACATTAACAATATGCTCTAAGTTACAATCGATCAATACTTTGAATACATTATATTTTTATCAAAAGTCACTACATCCATTATCAAGTGATTACCTTTTTAAGTCCCACCCATCCGTTATAGTGTAGAGGATCGATAAGGCTACTAGAGCTTTCAATTAGGTCCTACCCAATGAACGAAATTTGCAAACACGTACGATAACATAGATTAGCGATTAGACTTTTGCTCAATGTTAATACTTCTTTTATAAACGCAATATTCTGAATTTGAATTGTATAACAACTGTTGATTGCAACGCTAATAATTACTGATCTTAAGCTGTTCTACAATTAGAAATTTCACCTTCAAAAAATTGTTAATACTAGACTTTTCAGTTTTCCTGATTTCGTCCCTTTTTTTCGCTAATAATCGATTATATATTTCAATAGCTGTGACGATATCCCCTCCATAGACGGGTTGATTAAAACCTGTACTGAGTCTAAGTGAAGCCGCTAAAAGTGTGCTATTGGAATCTGGCCTATTAGCCTAAAATTAAAATTAAATTTTATCAAAAATGCCTAGCAGTTATGACAATTTAACAAAGCTTATTTCTACATTCTGTTTACGCCTTAGTAAGGAAATACGGTAAATTATGTCTCAGAAATCAACATTGCACTAACTTGATTTTTAAGGCTAGTGAATCGTGCAGATTTGCATTGGCTAAGATCAGGCCAGCTTTTTGACCAATAATCAGCTGATAGGCAATACCAGGTAGCCGTACCTTAGATAATTAATGTAGGAATATAACGTAAAAGAAGATAAATAAAGCTATTCATATTCTCTATTTATTTTTTCAAGATATTTAATTGGCTATTAAAGGCCGAAGGCTATCTTTAACTTAAAAAAAGATGCAATATTATATAGAAATATCATTCTTATCTTTTATGAATGGTAATCTTACCTGTACTACCTGCAGGGCAGGGCTTAGAATTGATCTTTCCAATCAATGTTCTATCCCAACGGATGCCTAATACTAATGTAGAAGGGCACCACTGAGACGATATCGTACCTTCGGTTGGCGCGGAACTTTTAGTAGTTACTTGGGTCGTTATAGCGTTAGTGCTAGCAGTAGTAATAGTGGTTGCTGTTGTAACAGGTCTCACTGTAATACCTAAGTGTATAAGCAGCGTGCTTAGTCTGAAGAAATCTCTAAAACCTCTTAGGATAAAAATTCTAGTTTAGCACTTTACCCTCGTAATAATATCTCTGCAAGAACTGATTCAATAATATAATAAATACTATCTCACTTACTCGATACATTAAGGGTCATGTGATAGCGTTGAGCATTCGATATGTTATTACTTGCAGTACATGTATACGTCGAGCTATCAATTAAGGATGTTTTAGGAATATAAAGATACGAAACTCGAACATAAAGTTTATGATAAGTTTGCCAGGAATAAATTGATGATGAATTTGTAATATCTCGGTTTTGCTTGCTCCAGGTAATATTAGGTATTGGTGAACCTGAGGCGAAACACCGAAGAAGGGCGGCTTCACCTTCTTTGATATTTAATTTGCTCGTGCTTTCACTAACTAGGATCTTTGGCGGCACTGAAGCAAATAAAAACATAATGCCAGTATTACTTATAATGAAGACTTTATTACATCAATGACAGCGTAAAATTACTTAATCAAGCCTTCCTAGTATAAATGGCGATTTATAGTAGGATATTAATAATAAATTGCTAACTAGCTACAGATATAACAGTGTTTAGATCTCACCTTTTGGACAAGCTCCATTAACAATGTCACACGTAGCACCGTTTGGACAATCGCAAGTTAATTTACAGTGATCTCCATAGGTACCTGCTGTGCATGCTAGAATAATTTAGATAATATTATGAAATAAGTTCTGCGAAGAGCAAAATGATTGTAGCTATGTGATTACTTATTAAATAAAAAAACTAGCGGAATTGTATAGGCACTATTATACTGTCGTGGGATGTAGAATTTAAAATAGAATGAATAAAGAATTAAGACATACGATCAGTACAGTCATTTCCCTTCCAGCCAGTTACACAAGTACAACCACCAGGGCTTCTTGTGCACACTACTTGACTGGTACATGATCCCTTTGGACATCTTTGATCACAATTATGTCCAAAATAACCTGCAGAGCAAGCTAAGATAAGAATGAGTGATTAGTTTCCGCTAATACGTACAATGGTAATGCACTACTCAAAAGAAAATAAAACGCTCAGGGCGCTAATTGTATGCATCCTATGTTTCGAAAAAATTCACAACAGCATTACAATATACAGCGAGAACTCTAGAACTATAAAAATGCATCAAAATTTGTAAATTTTAGTCAACTACAAGTTTAAAACCTACTTATTTCGCAATTATCTCCAGCAAAGCCAGGACTGCAAATACATTTACCATTAGCTGCATCACAAATGCCACCATTAAAACACGTGCATGTGCCATTACAACGACCACGACTAGTTGAATACGTCCCTGCTGAACAAGGTTGAATTACCAAATTTACCCAGGCATTTCGCTCGGCATTGCTTGATTCACATTTATACATTCCACTGTTAAAGGCATCGGCTGAACTGAAGACTATATCTTTCCCGTTATTTTGAATATTAATAGAACTGGAAGTCTGAACTTCTTTACCACGTCGAAACCACTTAAATGACCCACTTAAGGCAGTAACGATTTTTAGTGTCGTTCTTTCCTGAACTGCTCTAGCAACATACGGCCGGACAGGTTGAATATCTGTAGAAAGAATAAAAGACATACCGTAACGGTAGCAAACCTTATTGCATTACAGAGTATTCCTGCTACAGTGTAGCAGGAAATAAAAGATATCAAACATTATGTGCCATAAAGATATCCCTTTCAACAAAGCAAAAAAATAATAATTTGCAAAGTTCAATACCTCGATCCTTATTATAGATTGCGTTAGCATATGAGGTAGTAGCATTAGTTGAAGCAGTGCATCGATATGGCCCAGCTTTAGCACTATCAGATTTCAACCTAATCACTCTTTTAACAATACCATTTTCTTGTATTTGTGGCTGCACACTATACAAGCTGATGCCAGCATAATCAGCATCCCATCGCCATTCTAGCGAGACTTTTTCTGGACCCTCAAAGAAACAAGTAAATTCTACTATGTCATTGAAGATGCCACTCGTATTATAGAATATGCCGAAATTGGTTGCATCTGGAATTGATAGCACAAAAGGAATCAATTTTAATCAAAAAAATCTTCGCAATAATATCATCTACTATAATTAATGAAGATACTGAGTAAAATTCTAAAATCTACCGTAAAGAAGTCTGTTAAGAATATCATAAAGATTCCAATTATAGTGCTGTCATATGTCTTTTTTTATAAGTAATGTGTAAATCGGAAATGTATCATCTACCATTATCAGTTGTAAAGCGTAAATTTGCTGTAAGTATTTCATATTAAGAATTTAAATGGCGCTACTAGCTTTCAGTCATGGCGAAATTTCAAGATTTGTAGTAAAGATGATAAAATATAGCATAGAAGTACAATCACTATTAACTAAAGTAGATTCAAAACTCATGAAAACAAAGTAAATAATACTTTGTATTATACATATTAGTTAATTTCACTCAAAGAGGATAAGCCCGGACAAATATATCGCCTCAAATATTCCACAATATGCAATAATAATAAAAATTCATGCAGTCAATAATTATAATGAAATGCTTTAGTTGATGATAGATAGAAATAAAAAATGTAAATGGAACCACTTGGCCTCTAAAATCTTAATAAGAACGTTGATCAAATACAATTACAAGATCCTACAATCACACGCCGTGCTTGTACTGTATATTGCATATACAGTAGTGGTTCAAGGACTACTTTTACTGAAAAAACGATACTTTTTGAATGTAGAAGAAACCATTTAACTCTTTAAACTGATTTCCGTCAAAGCAAGGAAATATGTAGAACGATTACATGTCATCACCAATTTAAAAAATTTGTACATATTGTCTAACATTGCATTTTTGTGTAAGTATACGTATGCAGGTATTTGATTTATTATGTTATTAACCAATATTATCATTCCAGTTTACGGTGTAAAAGCAGAGGTAGCGATTCTATATTATTTCAGTTCATTATAAGTACTAAAGACTTAAATTAAAAGATTGGCTACCGTTAGTGCTATTTTATGCTTGTTAAGCCTACTCCGAACCAAAGTTTGTTATTTTGAAATGGATAACTTAAGATATTCATTTATTCGAATCACCTAAATTCGCTCAATATAATCAGTTCCTACTCTTCAAACTATTATCGCCTATATAATTAATTAATCAACAGTCAAATCCACTAACAAGAACAATTCATGTTTGCTTTACAAATCAACTATCCAATAGTTCAATTAGCAAATCGTTGCGTATACGCGTTTTGTTAAAACACATTTCTAATTCTGATTAAAAGCTGTTTTAATGTTACTCCAAACTGTGGGCTTTGATAAATCGATAATGAACTAACCGAAATGAGAAGTGAAGACTATGTCAATGGGGAAAACTGGTGTTATCTGCGATCGTACGCGATTTAATGACTGAATAGGCACAGCAATAGGAGGGTCATCTTAAATTAGTATTCTATTCAAAAAGCCTTGTTTAGCTATTTAACGCTATAATGAAAAACATTCACCATAATATATTTTCTATATTAGCAGTAATTTTACAGTATAACAAGATATATTGTAAAGATATGACATTTTCGATTAGTATGTGTATGAGCTATTACAAAAGTATCCCTCAATCTCCTAGCATCACTAATACTCTTAGACTTTTTATTACAACACCATCGATACCATGTCGAGGCGAAGACTGTTCCTTCTACATTACTTGTTAACTAGGTTGATCTCCTCGAGAACTTTAAAGATCATATTTCATCGCACTAATTTTTCTTTTATTCAGGGACAAATTAAACAAAAATTGTAATTAATTCTAGTCATATTAATCAGCGTTAGTTGAGCTTATTAAAATGAGAAGTAGAGTACGAAATAGATCGATAAAAAAAGTCATAATTCTAAAATACGAACTAGTAGTAATTGCACGATTACTTCATGCGTTTAAAGTAAATAATATATTATTCATTCGATATGGCGTTTCTTACAATCCAGTATAAAATTATCGACGAAATACCAATACTAACTACAAGTGATGCATCATACAAAATAGCGCCAAAGCTTTCAATAATAAAACTCTAAGAAATATAAGATTGAAAATTAAAATAAGAGGACGCTGTAGCGTAACTAATTCATCTCATCAATCATCGTGATATAGAAAAATCTGTACGGATACCTATAACATTAGGGTAATTCAATGTAATTGAATTAGCTAGATAGATAAAAAGGGATAGTAGCAGCTAAAGATTAGGTGCGAGATTGACTAAAGAAAGGAACTTGACTGACTAACCAACAAATAATTGGGTAAATAAGATGATATTTACTTAATATTAAAACATACATTAGGCCGGCATATTTTATCAATCATAAACCTAGTAATAAAGTTTAGGGAAATATTATCACTTAGTGATAGCTGAAAGAAACAAATTGTGAGATTTAGGTCTATAGTAAAGCTTGATTATAACCAATAAATGAAAGCGATTACATGCTGTCATCCGATATTTGCGATACTAGTAAAAATCGAATAACGACAATGTTGGCCACACTCTAAGGCTATTTACATAAGATATCCCTTAAGCCTCGGCCAATAACTGTATTACGATGCGAAAAACGATAATACATACTCACTATAACCACGTTATCAAAAATTCAATTTAAAATTGACTTACCAATTTGGATAGCTAAACAAAGTAATAAGGCAATAGAATGAATGAAATATGTCAACTTTCCCATTCTTAGAAGCGTTCTAATATACGAGTTGGTCGCTGTCGTTGATTACTTCCACTTGACACTACGCTATCAAATAAGTTTTGGTCGCGTAGTCATCGGCTTGACGAGACTATCACTAATTAAAAAATTAACTATAAAATAATTGTTTGTATAGTAATTTAATGTTTAAACAGAACCAAATTTGCCCTATACCATACAAGATAAGCGAAATCATAAAATGATTAAAATATCTAAACGTTGAGTCACGATAAAATTGAGTCTCGATGTCTAAAAATAATTATTCTCTTTCGTTCTCAAAGCAGTTTAAAAAAAGCTATGGTGGTACTCTTATAGTATTAGTGCTCATTTAACGACCACATATGGTTTTAGTTGAGTAAAATACAATATATTTGCAGCATCAAATAACAACGTTCGTAGACTATGCGAAACGTTATTGTTAATCATTTGATCAACTATTTATTATATTGCTTAATAGGAACGCAATAAATCTATAGTAAGCTAACAGTAAGGGTTCGGGTTCTTTTTGTCATTTCTTTTGTTTATCCAGCCTATACGGCGTATTAGAAGTTTTGAAGATGGAGAAAAAAGTTCGCAATGATGAGTTGACAAGGCGATAGTAAAGAATAGTCATTTGTTTACTGCAGACTAAAATTAAATTGTTATGCAAATAATGAAGATTCAATTATTGTCTACTAGCCTAACCAGCTGATCCATAAATGCTCCTCTGTCTTGTGGGCGGTACATCAAATACACCTATTATACTATATCAGACATTGCTATTAGCTTTAGTTTTTAGCATTTCATGATAAAATCTGCTATAGAAGATAATACTATTATTAATTACTCTTTCTATTCAAAAGACTGTATTTGGCTTTCCTGTACGGCACACCGTACATCCAATGTCATAGTTATTCTTTATACCAATAATGATTGATACTAACCTGGTAGAAAGAATCTTGATAACGGTCGACAATAGATCGCTTTTGATTATATTGTTTGAAATTATACACGACGACCGGTACCTTATCATACCTCCCATTAATTTTACTTTACAGTTAACTGTCTTCCTTTACACCGCTGCTAAGCGCCGCAGCTAGTTTCTCAATGTATGGATATAGCTCCAATATGCTACATCATTGATTTTCTTAAATGAATTCTAGCCTAATGTCGTTCAACTACTTATTATTTAAACAGTCTAAATAGTCCATACTGCCATGAGTTAAAATAGTCCGGATACATGGAAATCATCCTTAATAAACAAAAAGTATTATAGCTATGAAGTAAATTCTCCTAAAGTCTCTTACTAGAGTATCTAGTGATCGAAAAAATTATATTTCTATTGCCGTTATATATTTTTTATAAGACTGAATCCGTTGCTACGAATAGCCAGAGCATATACGTGCACATGCTACATACCTTACGTGTGGTGTGTTATTAAAGAGCTACTATAGTTAGAAGACGTACTATATTCTAATATCAGTAATTACTGTATCCATTACTCGAAATGAATTAGATATCAAGCATCGCAGGGTTGTATATATGATATAGGCATGACATAAGAATAAGCATATCCTATCCTATTAAATTATTAAAACGCTTAACAGCTTTACGTTTTATGGTTATAAGAATAATCGATCTTACTACTGCGCTTCTGGTTTTATTATTTAAAAATGTCAGAAAATATTAGAAAATTACTTATCAAGTATTTACATTAAGTATCATGTTTTACTTAACTACTGTTTATGAGAATAAATTTACCCAAGTACTGTACCATTTATTAGCGTAGTCTTAGACACTCTAGCTGTAATATTTAGAACCAAGTATAGTAGTTTATAGATTAAAATCGTAATATATGAGGTATATAACGCTACGGTATTGTTTCTTGGACAATCAAAACAGCAAACATATACTTTTGATATCTCTAGCTGTGATACTGTATTAAGTATAACTGAATGTCAGTGCATAATATTCTTATTCTTATACGCGTATATACAGTAATTCGTATGCCGTTCCACGCGATATCGCATACTTTCTTTATATAGTTGAGCGGTAGATTCATAATTGCGTAGATACTAATATCGCTACTATATCTTATACGAGTATACTACAGAATATAGTACTATGAATCATGTATAATATGTTAGTGGAACACATTACCTAGCATGAGAATACGGTAACATAGAGATCATTCCTATCATAGCTATCACATGTTTAGATATAGGCTATACGTGTATGTCTCTTTCTGATATGATATGAATTACTTTGTTATGTTGTACAAAATGCTGCTGTTGCTCGTGCTACTATTCTATGCTTATCTCCTACTGCAACTTTGAAAAGTCTATAAGCTGCATAATCGATTATGAACTCAGTTTTATTCCAATCTTACTATATGCCGTCTGTCTTACATGTGCAGTTATCTCTTTGTTACCTATTTTCTAATAAATTGATTCTCTTCTCAATTTTCTATCTCTCATTTGATTAACTGAACCTGACATCGAAATACATTATATGCAGTACATGAGCATGAATATACTATCTAAGATGCTATCAGAGTGATAAGAATACACTTGATTTTCAAGTTATAATAATTAGAAACTATAAGGAACTATCGTATTCTCTACTCCTGTTACGGTAATTAATTATCGCAGAAAACATCACAAGCATGCAAGTAGTTACGTTTGATGCATTATTACTGACACTCGATAAATGGCTATTGCACAAGCTCTGTACCAGTGTTTTTACGTGTACTGCATGTACCATATAATGTATGGGTATACAGTAAATCCTGCAGCTGATATTATCAGTATTGAGTCGTGCTACAGGCAAATATCGTGGAGGATAAGCCTGACAGTACTATTCCAGGATACTGTAGTAAGTTCCTCGTGACAAATCTCGATTTGAGATATCATGATAAATAAATCGTTTATATTAATTTGCCTTCTGAGCGATTGGTCGATAAAAATTGTTTACATACCTTTACAATTAATGCAGCTCTAATCAGAGTCCATCCTCTGAAACTATACATAACTACGGATCATGAGAAAGAATACGTACTGCATATTATCATGCTTTTAATATTTCTAGTGCTTCGTGATAAAACCTATTTATGAAATTATGTACACTATAGATGGTACTGTACGCATATTGTTAAATGTACTGTGGTAGTTTGCTAAAGAGCAGGGTATTTAAAAATGTGCTCAGCCTGAGGAACGATAATGTCTTATTACTGTACATTGTGAATTGTTACTATTTGTTAGTTTTTTTCAAATCGTATAATCTGTGCATTTACTGCTATAGGTGGTTTAATATACGACGACGACGTGTATAGTATATAGGTTATTTGCTTTTCTAACCAAAAAGATAGATTTAAAATAAGACATTTAATTAAGCGGAGGGAAAAATGTTAATAGCAAACATATTTCTTGTAGCAGGAATGATGAACGATACGCAAACAGTAAGGAGTTTGCCGAAAACTTATCTGAGTTACCATCACCGTATGACTCATACAGTATCGATCGATATCATTTGATTGCAACGAGTATTTCGATAAATTGAATTTAAGCGTATACTATAGATTTAAAAATTTTAAGATTCTTCATACTTAACTTCAAGGTATTAGCACAAATGACAATTGGTTGTCTTATTCAGATTCAAACCAAAAAGTTTATGCGGCTGCAAGGATTAATCTTATTGCTAACGTCTCTTCTTGCAAGGCTATTAAAATGATATTTTACAACGCTTAATCATCGCTAAGTACTGCATAAATACTGTCACTCTATAGTACAACCATCAAAGAATATTCTGTCACAATTATTTCTTTGCAACTTTAATTTCAATCTAGGCTTCACTCTTAGAATTATAAAAGTGCCATAGCTTCGCAGACTCTAGCATCGTGAGCACAGAATCGCGTATGAAGTAGGTAATAAACCATCAATAGCTGATATTCATTGAGTATCAGTCTCCAAAAGATTCATCTTCTTTTTGTAGTAAAATTCATACACAAAAACTGCCACTATATCTAAAGTCAGATATACCCTAAATATAATTATTTAAGTTATAGTAAAATATAGCTCATATATCAGCATGTTCTGTAGGTCCATAACCATCAGTTCGTTATCAGTAACTGCAAAATTTCGGATATTCTAAATAGATTAATGCCTTTTCAGTAAATGTAATTCGATATTTCCAAAAGCGAATGTATCAGCCTTATACGGACTTAAATATTGGCAAGCACATAGAATATACTTGATTTCGTGCAGCGTGATGGGCTGAACTAAATCTAATATTGTACGAATTACTTCAAGTGTTCGCAGACACTCATACAAAAGATATTCCTGTAACTTTAAAATTTTCATATGGTATATGCCCTAAGCGGCACGTAAACCGACATTAATGACACTAGTTTTTCCTTTATATAACTGTAGAATAATATGAATCTATGCTATTAATTTAATTAACAATATCAAATTTGCACTATATAACAAGTATTTTAACTGGATTTGTTACACTAGAACTCAACAGCAGTAATATAAAAAGTACGTGCGAAAATTTCAAAAAAGTGGCTTAGCGCCAGACTGTTCAAATTCAGTCCAAGCTTCATTTAATTCTACAAATATTGCCCTAGCCAATTTCTCATGTGGCTCTCCAACAACCTAAAGTCAAAGTTGCATCAATAAAACAAAATTTTCAATCGTTGAACAAACGATGTCATTCCAAAACTTCCTTTACAGTTTTACCTTGTCCGGATGAATGCACAAGCACGCTTTTCGGTAGTATTTTTTAACCTAATCACATATTAAAGCATTTAAAGATTAGTTAAATGCTCAGTAAAGTCTTATCCAATCTTTTCTTTTATACTAACATTGTTCGATTCTATCACTTGGTGCATTCCTATTTCCTTCCATTTACAACCTTCCCAAACAGCAGTGTGTAAAGAGCAAAGTAGGGCCCGAATGTTACCCTTCTGTCCTCCCACCCAATCTTGAATCTAAAAATTACACTATTACATTACTACCAAGTAAAATCCAATCAAAATGATCAATCAAAAACAACGAACTTTTAATTTAATAGGGTCAGTTGTCTTTTCGACTTCTTCTCGTCTCATTTCATTGATAGTTACGTGACCTTTGTCATGAGCCTTCGGTATAAATCCTTGAGCACCAAGTAAATCGCTGAACTCATTCTTAGCAACGTTTGGCTTGACACCTAGAATTTCAGTTGATTTAAATTATATATTTATTGCTGAAATTAAAAGTTACTAAAATCATCATTATCCTTTACCGATAGAACCACGTAAGCCTCGTTCTTCCCTTGATCCAATAACATATGATGCTCTTTGTCCGGTAGGCAAATTTCCAATCGGTGATTTCTGTGTCGGTTTTTGAGCTGCCATTGGTTGCTTGTTGCCAATGTTGTTTGTTTGGTTCAGATTAAGATCAAATTTACCCTGTGCAAGTGACTCTAAATTACTTCGAAAACCTTGTTTCTTATTATCAGACTCCCTTTTCTGTGGCTTTATGATTGGTTGATTTGAAGTGCTACTTGGTTGCAATAGTTCTGGAGTACGGCGTTGATTTGTATCGCCCGTAGCTCCAAAAGGATCAAAAATTATGCTTTCAGGACTATGAGTGCGTTGAGCTGATGGACTCGGGGCTCTTTGAGTTGCGAAGTCGAAGACATCTGGAGAATCCTTTGCCCTTGGAGATATGGATATCAAATCGTCCTTGCCAGAAACACTTTTATTATTATTTTGAGAAAACGGATCAAAAGCGTCTAGTTGAACAGCGCCAGTAGGGTTTGTTTCAGGTTTCTTTAAAGCATTATTACTAGCTTTAACAGTTGGTGCAAAAGGATCAAAAGAATCGGAGGAAACTGCTTTCGTAGGTAATTTGTTATCGAAAAAACTTGAAAAAGGGTCAGTAGGCGAGATCGGAGATTGATTTACTAACTCAGATATCCGATCAGCGCTCTTACTTCGATGCATCCCTTGAGACTTTTGACTTATCTCAAGATTGATCAAATTAACTTCAGAACTTGGAGATACGAGCTTTACTGGCGGGCTCTTCTGTAAGAATTTATCGTTAGAAACACTCTGATGTGAAGGAGCTGCTGTTACATTCGAAGAGCTAAAATCTAATAATGTATCCTCTGTCTTCGTAGTTTCCTGCTCGACATTTACGACGACTTTCGCTCGGTTTAAAAATCTCTCCTCTGCTTCATCCGCGCGATTTACAGCGTCAGATGTTAAATCAAGGATATTTCCAGGATTGGAAGACGATTTACTCAATCCGCTAGTATCTCTAATAGCTGAAATTGAATCAGCACTTTGCTTTCGCTGTAATGCTTCTGTTCGAGCATTGTCCAATTTTTCTAACTTTTCATATGAAATAGTATCCATTTGGCCTTAATAAAAATATTAATATTAGCTGACATCAGTTAAGATCTGTTTATGCAGATATTCAATGATATCCTTACCATACTGTAAACGAATCGTTTCTAGCTCCTTCTTGGATGAGAGACATGGAAATAATATCACACGCTCCTGAAGATGAGTAGCATCTGGAGGCAGTATCGGATCGGGCTCATCATCACTATCATCATCCATATCTGTTGGACCCTGATGAGTTTTTAATACGCTCACAGCCAACTCTACATGAAATCCAGAAGGGTACTTATCGGGGTTGTCCTCATCTATATGATCCAGCTTTGATCTAAAACGAACAAATTATTTATGACTTTGTCAATATAACTTAAAAGGAAAATTTAATAAATAGATTAAAAACCTACATCGAAAACTTATATCCTTTTGCCTCTGTTTCAACAAAGCTCGTATGAATTTGCAGTTGAAAAATTGGAAAAGATTGAATCTGAAAGACATAATTCTTATTTCTAAATTCTTCCTTATTATGCCAGTTGAGACTATTCTTAGATTACCTCTCTGTGTATTTTTGATGACAGCGTCGAGCGAGCGTGATAGACTGCTATCATTACGTCACCCCTAACAAGAGTTCCTAATGGGAACATAATTTTGCCATCGCTACTATTGTAAACTCTAAAAATGTTGAAAGAACGTAGTATTATGTTTCCAACTACAGTTATTAACCTTTATGAGTAATAACTACGATTGTAGCAAAATCATCGGACTATAAAGTAAAATCAATACCTCATCTCTTCTAAGGCATCCTGAAAAGTACACACCCGCCTCGTGTTGTTCTCAAAAACCTCAATATATGGCCGACACCCGATCCTAAATTAAAACAACGATTAGTACGGAAATGCAATCTTAATGGATAATTTTCATGGAGTACATACCGGGCTTTGTTGAACAATGGAACCGGAGTAATAGAAATGCTGTCTAATCGTACAGTATGCTCATGAAGACTGCTTTTTCCCTTGTTAACAATTGTTGAAAAATACCTAAGGAACCTATGAAATAGTATGCGAAATAGAATTATTAGAAAAAATTTTGAAGACTCATCAATATAAATTAATGTCTAAAGAACAGGTATCAACTTACCGACGTTGAGATGGAGAAATTTCAATAACATCTACATCCTGACTACGCTTTGCAAGAACCATCCGCAAAGTTGTTTCTCCGGTTTTAAAAAGACCGCAATAAACCAAATAACATGCTGTAACTAGGACAGAAGTACTTTTTCCATCCTATTGAGATCGTTGTCATCGTTTAGTGATATCGTAATTTCCAATATCTTAATCAAAAATTTTATTTCACCTTGCAATGAATAATAGCAACATTTTTACTGTCTTTACTCAGCCAACTATCAATAGCACGGCATACAGCAAATAGATGATTCAATGATAACAATCTTCTTGACGGTGTACAAAAATGTGTAACCTAGATTAGGTAAAATCGCGGTCAGTCCAGTACAAAAGTTAGATCATACCAGAAATGGACTTAATAAGAATTATAACTTACGGCACTATTCAAGACAGTGGTATCATACATTTTCGGTGAAACATTGAACACGTGATAGCTTTGTGGATGTGACCTTTCAAGAAAGTTTCGAACTTCCTCGATTGGATTCTGCCTTGTTGATTCGTGACCACGGATAGATGGAAACGGCATAACTATAGCGTGCAACATGGATGCAGTTATTTATATCAATATCAGATAAAGTTCTATGCTCTCAGTAGTAGTATTTAGACGTTAGGAATGTATTATGATCATATAACGAAGAAAACATTTTTAAAATGCGATATCTGCTTCCATAAGGTTGTTGTATGGATATTGAATTGTGCATATCGTTTGTATGCTTTGTCTATTCTGTATTCCAATATGCAACATGCCATGTTTAAGGTAAATAAGAACTACAGTACTTATCGCACATTTACCAGCTATATCTTTCATAAAATAAATATCAGTGCGATTAAACTACAACAACTGCTAACATCGATTTACCTAACAGTGAAATATTGACATTTTTCAAACATTTTTAATCAATATACGAAAGTAAAACTTACCAATAAGCTTCGTAGTAATATACGTCACATCTAACTTATTCGTGTATAGGCTAAAAAACATTTTAAAACGAATTTCGTAAGAAATTACTAATTGATCAGACTAAATAATGTAACAATACCTTTGCATAGTATTAGTAACAGAATTTGAAACAGATTTTAACATTCCCAAAAAAGCGGTTCCCTTCGAGGTAACATTTGTACCAACGTAGCTATCATTTGCTGCTTGACCATGTTCATTCGGCGTAACCGATGTTGCTGAAGCTAGAGATTGAATTTGGGTTATTGGATTGATTTTAAATTATAATGATAACTCATTTCCTCTATCACTGAATAATTAATATACAAAACACACCTTCGATTGGTATACTCTGTCCAAGAAAGCATAGAATTCATGGATTGCATGTAATCAATTAATAAAGAATTTTAGGGATGGAGATAACACCTTTTATTAAATGCATAAGAATATAACAGTAACGTATAAATAAACTAGCCAATCGAGAACACTTCTCAGTAATTAAAGAAACCATATACTAACCCAGGTAGCACCAATATCTAGATTTAGTTTTAACTCGTTGCTGATCTCGTTTAAGTCATTCAGGATATCGCTCACCGAAGGGCGTTGGTTGACGTTAACGACAAGTATTTTACCTATGGTGAATTAATACACTTATAATTATTATAACCTGCGAAGATATCAATACACTATTCCCTATTTGAGCCTATCCAGTTCGATACGTAGCCAGAGTGACTTACGTATAAGGTTTTCAAAAAGCTTGTAATCAGGCTTGTTTTTTGGAATATTATATTTTGCATTTAGAATTGCTAGTTTAGTAGAACCAGTACTAGAAGTATCCTCAAAAGGATGCGATGAATAACATAGGATATACAATAGACATCCAAGATCCTAAAAGGGATAGAATTATTTGTGTACCTAAACAGCGGTAACTACAATGTGAAACATTTTAGTCTTACCCAGACGTCAACTTTCTCATTGATTTCCTGATTGCTCCATAGGTCGATCATTTCCGGAGGGCGATATAAAGGCGTCGTAACTTCTTCAATCTATAGCATACGTAATTCATAATTTTTCAATGGCATTGAATTAAACCACTTAAAAGTACCCCTTGAGGCCGAGTGTTAATGTGTTACGCCTTAACTATTAATGTTACAACACCATATCGTTAAAGCCTATTATCTGCTAACAATATAACATAATGTTTTACATATCTTACATCTTCAAGAAGTAGAGCGCGATCCTGTGAAGTCCAAGATTCCGTTGGCTGAAAAGTCGATTTAGTAGAACTGCCAAAATCACAAAGCCTCATAATGTTATTGGAATTCAATAAAAAGTTTTCGGGCTAGATAATAATATATAGTTAACAAAGTCAATAATCAAGCAAACTCATAACATTAAGAAACTCTAGTCAAGCAAATACTTTGAGATCCCTGTGGATAACTGGGGGTGCTTGGTTATGCATGTGAGCTACTGCTTTGCAACATTGTATGAAGATTAAAACGACAACATGGGGCTTAAGGGATTCTACATCACGATGTCCATTTATAAGGTCAATTAAATGACCTCCTAGAAAATTTCGACATGTTATACAGTATTATAATATTATCGCATTGATACGTGACAAGAGGACATTTACATATGTGCACTAACCTGAACATAACTCCATCAATAAGAGAACTTCATCGAAAGAATTTGTAGATTTATCATCATCTTCGCTTAACTGTGAAGCCGCACAGACAAGCTTGACGATGTGAGGATGACCTTGGAGTTGTCTCTGTAGATTCGCCATTGTTAAGTGAATAGCTCAAGTCTGTCCTGACTGTACTCTTGTCAATTTAAAATTACTAAAAACTACTGATATGAACAATACTGTCTCTTGCAGCAAAATTATTGCTAACTACATCTCCATTTTTTAAACCTTATATGAGACATATTAAGAAGTACTAGGACACCATAATAACTAACTGGACAATTTACAGGAATTATACAGAGTTTTAGCCGCTTTCGTAACCGGATAAATCGTATCTTGTGATAAAAACTAGATAAGACGTTGGTATAAAAATTTATTTTTAACCTGAGAAAAAAGTACCGAAAGATATACTAAGAACTCATTGCTGGATTCGTAGAATTATACTTGGCATATTTAATTAACTGCTTTCAATGCTATACTTATGTGATGTACGTATCATATACCACAGTAATTTATACTATTAAATTCACAGTATACGTAGTTTAGGATACCAAAACATTAATTTCATTTGCAATTGCTTTTCTTGCTTTCTGGTCAAAGGCGAGCAATCGCTGTATAGATATTTATAAGAAGATTAAAAAGTATTTGCAAAATCATGAAATTATACTAAAAATATCATCAACGATAAGCTACTAGATCGTAAATATACAAGTAACCAATCGTTGCTTACGTACAGTGTTGTACCGTACCCTTATCATTAGCAGCAATCAAAGACCGAAATTATATTACTGTATCACACGTATATTTATTTATCTCTGCCTTAACTACTTGGGAATACCGTAAGCGAGGATTAATAGTACGCATTATGCAAAGAAATTAATATCCAAATAGGGAAACTTTATAATAAAGTAGCGTAGGCTTAATAATGTCTGCACTTCTGACTAACGTACGTATTACTGTACCTTTAAAGCAAATTCACGTCCAGAGTTATTATCCTGCGCCAAATAGATATAACCGTAACCACCTTGAAATTGGATTTAATATATATATCTCGGTTAAAAGTTTTACTACTTTATGCTGTATTACCGTGTGAAAATATTCTGAAAACAAAAAATTTGAACTGCTACAAAATGGAACTGTACACAGGCATTAATTATACTGTAAGAGTATCAGTAAACTGAATACAATGCTAGCAAAATCAGGTTAGAACCAGTATACGAATTAATTAATTAAAAGTACAGCTCCGAAATGATTGCAGCTGATATATTGCAAGCATTCTTTAAAAATTAGCTCATATTTTAAAATTAAACCAGAAGATGGTCACGGCATTGCGTAGTATCCATATATATATATATGTATTTTAACTAGCGAGAAGTGTTTAGATACATTTTATATCGATGCCGCAAAAATAAAGTACTGTAGTGAAGCATTCTATATATGCGATCTCAAAGCTAAATAGGTATATTTTTGATGGTTATAATTTCAAAATATCCAAATAACTAAAGAGTTCTTACAAACTCTTTGTGACCTATTTATCCATAACTTCTCCAAGTGTAAATATGTACATGAACATGATGCCTTTCCCTCCGAAAACGATTTAATCTAAAAATATGCGTATACTGTGGTATATTGTTATACAAGGTAGTTCTCAATAACGGTTTATTATCCAGCAGTCTTGCAGCGGAGCTCACTACGTACATTACCGGTAAAACGTCCAGTATTGTAGTAGCAAGGTACCGTGTAATATCAATATCATGAAATTCGGAATACAGTACAGTACAGTACAGTACATACGGTTTAAAAACGTAGTAATTTTTGCCGCAATGCAATAAAATAAGTTAAGATCTAGCCACGTTACGAGATTACATTTCAATCTGTTCACAGGACTGCTAATTATCTAATCTGTCTACGTAATATCGGTAGTTTACTGCACCGTAGAGTATAATGCTGATACAGTATTAGGATTCGAACTACAATCCCCAAGCGTTGCGATCGACTAAACGGAAAGGACCATTTTACCACTGTACTTGCTATATAGCAATGCTAAAAATGCCACGAAGGTTCATACTACAACAATTGTATTATATCCTTATTACTAACAGTAAATGGTATACATAAATGAATCGAAATAAGCTTGAGAGGAATAAAATATTGCAATACGAGAAGGATTATACATTTTAGATGTACATATTGTGCTACGTATTAAATATTGAATACACTTTAAGAATCAATTGCAAGTTCACAGTCTTGCAGTAAGTAACGGATTCAGTTCAGTCAGTAGCATAAATAAACAAATTAATTTCATATTTTAAGACTTAAAAATGACTAGCGGAAAGTAGTATGTGCATAATAAAATATAATATATATACAGTATATAGTCTCTCCATTTACAGTATCCCGTAGGTACAGCAGATAATATAATAACGTACTGTACTGTACACTTATAGAGCACCGGACCATAGAGCTGGACTAATAACATAGTTTGCAGTTGATAATAATAATAATAATAATCAGTTAATTTTTCTACCTTCAACTTTTACGCTTAAGAATTCATTACTCTTTCAACTTGAAGACTATTTCGTAGCTGATCTTATAAACTACTATTTGATAAATTCGACCATCGTGGTGCCTAGACACGAATACCAACTAACCTGTAGCAATAACTTTCTTGACACGTAAAGTCTGCTTCCCAACTTCTACATCGGTACCAACAAAATCGTCAGCAGACCCTCCGGGATTTTCGCTACGCGATATATAGCTCCAAGCCGAGCGAAATAAATCAGACATGCTGGCTAGATGACAGCAGAATAACTTAGTCTTCTGTTAATGTATATAGAATAAGTTCTGATCCAGATTTATGCAGTGCCAAAGAACTGCATAATGCCAAAGGGATAGGTCGGCCTCTCAGAGTGACATACTGGTACCTTGATCTAGGGTTAGATTAGATTTTAACTTGCTATTACAGACCGTGACCGTGCAGTACAGTACAGTACAGTACTGTACAGTACTGTAACCCTTAAGTGTCAGACTGGCACACTACTGTACACTGTACAGTGTACAGTACTGTAGAGTGTCGATCATAGAGATTTTATAAAAATAAAAACCCGATCCAGTTGATCGGAAAAACCTTTCTTATACTGTACAGTGTACAGTACTGTATTACTTTAGTGCCATAAGTCCCTGATAGTACATTACGTTCTAAGTACTGAACTGTGGTGTTTGACTTGCTCTGCAGAGGCGGTAAAAAAACAAACACGTTTTTTACCTCCCATATGAGCTACTGTACTGTAGACTCAGTCGAGGTCTTCATGGTTCACTACAGGAAGATGTCACTCTCCTCACATGGGAGGATATAGATGAGGCCAAAAATGTCGAAGAATAGTTACTTAATAATCACTCGTGCTAATTTAATAAATGATATGATGCAGTAATAAGGCTAATTTGAACTTTTCTTCGGTAAATTCTGGTGAATTATTGTACTGTTAATTTAGAAAAATTTAGTCCATTCAGAATCGATCGCCCGCATACTAAACTACTGTCATAACAAGGCGTTTGGCACAAGATAGTACTGAATGTGGATGAAATATCTGTCCGTAGTGTCTAGATGGTCAAGTCACCTGTAAAATCCGTGTTCAAGTCAAAGTTTAACCCTTACTGTAAATAAATTAAATTAAATTAAATTAATTAAAATGCAGTACAGTACCTTAAACGGTACTAGTTCCTAAATGTAAAAGTAGAGTACAGTAGTACAGTACAGTACTGTACCCGGTATACAGTACAGTACAGTACTGTATCAATCTGGCTCCACTACAGTACTGTACTGTACTATACTACAGTACTGTACAGTGTACTGTACAGTACTTATTAATTTTCATTCGTCTACTGTAGTCCTGACTGCAGTACTGTACTGTACTGTAGACTGCGATCTCTAGGTTGATAGGTTCTGGATTCTTCTACTGCGCGAGCGTAATTATACGCTTTTAACTTACTGTGCTGTACTGTACTGTACTGTACTGTACAGTACTTATGTACGTAATTAATGCGTGTATAGGAAGACCTTTGGACAGTAACAGCATGTAACTTTACAATAACACTTCAGTAATGTACAGTACAGTACAATGTACTGTACTGTACCAACACATGTGCTTACAGTACGTACTACTGCACACTATACTGTAGAGTAAGTGAGGTGCCGGTGCCGGTGCCGGGTGTGCTGGTTTGCAAGCTCTCGGGAGTTATATCTGTGAGCTTAACTTACAAAGATTATCAGTCTGTGTACGCGAGTTTCCTTCAGCCACGCCGGCAGTTTTCTTTGCACGCGATTTCAGCACGAGCGATGAGTAAGGCACAAGTTCAAAAAGCTGCACCAAATTTTGCGGCGAAAGCCGTAGTTGATGGAAAGTTTAAGGACATAAAACTCTCAGACTACCTTGGTAAATATCTCGTTTTATTCTTTTATCCAATGGACTTCACTTTCGTTTGTCCAACGGAAATCATCGCCTTCAGTGAGCGCGTTGAAGATTTTCGTTCTAGAAACTGCGAAGTCATAGCGTGCTCAACTGATACAGAATTTTCTCACTTGGCATGGATTAATCAACCACGAAAGGAAGGTGGCCTTGGAAGTATGAACATCCCTATTTTAGCGGATCCCACTCATACACTGGCGAAAGATTACGGCGTCTTATTAGAAGATCAAGGGATTGCTCTTAGAGGCTTATTCATTATAGATGGGAAAGGCATATTACGCCAAATTACCGTTAATGATCTGCCTGTTGGGCGTTCGGTTGATGAAACTATTCGATTAGTGGAAGCATTCCAGTTTACAGATGAATATGGTGAAGTTTGTCCTGCAAATTGGAAACCTGGAAAAAGTACGATAAAGCCTAATCCTAACGACAGCAAAGCGTTCTTTGCCAGCCAATAGCCGGTACTGTAGCAATTAGCCAACGCAACCCGGTGATATCGGTCTTCATTCACTGCGATTTTTACTGGGCGCGAGCTTCCATCTTCACTTTCAAAAGACTTAACCATTAGCGAATTAGATATTAACATTATACAGTAGTATAGTATTTTTTTTATACTAATTTAATATTACCACAATGCTTTAGAAAGTGCATTTATTAATATTTTTATTTATATTGATAATAATATTTATCAGCGTATTTAACATTTCTGAAACGAAGTAGCAACCTGTATCCGTGATTTACTGTGATGGTAGCGATACTGACAGTGAATTGAATATACGTACTATTATGAGCTTGTTACAAAGATATTCATACGTAGCTCTTACGGTATCAAATATTGATCAGGATAATCATTTTAATAAGCACTACATTTAACTTTAATTAACGTTCTACATGGTATTGTACTACTTAGTAAGGATCGTTTGTTTAGACGTCTAGACGCGTATATGCTACAGACATGGAGCCATGGAGATACTAGAAATTTTTATAGTCGAAATTTCTAGTACGTACTTATCTGCAGGTCACGACAGGGCGTTAATGAATTACTTATTAATTATATAAGCATTTAAATGTAGTTTTCTCAAATATTCTACTGAGAATTTCCTACGGATCAAATATTACCACTTCAATGAACATCGTCTTGAGATGATCATTATCGTTACAGGATATGAGCTTAAACACTCACTAAATATACGGATGCAGTTGATCCTTCATACGTATACCGCCTGTCAATGTGGAATAATTTTTGTACTATTAACACTTAATAAAGATTTTATTTCTCGACATGTAAAGTTTGTATGGACAATATATTATATTTACAGTTAGTTAATTATGTAAGGGGTAAATTACCGAGGCCCACCAGTTTTTACTATACAGTATACACTAGTAATGATGACAACTTCAAAATCGGTCAGAAAACTAGCGTAGTCAGTTTCTTGCGTCTAATTCAATATTTCTGTTAATGTGCAAAACGTAACAGTGCAATATTCAGACCCGACACTGGTTTAAACGTGCACTAAACCGTAAATAGGTATAGATTTAGACCACGGCTCATAAAATGCAAGAAGCCACGCAGTAACGGCAACACTGTTTTGCGTCGGAGTGACCGAAGTACTCTACTGTACAGTGTGCAGTAGCAAGCAACAAATGTCGAGAGCCAATTTTATACAGCGGAATGCCAGTTTCAAATTTGTCAAGATTTTCTTTCCGTACGGTAATATAGTAGAATACTGTATTCCGAAACTGCTACCTGTTGCTTGTGAGAAGTTTACTGTAACATCACAATTGCAAATACGTTGTACAGTACTAAGCTTTCTATTGTAGATACTCTATATCTTTTATATGATTAAGCAATATCGATGCTTTAATTAATTAAAATTATTATTGCACCGTTATAACCAATTCAAAGGAAATCTAATTTTTATGATAAGCCCATCCACTCGAGCTCGTCGGCCAATAATCATTCTTGGAATCAAGGTTGCTTGCTGATTCTATAATAAAAATGATAGGGAAATAGTATTTCTCAAAAAACAAAAATCTACTAATATGCAGTACGTACAGTATTACATTATCTGTTTTATCCGATACAATCAATATCCTCTGTACATGTACAATGTTTACATACGAACGAGCGTATGCTTATATTTGAAGATACTCAGTTAATCCCAGACTGCAAATAAGATATCCATAATTTACTGTACAGTACAGTATACTACAATTCATAACTACATAGATTTCATTCAATGAAAACCGTATGTTTAGGCAAATTACATAACAGACTACTACGTAGTACATCAACTCTACTAGATGACTACCATAAAATAATGTATTCTGAAATATGCGAATCATCAATTATTTATAGTCGGTACGAAAGTCACAAATGTTAGTGAAAACAGTTACATCTATCACATTTACAACTTTCTATCACTGTAATCCCTCTATCGGTTATTACAGTAAAATCTACCGATTGCACGACAGTCTTAATCTCGCTCTCAACTTTTCTCTTGTGAGTATAATCAATTCGTATATACCCTTGTGTTTACAGATTTGTAGGTAATTCCAGTCTACACATAGAATTACTAAGCAAATTATCCTTAGTTTACTTGCATTTACGAAATCAACTGACATGACAGATAAACAGCCTTCCAGGCAACTGAAAGAATCTTCGAATGCAAGTAAACCGCAAATCTATGTATTGTGTAGCGATAAATAATTCTAATTAAAGTTTGACGAATTATTTTACTAAAGATGTCCTGGCCATACGTGAATTTCCAATTCGTAAAGTAAAAGAAAGATCTTCTAATCTATAACTTAACTGTAGCTTATACTATAGTTTTACAGTAATATACGGAGCTATTGTAACGCTAATTGGTAAATTAATATCATCTCATAGTACAAATTACGAAGCGAGTGTAAGCGTAGATTTTTATTAGTCGCATGGAAAATTGTGAGGATAAAAATTTGACTGTATCCTTCACTGTGAGGCTTACAGTACATGGGTGATTAAAGGAACCATTACACCTATAAATCATTATTATTTAGATCGCAATCTGAACAACATACATAGATTTTTACAGGGATTCAGTGATAATCGCACTTCTGAAATCACATTATACTATGTTTTACTTATTTTACATCACGATAGAAATCTGCATAATTAATAATGGTATCACTGAATAGATCACTTCTGTTGGCTATATAATTATCTCTACGAGCTCACAAAGAATAACCAACAAGGCAGTAACTATCAGATTCATGGACTTGTTATTCTATTGAGGCTTTAATTCGGCTAGTTTAAATCTGTAATTAAGCGTATCGCCAAAGAGTATATCATTACAGTAATAATATCTTCGATTTAATTCTTTCAAATTCCTGAAACGGAAAAAAGATTACCTTCAATGATAACAATATGCGTATACAGAATGAAAATTGAGCATATTCATTCTTGTGAGTATTGTCAGTCATTTCTGCACGAAAGCTTATAAAATTATATCTAGATGACATGGACATCGTACAATCCCTAGATAGTATAATAAAAGTGAAACTCCAAACGAATATACTTTATACCTCATTTTTATTATTAACAAAATTTCATTATCTCAACATGCACCTTCTCGTATATACTAACAAATTGGCGTAATCCCATGCATAGAATAAAAGCTGTTATTGGATATGTACGCGTATATATAAAATGTCATCCAAAAGCAATTCATAAATAAGTTTTTTGAAAATTATAGAGATATTACTTCAATAGTATTATACCTGGGGATTCGTAAATAGAAGTGATCTTGAAACGTAAAGACTTTCTTTAATTGGGCTATACCGCCATAAATTAATTATATCTCCTAACATGAAGAAACAAAAATTAAGCATATACGTACAAGTATAATAAGTTGCAATCCTGAGGCACTGACAGATTAAGGAGGTGATTAATATCCGGTTAAGTACTGTATAAGTTATACTGTACAGTACTAATATTTGATAAATAATTTAATGATCTGTAATTGACTGACAATGCTAGCAATACAATCTAAAAGTATATCATCCTACTATCTTACGATTAAAGCCTGATAATAAAGTTTGCTAAAAAAGCGTATTTAGTGTATGATACAAAGCATCATAGGATGTCTCCATCGATTAGTTATGCAAGTATGAATGGTATCTAGTAGTACCTTCTAAAATAGTTTGATAATGGCGTTAGCCTCTACAGTGGTATGACCCACTGAAGCTATAGTAATAGATGCTACTATGCCACTGCTCCTTGAAAATGTGTAGAACTTGGGTCTTGCATAAACGTGCCCCTTGAAACGACAGTAGCTGTTAGGGTAATTGTATAATTCGATTTAATAGTGTAAAGTTGAATAAATTGTACTGTATTGTACCTTCAAGAGACATTCATGGCTTGCTTTGAAAATAGATGCTCATTATAAAGTACAGTATTGGTACAGCCATCGAAATACAATGATAGAAATGCTAAGATGACGAGTATCGAATACGAATACAGTATATTGTTCATACAAGACAATAATTCAAATTAAACTATTTCGGAATTAGCCTTAAACCAACTTTACTATAGCAACTGTATGTAATCTTTTATTTAAAGTACAGTACGATCATTCGAACACAAAATTGTATAGCGAATGCTATCATGATCATTGATTGATTTCAATGACCTTCCATCTAGCCAAGCAGTTACACTATGACATCACACGCTGACATGCATTCTTCATTAGAATAGTGCTAATGCTGTATTGTATGTGGTTCAAAGGAAATAACAAGATACAGTATTACATTGAATTCAGATAAATTTCTTATGTTCAGTGGTTAGTGTTGCTATCTTATGTTGCTGCTATTTGAGAAAATCAATAGATCGGCAAAGCAGTGAGTATTTTACTTGCTATAGATTGGTAATGCAATGCTTCACCTTCGAGAGTTTCAATTTAGGTTTAAATTGAACCAGAATTTCACTAGATGTCATACACTGACTATTGTATTGACAGTGAATTATTATCTGTTTTAATATATTTCGCAATTGGCTTTAATTCCGCTTTTATCGTTCTATACTGACTGTAAATATTACTGCTCTATAGTATACAGTACACATTTACACTTAGTTGGCTGCAATGGTGCACTATCCTGTGTTTTGTACTACATGGAACTTGCCTTGTGCGGTATCAGTAAATCGCGCTTGCATATCGCCAATAAAGTATGTTCCCGAACCAAAGCTAATTTGTTCAATATTCTTTAAATTAATTAAGACATCATCTCTCACGGGTATATATAGCGTTTCATTTCTTTGCGAATATACTTCCGATTCAAAAACACCATTACAAGACTCGATCCAAATGAACCATCTGCTTGGAGATATCACACCAGTATAATGACCAATTTTATTGTCAGATAGTAACGAGGATTCCTGATCATCGATAGGTTTGCACGTATGCTGATATTCTGTATCTTCACTCCTTAATCGTTTTAGTGATGGCGGATTGAGGTGTTGATTTATTGCTTTAGCCTGGGTTTCAGCAGCTGAGAACTGTTTCCACATATTGCCACTACAGACTAAAGAAGAGTAAAAAGAGTAAACTGCATTAACTATAACCAAAAATACAGTAAGTACTGTATATAGTATTTATTTACACTTAGCGATGCCAGGCCGATCTGTGCCTTTTGCTAATTATAATTAATTAATTAATAATTAATAACCACAGTCATTACTTTTCTTTGAATTAATTTTAATTTAATTTTATTTATTTATTCACTGTAAAGTTAGAATTTTATTTTTGTACTGTACTGTACGTACAGTACTGTACACTGTACAGTAAAGACGTGCAGTACAGTACAGTGCTACGCTATACAGTACTGTACTCTACTCTATTCTTCATTTTCACAATGACGTCAAAGCTTACAGTATATGCATAAGGGTCTACCGTTGAAGATGGCGTAATCGTTATAATGATAGCTATACTGTACTGTACAGTACAGTATGGATGATATGATACCATCTACAGTGCTAACTATTCAATGATACAGTACTGTACTGTACTGTATACCGTACTGTAGTACTGTATTTTTTCAACCTTATTAACGTCTGAAAAGCTAACATTTACTGTACTGTACTGTAGTCTGTAGGTAATGCGTTGCAAGTGTGAACGGCGTACAGTAAAGTACTGTACGAACAGTATATAACCCGGCGCTTTTCAATACAATAAAGGGAGAATAGGAGTTAGTAGTTAATTTTACAATAACTTCAACTACGTGTCCAATCTCTTGTCTTCTATGCTGATTGAGAGTAGTACGAACCTTCAATACAGTTGTTAGTATTAACTCTAGATAGCAATACACAACATACAGTACAGTACACTACTGTACGAGAATGTATTTGATGTCGGGGGATGTACTGTACACTTGTGCTGTACATTATTACACACCCTCTTTAAGGGTCTCTATAGTGTGCTGTACTGTACATCCTCCGACATCAGACACTGTTTTACTGTACTGTATTAATAGAGTAGAGTACACTGACATCATAGAGGGTCTGTACAGTACAGCACTGTAGAGTGTACCGTACAGAAGCACTGTACTGTACACTGTAGACTTACAGTGTAGAGAACAGTACAGTTCCTTTAAATACAGTATATTGTACTGTATTCAATGGCCATGTACTGTACTGTATGGACCACCGTAAGGTCTGAGGCAATGGTAACAGTTAGGAATCATGCATGCATACTGTAGTCACTAACATCACAGGAACGTACAGTATCGTACTGTACTGTACTGTATATGGTGCAACTTGTATGGTGCAGCATATTGCACCGACAAGTACGGTGGTGGACGACATTGTTGACTAGCTAACCTACACCGCAAGTTGATCATCTGAGATCCATCACTGGTTCAGTGATTTCCATCGTCATTTCCTTGTGAAGTAGACCTATTCTACTATTTTTATTAATACAAGACTCTAGTAGACTGGTGCTCAATCAATTTCTTCACATGTCGATCTCTTCTATCTATTTCCTGGACCTGAAGGGCAAGGTTGTATGGCATCATTTTTGTTTCTCTAGCCATTGTCCGTACGCTCCTAATTTCTAGCGCACTGTAGTATGTAGTGTATAGTAGACACGGCACTCGGTTGCTTGCAAGAAACTAATATCTTTTACTAAGTTGTTGCTTTGGTTAAAAATTTTCGTTATCTAAACGATTATTGTATTTGTATGATTTAATACAATACAAACTATAGTTATCGAGATTGGGATTATATTATGGATGAACTAAACCTTATTGAACTGATAGCGAATAGAAAATACTTTCCATGTTTGTAAATGATCGTAAATTAATAAGTAATCAGACCTAAGATTGTTTTAAGATCGTGGTGTACTGTTAATTCTTTTAATTCGACACACTGACATCAATGTGCAGGTTATCATCGAAATTGATATGTGAATTAGATATGGTTAAGATAGTAGAAAATGGAACCAAACTATAATCTCACAATTTTATTTGTAACCGACTAATAGTAAAGTAGTATTTATAGCAGAAGCAGCTTACAAATATCTTAGTCACATGTTGTTATCTAGCAGCTTTGAAATCAGCTCTTTATGCTCACAATCAATTAACTTGTTGAAATTATAAATGTGAAGAGTAAAAGTAAGATTAACGTTGATTGCATGCTACATAGTTGATGTTTCTAATGGTTTACCTCTATTTTATAATTCTTTCTTAGTAAACTTACAAATTTGCCATATAAAATAAAAAATATACTAGATAAGCTAATAAGATATTTTCTGCTCCATCCAGGTCCTAATATCACGTAATTATCGCGGAGAAGTCCACAGCCATGCTATCGATAAATTTTTACCATTGGTGTTAGAGAATGAAGATGAGGGAAACTTATCTCCTATTATAGTGTCTAATGGCGTTACTTTTATGTACATCAAACACAATAACGTTTACAGTATCCTCCAATCTATAATTTTAATTATTTACAGCAGTAGAAGATTGCGGTTAATAACAACGAAGTGCTGTAAACCCTAAAATTTTTAAGTAAATTTTAGCATTTTACTCCTTTATAAATTTGATGTAATTTCTTAACAACCGATTTTCAGTGGTTGCATCAACAAAAAAAAATGCCAATGTCGCTCTTGTTTTTGTATTTCTTCATAAATTGCAGACGGTAAGATGATCGTATTTAAATTTATTACACATCAATCAGTTTTTTCATATTTCGTAAATCGAAAATGAATTTGAATCGTTACTTGTCATGAAAATATCCATTTCTTCCTCTTAGTTATTACTGGAATACTTTAAAGAATTAGAAGAAGAGAGTATTAGGGATAACTTTATCGTGGTTTACGAGCTACTGGACGAGCTAGTTGATTTTGGATACCCACAAGTTACAGAAGGCAAAGTTCTTAAAGAGTATGTTTGCCAAGGGAAATCTCTACCTATTATGATCATATTCTTCTTAAAATCGCAACACTGATATACGTCATATGCTACAGGTACATCACACAGGAAACCCATAAGCTTGAAATAGCCCCTAAATTGCCGATGGCAGTTACTAATGCGGTTTCATGGAGAAATGAAAACATTAAATATCGCAAAAATGAAGTATTTCTAGATGTTATTGAATCTGTCAATATTTTGGTACGTTAATTTGCTATCTGAACACGTAATTCACTGTTTATGGGGTAACTTTGCTTGTAGCTGAACACTATTATACCGAATCAGGATATGCTTACACTATAGACTGCACAGTAAATATACGTTTTGTATTTGTTATAGCCAAATAATTATTCGAAAGCTTTATTCATACGTATTACCGCTACCCTTAAGAAATATTTATAAAATGATTGAATTCATTAATCCAACTACCATTGATATAAATGTACTACACTTCAAAGTAGATTTGTTTGCCTTAATATACGCTGGATGTGTTGTAGGTAAATTCTAACGGTAACGTTGTGCAAAGTGAAATCGTCGGATCAGTTAAAATGAAAGTCCATTTGACTGGTATGCCAGAATTGAGGCTTGGCTTGAATGATAAAGTTCTTTTCGAAAATACAGGACGTAAGTGCTATATTCTATATCCGTTAAACACTTCGAAAATATCTGTTCATTAATTTAGACAGATATGCGAATGGTAAGGATGGATAAAGATCTTATTCTTCAAAGGATTATACGTTATCTTGTGACCGTATAATTATTTCAGGTACTAGAAGTAAAGCTGTTGACCTAGAAGATGTTAAGTTTCATCAGTGCGTGCGCTTATCGCGATTTGAAAACGATCGTACAATTTCATTCATACCTCCAGATGGTGAATTTGAGTTGATGTCGTATCGCTTAAGTACGCAGGTAAGACAACAAACCTTGCCTGTATTGCAACTCTATATATAGCCGACGGGTTTAATTGCTACGAACTCATTATTCATCAATCAACCGATTTATATTATAGATAAAACCATTAGTTTGGATTGAAGCGGTTATTGAACGACATTCTCACAGTAGAGTTGAATATATGATAAAGGTAGTCTCATTATGCTATTTATATGTTAAAATTTAACAGCAATGTCAATGTCTAACTTCTGACGTAATAATAAATTTAGGCTAGAAGCCAGTTTAAGCGCCGCTCAACTGCAAATAACGTCATTATTCGAGTACCTGTACCTCCAGATGCCGATTCGCCAAAGTTTAAGGTGAGTAACGTAAAGAAGTGTAACTTTTAACTCTTAGCTAAGTTATCACCCTATTCTTGCAACAATTAGGCAAATGTTGGAGCGGTCCGCTATGCCCCGGAAAAAAACGAGATTTTATGGTCGATTAAGTCCTTCCCGGTAATTTTAATATTTTAAGCCATAGTCTCAGTGTATAGATTTAACCATTGGTATTAGCTAAGTCTCGGAGTAGCATTTACTTTTCATGCATTGTATTTTCTGCAATATAATAGGGTGGTAAAGAGTTTCTTATGCGTGCTCATTTTGGATTACCAAGTATTGAAGGAGGTTAAAATCCAAAAATTTTAAACAATTTCTATTTTAATTGTTTTTAATGATGTCGCATACTAAATAGCTTCAATAACTATGATTATATTATCTACAGAAGAGGCAGATAGAAGACCCCCAATTCGCGTAGAATTCGAAATTCCTTATTTTACTACGTCGGGAATTCAGGTAAAAGTATTTATTTATTTTGAAAATGATCTAGGCTAGCTCATAGGAGACAACAGCGCAGTAAACACTCTCTAGATATTAAAAATAATTAGTATAAAGTAATCACAACTAATCGTTACGCTGATCAATACTAGGTTCGCTACTTAAAAATTGTCGAAAAAGGAGGCTATCAGGCCCTTCCTTGGGTACGCTATATCACGAAAAACGGAGGTAAGTCTTAATGTGATGTTTGTGTATTTTTTTAAATTAATTAACCTCTATACCTGGTATTTGATTGATCAGATTATCAAGTTCGAACAAGTTAGTTGGATTATCTATTATCGCAAAGGAATTTTAGGCTCGCACTTACCGAGCTCAGTCATAGCATGGTAATCCAATCAGTTGTTTTCATGTATTTATATTTGCGTCCTGTTATCATTTTTGCAATTAATGAAATCGTAGATTAATTTCTTGTTTATCTTCTGTACTTGTAACATCGTACGTAGTTATAGCAGTAGGCAATATTCAGCTATACTTTTATATGTTGTATGATCGTGTGTGAAACATTTAGTCATTGCATAAAGCAGCCGAGGTTACTGATTTACAATGGCAGTCTGTCAGCTTGCGATGAAAGGTATTGATTGATAGCAACTACTAGTGTATTCAGCTACAATAAGTGAAGATATATTATAATCTGTTAACAAAATTTCGTCAGTCGCATAAGTTTGCTTAAAGAAAATTGATACGCAGTCCGTTATCTCATATAAAATTATAATGAAAGTTCATTTTCCTTGTGTAACTTTTGCCCAGAGTCACATTACAAGTTTTCCCAGATAACTGTTATTGCATAATTATAATATGAAATAAAAACTTTTTTAAGTTTACAGTGTAAACAGAGTTTCTATCTTTTTTATCGCTACGTTCGCGTTAAAATATTGTATGAGATATGCATATTACACCTAATAAACTCCCTGAAGCATAATAAACCCATCATGAAACTTTATGAACGATAAATTTACAAGCTCACTAAGCTTTGGCATATACCTGCTTATTTAAATTGACTAAAATAGTGCTATTTATGTATATATGATATAAGCCTGGCTCGATATCGATCGTATTGTTGATGTAATAAAGAGTAGTTACTACTGTAGCCCTAACGATTGAATGGTTACAGCAAAGTATAGAATCTGAACGTAATATAATAAGTGCACTTACATCCATATAGTATTAAACCTGGAAAATTTCTTGCTGCATTATAGTGCCGATACAGTAAGGTAAACGTGCAATACCGATCTTAAAGATAAAGGTAAAGTAATTGAGAGCTACTTGTAAATTCTGATTGAAAAAGAATCACAAATATCATGAAAAAGGCACAAATTTCAATAATGTCCTAAATTTATTATACTGTAATATCTACGGATCAGATTTATTGATAATGTGTAAATTACTAACAGATAGCGTTAAAGTTCGTCTCTTTATAATTCTAATCCTAAGAATGTCAGATGTTCTATCTCGATGACCAAAACATTTTATCACTTTAATTAAATCTAGTGAGTAAAACTTTTAATTAATCTACCTTAGGGCAGAGTTAATGATAATTCGTAATAGATATTACATAAATAATATTGATTTCGCTGAACAAGTAAATAATATGTGTGTATAAATAACGAAAAGAAAATATCATGGTATATTCCCTTCAATTAATATGCAAATAATTACACGTATTAGGGTACGCTCATCTGCGCCTTTGCAGCTCGTATCATATCAATCATTCTGTTGTTATACAGCGTTCAGATATCACGCGTGACTTTCAGCTGGCTTTGAACCTATGCACTTACAATGGCTACCGAAATCGTCATACTTATAGGAGTCAATACTATCATTGTAATTATAAGATACTAAAAAATAATATTGTTTTAGCTCTGCTGACTTCAGCAGGAGTTTCTGCAAGCTTCATATTAGTGATGATTTGTTCTTGACATATCGAGTAAAGTTAAAATTAGCTATCGATAACCATAGTTATACGGTGCAATAGTCGAAACAAGAGAGTACATAAATAGAAAATAATTTGGGGACGATAGTTTTACTGAACGGTTCATTTCACTCGCTGTTACACATAAGAGGCAAATTAAGTTTCAGCTCCATATCCCATTACACCAATTGTATTTGCGTTGTTATTAACTTTTGATTTCTTCATTTCAAAATCTACTGGAGTAGTTTGCCTGTTGTCTCTATTTCGCCGTTGAGGCCAGTATTGCATCTTATCAAAAATATAGAATACAATTTCACAAACAGTTAGCATGCTGACGCCAATAAAAAGACCAAGTTGCCCACCAATGTTACCTGAGGTATTGAAAATTAAAGTTAATGTTGGGAAATTTTTTACTTTATAGTCTAAACAGATTGACAGAATTAGACTAGGGTAAATCTGCTACATTATAGTAAAAGATTTGAATAGAAAATTATGATTTTTCCATGGCTACTTAACACGAAATAGTTTACGATTGTAATTATCAAGGCGAACCATGTACTTACTTAAAACCTCTTCGGGTGTAATATCTTGCTCTTGTTGTACGGTGGTATGAGCTAAATCCGAAAAGAATACGTCTAGTTGCACAATGTTATCCCTAGTGTAATAAGAAAAAGCTTTTCGGATTAAATTTTTACTTTAATTTTTAAAAATTGAACATTTAAGTTATTTAATATCATGTCAGTACATATTTCTTACAAGAATGATATAATTATACATAAATTATGCTTTACTACGTTATGATCAGGAGATCACGTACGCTATTCGATTTAATTTTCAATTAATACGTGTATTAATAAATAAAATTATAATAATATCAAAGCGAATAGCAGCACATTTATACGACATGTCACTAGTGGGTTTCTAGTTTTGTATAATTTATTTGCTATACTCAATACCTGATGTAGTCTTGAACAGTATATGACGATGGAAGTAAACCTAACCCCTGCATATATGCAAGTTTCGTCGAAAGATCTAATCGCTTATTTAAAATATTACCGTAAGCTAAAGTTCCAATTGAAGAGCTGGAAATCGTTTTAGGGAACAGTTTACGTGCACATGCAATTTTGCATGAATTCGATATTCTATAGTTTCGCGATGCTAGGTCTACAATATATTTAAAAAATGCATAGAATTTCCATTAATAATTCCTTAAAAATACCACTACCTGATTAATTCTGATATATTTATCATATTTTTATATCGGCTACCGCTTACCCAGCTGTGGTATAACGCATGTAATAGTGTCAAATGTAGTGCAGATAGTGTAGTTCACAGTAGATTCTAATGTATAGAAATATTAGTTAATCCAAATTAATTGACTTAAAAATCTGTATGAATAAATTTTCCAACTAAAAATATAACGAAAATAATAAAATTGAATGACATATCTAAACATTAAACAAAATAATAATGTAAGTTACGTTGCTTTGTATATGCTATCTGCCTTAAATATGATAAAATCTGATATACAAAGTGAAAACAGATTTAGAGTAAAAGCTCTATAATGGCGGCCTATTTAGGGAATCATATATCAAGTTTAACCTCTAAGAAAGTGGAAGTTCAATAACATGGAATAAAGTAAACCAAATAATATTATACTTTTGTTAATTAAGATTGGAAATAATGACTATATGTTGATACGAATCAATTTATTATTCTAATATTTTTAACTACCTGACACTTCTTTAAATCTACACTTGCATAGATTCATAACATAAAGTGATTCCTTTTCTTGTTTGCAAGCTTCGCGGGTATATTTCCTATAAAATGCTAGTTCTTGATCGTCACATTCTCCCCAACGTGGTTTCAAATACTTTTCTATCTGTAATTACAAACTCATATCACGATTCCTTAGAAACAAAAGTACTTTCTACAGTATAACGCATCTTTCTGCAAGTCATACAGCAATAAAGGCCTACTTGCATCAATATGATAAATAGTAATAGATAGATAAGAGTATGGTGTGCAACGAAAATTTCATAAGTAATCGTTCTTACTATGACTATATTAGCATTATTACTACGCGTATAAGTATTGGATGAATTAAATTTAAAATGTTAGAAAAAAAGCTAAGTTCATATGCAACGCGCTAATATAAAACATCTTTCTCGAAATGGTGCTTACGAGAGTTTGGTGTAAAGAAATACTGGTATATCTGCCCACACCAACGGAAATTTCATTAATAGTCATACTACTGGTCTCGAACTGATCGTGTATGGCTATAATAAATCCAGCCTGATAGCGGTAAAAAAAATCAAGTGTGCTATATTTGTACTGTTCCGCATCTAGTACCAACTGTAAGCCAAACGAAGGCCCTCTACCAACTTGTCTATGGAACGAAGAGTTATTGCCTAAAGTAATAAACAAATAAGTACATCCAATTCTTATTTTCTACCCGCACATAATCTAAATTAAACAATTTGTCACTGGTTCATCAATTACAATAAAATTTTCGATATCGTTTACTATGCATCTTTTTTGCTATACTTTCGAAGATTTGCTTATTGTACTTTGTCCTCTGTTCTCTATTCTCAGTAAATGTAAGATTAAGGTCGTTATCATTCTTTTCCACCGATTGTATAATACCCTGACTTGCAATTGCTCGTACAGTATAGATATCGGAAATTTAGAACAAGGTTAAATATATCAGCTTCTTTCAGATCTCGGTCACCTTAGGGTACTGAATTCGAGTTCAGTTTATAAAATTAAAGTTTTGGCAATAGGGTTGGATTTTGAAATTAATCAGTTCACCGATTATTTAAAAATGCATTGAAATCTGTGCAAGATTTGCGTGAACAGAGATGAATGTCTTAGACAAAACTACAAAGATAACTGATTTGAGCAAAGATTTATCTATCTTATTCTACGTAAAAATTCAAAATGGCAATTTCCTGCAAATATAAGAATTGCCATAATTTCAGATCAGCTTAAGTTCTCAAGACTTCACATGATCATCTAAGCACTTAGTGATTATTATGAAACGTTTCTAGTAACGATGAAAAACTGAGACCAACTACTTTTCGACGTTATAGTATCTTATATTGATATCTCTACATAATAACTGAACCATTTAAAGTGTTGGTGCTGTATAATAGAATCATTAGGCTATTCTGATCGTATTTAATTCGATGAAAGATCAGTTCAATTTCATTCAATGCCATCTCCAATGAAAATGGCTAAATTTCTTTAGTACGGTACCTCCATTTCCGTTTCCACCTCTTTGTAGTATTCCTGCATTAAACTGATAGCATAGACCAAAATTGGGTTCGACAACTTCAGTAAAACTATTTAGACAATTAAAGTTATGGTAGGTACATTCAAGGATAATATCTTTAAGTTTAAATCCAAAAGCTCGAGCAAAAAACCCATAATCTGCATGCTGTCCAAATCTAGCCGCAATTATTTCTGGTGTTAGGCCAAGATTTACAAGATCTAATGCAGATCGATTGTAATTACTAAATACAGAATTGACCACCGCCAAGATATCCGGATCCATCTTAGTTTTATCCAAATAGTTGGAATTGCATATAGTTACAGCTGGAAAGACTGAACTGTTGGAATATCGGACTTTAGATGTAATTTTTGTTGGATATTGAAACGCTGCTATAACGATTCTGGATGATTGGAGTATACATGCAGAAGTCGCTACTACCGTTAATAACATCCAAAAGTATCGTCGGTAGTGCGTCGTTTGGGGTTTATAAAACTGTCCAAAACCATGATAAGAGGTAGCATTTGCGAAATCTTTCTCTAGATTTGTTGATTGAATATCGTTGTTAGCAGTTTCCATGATAGCTTAATATTATAAAAGGTTCGCTTAATTGAGAAGGAATTTATAGCATCAAATATTGCAATGATCGGAAATAAGTACTGGATAGAAGATCACTTGTAAATTCTCCAACTTTCTAATAAAAACTTCTAATGCATTATAGTTTTCGCAGGTTTATGTTCGTTTCTTTACCGTAGTACCAACTTGATATATAAAACCTTAAGAAGACAAAGATTAACTTCGTTAACTGTACTGTTATTCATCGTTTCCTAATTTTGTACTAAAGTAATAGTCTGTTAGCTACTGAGTTGACATCTAACAATAAATTGGCAGCGCTAATTTACTGAATATGTTATATGCCTACACAAACGTGAAACTGAATAGGATATAGTCATAATTTTTTTGTGGGAGAGGGGAGAGGGGAGAGGGAGGATTGATTCACTATTAGGTCATAAACATTTTATGTATCAATTAGATTTTGATGCAATAACATCAGTTTTATTCTAAATGCAATGAAATTAACGTAATTTGGACAATATAATAATTTCAGTAGTGTTAACATTTATTTATAGTAACGAAATTTTATAAAAAACTGATTTCACGAAATTAAAATTAATCATGATTCTAAGAACTATATAATGATGGGCATTTCAAGCAACGTGACATTCCAAGTTCGGTATTAAAGTTAAAAGTAAAAATTTCTAATGTTTTATCGTTGTCCGATATTATTAAACAAAATTTTCCCGTCAAAAATCAGTTAATATTTACATGTAAGTCTCACGGAAAACGCTGCGATTATACAATAGTTATAATTACTACACTGATTCACCACGCTGATTTGGTAGATTTCACTGTTATATATCGGAAAATAGTTTGCTAACTCAATAAGATAAGTCGTAAAAAGATGTAATGGTACAGTATGGTTTCACTTCACTAAAACCATCTAAGTGCTACTTGTAAAATTAGCGGAACTGATATGCTATTACTGCCCTAGCAAATTATTCATAAATTCTGTACTGTAGATTGTAGAAGAAATGTTCAAAAATTTTATCATTCTCCTTCCGTTGCATACCGTACTGATTAACTATTTTAAATGATTGAACTCTGATGATATGAGTAAGTTTTCTTCATCAAAACTAGACGGTAAGGAAATATTTTTAATGTGTTTAAAGTGTTGTAATTTTTTGTAACTCATTAATCAGTTGTAGCATCGTACATAAATTACTTTGATTGATTTAGCAAATTATCTAGATAGGCAGCCAGTAAAATTCTAATATATGCGTATACTAATTAACAAAACGTTGTCCTAATTATTCTGTGGCATTTTTCTTCATGATTAAAAGTAGTCAGAACGTAATTTAACATATTAATTTTAGAACCTAAAGAAAACTAAAACAAACAACACCAAGAACGAGGAACTTCATTAGTCAACGATTACACAATTCATCGATCATCGAAAGCACTGTAACATGTCGAGGATACTGTAGAGTTCAGTGTTGTTAGTCTACAGTACATCATAGTATTCTTGTTTAGTAACGTAGATATTGCTATATCTATAAATATAATTTGACCTTAAGATATATTACCTATAATTAAAAAGTGAAGAACTTTTGATGCAATTTTCCGCCAGTCAGTAAGGATAAACGATTGTGAGTATAAATCACGCAAAAGCTTGACTAAAAACTCAACATTGCACCGCCTTCGATAGAAACAGTAACAAAAGCCTTTAAATTAAGACTTGACAATAATCATTCCAGTGACAGATTTATGAATAATTTAATGACGTAATGATGCTAATTAAATCATCGCAACATTACAAAACAATCAAGGACAGAAAGATAGCCAAAGCCTCATACAGATGCATATTGATCAATCATAGACGTCAATAAGCCAAAATCAATGCAAGAATTTACTTATCCTTTATCAACTCACATAATAGTAAATGTATACTGGTTGTAATTTACAACAGCGAATAAGCATACGATATAGCCCTATTAATCAACTTTAGTAGTGTTTTAATTGTGAATCAGTTATTTTACTAACGTGAATAAAGTATCTTTTGTTATCTTGCTACAATTAGTAACGGATTGCGATGACGGTAATTACAAAAATTTTTTGAGAGGGTTTAGAAGAGCTGTAAAATATTAAAGGCATTTGTAATAAGTTCTCGAGCAAATGTAGAGACAGCGTATTAGTAAAGCATAGAATTTTATTAAGACTTAACATTTCAAAGTAATTACTAGAGTGCAATTGTCCTTGTTCAAACTTCTACAAAACATTGGTAATGACGTACACTTTAAATAATTCATTTAGTCCACATTCTTGTAAGTAATGTTAGCGCCTGTTTCTCCTGTTTATGATTTTAATAAAACGCTCAACTGCTTATTATTACGAGATAATATCTAATACTTTATTTTGGCATTAGGGACATTAGTTACAATTATCGATTCTAAATGATATTTAATCGTATCTGTTGTTAAAATACTCAAAATTTTCCCTTTTAATAGACTCAACACCTATCTCAAAATATTATACTAGTTAAATTTATTGGAAAGTAATTAAATTAGATCACCTTAAAAGTATACTCATACTCGAACTATTATCTACTGTATATTATATTATAAAGTTTTCACCGAATAAGCTTTACAGTACAAACACGGTACTGTTGCTCTACAATATTTCGACAGGTCTTTCGATAGGTCTTGTACCTTACTAACGCCCAACATATCGTTTGTACAGTATATTTATACTGTAAAAGTAAGTGGAGTGAACTGATGTTGGTTATTTTAAGGTTGTACAAATATGCTTTGGAAGATTTTAATGTAAAAAGATACAGTAAAAGTTTGTTTATCCGGGTACTTAAGAAAATCATAAACTGTCTACCGTTTTGTTCAATTAACGCTGTCGAAGATGGGTTATGCTGCACATTCACTGGAACTAATTTATAAAAATCTTCCTAACGTGGAAACCTGAATTTTATTATAGAGCTCTTATTTCGAACTTTCTTAATTACAATATCAATTTTTTACAGTACGTATAAATCATGCATGAAATATATCAACGAGGCTTTATCAAAATTTGATATAAATTTTGGCTTAAAGGTTGTACTTGTGATGGTATACTCAATTTTGTCAACAGTAAACATCTAAAGAGAAAAATAATATACTAAAACCAGCGTATTTATAAATTATTAATGTATATCCTAAATGAGATAAACGGAATGGAATTTGTACATATATCGAAAGAGTAATCGATTAAAACTTTCACATTACTTTCCAAACTAAACTGATATTTAACATTGGCTCAGATAAAATATAAAGATAGAAACAGATATTAACACTTGTCAGAAGAACTGAAAACAGTTAATGATTGGACAATTTTTTGTCAACTTGAACGGCATAACCAATGTCTCATAAAATTAATGAGTGGCAGAAAGTCTAAGCGTGAAATTTGTTTCGTAGTTGTCGCTTATACATCCGATGTTACTGAATTATTTATACGAAAAACAAAAGAGTAAATTGCTAATGTATTTATGAAGACTTCTGAATTATTTCTACTATTGTAGCAAGTATCTCAGTTACTCAGATAAATGAAATACTGATAAAGTCTGATACGATTAGTTGAGTTTCTTCTATTAAGCGACATAGTCTGGATCAGGATTTGCTGCTTCACAGCTGTTAGTGCTATTCGATCTGTTACTATCGTCAAGGTTATAACAGTGAAAAAATTGATATTAATCCATTAAGTAAATTCAAATTTGCTTGAAACCTACTCTACTATACTATTTATTATTAATTATAAATCTAAGGATATTTGCTTCATTCTTTTGCAGCTACCACCATCTAAAGACTTCCTAGAACTTAATTTTCTCTTAATTGCACCATCTACTCTTTTGACATGGTTACGTATGCCAGTTTCCTGAGGGATTAATATATTTCTACCTGAGATCGGGTACTTGAATATCTTATTCTAAGAACGTTTGTGATAACATCTTTTCATGGCATGAATACTTATTAATAGTAAAACCGAATCTTACTCCTTCCTTGATATCCTCTTCGCCTTCGGCTATTGACAACATGGCATCGCATCCGTCATCATAATCTTTATTATGAGTAGTTGCTATGGCAGATTTTAGCTAATGATACATAACATTCAATTCATGTAAATGTTAAGACAAAATGTAAGGATTATTTTAATAAAAATAAAACGTTAAGTATTTCATATCGAACTTGTAAGTATAATTTGACTGCAATCGCAGGTTCTGCTTGATTCTTCATGTTTTCGATAACATTTCTTGGATCAAATAAGTCAGCATTTCTTCTTGTTAGACTTTTATCATTAACTTTAGCATTATCCGAAGGCGAATAACCAATACATTTGCTATAATAAAATATACAAAATCTCATCTTTAAATGATAATACTCGCTTTGGATAAGATAGTGACATATCTTTACCTTTCCGAGATACTATACAAAGACTTCAGATGATCTCGTAATTGAATCAGCAAAAGGCATGATAACGTAGGATAAATGAAGCGCCGATAATCAAAATCGCCATTAGAGAATTCAACTATGGAAGAAATCATCTATTTTTAATGACCACTCTAAATATGCATCGGAACAATTTCATTTCGAAGTATTAAGATCATTAAGAAATTTTCTTAATTTTTACCTTTTAATGCGTCAACACTGCTACTATCTAAATCTTCCTCACTGTCTTCAAACTGAAAAGTCTTAGAATAGAAGTCAGTTGGGTTTAAAATCACACTTTTTGAATTTTCGAAATTTTAAAGGGTTTACCTTGCCAACGGCGTCTAATAAATTTGTACCCATCACGGAAAGTGTTAAATCAAGCTGGTGAATTAGGAACAAAGGCTCATCTTGGATGTTATACGGAAAATATGCTAAATTACCAGCTATATATAAAAGATATTCTATTTCTTTCCCCTAGAAAGAAAGTAAAATAAGTAATACTAGCTGTTTTAGTAAAGATGAAACAAGAAGCAGTATATCGATTTTTAGAATTAACTGTCACCGAGTTATTGTCAGTTTCAAAATATCGCAACAAGGAATGTGCCAAAGCTCGTCTATATCGACGGTTAGAACGAAGTAGCATATAACAGCAACTACATAATGCGGATGCCGATTCTTTTGAATAACCTCGAACTATTGAGCCCTGTCAAGAATTAATATATGTAATATTTGAACAGATCTTTAGCTTTGACTTTCAACTGTTTCTTTAATAATAAAATATAAGCGACCATTAGTCGCCAACATATCATTTAATTTTTAATGATTCGTGATTGATTACTTGTAATTTCTTATGCAATTCAAATGTGAGCCTAATCCCTTGAGCGGCCTTTGACTAAAATGGTATGCATTTGAGTCACCATTGAACATTTGATTAATCGGTTAAACTATTTATATCAGAAATCAGAGCATAAAAAAATTCGGAAACAGACCTGAACGAAATTAAGATAGTCACTTGCTAAAGTTGATAATTGTTTTTCTGCTAAAATTTTTGTCGACTTTTGTGGATCAGTTGAAAGGGTAATTAAATAAGGTACGCACTAAAGATAACGAGATTGGGACAGAAAATGAGAAATTTTACGTGCTACGCAAAATAATCTATAATTAATAGGCATCATACCTTTATTGGATGCATTAATCCATCACGTAAAATTCGTAAGATAACATTTAAAGAGGAATTTCTTATTTCTGATTCGGAATTTGTAGAGGCTTCCAAAACTTCGTTGGCATAATGTTGCACTATCTTGCTAGCTAGACTATAAAAGAATTTCTTATGGTCAAATTGAGTACTGAAGGGAAAATGTATTTTAAGATTGCATCGTTTTGTACGTTAAATCAGAAAGATTCTTGCTAATGGATATTCACTTTAACAATTTTTTTTGTCGCGCTTTTCGCGTCTCCATTTTCAAATCTAAAGTATGTGAATTTTCGAATAAAAATTTGTAATCATTTAATTTACCTAGATCTAGCATCTCCTAACTGTCCCAAATTTTTGTTGGAGTTTGATTTTTTCCCTAAAATTGTTGTATAGGAATTACTTAAAATGCATATAATCAATGAAGTAAAGCTTAACGTACAGGTATCTTCCGCCTTTTGGGTTCTTTTGTCTTCTTCAATAAGGTAATGCTCTATATTCTTTAATACCTATGAAATAAGAAGATTTAATTTACTTTAAATATGTTAGTTCCAGAAAAATTGTACAACTATGAAAATGCTTACCTGGCACATGAGTTTTGTCGAGGATTTTCGCGAATTTAAGACTTTTTTGTATTTTTCAGAAAGTTTTTTATGCATTAATAGTTTTGGATATCGGACGCATAAACTTCCTATTGCATTCAATGGTAATACAACAATAAGACTTAGGGTATTCGGTTTTATGCGAAGTGACACCAGGAAAAAAATTGAGGAAGTTAAGATCTCAATACTACCGATGCCAGTAAAAGCTTTAAGAAGGACTTCTCCATCTTCACATTGGCAGAAAGCTAGGAAAAGTTCAAATGCGCTATCAAGCTGATAACAAAATTTAAACAAGTTTAGTGACTTTTTCTGTCAGATAAGTTACAGAATTTTAATAATCAGATTACAATCTTACATTTAATTCTGAACTGTCAGAGCTTAAATCCATATCAAAATTTTTATATAGCATTCCAACTACGAATAATGCTCTCATAATTCGAGGTTTATTTGACGTTAACTTCGATTCGATTAACAGTAATTCCTGGTTTGTAACGCTACGTAATAAACCTACGGGATTGAATTAGCAAATAAAGTATAGATATATTAATAAACTACGTTAACATTATTTAATACCCATTTTCTTATAGTATTTACACAAGCTTACCAATATATTTACGTAGACAGTCTCTAACCAAGTCGTAATTGTGAGTTACTTCATTTACTATGACAGTTAAGCAGCTAATACAATTTTGAACAACCTAAAATATTACATGAAAGAGTAATCACTGTATATAGGTGCAATAACATAAAATCTTCTATGTACAATGTTTACCGTTTGTCCTTGAATGAGGATAAGTTTCATAAGATCTTTTTCTAAATCTGCCAAGAAAGACTTACTCGGATGTTGCATCAATGGTAAAACATATTCTAATATACAAGGTACAGTTCGAAGTATCGCGGCATCAGCTTTGGTAGAACATTTCATACTTAAGTAAGGCTGAAGTCGGGGTGCGTAATCTACTACTAATTGTGGGAAACATTTACTAAAAACGAGTAGTGTTGAAAAACAAGCTACAACCTTTACATCTGCTTTTTCATCATTTTTTGATATATTTACTAACTGATCTTCGAATTTTAAAATGCTTTCCAGTAAGTTTGCTAGGATGACTTTACTAGAATTAGTAACAGCTTCGCTATAGGAACTGAAATCACTAGATTTTACCATATGTCTTATTAGATTTTCAAGACATTCTAAAGCGGAGTCATGGCATATCGCTACACAGTTTACAAGATCATCTGTAACTTTTTTGACCTCATCTCCAGACTTGCTATCACAGGAAAACCAGACGTGCTGAAATACTTTAGTAACCAAATCCTTAACACTCTCGTCATCATTGAAACGGAGTAGTATACGAACGCAAATTTCAGGGTTCTTTTCAAACGCTGGGAATCGGGTGTACAAGTCTTTCAGAACTTTAATAACACGCTTCCGTACACTTATACCAGTATCAAGGATTCTTTCTATCAGGATTTCGAAATACTGCTCACACAGTTGTATGTTTGTGAGCATGAACTTTCCTGTTAATTCTACAGCCGCTTCTCTAACCGAAACTGACGTATCTAATAACCTAGCATGAACAGCTTGATGGACTTCTTTTCTTCGGAGTATGTTGGGATCTTCTCCTATTATACTCGTTAGACATTTCAAAGCTCGTGCACGAAGTGCAATGGTAGGCTCGTAAAGCATTCTTAAAAGATGTTGAAGATACGTATCGAAACTACTGAATAACGATCGCTTGGAAACTACTTTCTGAGACATAGATTCTAGTACTTCAGATGACAACGTTAATTTTGGCCAACGACCACGGATAAGAAGCCGACACATAATGGTTACTGCAGAGAGTTTTTTCTTTAAACTTTCTATAATTGCATTATCCTCATCAATATTTGCAGAGTCTTCGAGGGATAAGTTAGCAGAAAGATTAGCAGATTCGTTGAATTGCTTTTCAATTTCTTTATGGGTTTCATATAGTAAACGACCAATACGGAAATAAACTGCTGGCTACAGACATAGATGTAAAACTTTTAGGCTGATCATCTGCAAGCCACATACGGTATCCTCCGTATGCTTAAGTTGACCTGTTACAAGTTCAATAAATAATAATACTCACCTGATACCATGGAAAATCTTTTGATTCGCTGTAAAGCTGTCCTATTAAAATCTTCTCGAAATAGTATTCCACAGATTCTAAAATATCGTTTGACTGTTGAAAAATTAGCAACTTAGTGAAATACAACAAATAAGCAAGTATTGAAGCTAGGAAAATCACAACAACTATGTTGTACGTCTGTCACTTACATCATCAATAACGGATTCGTGACTGATTTCGGAAATCTATATATAATAAAAATATTACTTAGCTATTTTAAATTTTAACAGTCACAGCTAAAAATTTTTGATAGTATTGTCCGCCATTGATAAGGTACGCATAAAATTTATCTAAGAGCTAATTTAAATTAATTAAAATCAAACCTGCGATTGTAGTGCTTTTAAATCAATTTCTTCAATCGAGATGAGACGTTTTCTTAAATGAGCCGCGACTAAACCAAAATATTCCAAAGACGTCGTTCTAACTGCGATATCATTAGATTTGTCGGTAAAAGTATGTGCTAAACATTTTCCAACTATTCCTAATAATAATTCAGATGAGGGCCACTCAGGTTTGTCAACTGTTATCAATAAATCTTGAATAAAATTTTCAAAGATCACTTTACGATCTTCTTCGTCTTTCACACAATACCTAGGTATTCAAGGCAAAATCATAGAAAATGCTTAAACTTACAGCGGAATCAAATGACTTCTAATTTCTTCTTTAAATTCATGATACATATACACATAACATTGTACTAACTTCTTAAAAAATTGCGTGATGAATGACTGTCCATTTCTAACGGCGCTTTCGTATGATTGGCCAATAATGTGCTCTTCAATAAGTTCTGGCTGTTCCGGCGGTTCCTTTGAACCTGTTCCTTTAGTTGACTTTTTCTTGCTATCTGAATTTTTCAGTACTGGAATCTTTACCATACAGTGAAACAGTTGCAGAATAAGAGCAGATACTATTTGTATAGATTCCCCGTTTCCAAGACTACGTAAAAGGATAATAACTAGGTTAATTGATATTTTCATACTGGCTGTAAATTGAAGGATTTTCCTGACTTACTTGTAACATCGTAAGTTAGTTCGATTACTAGGTAATTTTACTAACGATGAGAGAATATCCTCTATGATCACGTTCCGGTGTTTATCATATTTTTTGAAAGTCTATAATACAATACATGAAATGAGTGAAAATTATCCATTTGCACATCCGGTAATATTGCAATAGTGTAGCCACTTTGACATATCTAAGAAAGTATTTTACCCATCTAATAAGATCCAATGCGCTACGTTGTAGGTCTTTAACGTTATCAACAAAGAACGAAGAAATACCAATCGAGCTTAACTATTGAATTAAAAAGATTGAAATCATTTTTTAGAAATTATCACAATGTATACAGCTTCCTCACCATAACACCGCAAGTAAATTACGTATTCTTATTAATAACGTTGGTATTGTTTAAGCGATTAAAAGCCTCAACTAAATTATTACTTACTTGAATAATTATTGTATCAGTAAATGTTGTTATCTGTACGAGTTCAGACAATAAAGCAACCGCCTCACAAGTCTTACGATATATGAAATTCACCAACTTGTTTTTGGGGCTTGATACCTTGCCTCGTCCCTTGAGACGATTAGAATCGGCTAGAATAATAGCATATTATAACTTAAATGCAATAGACATAATTTATATACAGTATACTGTGTACTCGCTACTGAATAAACTACCCTGCTGATCGAACAATTTTAAGGAAAATTATGAACATTTAAGAAATAGATATTTCAGACATTACATTTTAAAGAATTATCCGCGGATTTATCTTTGTACATAGGATCAAATATAGGGTATAGAGTGTTAACTTGGTGGTAACTAATAATATCAATCAGGCTATCAATGTTTTCATCTGCATATAGAGTCTTTGGCATATTTTTTGCAGTCAGGATATGAAGGACTGCTACTGTAGCTTCCATTGATGCTGCGATTTCTTCTAACTTTAAATAATTCCATAGCTTCTTTTCTTTATCATCAGCCTAAAGTTAAGATTAAATCCTATTTAATACCAAATAATTACTCAGCAAAATTAATAAACAATAGCTACTGTATTCTATCAAATACCGGTTCCTCTGTAACTGATGATTCTATACATTTGCCATGCCTAATAATGCCCAAAAGAATTTTCACAACTTGTTCAACATCATCAAGGGATATCTCGTAAGCTTCATTTGTTGCCTTCAATCTTGCAGCCTCAATCGACAACTCAGATAGCACCGTTAAGGGTACAGCAAGTTTATCCGGCTCTGAGCAGATTTGTAAATAAAATTTCAGTTAATTCAGAGTTTGGTAAAATTCTCAATTTAATTCCCGTACTTTTACTAGATGATTCATCCTTCTTTTTCAGATAATCAGTTATTTTTTCACATAGTGTAACGAAACGTTTGTATGTTGTGGATTCACCTGTTCACGGGTTAGTCAAAGAATATATGTTACCTAAGTAAGTAAAAATTTTATAATATAATTATAATTAAGTACCTTCATATTCAGACTCTTGGTCAGACTTGTTCTTTAATGAAGTTTTTCCTTCAAACAATACACGGAAAATCATTCATCGAGAAATACGATTTAAAATGATTACATTTTGGTATGTTATTCTAATTTACGAGTGATAGGTTATAGTAAAATTAGGAGCTATATAGCTATAAAGTTTACTAAACATATTTTAGAAATACAGAATAAGTGCTATGCCTATTGCTGATTCTCTTTATCGCCAATAATCTACCGACTTACGAGATTTTTTGGCAGATGATGGACCGGGTCGTACAAAATTTTCGGAGTCACTTGTTCCTGAAGTAGTTTCACATTTCCAAGTGCTATCCTTACTGTCAGATTCACTTACAGCCTAATTTGAATCAGTAACACAACAAAATGCTACATTATACAAATTGATTTTAAGCTAAGCAAATGATCTAGAGCGCTTCAATAAGATCATAAAATGTCCTACTGATGTAGACGTCGAGTCTAGTGTAATAACTTCTTGATTTTCAAATTTGTAAATTGGTTTATCCTTTTTTCTAGGCTGTATTCTTCGCTTTTCAAATACCTGATGAGGTGCCACGTCTTGTACGCTCTCATCGCTTGTTTCGAGGTGATATCGGTGGGCATTATGCCCATCTACAAACAAAAAGGATTAGGAGTGTTTTAACATAATTTTTGTAAGGAATAACTTTGATAGTATTGTTTCGAGTATTGCAATAACCTAATAATATTTTACAAAACTTTATACACATAATAAGAGACTACTAAGTATATTAAATGGGTACTTGAATATATAATTTCTACGATAAGATTTGCTATTATTCCACATGTTAGTTATAAAGCATGAATGTTTGATACCCAAGTTAGAAAAGTATATATCATCGTTTCATGAATGCTTGTTGTATTTGGATATTGCGAGATATATGATATTAAGTTTATTACTGCTTTAACTTCAGTGTCAATTCCATATTGAGCGATTCGAATTTATAGTATCGCGATATGGTTACGAAGATTAATTGCTAAAATCATTCTATATAGCATAATAAATACTGTATACAAAGAGCGCATAAGATGTATTACCAAAAGTTACTATACAATATAATGTAGATATAATAAATATCGTGAACACTGAAAGTATCCAACAGTATCCTATATAAAATAGGCTAAAATTTTAATAGAACTATTGATGTCGAGACCGTCCAACTTAAAGAAATACTATTACCGCTAAGTTAATTCATACCAGGTAATGGATTCGTTAAAGATGAACGATAGCTAAACAGATTAGGAAATCGCTGTTCCAAGGCGTACACAGAGTAGGGTCTCCTGAGATCGCTTACTGATCCTAATGAGGGTTGTTCTTTGACTTGGCTTTAATTTCGAGTATGAATAAAATTATTGCTGCTTATTATATATGTATTATCTGATAATGTAGTAATAAGCTAAGATGTTAAAAACTCAAATTAGTCTATATCTATACAATATCTGTATTGCAATCATAACCTACTATGGTCGTAGCAATAAAATACCGATTTGCAATTAATAAGTCATAAACAATTAAGCCATTTGCAAATATAAACAAATTTTCATTCCATGTAATGAAAATTTCTGACTACATTTGTAACTTACATGTGAGATACGTCCACTGCAAGGAGATCACTACCTAATTTTTCGGTTATTTGACCATCAGTAGTATTTTCTAAAAATTTCCATGTTTGTTGTACATCGTTATTGTTAACAGCAGAACCTACATTCGCTGCGCATAGCGGAACTATAGGTTGTGGCACCGGTAGTTTGCTTGGTACTAACAAAAAATAATTAATCAAGAGTTCCTATTATTGGTTCATATAATCCTAAGTTAATTTGACTATAAGTACTGTAAGTTAGATTAGTAACTGCCAAGAGAAATACGATCTGTTTCACATATATATATATATACATAATAAACCAATAATAACATTATTTTTTCGTTATCGTAAAATGTTGTACCGACTCAGCATGATGGCTTGGTGTACTGTTAGCAATTAACATATTGACATTTAATATCAAAAGGCTAATTGTAGTCACAATCGCATGGATTATCATTGTCAGGCGAGTTAGTCTGCTAGATAAAATTACAGTATGATCTGCATGACAATACAGTTGGTACAGTAACAAGATTATTTTAATGTAGAAATACTAAAATAATAGCACAGCACATAAGGTACTTATGGCTAGAAAATAATCTAGTATTGAATATTTAGTACGTATCTTGCAGAAAATATGTCAAGAAGTACCAGTAGAAGCAGCAGTAATTTAGTACTCAAACTCAATTAGTAATAATTATTAACGTGTAGTTTACAGCAAGATCTTAATAAGGATAGAAATGTAGATAATATGCGTATACAGTACGCTAGACAGCAGTACAGTAATGTACATCACGCATTGAACTCAATACAATCACAAAGGATGCGAATTCTCTAGCCCTTGTAATTTAAAATCTATCATTCCCTGTAGCCAATAATGTCAAGTATTATATAGTACACACATGGCCTTAAGAGAGTAAAATTTGTCAAGATATGAGTAAGACAGCCCAATAAATTGAACTGAAAAATGCTCTCAATTTTCTAACGGACTCACGTAGTATATCCTTACACACAAATATCAGTAAGTAAAATAATTATATAATTGGTCAAAAACAAGTCTTGTCGATTACAATTAAGACTGAAGTGACGACTTCTAATATTGAGATATCTAACTACAAGTATTAAAACAAAATAATCTATGACTTAATATATAGAACCTTAAGTCTAGCGATAATGTTATGCAGTTAAGGTTTATCAATGGCGTAGTTTATTATACGAGTATGATACCATTAGAGGAGCAATGAAATGATAAGCTTGCATACAACTTTATGAAACAATAATGTTATATTTGAAGAATGTGCTATGCAATTCTAATTTAAACAAGCAACACATAGTATCTTACTAAGTTGCTTTGCCTAGTTGGAATTATTGTTATTAGACTTAAGCAGTAGATAACTAGGATAAGTCAGTATAAGCATGTACACAGTACGTTTATGTTATATTAGGGACGATTAAATACTTTATGTAGTGTATATGCTTATGACTGCACAGTAGAGTACTGTGATGAATACACGTACGTATCCAGTATGTTAACTTAATAACATATACCCACAGTACAAGCATAGAGTTGGTAAGAATATCAATAGAAGTAAGGTTCTTGTCAAATAATATTGAATGAAATAATAAAATTTAACTTACAGTCTATTAATGTTGACGGTCCAATTAATGTATTAGCAAGTGCCTTTGAAGAACTTTGATAGGAACTAGCCGGGGCATTATAATCCGCCATTGCCCTTCATAAATGAGAAGATCCTGTCTTTTTAAAATTTCGTGTTCTCACGAATATTAGCTAGGTTCTGAACGTCAATTTATGACTAGATGCAGTTGATGTCTCTCTGCAATAAAGAGTATATGCAATAAATGAAGATTACTTTTTAGAAATACACAGTGCTCGACATAAACATTGTACAGAATTATGACAAACAGAACATGATAAATCAGTGAATTCAGTGGAGCACACTGTTATGGCTTGAGTAACGCATAGTTTACAATGCACTTAATGAGTTTGTACAATATGTATATTAATTTAGGCTGTATCAGTATAGTTCTAACTGCATATTTATAAACGAATACATCCTAAAATATTACTAGTATAACTTTGACTTCAAATGCAGGTCTAATTTTGGGAATTCAAGAGCAAAATCATTCATATTACCTGTATCCTATTCTAATTAGCTGAGCAAGAAAATCTCTGAAAAAATTCATTCAAGCAATGCAGATACAGTCATACGGAGCGATACGTGTTACCACCGTACGTGTCGTAACGAGTGACTTCATTCACCAGACGTTCGTAACTCGTACGCTATTTCAATTCAATTTTCAAAATTTTGAAAAAGATTCGTTTGTTTCGGTATACAGTACTGTACACTATACAGGACAGTACCGTCTTGTGTACAAAAGGTGTCCACTGGTTGGCAACACTATATACAGTGTGCGGTATACAGTACAGGATTGAATACAGCACTGTACCATACTGCACAAAATCAACTTTGCAGCTAGTGTAATTTGATGTCAATCGCGGAAAGTATAGTGTACTGTTTACAGACATGCAGAACACTTGAAATGACCGGTGAAATAATCAGCCTGGACATCATACAGTACTGTACTGTAATTAGTACAGTACAGTATAGTGAAAAACCGCTTGCTGTCCCGCCTCTTTCTTTTTACTAGTCGCCGAGGTATGGTATTGTACACTGTACAGTATACAGTGTCTATTTTGGATTTTTTCCAATTTTGGGGTCACATTGGGAGTTGGAAAAGTGACGTTTCATAGACCTCGACAGTACTGTATACTGCACACTAGTACAGTACTGTACAGTACTACATGTACTGTACAATACGTGTGACTACGGATGCATTGCCCAGTTTTAGTACTGTACTGTAGTTCGGATAATGACAGTACTGTACAGTACGAAATTGGAGTGTACTGTACAGCAATGTTGTGCAATGCAGTGAAAAGGCAACCACAACCTGCTAAAACCCGATCCAATTGTTGATTTTCTAACGCGAAACGAGTGCAATCGCAAGCACTGTATGATGTCTGTATCACCACTGAGATTCTTAAGCCGAATCCCGCCCTCGAGTCGGTTTAAGCTTGACTTTGCACATCCCTACAGTGTACACTGTACAGTACACTAGAAAGTTACAGTACTGTACAATACTGTACACTGTAAATGTAATTTTAATTTATTTTACAGTACTGCACTGTACAGTACTATACAGAAGTCAATGACCAGCTCACAGTACAGTACAATAGCAGTATTGGTGAATGCAGTCGTAGTTATACTGTCCTGTAAAACACCATTTACACTGTTAAAATAGTAATTCCGTTTCCGTACCGTTGCGTAAAATACAGTACTGTACAGTACAGTTTCATCTACAGTAGTGTACTGTAGCTATCGTCACGACAGTACAGGGTACATTGTACAGTACACAGTGTACACTGTACAGTACACAGTACTGTGGATCATAGCTCAACCAGCTATTGTACTGAATCTACTCGTGCTCTTTACTCTTTTATTAGGTGCACGACGTCCAGTACGGTGCTTCTACCTTCTTTTGTGGTGTGACCCACCTTGTGACCTTTACAAGCAGCGATTTTGCTTTTAAGACAGGGTGGGCTGATTCGCCTGAAATCCATTTGCACAGCTGCATGCTTGAAGAAGCTGAAGGTAAAAGCTACTGGCGGTAGGTACCCCCAAAATGGTATATTACTGCATATAGGTAGTATTGCATAGGCTAATTGTAAGCAGGCACTGTTTCAAATTGCTTTGCATTTTCTTCTACTGTAAATTGCAAGTTTATTTTATTGATTCATTTCCGATATGGCGTGACCTCAACTTATCCGATATTATCTGTCGAAAATTGTGATTAGATAAAAGCACAAGGAAGATGGCAAATAATGGCAATATTGGGCGGCCTCAAAATGTCGGTATAGTAGCGATAGAGGTATATTTTCCAAATTATTATGTCAATCAGGCAGAGTTGGAAGCACATGATGGCGTTGCTGCTGGCAAATATACCATTGGATTGGGCTTAAATAATATGGGCTTTTGTAGCGATCGTGAAGATATCAATTCCCTTTCTTTGACGGTCATGCAAAGATTAATGGAACGAAATAATCTATCGTACGATCAGATTGGACGATTAGAAGTCGGTACTGAGACCATTGTTGATAAGTCCAAGTCGACAAAAACGGTCTTGATGCAACTCTTTAAAGATAGTGGTAATAGTGAAGTAGAGGGAATCGATACAACGAATGCATGCTATGGCGGAACCAACGCCTTGTTCAACTCAATCAATTGGGTTGAAAGTAACTCTTGGGACGGTATGTTGATCAATACTCAATAGTCATGACTCGATAACCATTTACATTTTTAAAAATATCATTTTTGAAGGAGTTTGTTTTTTGTGCGTGTGCTACACTCCAAGTTTATGGACAGGATCTATTTCCTTTTCTCACCTTTTCTACTTCATAGTCCTCGCGATCGTACAAGCACATCTCCATCGATTTTACCCACATTGCCAAATAAACTAAAATTGATATAATTAGCCATATTGCAATTTTAGTTACGGCAATAGATCGTTTTGTCGTTCAAGGGAAAAACTACAATACCAAGCAGTAACGTAGACGTCAGCAATTGAATATTTAATGCACAGTTTGCGCACACTGGATGAGTGTTAGATCGATGCCAGAATTTTTCCATTTGGTATTTCTATTGCAAATTATAATTTTAAACATATCAGGAATGTAGCTGTTATTGATTTATAGTTATAACATTGGAAGAAGACGCACAATATAGGCCACATTGTTACACTTTACATTTTTGTTACATTTTTTTTTCCAAGGTAGATACAGTATATACTGTACTTCTAGCCTACAGGGCCATGAAGGACTAAATCACATGATAATCTAGTTTAGTAATCCATGCCAGGACTAAGGGGTACTTGGCCACTTCACGTTTGAGACATCATTTAATAACTCGCAGGAAAGGAATGGAGTACCAGTTCGTAGTTCTTACAAATTTAACGGATAGTACGCATAGAAATTACATTGCACTGTACATTTATTTCAAATTACTAATTTATTTACTGTCAATAATAAATCTGTTGGGATAAAATTTATACAGTATTGCCCTAATAGGGCATTGTTTAAAGTCAGCTTTAATTTAATGCACGCTACTGTACAATACTTTACAATTTGGAGTAGTGGCACAAAGGCAGATCTCCTTATGCATCCTCATGTTGCAAATGATTACTGCTAAAAGGTTGAAGATTAGCATGCAATGTGTAACTCACCATTCGAACAGCTCTCGCTTTGTTGTTTCCCAATCGTTCAAGCCCGATGAAAGAAAAATAAATAAAAAATATTTATATAGTGCATACATACTAGCTAATTATGTTCTATACATATAAAGTAGCATGTAATTATAACGAAAAACTTTGAAAAGAATTTTTTTCTGCAATGACACAACAAGAGAGCAGAGCGTTAAGTTTCTTTAATTACAATTTACATATGAGTATAGCAAACTTCTCATATTACATCATACATATACTACAAAACAATATATTGCACATGGTAAACCATCGTACACGTATTCGTATTCATAAAATTTTATACCGTGTAAGATTGAAACAATTTGCTCATTGATTGTTATCAGTTATTAACCCATCGAACAGTAGCGATATAGTCATTAAGCAGTCATGCATTGTTGTAACGATTAATATTGATGATGTCCGCGTAATAGTTTTGGATACTGAATGTCATATTGCTTGAAAATCCAGAAATGATAAGCAATCTACTGTAACTTACAGTACCCTATCTTTCAATCTATTTAAACCATCTGATTCAATATTGTCGCCAGAGGATGTCTTCATACGTAATTCTACATCACAGCAATGACACACCTAGGTGTGCTGTTGTCATGTCAACTATTCTTAATTAGTTTATATAAGAAATTAATCCAGTACTAAACGGTTTTAATCAATAATAATAAAACCTATATATACAGTACAGCTGATGTTCCGCAATATAAAAAACGTATACGCGTGTAACACATTTAATGCATAAAGTTAAAAAATTCAATTTTTGATCATTGATACAGTATACTGCTTGTTTTTACTTTATATAGGGCGTTATGCTGTAGTTGTATGTGGCGATATTGCGATATACTCGGTCGGCAGTGCTCGTTGTACAGGCGGTGCCGGTGCCTGCGCGATGTTGATAGGACCCGATGCCCCAGTTGTAATGGAAAGTAGTAAGTACTTTTAGTTAAGTATATTCTTCAAGCGTATTCATTCTATAAATTATACACCGTAATATAAATATGTAATGACTATCACTGATGTACGCGTTCAAAATGCCCCTGCTCAATGTTAGTAATATATTGTGTGTTCATAAATAATCATTAAAAGTTACTGTTGTTATTGCTATGTCAAAATATGCTCTCTAAATAATATCGTTTTCTTATATTTACGCAACTGAAAGGATTAAGAGGTTCTCACATGCAGCATGTTTATGATTTCTACAAGCCAAATATGACTTCGGAATATCCAACTGTCGATGGTAAACTATCCCTAACTTGCTACACAACATCGGTAGATAAGTGCTATCAACGTTATAAGGATAAAGCTGCTACAATACTGAATAAAAAGTAAGCAAGATACACTAATTACTTTGTTACATTACTTATTAAATATTGATGCAGAAATACTCATATATTATTATACTAAGTGATTACTGTTCCCTTCATATTCTTACAGGATAACGTTAGATACGTTTGATAAGTTTTGTTTTCATTCACCCTTCTGTAAACTGGTTCAGAAGTCCGTCGGTAGGATAACTCTTAATGATTTCTTGATTGATCCTGAAAGATACATCGCAGAATTTCCTGAATTACAGAACCTGAGGTTAACATATCATTGTTTAGCCCTGTAGTAATGGTTTTTAATCCATTATTTAAAGCATAAAATAAAATAGCAATCTATCTTTTGTACGTAGGGATGTCAAAATAGACGAAACTTATACTGATAAAAACATTGAAAAAACTTTCGTAACAGTTAGCAACAATTCTTTCAAGCAAAAAACTAAAGGATCTTTACTTTTAGCTGGCGAAGTCGGAAATATGTATACAGCATCACTTTATGGTGGATTGGCATCGCTTTTTGCTATGTAAGTGTGATAATTGATAATAAAAACTATTATTGGAGTCCCTTCTTGAAGTCATTGCTAGTCATTAAACTCATAAAGTAGAATAGTCAAAATAAAAATTGAATCATCTCTTTATTCGAAAAAGCTAATAGCTAAGGAAAGATTTTAATTATCAAATTTTGTAATATAAAACCTAGCTCCTCTGCCGAAACATTAGCTGGTAAACGCATAGGAATGTTCTCTTATGGGTCTGGTTCTGCAGCGACTTTATACTCATTTCGTGTAGTCGATGACGCTACAAACTCTAAGCTTATAAATATCATAAACAATGCTGCTGATATCCCTGCGAGACTTGAATCACGCAAGAAGGTACTCGCAATTAATAAAATTATTGTTACATTTTTGCTTTGAATCGTGTGTAATTCTATTTTTAATTTTTATCAATAACTACATGGTATATTGATAGGTATCACCTGACGATTTCGTCAAGACTCTAGCTATTCGCGAGGACAATCATTCGTCGAACAATTATTCACCTGTTGGTAGTACAGAGGACTTGTGTCCAGGCACTTATTACCTCGCTCACGTAGATGATATGTATAGGAGGAGGTATGAAAGAAAACCATTGCAAAACAGCAATGGAATTTAGTATATGCAAATTTAAGCAGTTAGAGTACTGATCTACTCTGAAGTGTCGTAGCTATTTTCTTTACGTAGTCTTGAAGGAATTTATTAATTACTATTGACTGAAATGACAATGTTCCTATCGCTATTAATCGTCGTACGGTCATTTTTAACAGTAAAAGAAATGGGAACACCGGTTTGTAGTATTTAATGCCTGTTTGTGACTTTTTCACTTTTTAACTCGATTTTGGTCTTAATTTTATATCACTTTCCGTATAATTTTATAGGACTAGGCATAGAGAATTACGCGTATATTTGCTTGGTCATATTAAATGCAGTTTATTAACGTATTCTTTGATTTTCTCATTTTTATGCACTCTTTATGCACGCTTATTGATTGTATCATTCTTAATTGCTTAGTATTTTATTACATTTACAGTTTAGGCAGGTTTCCTTAAATATGTAATAGCTACTTTGGATTGTTAAGTGAATGCAGCTACTATATTCGCACTAGACATATAATTTAGGCCTTTTATTGTATTAGCAATAAAGCTCTGACTGATTTACTCTTGAATTCTAAATGTCCATTTTGTGTATCAGTCGCGACAATAACTATAAATATTTACAATTCCTTTAATTATCATCATTGTATATATATGTTACATATGATGTAAGTACAGGAAACCGAAACGTATCATTAATTAATTGAAATATTGAATCAAAAAATTTGAAGACTGCTATCTACATTTATCGCTGAATTTTATACTCCTACACTTCGTTTTAGAAACGTGTTGTACGCGTAGTTTGCGCATCGATACAGTTACAGAACTAACACTATCAGATGACCGACCCCTTGAGAATTGATGTAGAACAAGGTAACAAACCTCAAAAAAGGTAGCTTACAATATGTGCGTCTGTGCTTGTGTAGAGTACTTTACGTACGTAGACGGATAGTTCATGAAACATCCATGTAATCCATAAACCGAATTAACAACGTAGAAGCCATTGAATTAAACAAAATCTGGCGTGTCATAAAAAATTATATAAAATAAAATAATTATCGTGACACAGTAAAGAAAAAACATTAATTTAGAAAAAGTAATCGGGAACATTGCACAGTACCATACGACCCATAAGTACCGTCATGGACTACAACAAAAAAAGACTTTTAGTCTATCTTTAGTAGTTCGTAGTACCGTACAAACAGTACGAGGATCAGATATAGGCGTACCTATCTACTGGCACTTGCGCGTATGAAGTGCACTTATATCGAATCTTCTGAATTTTTAAGCTTTTTCACTACCGCAGCAAAGTGTAAATGATTACGGATGAAAGTCATAGGCAATAGAGCCAAAATTGGAACTTAAATAAAAAATTTGACATATTTTATAGATATTGTACACTATTATATAATGTACATTTGTACAGTATGTGGCATGAAGGTAGTTCGTATCAACTAGATGTTGCTAAAACTCGATACGACTATTTATCTCGACATCAGTGATCTCAGGATTAATTAATTTTCTTTGGTCTCCATACTGGCTCCACAGTCAAATATCATTCTAATGCCAGATAAGATATTTTCTCTTCGTTGATCATCAATACAGCTCATTTTTGACCTTAACGATGAAATCATCTAGACGAAAATAAAACACAGCAGACGAGTCTTTCATAATCTTGTAAAATGCGAAGTACTGATAAACCCTAGCTACTATTACGTATGGAAAGTTACCTTGTCAAGGATTAACTCATTTTCATTTTTGCAGCTTCGCTGAAGTAAATCAATGACGCTTAAAGAAATTTTTGTACAATGAAAAACACGTTACCAACTGATTTTCATCAGAGTGTGAAAATATTGACTAAATAAAATATAGCACAGGTTTATCAGAATACATACCAACGATTATCCTTATACTTTACAATCAGGTCTTCAATGATTTGAACGTAATCGTTCTCCTCAAAGTCATTCATAGGTAGGTTGAATTGATAAGGTATTTCTGTAACAAATGGTAAATAAAAAGTGACATGAAGTAATTTTTAAAGTCATAACAATTAATCATCAATTGTTTACAATATCTTAACTACCTAGCACCTTACATTAACTTATTATTAATTTCTATGTCTCCAAGAATGACAGTATTAATGTATCGATAGTAAACAGTTACCAAAGTCATGCAGCTTCAAGTTCTGATTATTAACAATAACTAATAATTGATCGTTGCACACTATCTCAAGCTGCCATTATCATTAAACTTTACTCCTCACAGCTAGAACTTACTAAGATTATCCGTTTTATCCATTTTATCTCCAATCATTAAACATGTAATACTGGATTCGTGTGTTACAAGTTGTCTATAGTATGGACTAATAATAACTCCAACGAAGGGAGCTCCACCCTGAGCAAACCAGTCCTAAATAATTTCGTATTACGACATTAATTATGCATAAAATTTAGTGCAATACTAAAATTGAATGAATTATATAATTATTGAGAGCAAACCTGATATTTTGACTGCGTTTCAATATCTCTTATGGAAGGAATAGGAGAAAAATACGGATGTGAATGATACCAACCAACTACAGAGTATCCACGGTTGCATAGTTCGGTAAAGGCTTCCGTCTGTGAAACTATCAAGGCACACAATGTGAAATATTGAAAATGAAAGTGCGTAACAAATACTAATGCAATACTTACCAGAGTCCATTTCACACTGCACCTCCGTACTTAAGCTTTCACAAGGCTCGGCTCTCAGTATCTGAATTCGCAAGAATTTTTTATATTAAATGACCTTATTGTGTATTAGATGTATGGTGTTATAGAGCTTCTCACCTTTAGCTCTTTTTGTTCGCAACTATATCTTCCCCCCAATAATCCAATTACTTCTGTCCCACAGAGATGAGAATGCTACCGCAGAAAAAGCAATTAATGGCGTTTTAAGTCTGATGTCAAAACAACTGATTAAATAGGTATTTTGCAATAAAATGACTATCCGATGTGCCGGTAGCCTTACCACTTCCATGACAAGTAAAGCATCAATGCTGATAGAAACTTGGAAAGGCTAAATTTTAAGTAAAAAGTGTAAAATTATACCAAGACTCAATTGACATGACTGTCAATGATAAAGAGTCAGATGATGATTACCTCGCTACCGCTATCAAATTTTCGACATGGAATTAAATTAAATGGATTGTAGCTACGAAAAAACTGGCTAGTTAGATCATACTCCAGAAAAATACATGCATCTTATACTTCATGTTATGCAAAATACTGTATTAATAAAAATTTCGAGTATAGTACTACAAAAATTTTGCTAGTTTACCTCTGATATGATGTGGATCGCCTAGATTTAATCCTACTATAAAATATTAACAAAAATATAAATCTGCAGCCATTAATTTTGAATTCACAGAAACCTAAATGTTCGCAAATACTTAACACTACTTTGAAGAAATACCTTGCTCCACCTTCAGTTTCAGCTTCACTCGAATCTTTTGAAATCTGAAAAAAATTTTCAAGAAATTTACATATAGCAGAATTAGCACAATTAAATAATCTACTAGCGATCTACCTCATAGTCTGGCATCACTGAATGTTGATCGTTATTTACACATTTCCCCGCAGACCTTTTTCTAAGTCTCTATTATAATATTACATAACGGTATATAGAAGCATTATCTTACAGAAATAAACCAAAATAAGGTTTATGGATTATCCTTACATTGATGTCAAATGAAGCCAGACTATCACTATTCTCTAAAGTTTTAACATCTTTATCTGGAGAAAAAGAAAAGTAGTCTATTATACAGATTCAAGTAAATTCCATGAATGAAGAAAGTTACTGTACTTACCTTCTAAATTAACTAATTGGCATCCGCTTCTTATATTATTTCTGCGCCGAGCTTCTATCGGAAGGAGAGCAGGTATATGTATATTGTTATGCGTATACAAAACGGTATCCAGTCATGAATATAGAAACCCTCAGCAGGTCAAAGCATTTCTAGGGAAGGTTTTTATTTTAGTTTATATTTATCCTACCTATTCCCACGTTGATTGCTCCAATTTGTTCTAAGAAACAGTGAACACGACCGATAGCATTTACATCCCCACAATTGCGTAAACCAACACGTAGAGATGTCTTATTTAAGTAACTAGGTTGGCATTTATCCCTAAATAATTTATGCGTAACATATTTATGTTTACGTCTAAATTACTTGAAATAATTTACGTTAATTTACAGTGTTCACAAATAGAACTCCTACTTAGATCAGCATCTATCGCAATCATACTAATCATGTGAGCTTATAAGATCACTACATATATTCTATCGCAAATGGGTCTTACCACGCATCCAAAATATAATTTCTAATTTTTTGGTATCTTTCTGGAGTTTTTGAAGATCTGCCTAAGAAAAATTCTCTGTTCACAATTTTCTCCACTTCTTGAATACAGTTACGTTCAATTACAAAATCGTCCTAATATGTAAAAATTTAATGGATAATTAAGAATTGATTTATGCATGCATGTCAATGCCAATTGAAAAAGAGATGTAACATGTTAAAAATTCCGTTTACGTATCAACTATATTTTTGAAACTAATAATTTATTACCAAATCCTGTAATTCTAGATCCTGATTTACAGAGTTGTTATCATCGCCAAAATATTTTAAACTTTGATCATTTCCTTGAGCTTCTTCACAGTTGATATCATCAGCAGTATCAACTTTGTCTAAAATTCTGTTTCTATCTACTCGTAATTAGAAGTAGATGATTTTTAAAAGTTGTCTTAATTTATGTTGTAGCATTAGTAAAATATTTACCATTATCGAAGTCCGAAATTGGAGTTTCAATATTATCACTTTCAAGTTCGTGCGGAGAACTCGACTCGCCATCTAAAATTTCAGTTGCAGGATAGTCTTTTAGTCTAGATTCACTACATACACGGATATTGACAACACAAGCTGATTGTTCAAGATCTTCACTGTTAGTTATATCGGTGATTAGACTCTTAACTTCGGATTTGCTATCGCTCTGATTATCGAATATTTGATCATTGATTTCACTTTTAAGTTTATTGTCTCCAACATCTGTTTGGGGCTTCTCTGGTGGACTTTGTTCATTTGCCTTAATTAATTTAAACCCGTCCCGATTAACGTATTATTATAATTATTACAACGGCGATCTAAAATTTTAGCTATTATTCTATTGATTATTTTACGAACATCTTCGGACTCGGTCGAAACATCGCTACTTATTCCAGCTGCTTCCAGCAATTTTTCATAGACATCTTTTGAAGAGGTAGAATTTACTATATGATAACAGAGATAGTGTAAGCGTTTATAAAACTGTGTTGTATATGTTTATTCAACTAACAAGACAAAGTATGGATTTATACCGGCAGTAAACATTGATACTTAAATCAGAAGTTTTCGACGATAAGCAAAACAAATTCCCGTAAGTAAAAAGTTAAATAAACACTAACTCCCACTGTAATCTTCAATGTCAATTTCTTCATCACTTTCTCGAGGATCAGAAACAATTGTCGCTTTACGTTCAGCCTTCGGATTAGTTTCCTTAGTCTGATCAGATATTAATCACATGTATTTAAATTTTAGGTATTCATGATGACAGCAGTCGTAATCGACGAATTACAGGGCTATTACCTTCCGTTTAAGGTAATATTTGCAATAATTTTTAACTTGAGTAGCCGTTCTAGAGCCAACCATCTTAGCAACTTTGGTCCAACATTTACCGTATCTTTTCTATGATGTAAATTTTAAATACTGATTGATACAATAAATGATAACTTAAACTAAACTAGTACAATCGATAGTTAAGTACTGTATATACTTACCAATCCTTCATCGAGCAATTTCCTTTCTTCTAAACTCCAGTGCTTTTTTACTGGCTGATTAGGACATCTAGAGATACATCTATCTATTAATCGCTTCAAAAGTAACAGCTTTGACTAAATACTTAAACTTACAGTTTATTGTGTGAATTTAAAGTTTGTCTTCTGCCTGAAATCAAAAAGATATTGTTTACATGCGAGAAATATCCTACTAAAATAACCTTCAGTCACTCTTCAAGACTTCTGTATTTTATTAGTAATTTCTTTAAAATTTAAACTAGCACAGAATCTTAACTGATTTTAATATTATTTCTAAGCTAATACTTACCTTTCATTTTTTTAGAAAGAGTGTTTATGTCTCTTATTTTTATAGACTCGGAATTTTTCGATTGCCTTACTTTCTTTTTGTCTAAATATTTCCTAAAATTGTAAGGATAATATTAAAATTTTCACAAATGTAATGAGCGGTGTCATATACTTATTGTATTAAAAATAGCCTAACATAAAATTATAATATTTCTCCCAAAAGTAACTCATCAGTACCTTTCTTCCTTGATCATTTTATCAGCTAAATATTTACTTTCTGATGTTGTACCGGTTGTATTATCAATAATCCAAGCCTGTCATAAATAGATATGTAATGAACACTTAATATGGATAGAGTATGCGACATCATTTGCAAATATCTCCAAAGCAGGGTATAGTGCGTAATAACTCAAGACAGACAATATTTACGGGTAATAATTCTAAACTTTTGCTATCTTGCAGTATAATAACCACACATATTTTGACGTTTTATTCGCTTTATCAATGGCCTACTCAGTCTTACAAACGAAATTGCGCAATGCAGTACAGACATCACCGTGATAACGCACTGCCAGTGTACGATGTTGTCACCGTGCAATTTCAATCATTAAAGTTGAAAGAATGAAAATACGATAATCAAAAATCAGCATAACATACAGAATGACTTACAGTGTAATCCCATGATGAAAATTCTGGAAATTCAGGTAGAGGATGATTGGTGTTATCTAACAGATAATTTCTGTCAACACTACATAAAAACAATATTCAATTATGTTACCAATTATAAATATACTTCTCCCAGCATTATAGACAGTCAATTCCTGATATACAGAGATTCATAACTCGTATAAAAGATGCACTTTCAAGAGTATTAATTAATGCCTGGTTGCATTGAATAGTAAGTCTTAAAATTTCTGGCTTATGGAGAGCAACTGATGCCTTTAATGACGACTACTATCACGGTAAATTCAAGGCATTAAATCGCTCTGTAACTTAAGTGCAATTATGCAAAGTAATACTCCGGTAAAGAGAATTAATTAATGGGATATTAACTGCCAGTTGCTACGTAGCGAAGATGAGAGCGTACCATACGCGCAAATTGTAGATGCCATTAGTATCATCTAGAATAGTTAGAAAATTTCGGAATAACTTGTTCGACAAGTGTGTACTTCACATAGAACAGCCCTGAGATGTACACAGCCTATTTGATATATAGATTCAAACTTTTCATACATGTAGGCACGTACGCATATTACTGAATTTTAAGGGAATTTCAAAACTATATCATGTAATTATACGCGTATTATAAATATTAAATCATACTATTAAATCTATTCCTCTTTGCCCGAACAAGTTTACCCAACGCAACCTAAGTCGAATACATACGATACCTCTGTATATGAATTTATGAACCCTTCGTGACTTTATTATACTTTGACTAATCTAAAGGTTAGGTCTGAATACAGAAAATTATTCTTATTTACAGATTCATCAACATAGCGATAGATACATGATTTACAGTAGCGAGAGAGCCCGCGGAATCACTGCTTCACTATTTTGGACAAAGGATTACGCATAGAATCTATAGCTGCAATAAAGTCAGAAAGCCATATCTCTAACAATATTCTATTTTATCGGCAAAATAAGTAAATAAAGTATTGACTGTTTAACTTACTACACAATATCCATTAGGTCTGATTAATTATCCATTCAGCTATTTGACTTTATCATCCGATTTACAAAGACTTACACAGAGTTCTCTCCACTCGGATCCTCGAAATAATTTCGGATATCCAATGAACTACTGTCTAATTCTTCAATATCAACGAGTTCTTCATCAAATTCACTGGAATCCATTGTGGCAGAAAGTAGAGATTATACGTTGAAAAGTTTTACAAATAAATATTACTTGTAGCCAAAGGCTTTAAATCCCTTGTAATAAGTTGATCAATGCGTGTTTACAGTAGGAGCAAGTGCCTGTATACGAGGCTAATCAGCATGCCGTCGTTTGTGTAGAGTTACTGTAATGTCCACATAAAGCAGAGAATGTTGTGTATTACAGGAATTGAACTTGGATGTTACTCTATTCCAGCATAAAGGATAGAAGAGAATTCTTAATTTCTAGCTAAATTAGCATGAACAAGTTTATGAAATACTGGACGCAAAACTGTTGTTATCATTTCCAAAATACCTGATCCATACAGCGTTCCCTTAATGCCTCCATCTTAAGTTGTTCGATGTTTTCAATCAAGGGCTAAACCAATTAATATTATACATTGTAAAAGCCTAAGAAGGATAAAAGGTCTAATTCTTCTTTGTCCACGAATAATCAATTTTTCAAGGCTTATAGCGTAGAATTTATAATTAATACACGTTAAAGATCCATATTTTGTTTTGCAAATTATTTAGTTAGTAAATCCTCTTTGACACTGCTTGCAAGACCGAGCGCAAATAGAGACAGACGGAGAATCCCATGTACTGTACGTAACACTCATACTAGACGTGTCTCATACCAGGGCCTCCATGACAACTTTCTCTATTAACTCCTGGTCATACCCGATGATCGTTAACTGTTTCTATTGGAGGTACAGTACTGTACAACTCAGTACAAGAGCATACTGTTACTGTACAGTACAGTACACGATATACAGTACTCACGGATTAAAAGTACTGTACAGTGTACAGTACAGTACCGTATTTTTGTACTACTGCATACCGTACAGTACAGTACTGTATGCCGTCTGATGTAAAAACTGCACTGAAACCTTTTCTGTACAGTGCACAGTAGTACAAATCAGGTACGGTACTTGTACTGTGCTACAGTACAAGTCTACAGTACCTTGCACACTCAATCTTAGGATTGACCAAATTCGGGTTGGACCATAACTGTACTGTATGGCACTGGCTGACAGCACCCGCCCGAAAATTCAAGTATCAAGCAGTTTCCTGGTACTATCAACATACTGTACAACAATAATAAATGTACAGTTTGGTGGTAGTTTTCACAGTAATATAAAAGTTTTAAGCTGTGATAGGTACAGCATTACTGTACTGTATTTAAGGGAATTTATTTATCAATCATTAATTAACTAATTATATTATAATAATAATTAGTATCAACAAAAGTTAGTGTATAGCATTCCATACGGTAGACGTTAAAAATTGTACAATTACAGTATACGTACATTCTTTACAGGAGAAAAAATATTCACGTCTCATTACTCATGTATAATTAGATATTATCTTATCTGATAAAATGACTATGTAAATGTTATAAAAAATATAATGTACAAAGTACGTTAGTATCTTGATTAAAATTTTCTCGCGATCGCAAGCTAATGCTATTGTAGTTGAGTAATTTTAAACTTAGCTAAGTACTATATCAATAGCCAATGTTCATCATGATTACGACAGCGCCTACACAATGAGAGCTTATCGTACTACTTTAGATTGAACGTCCTTTGCATAATTCGTTCCATGCAATCCACGGCATTTCAGTGCAAATTCCTCTGCCTGCTCTTGTAGCCATCTTTTACGAGCTCTAGATCTAGATTAATTGTAAAAACCATGTTATCTACACTCACAGGCTTGATACTTAATCTGTATATGTGTTATAAAATAGCGTACAAATAACCTCAGAACAGCGTTTTGAAAAGCTTGTTTGTCAACATGACTTAGACCCGCACATGGAAATATGTCTTCCATAAACAACTCCTAATTTTCATTGGTGTTACAGGGTTGGCATCAAAAAATTAATGCTAGAATAGTTATTATTTATTTACTAAAGATCTTTTATACTTAACCTTAATCCATCTTGCAAGACATGTAATACAATTCTTATTTAATTCTATCAACACGTCGATTAGGGGTCTTAAAGAGACACGAGGTAACTCACCAGCAATACCCTAACAAGACACAATATATTTTCAAATTACAATTAATTTTCAAACCTTAGAAATAACATGTAAAAGAGATAAAAATTCTTTATACCAAAATTATCTTTGAAACTATCAATTTCCCATACAATTCTACTGATCTCCTAGCCTCCTCACTACTTGTAACTTTAGCAACAAATTCAACCTATTCATTAATAAAAGTCAATCACAAGTCAAAATTATCAACTAATATTCATTAAAAGCAATCGACAAATTTACTCAGATTACCAAAAAACGTGAGTTACTCTTGATTATATAGCTTTCCTTAAATACCATCGATGCTAAACCTAAAGTTTGAAGATTGAGTTTAGATAAGTACCACAAAGATAATAGATCTAGCAGGAAATTCGCAAATATGCTACCGCTGACGGTGGAATTGTAAATTGAGCATAAATAATATAATCTGACAGCTTACCGAAAGGGAGTAACTTGTCGTATACACTAGCATTAGAAAAAACTATTCTGCTACTAGACTTGACGGCCTTCAAGCCATGGACAAGCAACATATTAAAAATTTTAATTAAAAAGTTTTTGTCAATGATAACAATGGAGTATAATTTACAGACACTGTCGCGCTCAACAAAAGTAAAAACCCTTAATTTACTGCATTCATGTTACTTCACATACAAATACCTTTTCATTGAATATGAGAAAAGCATTTACAAGATCAGGGGCACTATTCGATCCTAATAAAGTTTCAAAAAAATACCAACAACGTCAAATACAATTCATAAATTCTGCAAACTCTTTCATGAAGTGATATTGAGACCTGTTTCTAGCAGTTGTAGCGTCCCCAAAGTTAATGTATAATATAAATGAGCTACGGTCTGTAGGGTACTCTCGTCGTCACCAAATAGCATCATTATCTAGACGAAGAAATATACAGTATCAGTAATTGCGACTTATACATAACTTTTATTGATAACTTGATGATTTTCATAATTAAATTTATATTTAGTAAAGATATTACACAAACAGCAAAGGTGCAATAAGAAGAATTAATTATTTTAATTTTAAGAGCTAAGTTCATCACCTGCTTCGCGCAATTTAAAAAGCATGGACGAGGACCAGTCTTGTACCACTGGAGTAAAAAATCAACTAACGCTGGTAGTAAGTTTGCTGCTGCCGTGTGGAGATTGCCGATCATTCTAATCATACATTCCATCACCGCCTATTGTTTAGGATACTGTAGAAGTTAGTTTGAAGCTAGGACAGAGTAATTGATACAAAGCAACTTGTACGATGTAACATATGCTTACTTCAGTAACTTGTTCGTCATGAATCCATTTCAATAAAATTTCGTTAAATGTTCTTAATGCTATTTCACTCGATGAGAGGAGCTAAATCATAAGTGATGAAATCGTTAGCAAAGTTGCAGCATAAGCAGTAAGACATATTGCTTTCATCTACTGGCTTACAGGGCTAGGCTGAATTTCGCTAGGGAGGTTAGCAGTCAAAAAAAACGCTTTCAAACATTTCAATTGTAATATAATTTCATATCTTGACGATGGAGTTTCCTTTAGAATAAAATACAGTTTAACTTGCATGACGACTATCAAACTAATAATTAGAATAATAGCTAAATTAAACACCCAACTTACTGGCTTTTGTATGATATTAATAACTCCTTCAATTAATTGTCGGGATAAATGACTACTTGCATTTTCCATACTATTTTTATCCATAACAGGAATTATGGAACCCATGCTTTCTACTAATGGAATGCGTTGATTTGGCTATCGATATTTAAGATTAACGGAATTGAAAAGAGTCCCATTTAATATAAAATTTACTAGTAAACAGTGGGTTTAGAGTAATTACCATCAGGTATGATCCGGAAAGAACTTCCTGACAGGCATTAAAAATTTCTGTAGCTGACGTTTTTAATTCTTCTCCGCAATCTACACAAATATCTCTCAACGCAATGGCAGCAGCATAAACTAACTTAGGCTCTTTGAGGCTCCATAATATGCGTGGCATGATTGCCATGAGGATCTCATGATCGTACTTTAAGTAATCACAATAAGAACCTACAATGGGCAAGATAGTAGTATATATCTACATAAAAGGCACTACAAAAGCGGAATTATAGCCAAGGTTTTGGAATTATTAGCACTATTTACCAATTACTTTCAGCGCCATTACACCAACTTTCTCATGAGAAGGCAATTGTGGAAGTATTCGAAAGAAGTTACGAATGTACTTGGAATCGCTCGAGCTAACAGAATCGGAGATTGCTCGTACAAGATATAAATAAACCTCAAAAGTCTATCAAAAAAGGATAACATTAACAATGAATTATTTACGTCGTATCATTACTATAGATTTTCATCATTAATAGTAACGCACAATACCTGCCAATCAGACGATTGGATATTTGAGGTCAAATTTGAGAGATCTTCGCAATAGTATTTTAAACATTCCGATTGCAAAAATCGATTTGTAAGCATCTAATATTGCAAGTAAAAAAGCCATGCATAAGGAATGATGATATTTGCGTAATCCTCGATATGGCATAGTAAGAGAAAACGTACAATTGTTTCACCGACATCATGACGATAAATTTCAAATTGTTCTCTATCATCTATAGTTAAGAAATATTTTGATTGCAAAAGGATCAGTTATCAAATTTTTTATGATTTCTACTTTACGAATAAAAACATAGCAATTCTGATCACCTGCACTCCACGTTTGTAGTATCTCATTTGATGGATATTTAATTTTTAAAGTAAGAGCCTATCAATACTGCTATATTAGTAAAAATTATTGGAATAGCAGATATTAAAATAAAGTCATACCTTCATTAAAGAAATATACATCGGCTTATAATCTTCGTAGCATGCAGCTAATTGCTTACGAGATAATTCGGTATTAGCAGTTTCTAGGCATTCTATCTCAGTCTGCAACAGTGATAAATAATAAATAAGAAAAAATAGCCAGAATTATATTTCCTATGCAAAATGCTTACCTGCAATGAGTACCAAAATTCAAAAGTCAATCTGCTACAAGTTTCATCCATAGGATAGTAGCCATTTGTAGAGGCGAAATTCTAATTAAATGCAAGTATAACATTATCGGGTAATACTATACATGTAAAACAGTTGCGTAAAATACTTAGATATACATCTAATTTGCTACAAATTGCCCATCAGGACATATTTAGTACCAGTATCATTGAAGCCAACTCATTAGCTAGTTTCCTATGATCATGATTTTCAAATTTGACGAAATATTTGCTATGGCATTCAGATGATGATACTACTAAATTGCAGATATCACCGCATTCATCCTGAAACAAAAAATCATAAACAATTAACCTATTGCCCTATAGCTATTTATGACAAGTTTATACATAATTGAAAGGTAGTAACATACAATAGATTCGTTACGTATCGTTTCTTCTATCAATGGTGTTAATTTCGTCAATAGCTTCAAAAATCGATAAAGAGACGAAGGATATCTAATATGATACACAGTATAAAGGCATCAAAACAGCTTCAAGGAATCATCATTTATACGCTTATATCTTACCGCGTTGATTCTCCGGAAGTTCCAATTTCCATTAAAGCACTAATAGCTGATTCAAACAGTTCCTCATCACGTAATAGATCAAATAAAGTAGGTATAAGACCGTCTAATAAATTAATGGTAAGGCCAAAAGAGGTCCAACTAGCCAGACATTTTAATGCCTATCGAATTCGAATAAATGATATCCAAGGAATAACGAATTAAGGTAATTGCCATCGAAGTGTAATAATTAACTATTTATCAATGAATCGCCATTAATTTACTTGTATTTTCAGTTGATTAGGCTTATTAGTTTCAAGCGAAGATTGAATTATTGATACGACTATAAACCCAAAATAATTTTATCAAATCTATATTAAGATACATGTAAAATGTATGATAGTGTGAAAGTTTTTTTAAATTTTTGACTCACCATCAGCATAATTTGATTCTAATACGTGCCGGACACTCGCTCGATCAATATTGACTAATCCAGATTTATCGAACTACAGTCGGTTGTGAAAGGTATCAAACTTAAATAATTTACATTTTCAATTCCTTACTTCATCACTTCCAAGCGTATCAAAAAGACTGAATAGACGTTATACAGCATCTACAGTATATACTCAGTATATTACATCCGTACATAAATCAGTGTAAGTATTAAATAATTGTGAATATTATCTAATAGATTATGCTGTCCATCGTACCATACTAGTAATTTCGGAAATAATCTCGATGAATACCGCTTGAAAGTTGATTTGCTAAAAAATGAATCATTAGCAGAATTCCTTATGTTATCTGCTTAATAGTAGCGATTACAGCATAAATAAATGCATCATAATAATACTGGTAGCTAATCCAATTACGCTCTAATACCCTATTAGAGTCAGTTAGTGCAGTACCTGAGACGAAAATAGAATTAGATCATTAATAGGCTGTGCCCAGTGATTCGGTGTAATTCTTAGAGTGAGAATTGCTAACTATAATTATATTAATTTGTTCGTATATCAGCAGCGATCACATAAGTTAATTAGTAACATTCATAAATAACATAGCAGCTAAAAAATGCAAAGATTTATAACTACTATAGCGAACCGCGCTACATAATTGACACCGGACAAACGGAGGACCAATTGCAAAACGAATTATAAATTGAATAATTTGATCACGTAGTGGTATGTATTGATCAGCAGGTAGTTCAGACCTATACCAAGTAACAGCCATCATACGTTGAGAAAATTGAACGTTATAGCTAGATTAAGTCATATACAGTATTTGCATCAGCTACTGCATTACTTTTGAATGGAAACTGTATGTCAGTTTACAAGCTGCTGGATTGCAGCTAATTAATCGATATTAAACTATAAACTATACATCGTATAGCAACCAGCTTGTACAGCAAATAGATTTGGTACATGTATTGCAATAAGCAGAATGTATTTGCGATGGATTTGTAAAAATTGGTAGCTTCACAAAAACTATCAACTAGTTCTCCTAAGACGAATAATTTATTTCTGATTAAAGTGATCTCAACATGGTGCAATAGCATATTATAAACCCTGCAATGAACTCTTTCTTACCAACATGTGGAAATTTTAGTTTTGATCGTACACGCTCCGAAAAATTGGATTGGTGGAGCCTATGAACGAGTGAGAATGATAAAAAATGATAGCATACTGTAAGATCGATGAGTATACGTATATCCACTCACATCTGTGTACTTGAGGGAGAATAAGATTACCAGTTAGAAAGATACGCGTAATCAAATAGGATACAGAAATACAGTAAACGTATTCAATTAGTGTAATTATCTCTGAGCAGTGATTGACCTCAGCTCCATTCTAAGATCGCTTTGTGAGCCTAATATTAACTCAAGTGCTAACCGAAATTACATCCTCAGCAACGGTATTTACCAATGTATCATTAGACTCATTAGCACAAATACTGTGCACATATATTAGTGAAAATGATGTAGGCTCGTAGATTACAGCAATAATAACCGAAAATAACTACAATTAGTCAATTTTAATTATGGCAGATTATCAATCTATAATATGGCCGACCATCTTTTTCTCAGAGGCAAATGTTTTGCAAAAATTTAGCTATCTCAATAATTATTGTATGCATTACTGCATAACATGATACTCTGTATAAATTGCTATCATCACCACTTCATGTTTACAGTACAGGATCTGCAATGCAGTAGTCTACATATCGTAGAATTAGTAGACTGAGCAATTGCACAGTCACAGTGTGCTTCTTGTACTGTTTGAAGAATATAGAAAGCGTCTAATTAATACTATTGCAACAGTGATCCAATAATTAAAACATAATTATTCCAATGTCCACCTTATCTTCTGCCATCAGAGGCCAACAAAATTGCCATGCATCAAGAGAAGTTTGCATGCCAGTTAGCCACTCTTGGAGTTGGTGGATCGTTTGCGGGTCATTGACGCTATATAGTTGTTGTAGTGCCTAAATGTAGTAGAGAAAAAGCAAATTGAACTCTCTGTCTTCTCTCTCTCTACTCCTATCTACAGTTTGAGCTATAATCAATCTATACTTTTCACTATCTACTGTGTACGTTTATTAAACGTAAAGTACCTCCTCAATTTTGCTTGTGTTTGCCATTTCCATTCAATTTCTTAGCAGAATGCCTGGATAACACCAGTAGAGTTAAGCTCTAATCGAGCTAGTATAAACAGTTGACGATGTACCTACAGTACACAAGGTCTGCAAAACACAGTAGAATGTTTTTACTATAAAAAGACTGGAACTAAAGTAGTGCCTAAGATACTTGAGTGTAATACTAACAAAGCTCTACAGTACAGTAACTATTCTCTACTGAACAGTGTCCGGCGCAAAAATTGCACATACGGATTTCGAATTTGATGACGTAACGGCGGCCTTCAGCCATAAACCTTGGACAGGAAGGATGGACGACTGTACTATACTGTACTCATGGTTTACAGTACTGTACTGTACAGTACGTATCGTGGACTGTGAGTACTGTACACTGTACAGTTTCAAGATATTAATAAGAGCACTTCGTTACTATGGCAATATGCCATGATCAATGTTTTTAACTGTAACTTCAACTCAAAATATTCCATCAATCTTGGAATAAATCTATCCATCATCTGGCCTATCAGACAGTGCTTATATCAGTAAATTAGTAAATTTATAAACCACAATAGTAGCCTACGATCTTGCACTTTCAACAAACAAATCTCTTCTATCGTTATATTGGACTAGAACTACAGTCATTGGCAATATTATTCAACTTAGACAGGTATTTCGCTGTAGAGCTCGCACTAGATTAAATGCGGTAGTAATATCCTACTTACTACTAATCAAACGTACACGAATTACTATATTAGAGATAATAACTTTTATGCTACAGTTTAACGTTCATTAAAATAAAATTAATTATTATACGAATATTTATAAATGCGTAATATCCATACTGTAGTATTACACCAGAGAAACATGTGTGCTGTCAATACTATGAAAATGCTCAAAGACTGGGATTCTGGTTCCAAGTCTACTAGAGCTGCAATACTACGATCCTTTATTGCCGATATGAACGATAGGACTGGTCCGGATCTGGAAGCATACTTTTCTGATGCAGCAAGCCTATTCTTGGTTAGGCTTACGGCTTGGTTGAGAATGACGTATCCTTTACTCTATCAATAACCATGCAGTACCTTACGATATTGTTGGCTAGTAAATTAAAATCTCTGCACAACTAATACAAGAACTGACATTATCGTATATCTGGATGAAATCTAATATATAATTATCAATTACGCATTTTATCAATCTAGCTCTACGAAAATCGATATCGCAATAGCCAATTAATGATATATTTGCATATATTTACTTACACATTATCCTCAACATTAAATAAAGTTATATGATAGGAACTTACGTGAAATTGCAATTACAAGCTATCTCCATTTATTTAAGAGCATCTAGCGGGTAACATACTTTCCTCTTCAATGCAAAAATGTTACATTCAATTATTATATAATTTCATAATCAAGCTCAACATAAATCTACTAACTATGCAACCTGCTATCTATCTGTATTTAATATTTAGCCAAAAGTTCTTAATTGAATTTCTTGAAGTTGGAGGAGTTTTAACAACACTAGAAATTCTTGGAGCAAAAGCTACAAAAGAGGTTTCTTGATTTATGCTGGACAATGTTTCCAACGTGTAATATCATTTAGTAATGCTCTTACCTTCTTTAATCTTGTGATTCAATAGAAAGATAAATCACAAGCGCTAAGATTGTTAATTGTAATCTCTAACTACGGAAGAAAATATAAAGAAATTATTTGTGAAAGTTTCGGTAACATAATAAAGCATTTGGAAATGTTTACGATAAATTGGATTGTATAAGTATAGTGACAAATCAGTTATAATTAACTAGGAGTAAGAGCTATCACTGAATGCCTAGCAAAGTCAAAATCAGAAGAAACCCAAGAAAACGCGAAGGCAGTTATGTTGCAATTAGCAGAGGTAACTTTATGACTTTATACCATATAAATCGTCATTTTTATCTTAAATTTTCCAATCACTGATGCGTAAGGCCAATCATCAATTTAGTAAATGTAATAACTCTCAGTATACAGTACTATAACTAAAATCAAGGAATTAATAACTAAAATGATAAACTTAGGGAAATCCACGCTTCCAAAATCAAGTCTACAAAGCTTTCATCGCTCTAATGTCTTCATCGTCCCCTAAAGCACAACAATTATCCGTTCAAGGCCTTAAAGTTGTTCAGGTAAATTCTTTACCATTTAGGCAAATATTAATCAGCTGGAATTCTTACCATTAATTTGATAAACTTATTAAATATCAACAGCAAATTGTGGAAACTGCGAATCCAAATTTGGTACAACCTCTAATTAATTTATTGAAAAGTCTTCATTTAGAAGTTCAATATGAAGGTATGTATCTACTGATACTGATATTTCATTAATGAAATAATTACACACTAAAGACTATACCGAATATTATACATTGTATCCTTATTTTGTCAAATAAATTATTGCCAAACTAGCCAATTACATCATTTAAGCCTAAACATATGTATTTTTGGATCAAAAATTTCTAGTTATGACTTATATACAGCAACTGATGGCATTAGACGTAAGAAACTCCGTACTTATTAATTTAGTAAAGTGCTTAGAAGTGTCAAAGGATGATTCTCTAAAAGGTCTACCCGAAATTTTACACCGTAAGCATACATGTGTACTGCTTACTATTTCACTCTAACACACTTCAGGCATAAATTTGATGTTGACATATACAATTTTCTATTTTATAATTACCCGTGAAACTGTTCATGTAACTTTCAATTTAAAAATCAAGAGAGCGATGTTCTGACTATAAATGGTATGTATAATGGCTTGAAGCCATTATTACGAACAGATTATATGCGGTTTTGTCGCATAGTCGTTTACTTCCATTTTACAGCCAATATCTAGTTCTGAAAGAGTAATTCTACTAGCAGCTTGCGATTCTAATTATATAGTTATTCTTTATTTACTTTGATTGCATGATACTAATGAAAATTTTAATTATAAACGAAGCACCGTTGCCGGTTCATGTTCAGCAAGCAGCAGCAGCAAAAATAATAGGGTAGGCACTAGAATTTAATGTAGATATCTCATTATCCTGCCAATTGTCATACCACAAATCAGAGTGGTTTCTCACTAGTAGAAAAAGTTAATAACCTTCAATATGAATCTGCATTATTTAAAGATATAAAATGATCTATTTTCCATAACAGTGTCTTGAGTAAAGAGTCAAGCGAAGTTAGCAAAGATTTACTTCAGGTAACTAATATACAGTATACCATAACGTAATCCATTATTTAATCTGTATGCTCAAGTTATACAATATTGGGGATATGTATTAATAATAATAACCATTTGGCAACTTCATATCGGTATAGTTAGGGGTAATCCATAATCTACTGATTGCGGCGGGAAATGCTAGTCATCCGGATAGTCAGAGACAAGCAGGAATAGCACTTGAGGTAAGCATAATTTTAACTTTTCATACATTTGCAGTATGTAACTGTTTTATTATGCTAATTTGCATTTTTCTCATCATATTCAATATTTAGCACTTTATTAACACTTACCCAATTGTAAAAGAATATGTCATGAAGGCATTAGGAAGGCCATTTTTCACTGAATTCATGGTAAAATGGCGCAGCCTTTACAACATGATTAAATAATGGCTTTGTTCACAAATATTAGAGTATACACGTACTAACGCTATACGTGTATACTATTATATTCTTACTCAAATTTAGGAACGCCCCGATACTATTTATTCAAGTATGACTTCCATTCAACTAGATGTTTTGACGTCTAACAACGTTGATATTCCGTCAGGTTTGTGCGTTATTCATCCTATAAGTTATCATTTAATTAAAGTAATCCATTGATTCATATATGACATTAACATTAGATATATTTAAAATTCTAAAATTTTAGCCTTAAAATATGCATCGAGGTGAATGGCCTTTCAATCAAACTCAGTTATACCCTGTCATGTTATTAAATACATGTTAGCTTTTTTGTAAATATTTTTACTATCTTGATCTACTGCTCTAAAACTGGTAATATATTACTTATGATAGTACAGTTATATAATAAAATCGTCATTCAATCTAGAAACAGTCGCTTATTTTAAGTAACTAGCAAGTGACATGTAAACACTTGCATTAGATGGTCTATATCTATTTATGGTAGGAATGCTAGCAGAGTTTATTTCACTATCATCTGCTAGCTACGTTTGTTCGTATTGAGACTTAGTCGAAATGTACACGTTTAGTAACTTATTATTTGTTATTTCATGAAGCCAAAGTATTTAAGAAATGTTTTTGAATAGCAGGAGGTTGTAGATTAATAAGAAAGGCTTATTACGTCTCGCTGTAAACTTACGATAATTAGTTTGACTATAATATCCGATAATATATGGCATTGTTTGAATTTTTACGGAAGTTTTTTATTGTACAGTAGCATTAAACACAGTATAAACGTAAGATTTTCATATATCCTTATTTTTACTTGCCCCTCTAGCATAATAATCCGTAATTGATAGGACATTATTTGCAAGTACTCATAAATATTTGGAGTAGGATATTTTAAATATTTTGCATTCTCGGAAAGGCAACGCTACCATTTTGTTATAGCGGAGATGCATAAAAATTAATTAAATCTTTATATTCGTAGTACTCCTATTTGGTTGAAGTCAAATCCATGATTCTAGATGCTGCACAGTACGCTAATTTATCGTTCTGTTTGTTAAAATTAATCGAACTGTATTTTGTACTTTATTATATTCAGGCATATGCTCATTTTCGGCATTAAACGTGAATACTAACCTAAATTGTTAATACTTAAAATGATCTATGGCGTTAGTCAAGAACTTCTAGAAGTCCCGTATTGACCTGGATACTATTATGAACGATATCGTAATGAATCGCAGTACACAAAAGCAGAATCGATTGCGATAATTCTTTATTAGATTTTGTCTCGATATATGAGCGCAAAAAGCGCGGTAAATAAGATTAAAAAGTATAGCATGTCGTGATTATTATCTCAAATGGTCAATACCATCAACAAAGCTGATTATCAATTGATATGTGTTCATATAAATTTCTATAATTGATTAAACGAAGGATTTATGTACAGTAGCAATTTAGCATTATTGACTACCTTTGATACGTACAATATGAGTACAGCAATATAAGTATTACGAATTGCAATGGTCTATAAAGTAAGACCAAGTTGTCTTTATATCGACATATATACATATATATATATGTATGCACGTTGTAAATAGAAAAAATTGGAAATTATTGTTAAAATTTTATAACATGCTGAAGATTACATCGTTATTGATTTAAAGATTCTAATAAATAGCAAAAATCAAAGTGATTGTCATTTATAATATTTCAGACGTCTATAATTTCATCAGTGCATTTTATACTGTCTTTCATTGATACATTACAACAATCATTTAGAGCAAGATCATGAAACGTTAAGTTATCAAACGTATTCTTATAATTATGGAAGTAAGACAAAATATGACTATGAAATCGTGTCATTAGCTACTAAGAGAATTAATTTCGTTATCTATTTTTATTAGCAGCTACTTGAGCATTTTTAAAATATTTCTTGGCGGCAGTCGAGTTTTTTGCTTTCTTCAAACCTATGAAGAAAATTTCAAAACAATCTAATTCTTTAGATCGCTAAAATAATACCAACAAAATAGATATTTTACGGATTATAAGAACTATGGCAAGAGATTAATAACTCCGTAAGCAATGCCATTTATAGAAAGTTAATAACTAAATAAGCAACTTGTTAAATTACTGACCGATACTAAACAGGTTATGATACTGATTGAAATGAACTAAGAGAGTTAATATCCGCAGCCACAAACTGCTTGCTAATTGATATGATACCATGTAAGCAGATTATGTTGCTGATAGAGAATTAATTAAAATAGTTATCATAAAGACAATATATACTGCATTATGCTTCCTAGATATAGATTATGTGGTTTCTAAAAACGATTTATACGGGTGTAGTTTATTCTTATATCCCATTTTCCGGTAGAGTAATCGTATTTAGTACATTTATAAAAATAACAAGGACTATATCAACATTAATGTTACTGAGAATTATCAGTATGAAAATATGCTATGGCTAACAAATATCAGAAATTACCTTGAAATATGTACCCTTGAGTATCTGACTGGATAGACGAATTATTTCTGGTATCAAGAAATCTGCAGCAATCATCGTAAAGTTAGAAATTACGATTACAATATTAAATTTTTCGACTGCTGGTATGATAGATCCCGTTAAAGCTATCATTCAGATGCGTATTTGAATCTTTATACCTTATCTTACTGGTAATTGCTTTAATATATATATATATGTTTATATTTATAAAAGATATCCCTATACTTACGCGATTTTAGTTACAGATATGGAAAGCTCTGCTCTGGGCGATGGACTTCTTGAAGAGCGATTTGATAGTCTACTCGGCGATTTTTTTTCCAAACGATTCGATGTATAAATTGGCGAACTTTGAGCTCGTCGATGAGAGCGAGGGTCCTTAATAGTATTATGGTTTTCAATTGGCCGGTGAAGATTTATTTCCATCGAAGGTAATGCAGGTGAATTTGGCCTTTGCTGGCAAGAAGTATTAGAAGTAAACGGTGCAACAACTGTGCTGCTATGCGCTGGAGCACTTTGTATTCGTTGTTCACGTTCATGAATATAGCTGGTTACTACTGCATTCTGACCAGGGGTGATGTTTTCATCTATATTCTTGTTCCTCTCTAAGTAAATCAGAGTAAATTGGGAAGTATCTATTGATTCATTGCAATACTGCATCTCATAACTTATTATTAGCAAAAGATTTTTAATTTCATTTTTGATCCCTCATGACTTAGTACAAAGCCACATTAACAAATAAACTTGGGAAGTAATGCATTTGCTAATCACTTGCTAGTAAATATGATTAGTGTTTCTGTCAGGTTGTCTATTTCATATAAGGACTAGTTATGAGAATTAAAATGTATACCAACTTTGTTTTGATAATATTTTTCTATTTAAATGTCAATGTAGGGTTTTGTTTATTTCATTCTCATAGATTATTCAGTATATTAATATGATAGCTAAAGTAGCTACTGTATGATATACGAGTTTTTAGTACTTTTTTAGACGCAAATTTTAAATATTGTATTTAAACAGGCAACGCTAGACTACAAAGTAAATTAACTTTAAATTCCATGTAGAAAGATAGACTTTGAAGCTACTTCTATCCAATTTCTGAAATAGCAACGTTGACGCTATAGAAATGACTGACTGCCGCCAAGCCGTTACTTCATATATACGCGGAAAAGATTATATTTAATGTTAATAAGGTCTTTGCATTTTTGCTAACGGAGAGAAACGTTGTCAGTCTTGAAGCTTATAGACATAGTTGATTCCTATTTAGTTTTAATTTGTGGTTAAAACGGAAAGACTTCAATGTTAATAATACGAATACTTCCATTCGGAACCAACAAAGTGTTATTTTGTCTTAGAAATATACTTTACTACGCACTATTTAGCTTTAATTTAATGTCAGTATATATAAGAGACTTGGAAGCATAAATGTTTACGGTTCAATTTTAATCTGAGGTATACGTGAAATATAAAGCTAATACAAGTAAAGTGCTAGAAGTAACACTAAGAAAGTGAAAATCTGTCAAAAGTCAAGTTTATATGATTGATTACAACATAGTTTTAATTTAAAATCTATGTAGAAGACAGAAGCTAGCATCAATGGAATACTTTCATTTAATGCTCACAAAGTTGAATTTTGTCCTATAAAAACGTAGGATATGTGGTAACTTACCCTATACAGTAGTAATCTAATATCTGTATAGGCACTTACACTAACAAACTTTTCAATTGTCATCGTTCAAGTCAGTAAAATAATTATTATAATTGATTATTACCATTTACATTACTGTTTGGTTCAAATACTAAGTCAGTACCGAAGAATAATGAATCTATGACTAGTAGGATATTTCTGCAACATTTATACTAATAAAACGCCACTTTATCGATGCTTGAGCTTAGAAGAAACGTCATTTACTACCATTTAGCTTTAATTTAATTTCTATTTAGTGAATTATAAAATTGATGTTTGTAAGATTTTACTTCGTCATCAACTAAGCCTGAAAGCATAACGGATTACCTTTCAGTTAATTTTAAAGTGTGAGTTGAAGGATTATAAAGTTACTATTAAGAAAATGATTCTGTTAATATTAACAAACTGGCAAACTGTTCAAAGCCAATTTGAGAAATATAATTTGTTATCATACCATCTCGAGATTTTTTTATTGCCGTTTTAGGTCTGGGCCTATTGTAAACATTCAATATTGAGCCAATACCATTTCCTCGAGAATCTGATGAAAGGTCTTTACTCCAGGACGCATTTTCGCTCGAAATAACAACGGAATCACTTTTAATCTTTTTGCTATCCGATAGCTGTCCTATTTCTTCGCTATCTCGGGTCAACAATGTATCATGAATTGCGCTGGCTATACATTCATCAATGATACCGGCACTGATGATTTTTGCTTCTAAATAATCACACAACGTTAAGAGAAGGATAAGATTAGATTAATATTGAAGATGTTACCATTTCGGCCAAATAAGATTATGGCGAGACAAAAGATTCATGGGCTTTGTAGAAAATTAAGCACAATCCAACCTTTATGAAATTGGTCTTGGCTCTCATTCTTATCTTCACGCGGTTGGGACCCATGGTTATTCTTAATCTTTGTAAATAATTGTTGTTTTTCAGTATCGGTATCATTTTTATTTTCTTCTTTTTCTTCTCGAGGAATATCAATGAATTTTAAGGATCCTTTGTGCTGCTTTTCAATTGATTCATAAAAATCTTCTTCTTCCTGATCCATTAATTTACCTTCTTCTAAATTATGCAACCGGTCGTAAACCTGATAGGGTATTAATATAAAACTATTACAATCTCACTTTCTTATAGCTTAAACCGATCATTATCTAAAATTGACTACTATCATTCACCGTGGGCATATTAATGACCATTCTCATTCCTGTCGATATAGATACTGCATTTGTTTCATTATCTTCAGTAGGAATATCTGGACAAATTAAAATCGATCATATTATACCTCGTATCTTATCATTTAAAAGTGAATTCAAATGCTTTCCAAGAGTAAACGTGCTCGTAGCTATTATATGTTGGCATTGGCGCAGAATAGTTGTGCGGTGTTCTACGCGTATATCATTTTGGCTTAACAAAGTTAAAATTATTTGATTAAAGATTCAGCCATACATCGGCATTTTTAACTGCTAATAATTTAGATGAGCTGATAAAAAGGATTTTCTAAATATAATTATAGTTCAGTTATGAATCTTATGGCACTGTAAAAATGAGTAAAAATCAGTTTGAGGTACTAGAATATTTTACGCTCTTCCCCATCTTCGCATACACAATAACTTACGCTTTGATTCAATTTCGCTTTCGCTCCGAAAGTCCACTCTGAATAGAAAATTAATCATTTTATTACTATATGGCACACTTTGGCATGATATCTCGTTATAAAGGTCTTACAAAATTATCATAAATATATTGTACAGTTAATAAGCAAATATAATTTAGTTTATCTCAATAAATAGGTTAGTTTTATAACATCCGTCTGCACTACTGTACTTACGAATCGGATCGAATGTGAACCCAATAGCCTAATGGATTCCATCGAATTGAGCTTAACGTTATATAGCTGTATTTATTGATAGGAGAGGTTGATGCCAGTGAATTTGGTTCTAAGTAATCATGAAGAAAGACTATATTATTGTTTATTCAGTTTTAACAATTACTTTAAATCTTGTAACTAAATCAGTTATATAAAACCTGGTATTTTTATAGATATATAAACTGAACATGTATTGCCATTATCGTTATTTAATATCTTACTATCATTATTTTCCATTGTTAACGAAAATTTGGCCTCATACTTATAATATAAGTTTATTTATTGAGTGCCAATTTTCAAAATTATCAGAATCTCTTACGATATTGATCGAACACTTAAAATTATATGATGATTTGGACTTTAGTAGCGTATCGGTAGTGTATTTTCTATATTTCAACCTTTTTCTCAAGCTTCTTACTATATTACTAATTTAAATAAATGACATTGATAAAATATCTCTAGTACTTACTTCTGCTTGCATTGATAGCAATTAAGGCTAAATTGTCTGATGGAAGACTTATTATCCTTGCAACATACTATGAAATGAAATTAAGAATACTATCAGCTGTCTTCCATTCTCCGAAACCTTAAAACTAGCAAATATATCCGGCATTCTAATTATTATATTCCCCACAGGTATATCTTCAAAATTATTTGAAAATTCAATAAACTAAAGCAGCTAAGGCGTTAAAATATTAACTTATGAACAGAAACCGAGTTTTTAAGCTATTTTACCTGTTTGTCAACGATAATTGGATCACCTACAGCTGTTAATGTAATAAAATTATTGGAATTATAGGCAAAACGGGCTGATCTTCTTATTTAATCAAAAGCTTAATCAACTACTTGAAATACTAAAGTATACCAAAAAACCTTACTTGCTTCCTTTTGTACATGCTTTACATTGGACTTCTGGCCCTTAGCTGATTTACTACGCAATAGCTTAGCTCTGTTGATACTAGATAGAAGAATGAGAGGGGAACATGTTATTCTTAATTCATTATGTTCCATGTAGTGATAAAATACGTAACTTTATTGTATCTATCATAATGTTAGTTTGCTATCTAAGTATTGTATATATAGCATTAGAATGATTTCAATTAAAAATGCACTAAAATTATTAGATATTTCTTACAATTTGGGATTAAGAGCAGGAGAAGAATGAGGTCGTGGTAGGGTTTTAGTTTCCTTTTCCTAAAGTTTCGGAATGCGAGCATTAGTAACTTAATAATTCTAAAATTAATCTATATAATCTTTACCATAACATCTCTGCTACGTCGAAAATTATCGAACCATGAAATAGTATTAACATCTGTCAAAATTAATATAATAGGATTAGCAACATAAAACCAATGTATTAAAGTTTTCTTATCTTAACTCCATAATAATATATTCAAATTTAATGTGATAGTGTTACCATTTTTTCGCATGTATCAAAGTAAATTCGTTGAGATTAGAGAATATACATATATATATTTAGCGCTTAAGACTTTCTTGTATTAGTCTACACAGCAGTACTGTACACTTGAAATTGTTACTAGAATCTTATCGTTTATCATTTCAGTCCATATTTGTCATTTGGTAGTTTTCTATTGGACAGTATAACCAAAGCTAGTAGTTAATTCGCTATTTACCACTTTGAACTTCGGACCGTGAAGATATGTTTGCTAGTAAAGTTTCAGCCAAGACACGGCAAGCAACTTTAACACCAGCCTGCAATATAGTAGATATTTATAAAGCGGTCAAGATATTCACCGAATTGAATATTAATAAATATCGGACTGTAAAGGTTACACTGATAGAGAGAAAAGATATGTTTATGCTATGAAGTTTAGTATTATAAGTAATAACTAGCTTTCATCTGTTGTAAGTATGTATTACCTGATATCCATCTGTATTTGCTATGGCATTAAACATAAGTTTTGGAATATTATAATTTCCGGTTGCAGCAGATATCATAGCTTCAACACCTTGTTTAATTCAGTAGTAATAAAATATTTACTTAAAAATGTACTGTTGATTATAACAGATAAATAGCTAAATCATCAATAACTTTACTCCATCGACATCAGTTTATAAAGCTAATCCTCCTATGTTACGTACCAGGCTCACTCAAGTAACTACATAAAATTTCTGCACTTGGATAAATCATGAGTATAATTTTTTGCGCCATTAGTCGATAGTGAGGTTGAAAGCTAACATAAAAATTGATAAAGGTTTCATTTATTCATTACATCTAAAATAAACTGCAACAAAAAATTAGAATAAAACGGTCAATTATCATGTAAACGAAATACTCGGTCTACCTTGTATGGGTTTGGCGAAGTTTTCTAATTCGACTATGTTTAAAAAACGAACAAAATTATTTGCAAGAAGTTTATGTTCATTAAAATAGTAAATTATATTACTAATCAATTTTATCGATACATTAGATTTAAGTAATTGTAACTATGCCATAGATCTGGAATTGATTTTCCGCTAAACTTAAGATTCATTTAATCATATAATAAATTAATACAGTTAAGCTATGTGCAAATATGGCTTATCGACTTACTACTTGTAGCTTTCTTTCGACATTGTGGATTTTTTATAAATTTCGCCAATTAGATTATATAAGCAAATGAAAAGGTGTTGATTCAAGTGATTGTCCTGAAAAAATTATCTGACATTGATTATAATTGGCAAGGTAATCGAAGTGAAGCAATGCTAGGATTCTAATTAGTCTTTATTATGCTGGACTGCAGACATAAAAAATACCAAAACAAGTGATCTGTTTTGTTCAAAATTTAAATAATCTTTATCTAAATTCTCTCTGCTAAGTTATATAGAATTGCTTAAGTTAGACATTACATATTCGAGCTTGGAGTTCATTTAAAATGTTAATTTAAACTTTGATTTTCCTTAAACTAAAATCGTACAAAAACTTGTGTATTTAAAGTGAAATAATTATAATATCTATCATTTGGTACTAATATTATCAACTCTTCTGACTAAGTATAAGATTGTTTGGACTAAAACCATGTCTATAACGCACTAACAATTATACCGTTATAATCTAGTGAAAGCTCTATATGGGGAATTTAACAACCCAATCACGTATCATGATTATAGGTACATACAGTACATGATTAAACATACCTCATTGCTTTCCAGGTCGATTTGGACGGCTCCAAAGATTACTGATATTAACTGGTTGATTAGATCCGATGATAGATGAAAAAATTTTATAACTTCTATGGATCTATAATAACAGTAAGAACATAACATAATGCATTCGATTTAATACTATAGAATTGGCCAAGGGTTTTCAAGATTTAATATTTCACAATAACGTCATTATTTCGGAAAATACATTTTCTTATTAACTTACGATGAAGACATACAATAATTACAGATGCAATTTATAGGTTATAATGCTCTAAAAGTATCATCTGTAGAAGGTACTTCATCAATTTTTATTCCTAAGATATCTTTTCGTTTACTACAACAACGTATTATCTCAAGATACAGAAGTGAACAAGTTTTTTTTACCCAATTTCTAGTAATTTAGTAGCTTTTAATGTTTCCGTAATAATTTTTGAAGGTAAGTCAAATAGTTGTTTTGCCTGGACGAAGATAGAAAAACATGTCGAAAATCATCAATCTTATCTTGTATAATGGACATAAATGTTCAACTGCTGTACTCGTAAATTATTCTAACTAAATTTGATTTTGGACATGAAAATAGTGGTAAATTGAGTCTTTAGAAATAAAATAGTTTAACTCACAATAAGTAAAAACAATAGTCTGTGGATAAGTTTTCGATATTGACTTCGATACACTAGTAATTCTTCTACGCCTAATAATTCGTAACGATAGTTACGAAATTTCTTCTCCCTATTATGATTTGATAAATTTAGTAAGTAGCGCAGTGATCGAGATAATAAAGTATGGTATTATTCTCATATAAATATATTGTTAGCTAGTCTATTAATTGATGATTATTCTTAGTCAATATTTTATTAATTAAAGGCAAGTTATTATAATTCTACAGTCACATACTTTATTTTTTAAATCATATAACTGAAATATTGCCATATAATGGAAGGATATCGAATTGACATACCCTTTATTAGCTTCGGATGCTAGTTTTACTTCTTGTTCAAAGTTATAAGCTAGATAGATTAGTCTTTTCTCATCGATTTCTAAATTTTAAATTTAAATATAGACGTCAATTATCATTTGTTATTCAAACTTACAATCGTGTTAGAAATGATACACAATAGGCAATGACTAAAAATACGATACCTTGGGTCGGCGTAGCATAGACAGGCATATATTTCATCATATGCATAGCCTAAAGTAGTCGCATATTTTCAATACGAATATTTTTACTGCTTAACAAATATAGAGCTTAAAGGCACAAAGTAATTTTTATAGAGTAATAAAGACTAAAGATTTTACAGTGTGTAAAGATTACTGCATAGCGAATTAAATTATGAACTGACAGTAAATATGTCAGTAACCTCATTTATTCTATATTGTAATGGACGTCACGATCTATTAAATACACATATTTCACTCACCTTTGCCCCATAAATACTAGAGTTTGCCATATCTTTTAAATAAGATGGCACAAAGTAATATGTCTGAGCGAATCTTCTCGTCTAAGGTATCAATCATGAACGATAAAATGTGACATTCAGTAAATACATCAATATAGTGATATACCCTTTCTGTGCATTTATATAAAGCCGTAGCAAAGTTTATGGTGTTTCTATTGGAATGAAAGGTAAATTGCGAATAGTGGATTTTTTACTTTTAATACTTACATAATGAAGCCAGACTATCAAAATAATTAACTAATTAATTACAGAAGAATTTATACGCCATTACTACTAGGGGTTAGTTTTAACTAAGAATTGGATAACTAGAGTTTTATGTTAATGCAAGACTTACAGATTTATGGGTTATATACCTGTCGCCGCTACCAAAATCTGATATCGTTGCAGCAATTACTTTACGTAGATGTCATTTAATACTAACTGATACTTTCTATAGGATTTTATTAAGCTTAACTTTCAGTTTGACTGCATAATTTATGAAATACAATAGAGCTTATTCGTATTACATTGAATTATAATCGGGGAATACCCCATAACATTATCCTTCTACTCTGGAAAGTCACTCATGAAGCCTTTTATTACAGTAGCAGTATTAAAACGGCCTAATTTATAGTTAAGATGAATCTAGCAAAATACACTCATACGGGTAGTCTAGTGGAATTATTACTGTTAAAATATCTAACAGTAACAGCTGAATATACAGTAAAGAATTTAATTTTCTTATTTTAGATTATCTTTTCCTGCTAGTAAATTGGGAAATTTAGAAAAATTTTCTAAATGTGTATTCGGTAAGTGCCATAAGAACAATATAGTTTATAGCGTGATATCTTACCATTGGTCTTTTGGAGTTAGCGGTTTTAAAAAAATTTTCAACTCGTTTCCGCTCATAAGCTAGACAAATTAATAAATTGTTGTTAGCGTTTGAAATTATTTGTAATATACTCGTGTAATTTTCATTCTAAGACAAGAAGAAATAGGCATAACTAAACAATTACTGATAGCTAGATAATATTCGTCATTTTAGCATTTTAAAATATAAAGCAAGCAATATAATAAATCATTAGCTGAGTAATTATACTAGAACATTAAGTTCAATTATTGAGGCTATTAATAACTATATATTTATATATGTCATATTATAGAGAGACAGTAGGGGGAGAGATGAAATTTTAATTGTAAAATTTGATAGTTAGTAGACTGAAAAGTATCTCTTCTACTAAGGAGTTGATATGCATATCAAGCGTCAAATTGAAAATCAGAGTAGGTATGTAATGATCTAAGTTTTCAGAGTGAATTTACATTTGAAAATTCAAAATTATAAATGCTTGTGCTATTGCCAGAGCTTCATGCTAAAACTTACTTTCTCTATAAATTAGCTTATTGGCACATCTCTGAATATATTTTGTTTGCCATATAAAGAATAACTAGTCAGAGTTATTGTAAGATTTAATTATATTATGACAAGGATAGTCTACTAATGTTAATGATATATCAAAAAGATACTAAAATATATGTAGAATTTATAAAGTGAAATATTGATCATATTAGCAGGCTATTTTATTTCGAGCTATTTGGCTTATTTGCTAAAAAATTTCATTAAGGATCACATCAAATACAATTTTGCAGCTTCAATCATTTCAATTATTTAATCTTGCTAGAAAATAGTTATGCATGACAAATAATCAATACTTTACATACATGTCACAAATTTTCCGTCAAGCATCCACATATATGGCAATCCATCAATAACTTGTGCACGATCTGAAAGCGGTTAAAGTAGAACATGTAAGAAAGACATTATTTGTGAAGTACTACTGTTTTCTACGCAGTTTAATGTCAGGAAAGCGATGATAGTGATTCCAAAGATAAATTAAATGTATTGAATTTTAAAATAAATATCAAGTACTTTATGTGAAGGAAGGATAATTAAAAAATTATGTAGTATCTTTGTTATCCATAACGACTAATCCACCACGACTTTGATACTAAGACTAGCAAAATTAGTAATATTTGAAAAGTTATACGTACAATTTGGATCTTTCTCTAATTCTTTATTGCCATAGAGACATAAATCTAAGATATGTACATTGCGTAAATGCTGCAGATCCGTCCAAGATATATTATTATTGGCCAAGTTAATGGTTCCAAGAGAGTAAAAACACCCAAAACCTTCTAAGCATCGAATCTAATAGAACGGAATACGATGTTGCTGATGATAAATTACGTTTATAATAGATGCAGATTTTAAAGGGTGTAAAATCTTTTAATATCCTGTCGATGTCATTGTTGTACAGTATGGTTAAATGAATTAACGATATCGGTAGCTATATGTTAGTAAATCACTTTAAATGGACGTTTAAACGAGTTTATTATAGAAATAAATTATTATCAAAGCAACAACATAAAGGAAAACTCCTTACCCTATTGCAACTTAGATCTATTTTCCAAAGTTCACGACAACGGATAATAGTAGTTAGAATAGCATCAATATCATTTTGGCTGGCAAGGATTGTTTGCAGTTTTGGACAAACAGACAAATTTTCTAGTGATACTGTAACGAATTGTATTGCAAAGAAAGATTAAGCAAGTACGCTATTTTATAGAGTTAAAAACACAATTTTATTGCTATATCTGGGACGTTATCTTAATATTGATGAGTCTAAACAAATTTTATAGTTATAGAGCAGTCCCCTCTTACCTAATTGACGATCCGATAGATCGATATATACAGCATCAACTAAACGACAACCAACTTGTGATCTTAACAACTGAAAAGGAAGTAAAAAAATTAAAATCATTACAATACACTAAATTGATTTTAGTCGTTAATTCGAAATATTTACTGCTACGCTTATAATGTTCGTCGAAAATATGTAGCGTAGACATGATTTACCTGTTTGGTAATCTTCATAATTTAATCATAAATTTTAAGAGCAAACACATATCATTAATAAGTGCATTAGTAACAAAAATTGTGAGACAACTTGCTGATAATTTTATGCTTGAATCGGCGTATTGCTACTTCCACTATTGTTTATTGTCTTTGTCATAGTGACTATTGTTGTGCGATTAAGGTCAATAGCAGATTTTTGGAGTCCTTAATATGTTAAATTAAGACCCATGCCAATGAATAACATAGAGTTGAATAGCATGGGCACTGTCTGTTGCATATTATAATTAGCATTGATTTGTAAACGGACAATTATACGCCAATACACAGTTATTTTACCTTGCTTTAATAGCATTCTAATACTAAGATATATTTACTATGGTTACTAGAGTGGGCACTGATTGCAGACTCATATCTTTACTACTCCATTTTTTGATGACAGTATTCATTTGTTTTCTTAAAAAGTAAAATGGTCAGAATTGCTCATGTCGCCTTCTTATAACGAAAAATTGATATAGTCACGCAACTAGAGATTTTTTGTAATAAGATAGACACGATAATACGTTAATAGCTATCCAGGCTGTGACTTTTTTAACTTTATATTCAAGTGATGATCTAATTATCTTTAAAAATTTTATATATTCGATAGGTAATGGTATCGCATTAGTAATTTATTGTTACTAAAATAGCTATCATCAGCTATGAGAAATAAATAAATAAATTATGTCGCATTATGTTGTGTAATATATGAATAGCGATTGATTAAACACTGCCATACTTATGCATGTTAGCTTCAATCGAACTAAAGTCCAGACTCTTTAATAAAGCTGAAGTGAGATATAGCAGTATCTGATTAAGAGATGAGAATTTTGTATCAAGGGAAATGTAAGAAATAGCTACAACTTAATAATTTGATGATATAGCACGTATAATTTCTTATCTCGACAGTTTAGTAATGAAAATGTAACCTTAAAATTTATGCCAAAAGCACTGTACCATCTTATCCCAAATGTAAAGGAGGTATATTCATCAATGATAGGAAGCCTATCATTAAAAAAGTTATACTATAACTAAGTGAAATTTACTTCCTTAGAGACGTGATTAGCGAAATTATGAGGCTAATTATAATTATTAGAGAACCTGTAACTAATTTTGTGAAGCTGCCGTGCTAAATATTACCCCACTAAAGGTGTACGAATTGTGATTGATATTCTATCTGGTACGTGGAGATGGCACGTCGTTTTACTGGCACAAAAAAACGCGAAGGTATGAACACGTATGCTATAGCAAAATCAAGTGTAAAAAACAGACTGTTTAATGGCTTGTATTTGTACAATTGTACTATGCATGATCATCCATGAACCCATTTCCGGTTACGTAATCGTCTGTTTTACACACAATCATCATTTGCAAGTATTTTATCTTAGTTATGAGTCATGATCTGTCGGCAAGGCGACGTGGTGTTGGACTAGTCTTAATAATTTCAACAGATTACACAATCACGTAGGGTGTAATCACTTAGGGTGATAGGATATTGTTCTTATTCTATTGCCAGCAGCGTAGGCTATAAAACTATGTCGTAAAAAAGTGCAATTTGCTGCCTCCCCGTTGTCCGTACCATAGCACATGAAGATCCTAAAAATATACGCACTACAGGATCTCCAGTCTTCTCCATAAGCACTGAAAAATAAGTATTGATTAAAAATATTATCCATGCGAAATTGGCATAACTCGTTGCTCGCTTATCAGAAATTTTAAAAATCTCAGCAGTTTCTCTTTGAGTGAGTTTAAGCTGTTGTTGTCATAGCTACGACGATTGCAAGCCTCTTACAGAACTATATACTGTAAACTACAGTACAGTACTAAATTGCAGTGAGTGACTACTGTACTGTACACTATCGTACTGTACTGTAGTGTTGCGGGTCCGAAGAAGCCCTGTTTTCTCAACTTTTAAATTAATTTTTCCATCTCAGCCTAGACATACTGTACTCGTAATGGGTATAATAAATCAATAGTACAGTATGTCATCGCCAGCATGAGCCACATATATTGGTAAATTACAGTTAGCGCTTAAAAAAAAGTAGTTTAAAATTGCAGTTCGTGGAAGCAACTAACATACTGTACATACAGTACAGTACTGTACAGTACAATGCTGGTAATACTGTACTGTACTGTACAGTATACTGTACTGTACTGCACACTGTGCACACTACAGTACGCTCGTGATAGCTTATTTTGTACAGTACTGTACAGTACTGTATACAGACCGATAGTACGACGTGACTTTTAAAATTGTTGGAAGCGACCGCACATGTAACAACGACTGATAGTTTGTATTAGGAACTTGAAAGAATAGAATTATTCAATACTACGATATAAAGTAATAAAAATATAAAGAATCTATTGCTCAAGGTTGTACTGATCTGTCTGCATGGAATTTGAGCCAAATTTAAAGACATAATTTAAGACAACGTTATAGCTGAACATCTTTCAACCATTTTAGAGGGTTCACCACGCCCCGGTAATGCTACAGTTGTACAGTACTGTATACAGTGTACAGTACAGTATAGTCTGTAGTGCAACTCTTCACGGCGCTCAGATGGCGGACGGCGGGATACCGAACTTGCAAGAGTTAATCGTGCAGGCCAGGCCAAGCCAAGTTCCATGATACCGTATAGTAACGTACTGTACACTCGTACAGCATCCAGTACAACTGTACATGATAGTTACTGCTAGCTAGGCTCACTGTTACTACTTAACATCCCATAGTAATGCAATATACTGTAGCGGAAAGTCTTCAGGGGAAGGAAGCAGCTTTGCAAATCTTGCACAATTGAACCCGCCAATATTAACTTTCAAGGTGCAAGCAGCATTATGTGCAAGGACCGATCGATGATCTTACCACAGTTATAGGAATCACTTAGCTTTTGCGCTGGAAAAGTATGAGCAACAGTAAGCCAGGAAGCAGCTGCTATTGTGGTGAAGAGATCTCGTTGGAGCGTGCTCATCAGTAAATACGCCTAAATTAATAATGATTGTGTTGGCTTTTATAGGATTAGCCTTGTAATCATTTGTAGGCTATGTATACTATTCGTCTTGCATACTCTGATGATGTATAGGTATACAGGATATGTTATACACTACGTTAGTAGCTAAAAATATTATTTATCTTCATCATTTTTGTAGGAATAGCTTAAGATGTAAAGTATGCGTGAGTTGGTTCCATCTCGGTAAGTACTACAGTAAACGTTAGAACTGAAAGCTTGTGTGAACTATACAACTAGGAGTGACATAATTAATCGAGCTAAAGCTAAAAATTTATTCCGACGTAAGAAATGATAGTTACTGTATCGTACAGATTAAAAATGACTAGTGCTTTACAGAAAAAAAATATCAAATACTGAATACTGATAACTCGTAATAGGGTTTATGACGTAACTTTGTAATCAGCCTAATATTCGGTAAAACAATCGGTAAAATAACCGACACATACTGAATACACTATTACTCTGCATAAATTGTGCACCTACCACTAACGTTGTGGTTCTGACTCATGGCTCTGATAAATATAATTATCAATTGTAATGGATTTTGAAATTGATGATGACAATTTGATCGTGTCTAGCCTGTCTAAAAGATAAACCACCAACGGATTTGGACAACGATATATTTTTTGAGTTGATATGTCGGAATTGTGATCCTGATGGTGTCGAAAAGTTTATCCGATTGCCTATGAACTGGTATTTATAGTAAAATGTCTCATGCATTGGCTATCTGTAGACTCTATTTATTAATAAATTTTATATCAGATAAAGTTAACTACGATTATAAATTAAATTCTAGGCTGCAGGTTGTGCATTTAACTGTATATAACTTAAGTCGCGCTGGTAATAGTCGCCATGGCTACTTCAGATGGCGCGAAGATATCTGCGGTTTTATTAATAAACATTGGGATACGCTAATGGCTCATAGGTGAGCAGAAATTTTTTCATAGACTAATTCTGTATCTGTCTATCAAATAAGCGATAGGCTATCCAAATCGATTAATATAATATACAGTATGTGTATCCAAATTATAGAGTAAGACAATTGTTATCATACTGTGCTATAAACTAAAAATAAATTAAAGATAGACTTGCTCTTGATTAAAATATTGCTAAATTTTCGAATTTTATTCAGCGTGCATGCCTAATTACATATTATGTATAATCGTCATGATTAGAAAACGCACTGCATCGTGGCATAGCACTGTTGCTGGAGTATTATCTCTTAACTGCCCTCAAAAATTTATTTCCGGAACTCGAGAATTTAATGAGCCAGGATGGTGGACTTTAGCTAATAAAGAACCTCCAACAATTGACGTAGATTCACTTGATGCTATGAGTAAACAATTACTTTTTAATACTCTATATTAACTATTCGTGATTATATGGCATAATAGTACGTTAATCTTTGATGCTATTAGTCTATTTTATCAGTTATTCTACCCTTGCTAAGTTTGATAATTGCATTAATACAGTATTACAGTTGATTCAAGTTTATTTAAAAAAAGCGATCTACATGCTGTTATGTTAATTCAACAGCCTGCGGTAACTGAGGAGTTTAGTCTTTCCGGTCAGGAATATTTTCGTGCGATAGTAAATACTGTATAGTCAACTGAAGATTCGATAGTTAACTGCAGGAAATGTTATGATGTACTGTTGGTAATACAGTAGTATTATTTATGTATTGTATTATTGATTTCTGTGACAGGATGAATAACTGCATTAAATACCACTATATGAATAGTGATTAAAGATTTTTCCATAATGGAATATTTTTTTGTAAATTTAGGTAATAGCTTACAAAATAAGAAAAGAAGAAATTCAACAGTATCATCGTCTGATGATGGATTAGAATTAAGACCACGAAAAATAAGAAAAAGTGATCAACTTAATAGCTCAAATAACCTTAATCATCATGCGGATGAAAAAATGGTTAGTATTAATTATAGATATATAGTAACTACAAATGATCAGTTTACAGTACTGTAAGTTGATAGATTTTTAAAGTGGTAAATAGTAACCATAGTACGTTATATGTGCAATGACTTGAATCCTCGTGTAGGAGGAGACTGTTGATTTCTCTAATGTTAGCAGTTCGCAAAATGAGAAATGGCTAAACGAACGTGACATCACTGTCGATGGTAAATTCGACTTCTGTATTGTAATAACAGATTTATACTTAAACGTTTTTTGATTAAATTACATTTATAATCACTTTACGAAGTATGCATATATCGAATTGCCTAAAGTACTGTACTTATATAATATTTTAGAAACATTACCTGAAACTATCATGGCTGAAGAAGATCCTGGAACTAATGATGAAAGTAACATTATAAAAATAATTATCGTTACGATAATCTTTAGTTAGAAATCAAGGACACATTTCAATTGATATTAATGTTGACTTAATACTGCCAATAGGCAACTCACAAAGAACGAATTCACTGATGTCAACAAATACTAGACAGCCTGCTGGAAAAACTGTTAAATCCCAAAATAGTTCTCTTGATATGCGAAAACCAAAGTAATATACGATTTATGTAAAATGATGGAATAACCTGAACAACACTTGTCGGTCTTACCAAATACGTTAAGGGTAACTTACTGTAATATTTGTATATGAACAAAGGTTAACTTCACTCAGGCCACATGAAGAGAGAAAATTATTAAAGTCGTTAAGTATTTACCTACCATTAGTGAAAGAAAATCCGAAACTTTGCAGAATTTATAATAAGTTACTCCTTCGCCAGGTATTGTTCAGTCCTAGTGATTAATATCATAATCTTAATCTTATACTTTGTCCCTTTATTTGATTGGCTTTACTTCAACGGTACTATTATTGCAGGTTAAACGTGATAAAGGATTACCAGTGTTCGATTTGGACAGTTGCATGCTTAACTATGCCTGTAATGTCAATAGGTGTAGCACAACTGCTGACTGCGACACCATTGTATCGGTACGTTATATAACAGTAGAATCAACGTTGTGTGTCGTGAGCAAGAAATAATAAAGAATATTCTGTACGGTCTCTACGATGTGAAGTACAGTTTATACACGCTTGCAGGTGGCAATGTGTTAATAGATCTTATTCTGCAACTAGGTACCAGACGTTAAACCTTTCAGATTAAAACAAAAGCGTAACGGAGGAACGTCTTGGAATGAGGTTATAGGCGCAGCTGTTTCTTATAAAATGATCTATGAAACTGATTTGAACTGTAACGTAAAACACAACTAGCTACTTTTAATGTAATAAATATTCTCCATTACTTTAAATTTACCCCGACATACAGTTAATATCAAATGACCCGTCTATTGGAATATCTTCTACGAATACTGTCAAATCTAATATACTTGACAGATTTCAGGTAATCTGATATTCGTTGCTCTTACTGGTATAGTTTTATTTTTATATACCGTACTTGATTATGCATGCAGTGAATTGACTACGACTACGACATGTTAAATGATGGGTAGATCGCATAACTTGATCTAGATTGAGTTATATTCTATTTATATTTTGAAGGTTAAAAAACATCAAAAAGCTTTTCATCAAGTAAAGCCTCAATCTTTTCTTCAATACTTGGTTGGATCGAATTACGAATCTTCTACTCATTCCATTTGTAGTCCATATACCGCTAGGTATACTTCTTTAAAAGTACAACTTGAAAAGATAAAATTCTTATGTAATCAATCTATCCTTTCTCAAGGGTACTGAAGCCATTTATATGGAGAGATTACTCCTCAACTCCTCTGAAGCTCCAATTATTACAAGAAATAACTTCCTATCATCATAAAAGGTAACAAACATCAGCATGCTAGTGAATTTTCTTTTTCCCTAACTCCTACACGATCTGACTTAATAACTTAGTAGCTACTTTAGAAAATGCTATTAACTTTAGTTAATGCCTAAAATTGATTTATTGATTTATACTTGCAATATAGGAATCAAGATCAAAATTCTTCCGATTCCAATAGTATTTTTACTCCTGCTCCCATTGATTACTGTTATGTTAGACCTCATCATATTCCGATTGTGAATAGTTTGTGTCGAGAATTTTTTTGGCCTGGAATAGATTGTACGTCAATGGCTTACGTATAATAATTGTAATTTTAAGATTGAGAATCAGAAATGAGTATCGAAATGAATACACAGCATCTCATTACGTCTTTCGTATTTCGGCAGTGTCAGAATGTTTAGAGTATCCGGATTTTAGTGTTGTAGCTCTTTATCGGTAAATATAAATAAACTATTTTCAGTAGAACAATTGTATACTATGTTCGTATTACATTATTTTTGATAAAATATTACAGGGACCTTCGATTTTCTTTTGCTTTTAGGAGGCTTATTGTAGGCTTTGCATTTATGACACCGGATGTGAAATATCATGAAGCTTACGTCTCATTTATTTTCGTGCATCCCGATTGGCGAAGAGCTGGTATTGCAACATTTATGTTGTACCACCTGGTTCAGGTTGGTATAGGAGCGTACGTTATTGTGATATTTAAGGATCCTGGCATGATCGCTTTAATATGAGTTTTGATATTGCATAATATGGTATAACAAATCATGATTAAAATTAGCCCTCCACGTTTATTGATTTTTCTCAAAGTAGCAGTTTTACATGTATTGAAATATATACATC